TGGTAAGGTTTAAGGTTTTTGGCGTTAGGGTTAAAATCACTGTCCAAAACCTTTGTAGGAACTCTTTTCCAACCTTTTGGAGTCAGTATGACCAAAAAAAAATAAAAAAAAATAAAAAAAATGTATTTGGGGTGTTCGGGCTTCCTGAAGGTAATACCCGGGTATTAGGTTATGGGGCTTAGGAAAGGTTTAAGGTTTTTGGCGTTAGGGTTAAAATCACTGTCCAAAACCTTTTTAGGAACACGTTTCAGACCTTTTGGAGTTTGTACACCAAAAAAAAAATGTAAAATGAAAAAAAAAGTATTTGGGGTGTTCGGGCTTCCTGAAGGTAATACCCGGGTATCAGGTTATGGGGCTATGGTAAGGTTTAAGGTTTTTGGTGTTAGGGTTAAAATCACTGTCCAAAACCTTTGTAGGAACTCTTTTCCAACCTTTTGGAGTCAGTTAGACCAATAAAAAATAAAAAAAATAAAAAAAATGTATTTGGGGTGTTCGGACTTCCTGAAGGTAATACCCGGGTATTAGGTTATGGGGCTTTGGAAAGTTTTAGGGTTTTTGGCATTAGGGTTAAAATCACTATCCAAAACCTTTGTAGGAACTCTTTTCCAACATTTCGGAGTTAGTTAGACCAAAAAAAAAAAGGAAAAAGGAAATAAAACGTATTTGGGGTGTTCAGGCTTCCTGAAGGTAATACCCGGGTATTAGGTTATGGGGCTTAGGAAAGGTTTAAGGTTTTTGGCGATAGGGTTAAAATCACTGTCCAAAACCTTTGTAGGAACTCTTTTCCAACCTTATGGAGTTTGTTAGACCAAAAAAAAAAGAAAAATGAAAAAAAAATATTTGGGGTGTTCGGGCTTCATGAAGGTAATAGGAAATAGGAAAGGTTTAAGGTTTTTGGCGTTAGGGTTAAAATCACTGTCCAAAAACCTTTGTAGGAACTCTTTTCCAAGAAAAATGAAAAAAAAATATTTGGGGTGTTCGGGCTTCCTGAAGGTAATAGGAATAGGAAAGGTTTAAGGTTTTTGGCGTTAGGGTTAAAATTACTGTCCAAAAACCTTTGTAGGAACTCTTTTCCAACCTTTTGGAGTTAGGTAAACCAAAAAAAGAAAGAAAAACGAAAAAAAAATATTTGGGGTGTTCGGGCTTCCTGAAGGTAATACCCTAATATTAGGTTATAGGGCTATGGTAAGGTTTAAGGTTTTTGGCGATAGGGTTAAACTAACTGTCCAAAACCTTTTTAGGAACATGTTTCAGACCTTTTGGAGTTGGTTACACCAAAAAAAAATGTAAAATGAAAAAAAAATATTTGGGGTGTTCGGGCTTCCTTCAGGTATTAGGTTATGGGGCTATGGTAAGGGTTCAGTTATTTGGCGTTAGGGTTAAAATTATTGTCCAAAACCTTTGTAGGAACTCTTTTCCAACCTTTTGGAGTTAGTTAGACCAAAAAAAAATGAAAAATGAAAAAAAAATATTTGGGGTTTTCGGGCTTCCTGAAAGTAATACCCGGGTATTAGGTTTTTGGGCTAGGGTAAGGTTTGAGGTTTTTGGCGTGAGGGTTAAAATCAATGTCCAAAACCTTTGGAGGAACTCTTTTCCAAGCTTTTGGAGTTAGTTAGACCAAAAAAACATGAAAAATAAAAAAATATATATTTGGGGTGTTCGGGCATCCTGAAGGTAATACCCGGGTATAAGGTTTTGGGGCTAAGGTAAGGTTTAAGGTTTTTGGCGTGAGGGTTAAAATCACTGTCAAAAACGTTTGTAGGAACTCTTTTCCAACCTTTTGGAGTCAGTATGACCAAAAAAATATAAAAAAAATAAAAAAAATGTATTTGGGGTGTTCGGGCTTCCTGAAGGTAGTACCCGGGTATTAGGTTATGGGGCTTAGGAAAGGTTTAAGGTTTTTGGTGATAGGGTTAAAATAACTGTCCAAAACCTTTTTAGGAACATGTTTCAGACCTTTTGGAGTTGGTTACACCAAAAAAAAATGTAAAATGAAAAAAAAATATTTGGGGTGTTCAGGCTTCCTGAAGGTAATACCCGGGTATTAGGTTATGGGGCTATGGTAAGGTTTAAGGTTTTTGACGTTAGGGTGATAATAACTGTCCAAAACCTTTGTAGGAACTCTTTTCCAACCTTATGGAGTTCGTTAGACCAAAAAAAAAATGTAAAATTAAAAAAAAATATTTGGGGTGTTCGGGCTTCCTGAAGGTAATACCCGGGTATTAGGTTATGGGGCTTAGGAAAGGTTTAAGGTTTTTGGCGTTAGGGTTAAAATCACTGTCCAAAAACCTTTGTAGGAACTCTTTTCCAACCTTTTGGAGTTAGGTAGACCAAAAAAAATGTAAAATGAAAAAAAAATATTTGGGGTGTTCGGGCTTCCTGAAGGTATTAGGTTATGGGGCTATGGTAAGGGTTCAGTTTTTTGGCGTTAGGGTTAAAATTATTGTCCAAAACCTTTGTAGGAACTCTTTTCCAACCTTTTGGAGTTAGGTAGACCAAAAAGAAAAGAAAAAAGAAAAAAAAATATTTGGGGTTTTCGGGCTTCCTGAAGGTAATACCCGGGTATTAGGTTTTGGGGCTAGGGTAAGGTTTGAGGTTTTTGGCATTAGGGTTAAAATCACTGTCCAAAACCTTTTTAGGAACATGTTTCAGGCATTTTGCAGTTGGTTAAACCAAAAAAAAAAAGTAAAATGAAAAAAAAATATTTGGGGTGTTCGGTCTTCCTGAAGGTAATAACCGGGTATTAGGTTATGGGGCTATGGTAAGGTTTAAGGTTTTTTGACGTTAGGGTGAAAATAACTGTCCAAAACCTTTTTAGGAACACCTTTCAGACCTTTTGGAGTTTGTACAACAAAAAAAAATGTAAAATGAAAAAAAAATATTTGGGGTGTTCGGGCTTCCTGAAGGTAATACCCGGGTATCAGGTTTTTGGGCTAGGGTAACGTTTGAGGTTTTTGGCGTTAGGGTTAAAATCAATGTCCAAAACCTTTGGAGGAACTCTTCTCCAAGCTTTTGGAGTCAGTTACACCAAAAAAAACGTAAAATGAAAAAAAAATATTTGGGGTGTTCGGGCTTCCTGAAGGTAATACCCCGGTATTAGGTTATGGGGCTATGGTAAGGTTAAGGTTTTTGGATTAGGGTTAAAATCACTGTCCAAAACCTTTTAAGGAACATGTTTCAGACCTTTTGCAGTTGGTGAAACCAAAAAAAAATGTAAAATGAAAAAAATATATTTGGGGTTTTCGGGCTTCCTGAAGGACCTATTAGGTTATGGGACTATGGTAAGGTTTAAGGTTTTTGGCGTTAGGGTTAAAACCACTGTCCAAAACCTTTGTAGGAACTCTTTTCCAACCTTTTGGAGTTAGGTAGACCAAAAAAAAAGGAAAAATGAAAAAAAAAATATTTGGGGTGTTCGGGCTTCCTGAAGGTAATACCCAGGTATTAGGTTATGGGGCTAGGGTAAGGTTTTAGGTTTTTGGCGTTAGGGTTAAAATCAATGTCCAAAACCTTTGGAGGAACTCTTTTCCAAGCTTTTGGAGTTAGTTAGACCAAAAAAACATGAAAAATAAAAAAATATATATTTGGGGTTTTCGGGCATCCTGAAGGTATTAGGTTTTGGGGCTAAGGTAAGGTTTAAGGTTTTTGGCGTGAGGGTTAAAATCACTGTCAAAAACCTTTGTAGGAACTCTTTTCCAACCTTTTGGAGTCAGTATGACCAAAAAAAAATAAAAAAAATAAAAAAAATGTATTTGGGGTGTTCGGGCTTCCTGAAGGTAATACCCAGGTATTAGGTTTTGGGGCTTAGGAAAGGTTTAAGGTTTTTGGCGTTAGGGTTAAAATCACTGTCCAAAACCTTTGTAGGAACTCTTTTCCAACCTTTTGGAGTTAGGTAGACCAAAAAAAAAAGAAAAAAGAAAAAAAAATATTTGGGGTTTTCGGGCTTCCTGAAGGTTTTTGGGCTAGGGTAGGTTTGAGGTTTAGGCGTTAGGGTTAAAATCACTGTCCAAAACCTTTTTTAGGAACATGTTTCAGACCTTTTGCAGTTTGTTACACTAAAAAAAATGTAAAATGAAAAAAAAATATTTGGGGTGTTCGGGCTTCCTGAAGGTAATACCCGGGTATTAGGTTATGGGGCTATGGTAAGGTTTAAGGTTTTTGACGTTAGGGTGAAAATATCTGTCCAAAACCTTTGTAGGAACTCTTTTCCAACCTTATGGAGTTTGTGAGACCAAAAAAAAAATGAAAAATGAAAAAAAAAAATTGGGGTGTTCGGGCTTCCTGAAGGTTATACCCGGGTATTAGGTTATGGGGCTAGGGTAAGGTTTGAGGTTTTTGGCATTAGGGTTAAAATCACTGTCCAGAACCTTTGTAGGAACTCTTTTCCAACCTTTTGGAGTTAGACCAAAAAAGAATGAAAAATGAAAAGAAAATATTTGGGGTTTTCGGGCTTCCTGAAGGTAATACCCGGGTATCAGGTTATGGGGCTATGGTAAGGTTTAAGGTTTTTGGCGTTAGGGTTAAAATCACTGTCCAAAACCTTTGTAGGAACTCTTTTCCAACCTTTTGGAGTCAGTTAGACAAAAAAAATGAAAAATGAAATAAAAATTATTTGGGGTGTTCAGGCTTCCTGAAGGTAATACCCGGTATTAGGTTATGGGGCTTAGGAAAGGTTTAAGGTTTTTGGCGTTAAGGTTAAAATCACTGTCCAAAACCTTTGTAGGAACTCTTTTCCAACCTTTTGGAGTCAGTTAGACCAAAAAAAAGAAAAATGAAAAAAAAAATATTTGGGGTTTTCAGGCTTCCTGGAGGTAATACCCGGGCATTAGGTTATGGGGCTTAGGAAAGGTTTAAGGTTTTTGGCGTTAGGGTTAAAAATTACTGTCCAAAAACCTTTGTAGGAACTCTTTTCCAACCTTTTGGAGTTAGGTAGACCAAAAAAAAAAGAAAAAAGAAAAAAAAATATTTGGGGTGTTCGGGCTTCCTGAAGGTAATACCCGGGTATTAGGTTTTGGGGCTAGGGTAAGGTTTGAGGTTTTTGGCATTAGGGTTAAAATCACTGTCCAAAACCTTTGTAGGAACTCTTTTCCAACCTTTTGGAGTTAGTTAGACCAAAAAAAAAGAAAAATGAAAAAAATATATTTTGGGTTTTCGGGCTTCCTGAAGGCAATACCCGGGAATCAGTTTCTGGGGCTTTGGAAAGGTTTAAGGTTTTTGGCGTTAGGGTTAAAATCACTGTCCAAAACCTTTGTAGGAACTCTTTTCCAAGCTTTTGAGTTAGTTAGACCAAAAAAAAATGAAAAATGAAATAAAAAATATTTGGATTGCAAAAATATATCAAGATCCAAAGATGGTGTGCGCACTTGTCTGTGGTCATTTACCATTATAATGAATGGGAGGCGCAGTTTCTACCAAAACACTTGCTGCAGACAAACTTCATGACCTATATGAAAAAAGTCTGGACCATGAGTGAGGGCACAAACACAGCTAGTATATATCCAAATGGCAAGTTGCTCCTCCTTTCGGTTTTGCAGAGAGAGCGGTGTGTTTGAGCCATTGAGCGATGGGCAGGAAAAACTTGACTTTTTCTCCTGCCTTGGGGGGGCGCTCTTTTGGTGAGAAAAAAATGACTTCACAAATGTTTTGATGGCTGAACATTGCATCATCCTAGAAAACTTGGATGAGTGGCCAAAACTTCTTTGTCTGCTGTAAAATCAAATTGGATTAATATTTTTTCCAGATTTTTTTTTGTACATCTCTTATTTTACTTCTGCCCTGTTCAAAACTAGCAAATGTTTCATTGAAGATATTTTTTTAACCCTTTAAGAGCCTTTTAAATTTTTCTGTAGTATCAGATTTAATAGACAACTCCTTTGGCGCCACTCAGTGGCCATAACTACTTTGTCTGCTGTTAATAGACAACTCCCTTTGGCGCCACTCAGTGGCCAAAACAATTTGTAATCATGTGGATTTTTGGGTTATCTTTGGCGCCCCCTAGAACGTAAACCGTGGGGTTCAGCGTCATGATTTGTACAACTTTGAATGGTCAGTTAGACCAAAAAAAAAGAAAAATGAAAAAAAAATATTTGGGGTTTTCAGGCCTCCTGGAGGTAATACCCGGGTATTAGGTTATGGGGCTATGGTAAGGTTTAAGGTTTTTGGCGTTAGGGTTAAAATCACTGTCCAAAACCTTTGTAGGAACTGTCTTTTGAGTTGTTACACAAAAAAAGAAAGAAAAATTTGGTGTTCAGATCCTTTTGGAGTTTCATTTTGTTAAAACTGTGAATACCAAAAAAAAAAGAAAAATGAAAAAAAAATATTTGGGGTTTTCGGGCTTCCTGAAGGCAATACCCGGGAATCAGTTTCTGGGGCTTTGGAAAGGTTTAAGGTTTTTGGCGTTAGGGTTAAAATCACTGTCCAAAACCTTTGTAGGAACTCTTTTCCAAGCTTTTGGAGTTAGTTACACCAAAAAAAAAAGAAAAATGAAAAAAAAAATATTTGGGGTGTTCGGGCTTCCTGAAGGTAATACCCAGGTATTAGGTTATGGGGCTAGGGTAAGGTTTTAGGTTTTTGGCGTTAGGGTTAAAATCAATGTCCAAAACCTTTGGAGGAACTCTTTTCCAAGCTTTTGGAGTTAGTTAGACCAAAAAAAAAGAAAAATGAAAAAAAAATATTTGGGGTTTTCGGGCTTCCTGATGGCAATACCCGGGAATCAGTTTCTGGGGCTTTGGAAAGGTTTAAGGTTTTTGGCGTTAGGGTTAAAATCACTGTCCAAAACCTTTGTAGGAACTCTTTTCCAAGCTTTTGGAGTTAGTTACACCAAAAAAAAAAGAAAAATGAAAAAAAAAATATTTGGGGTGTTCGGGCTTCCTGAAGGTAATACCCAGGTATTAGGTTATGGGGCTAGGGTAAGGTTTTAGGTTTTTGGCGTTAGGGTTAAAATCAATGTCCAAAACCTTTGGAGGAACTCTTTTCCAAGCTTTTGGAGTTAGTTAGACCAAAAAAAAGAAAAATGAAAAAAATATTTGGGGTTTTCGGGCTTCCTGATGGCAATACCCGGGAATCAGTTTCTGGGGCTTTGGAAAGGTTTAAGGTTTTTGGCGTTAGGGTTAAAATCACTGTCCAAAACCTTTGTAGGAACTCTTTTCCAAGCTTTTGGAGTTAGTTACACCAAAAAAAAATGAAAAATGAAAAAAAAAATATTTGGGGTGTTCGGGCTTCCTGAAGGTAATACCCAGGTATTAGGTTATGGGGCTAGGTTAAGGTTTTAGGTTTTTGGCGTTAGGGTTAAAATCACTGTCCAAAACCTTTGTAGGAACTCTTTTCCAAGCTTTTGAGTTAGTTAGACCAAAAAAAAATGAAAAATGAAATAAAAAATATTTGGATTGCAAAAATATATCAAGATCCAAAGATGGTGTGCGCACTTGTCTGTGGTCATTTACCATTATAATGAATGGGAGGCGCAGTTTCTACCAAAACACTTGCTGCAGACAAACTTCATGACCTATATGAAAAAAGTCTGGACCATGAGTGAGGGCACAAACACAGCTAGTATATATCCAAATGGCAAGTTGCTCCTCCTTTCGGTTTTGCAGAGAGAGCGGTGTGTTTGAGCCATTGAGCGATGGGCAGGAAAAACTTGACTTTTTCTCCTGCCTTGGGGGGGTGCTCTTTTGGTGAGAAAAAAATGACTTCACAAATGTTTTGATGGCTGAACATTGCATCATCCTAGAAAACTTGGATGAGTGGCCAAAACTTCTTTGTCTGCTGTAAAATCAAATTGGATTAATATTTTTTCCAGATTTTTTTTTGTACATCTCTTATTTTACTTCTGCCCTGTTCAAAACTAGCAAATGTTTCATTGAAGATATTTTTTTTAACCCTTTAAGAGCCTTTTAAATTTTTCTGTAGTATCAGATTTAATAGACAACTCCTTTGGCGCCACTCAGTGGCCATAACTACTTTGTCTGCTGTTAATAGACAACTCCCTTTGGCGCCACTAAGTGGCCAAAACAATTTGTAATCATGTGGATTTTTGGGTTATCTTTGGCGCCCCCTAGAACGTAAACCGTGGGGTTCAGCGTCATGATTTGTACAACTTTGAATGGTCAGTTAGACCAAAAAAAAAGAAAAATGAAAAAAAAATATTTGGGGTTTTCAGGCCTCCTGGAGGTAATACCCGGGTATTAGGTTATGGGGCTATGGTAAGGTTTAAGGTTTTTGGCGATAGGGTTAAACTAACTGTCCAAAACCTTTTTAGGAACATGTTTCATGCCTTTTGGAGTTGGTTACACCAAAAAAAAATGTAAAATGAAAAAAAAATATTTGGGGTGTTCGGGCTTCCTGAAGGTAATACCCGGGTATTAGGTTTTGGGGCTATGGTAAGGGTTCAGTTTTTTGGCATTAGGGTTAAAATTATTGTCCAAAACCTTTGTAGGAACTCTTTTCCAACCTTTTGGAGTTAGTTAGACCAAAAAAAAAAGAAAAATGAAAAAAAAATATTTGGGGTTTTCGGGCTTCCTGAAGGCAATACCCGGGAATCAGTTTCTGGGGCTTTGGAAAGGTTTAAGGTTTTTGGCGTTAGGGTTAAAATCACTGTCCAAAACCTTTGTAGGAACTCTTTTCCAAGCTTTTGGAGTTAGTTACACCAAAAAAAAATGAAAAATGAAAAAAAAATATTTGGGGTGTTCGGGCTTCCTGAAGGTAATACCCAGGTATTAGGTTATGGGGCTAGGGTAAGGTTTTAGGTTTTTGGCGTTAGGGTTAAAATCAATGTCCAAAACCTTTGGAGGAACTCTTTTCCAAGCTTTTGGAGTTAGTTAGACCAAAAAAAAGAAAAATGAAAAAAAAATATTTGGGGTTTTCGGGCTTCCTGATGGCAATACCCGGGAATCAGTTTCTGGGGCTTTGGAAAGGTTTAAGGTTTTTGGCGTTAGGGTTAAAATCACTGTCCAAAACCTTTGTAGGAACTCTTTTCCAAGCTTTTGGAGTTAGTTACACCAAAAAAAAATGAAAAATGAAAAAAAAAATATTTGGGGTGTTCGGGCTTCCTGAAGGTAATACCCAGGTATTAGGTTATGGGGCTAGGGTAAGGTTTTAGGTTTTTGGCGTTAGGGTTAAAATCACTGTCCAAAACCTTTGTAGGAACTCTTTTCCAAGCTTTTGAGTTAGTTAGACCAAAAAAAATGAAAAATGAAATAAAAAATATTTGGATTGCAAAAATATATCAAGATCCAAAGATGGTGTGCGCACTTGTCTGTGGTCATTTACCATTATAATGAATGGGAGGCGCAGTTTCTACCAAAACACTTGCTGCAGACAAACTTCATGACCTATATGAAAAAAGTCTGGACCATGAGTGAGGGCACAAACACAGCTAGTATATATCCAAATGGCAAGTTGCTCCTCCTTTCGGTTTTGCAGAGAGAGCGGTGTGTTTGAGCCATTGAGCGATGGGCAGGAAAAACTTGACTTTTTCTCCTGCCTTGGGGGGGCGCTCTTTTGGTGAGAAAAAAATGACTTCACAAATGTTTTGATGGCTGAACATTGCATCATCCTAGAAAACTTGGATGAGTGGCCAAAACTTCTTTGTCTGCTGTAAAATCAAATTGGATTAATATTTTTTCCAGATTTTTTTTTGTACATCTCTTATTTTACTTCTGCCCTGTTCAAAACTAGCAAATGTTTCATTGAAGATATTTTTTTTAACCCTTTAAGAGCCTTTTAAATTTTTCTGTAGTATCAGATTTAATAGACAACTCCTTTGGCGCCACTCAGTGGCCATAACTACTTTGTCTGCTGTTAATAGACAACTCCCTTTGGCGCCACTCAGTGGCCAAAACAATTTGTAATCATGTGGATTTTTGGGTTATCTTTGGCGCCCCCTAGAACGTAAACCGTGGGGTTCAGCGTCATGATTTGTACAACTTTGAATGGTCAGTTAGACCAAAAAAAAAGAAAAATGACAAAAAAATATTTGGGGTTTTCAGGCCTCCTGGAGGTAATACCCGGGTATTAGGTTATGGGGCTATGGTAAGGTTTAAGGTTTTTGGCGATAGGGTTAAACTAACTGTCCAAAACCTTTTTAGGAACATGTTTCAGACCTTTTGGAGTTGGTTACACCAAAAAAAAATGTAAAATGAAAAAAAAATATTTGGGGTGTTCGGGCTTCCTGAAGGTAATACCCGGGTATTAGGTTTTGGGGCTATGGTAAGGGTTCAGTTTTTTGGCATTAGGGTTAAAATTATTGTCCAAAACCTTTGTAGGAACTCTTTTCCAACCTTTTGGAGTTAGTTAGACCAAAAAAAAAAGAAAAATGAAAAAAAAATATTTGGGGTTTTCGGGCTTCCTGAAGGCAATACCCGGGAATCAGTTTCTGGGGCTTTGGAAAGGTTTAAGGTTTTTGGCGTTAGGGTTAAAATCACTGTCCAAAACCTTTGTAGGAACTCTTTTCCAAGCTTTTGGAGTTAGTTACACCAAAAAAAAAATGAAAAATGAAAAAAAAAATATTTGGGGTGTTCGGGCTTCCTGAAGGTAATACCCAGGTATTAGGTTATGGGGCTAGGGTAAGGTTTTAGGTTTTTGGCGTTAGGGTTAAAATCAATGTCCAAAACCTTTGGAGGAACTCTTTTCCAACCTTTTGGAGTTAGTTAGACCAAAAAAAAAAGAAAAATGAAAAAAAAATATTTGGGGTTTTCGGGCTTCCTGAAGGCAATACCCGGGAATCAGTTTCTGGGGCTTTGGAAAGGTTTAAGGTTTTTGGCGTTAGGGTTAAAATCACTGTCCAAAACCTTTGTAGGAACTCTTTTCCAAGCTTTTGGAGTTAGTTACACCAAAAAAAAATGAAAAATGAAAAAAAATATTTGGGGTTTTCGGGCTTCCTGAAGGTAATACCCAGGTATTAGGTTATGGGGCTAGGGTAAGGTTTTAGGTTTTTGGCGTTAGGGTTAAAATCAATGTCCAAAACCTTTGGAGGAACTCTTTTCCAAGCTTTTGCAGTTAGTTAGACCAAAAAAAAAAAAAATGAAAAAAAAATATTTGGGGTTTTCGGGCTTCCTGATGGCAATACCCGGGAATCAGTTTCTGGGGCTTTGGAAAGGTTTAAGGTTTTTGGCGTTAGGGTTAAAATCACTGTCCAAAACCTTTGTAGGAACTCTTTTCCAAGCTTTTGGAGTTAGTTACACCAAAAAAAAATGAAAAATGAAAAAAAAATATTTGGGGTGTTCGGGCTTCCTGAAGGTAATACCCAGGTATTAGGTTATGGGGCTAGGGTAAGGTTTTAGGTTTTTGGCGTTAGGGTTAAAATCAATGTCCAAAACCTTTGGAGGAACTCTTTTCCAAGCTTTTGGAGTTAGTTAGACCAAAAAAAAGAAAAATGAAAAAAAAAATATTTGGGGTTTTCGGGCTTCCTGATGGCAATACGCGGGAATCAGTTTCCGGGGCTTTGGAAAGGTTTAAGGTTTTTGGCGTTAGGGTTAAAATCACTGTCCAAAACCTTTGTAGGAACTCTTTTCCAAGCTTTTAGAGTTAGTTACACCAAAAAAAAATGAAAAATGAAAAAAAAAATATTTGGGGTGTTCGGGCTTCCTGAAGGTAATACCCAGGTATTAGGTTATGGGGCTAGGGTAAGGTTTTAGGTTTTTGGCGTTAGGGTTAAAATCAATGTCCAAAACCTTTGGAGGAACTCTTTTCCAAGCTTTTGGAGTTAGTTAGACCAAAAAAACCTGAAAAATAAAAAAATATATATTTGGGGTGTTCGGGCATCCTGAAGGTAATACCCGGGTATTAGGTTTTGGGGCTAAGGTAAGGTTTAAGGTTTTTGGCGTGAGGGTTAAAATCACTGTCAAAAACCTTTGTAGGAACTCTTTTCCAACCTTTTGGAGTCAGTATGACCAAAAAAAAATAAAAAAAATAAAAAAAATGTATTTGGGGTGTTCGGGCTTCCTGAAGGTAGTACCCGGGTATTAGGTTTTGGGGCTAAGGTAAGGTTTAAGGTTTTTGGCGTGAGGGTTAAAATCACTGTCAAAAACCTTTGTAGGAACTCTTTTCCAACCTTTTGGAGTCAGTATGACCAAAAAAAAATAAAAAAAATAAAAAAAATGTATTTGGGGCGTTCGGGCTTCCTGAAGGTAATACCCAGGTATTAGGTTTTGGGGCTCAGGAAAGGTTTAAGGTTTTTGGCGTTAGGGTTAAAATCACTGTCCAAAACCTTTGTAGGAACTCTTTTCCAACCTTTTGGAGTTAGGTAGACCAAAAAAAAAAGAAAAAAGAAAAAAAAATATTTGGGGTGTTCGGGCTTCCTGAAGGTAATACCCGGGTATTAGGTTTTGGGGCTAGGGTAAGGTTTGAGGTTTTTGGCATTAGGGTTAAAATCACTGTCCAAAACCTTTGTAGGAACTCTTTTCCAACCTTTTGGAGTTAGTTAGACCAAAAAAAAAGAAAAATGAAAAAAAAATATTTTGGGTTTTCGGGCTTCCTGAAGGCAATACCCGGGAATCAGTTTCTGGGGCTTTGGAAAGGTTTAAGGTTTTTGGTGTTAGGGTTAAAATCACTGTCCAAAACCTTTGTAGGAACTCTTTTCCAAGCTTTTCAGTTAGTTAGACCAAAAAAAAATGAAAAATGAAATAAAAAATATTTGGATTGCAAAAATATATCAAGATCCAAAGATGGTGTGCGCACTTGTCTGTGGTCATTTACCATTATAATGAATGGGAGGCGCAGTTTCTACCAAAACACTTGCTGCAGACAAACTTCATGACCTATATGAAAAAAGTCTGGACCATGAGTGAGGGCACAAACACAGCTAGTATATATCCAAATGGCAAGTTGCTCCTCCTTTCGGTTTTGCAGAGAGAGCGGTGTGTTTGAGCCATTGAGCGATGGGCAGGAAAAACTTGACTTTTTCTCCTGCCTTGGGGGGGGCGCTCTTTTGGTGAGAAAAAAATGACTTCACAAATGTTTTGATGGCTGAACATTGCATCATCCTAGAAAACTTGGATGAGTGGCCAAAACTTCTTTGTCTGCTGTAAAATCAAATTGGATTAATATTTTTTCCAGATTTTTTTTGTACATCTCTTATTTTACTTCTGCCCTGTTCAAAACTAGCAAATGTTTCATTGAAGATATTTTTTTAACCCTTTAAGAGCCTTTTAAATTTTTCTGTAATATCAGATTTAATAGACAACTCCTTTGGCGCCACTCAGTGGCCATAACTACTTTGTCTGCTGTTAATAGACAACTCCCTTTGGCGCCACTCAGTGGCCAAAACAATTTGTAATCATGTGGATTTTTGGGTTATCTTTGGCGCCCCCTAGAACGTAAACCGTGGGGTTCAGCGTCATGATTTGTACAACTTTGAATGGTCAGTTAGACCAAAAAAAAAGAAAAATGAAAAAAAAATATTTGGGGTTTTCAGGCCTCCTGGAGGTAATACCCGGGTATTAGGTTATGGGGCTATGGTAAGGTTTAAGGTTTTTGGCGATAGGGTTAAACTAACTGTCCAAAACCTTTTTAGGAACATGTTTCAGGCCTTTTGGAGTTGGTTACACCAAAAAAAAATGTAAAATGAAAAAAAAATATTTGGGGTGTTCGGGCTTCCTGAAGGTAATAATATTTGGGGCTATGGTAAGGGTTCAGTTTTTTGGCATTAGGGTTAAAATTATTGTCCAAAACCTTTGTAGGAACTCTTTTCCAACCTTTTGGAGTTAGTTAGACCAAAAAAAAAAGAAAAATGAAAAAAAAATATTTGGGGTTTTCGGGCTTCCTGAAGGCAATACCCGGGAATCAGTTTCTGGGGCTTTGGAAAGGTTTAAGGTTTTTGGCGTTAGGGTTAAAATCACTGTCCAAAACCTTTGTAGGAACTCTTTTCCAAGCCTTTTGGAGTTAGTTACACCAAAAAAAAAATGAAAAATGAAAAAAAAAATATTTGGGGTGTTCGGGCTTCCTGAAGGTAATACCCAGGCATTAGGTTATGGGGCTAGGGTAAGGTTTTAGGTTTTTGGCGTTAGGGTTAAAATCAATGTCCAAAACCTTTGGAGGAACTCTTTTCCAAGCTTTTGGAGTTAGTTAGACCAAAAAAAAGAAAAATGAAAAAAAAATATTTGGGGTTTTCGGGCTTCCTGATGGCAATACCCGGGAATCAGTTTCTGGGGCTTTGGAAAGGTTTAAGGTTTTTGGCGTTAGGGTTAAAATCACTGTCCAAAACCTTTGTAGGAACTCTTTTCCAAGCTTTTGGAGTTAGTTACACCAAAAAAATATGAAAAATGAAAAAAAAAATATTTGGGGTGTTCGGGCTTCCTGAAGGTAATACCCAGGTATTAGGTTATGGGGCTAGGGTAAGGTTTAAGGTTTTTGGCGTTAGGGTTAAAATCACTGTCCAAAACCTTTGTAGGAACTCTTTTCCAAGCTTTTGAGTTAGTTAGACCAAAAAAAAATGAAAAATGAAATAAAAAATATTTGGATTGCAAAAATATATCAAGATCCAAAGATGGTGTGCGCACTTGTCTGTGGTCATTTACCATTATAATGAATGGGAGGCGCAGTTTCTACCAAAACACTTGCTGCAGACAAACTTCATGACCTATATGAAAAAAGTCTGGACCATGAGTGAGGGCACAAACACAGCTAGTATATATCCAAATGGCAAGTTGCTCCTCCTTTCGGTTTTGCAGAGAGAGCGGTGTGTTTGAGCCATTGAGCGATGGGCAGGAAAAACTTGACTTTTTCTCCTGCCTTGGGGGGGCGCTCTTTTGGTGAGAAAAAAATGACTTCACAAATGTTTTGATGGCTGAACATTGCATCATCCTAGAAAACTTGGATGAGTGGCCAAAACTTCTTTGTCTGCTGTAAAATCAAATTGGATTAATATTTTTTCCAGATTTTTTTTTGTACATCTCTTATTTTACTTCTGCCCTGTTCAAAACTAGCAAATGTTTCATTGAAGATATTTTTTTTAACCCTTTAAGAGCCTTTTAAATTTTTCTGTAGTATCAGATTTAATAGACAACTCCTTTGGCGCCACTCAGTGGCCATAACTACTTTGTCTGCTGTTAATAGACAACTCCCTTTGGCGCCACTCAGTGGCCAAAACAATTTGTAATCATGTGGATTTTTGGGTTATCTTTGGCGCCCCCTAGAACGTAAACCGTGGGGTTCAGCGTCATGATTTGTACAACTTTGAATGGTCAGTTAGACCAAAAAAAAAGAAAAATTACAAAAAAATATTTGGGGTTTTCAGGCCTCCTGGAGGTAATACCCGGGTATTAGGTTATGGGGCTATGGTAAGGTTTAAGGTTTTTGGCGATAGGGTTAAACTAACTGTCCAAAACCTTTTTAGGAACATGTTTCAGACCTTTTGGAGTTGGTTACACCAAAAAAAAATGTAAAATGAAAAAAAAATATTTGGGGTGTTCAGGCTTCCTGAAGGTAATACCCGGGTATTAGGTTATGGGGCTATGGTAAGGTTTAAGGTTTTTGACGTTAGGGTGAAAATATCTGTCCAAAACCTTTGTAGGAACTCTTTTCCAACCTTATGGAGTTCGTTAGACCAAAAAAACAAGAAAAATGAAAAAAAAATATTTGGGGTGTTCGGACTTCCTGAAGGTAATACCCGGGTATTAGGTTATGGGGCTATGGTAAGGTTTAAGGTTTTTGACGTTAGGGTGAAAATAACTGTCCAAAACCTTTGTAGGAACTCTTTTCCAACCTTATGGAGTTCGTTAGACCAAAAAAAAAAGAAAAATGAAAAAAAAAATTTGGGGTGTTCGGGCTTCCTGAAGGTAATACCCAGGCATTAGGTTATGGGGCTTAGGAAATGTTTAAGGTTTTTGGCGTTAGGGTTAAAATCACTGTCCAAAAACCTTTGTAGGAACTCTTTTCCAACCTTTTGGAGTTAGGTAGACCAAAAAAAAAAGTAAAATTAAAAAAAAAATATTTGGGGTGTTCAGGCTTCCTGAAGGTAATACCCGGGAATCAGGTAATGGGGCTATGGTAAGGTTTAAGGTTTTTGGCGTTGGGGTTAAAATCACTGTCCAAAACCTTTGTAGGAACTCTTTTCCAACCTTTTGGAGTCAGTTCGACCGAAAAAAAAGAAAAATTAAAAAAATTATTTGGGGTTTTCAGGCTTCCTTGAGGTAATACCCTAATATTAGGTTAAGGGGCTATGGTAAGGTTTAAGGTTTTTGGCGATAGAGTTAAACTAACTGTCCAAAACCTTTTTAGGAACATGTTTCAGACCTTTTGGAGTTGGTTACACCAAAAAAAATTGTAAAATGAAAAAAAAATATTTGGGGTGTTCGGGCTTCCTGAAGGTAATACCCGGGTATTAGGTTTTGGGGCTATGGTAAGGGTTCAGTTTTTTGGCATTAGGGTTAAAATTATTGTCCAAAACCTTTGTAGGAACTCTTTTCCAACCTTTTGGAGTTAGACCAAAAAAAAAAGAAAAATGAAAAAAAAATATTTGGGGTTTTCGGGCTTCCTGAAGGCAATACCCGGGAATCAGTTTCTGGGGCTTTGGGAAGGTTTAAGGTTTTTGGCGTTAGGGTTAAAATCACTGTCCAAAACCTTTGTAGGAACTCTTTTCCAAGCTTTTGGAGTTAGTTACACCAAAAAAAAATGAAAAATGAAAAAAAAAATATTTGGGGTTTTCGGGCTTCCTGATGGCAATACCCGAGAATCAGTTTCTGGGGCTTTGGAAAGGTTTTAGGTTTTTGGCGTTAGGGTTAAAATCACTGTCCAAAACCTTTGTAGGAACTCTTTTCCAAGCTTTTGGAGTTAGTTACACCAAAAAAAAATGAAAAATGAAAAAAAAAATATTTGGGGTGTTCGGGCTTCCTGAAGGTAATACCCAGGTATTAGGTTATGGGGCTAGGGTAAGGTTTTAGGTTTTTGGCGTTAGGGTTAAAATCAATGTCCAAAACCTTTGGAGGAACTCTTTTCCAACCTTTTGGAGTTAGTTAGACCAAAAAAAAGAAAAATGAAAAAAAAATATTTGGGGTTTTCGGGCTTCCTGATGGCAATACCCGGGAATCAGTTTCTGGGGCTTCGGAAAGGTTTAAGGTTTTTGGCGTTAGGGTTAAAATCACTGTCCAAAACCTTTGTAGGAACTCTTTTCCAAGCTTTTGGAGTTAGTTACACCAAAAAAAAATGAAAAATGAAAAAAAAAATATTTGGGGTGTTCGGGCTTCCTGAAGGTAATACCCAGGTATTAGGTTATGGGGCTAGGGTAAGGTTTTAGGTTTTTGGCGTTAGGGTTAAAATCACTGTCCAAAACCTTTGTAGGAACTCTTTTCCAAGCTTTTGGAGTTAGTTACACCAAAAAAAAATGAAAAATGAAAAAAAAATATTTGGATTGCAAAAATATATCAAGATCCAAAGATGGTGTGCGCACTTGTCTGTGGTCATTTACCATTATAATGAATGGGAGGCGCAGTTTCTACCAAAACACTTGCTGCAGACAAACTTCATGACCTATATGAAAAAAGTCTGGACCATGAGTGAGGGCACAAACACAGCTAGTATATATCCAAATGGCAAGTTGCTCCTCCTTTCGGTTTTGCAGAGAGAGCGGTGTGTTTGAGCCATTGAGCGATGGGCAGGAAAAACTTGACTTTTTCTCCTGCCTTGGGGGGGCGCTCTTTTGGTGAGAAAAAAATGACTTCACAAATGTTTTGATGGCTGAACATTGCATCATCCTAGAAAACTTGGATGAGTGGCCAAAACTTCTTTGTCTGCTGTAAAATCAAATTGGATTAATATTTTTTCCAGATTTTTTTTTGTACATCTCTTATTTTACTTCTGCCCTGTTCAAAACTAGCAAATGTTTCATTGGAGATATTTTTTTTAACCCTTTAAGAGCCTTTTAAATTTTTCTGTAGTATCAGATTTAATAGACAACTCCTTTGGCGCCACTCAGTGGCCATAACTACTTTGTCTGCTGTTAATAGACAACTCCCTTTGGCGCCACTAAGTGGCCAAAACAATTTGTAATCATGTGGATTTTTGGGTTATCTTTGGCGCCCCCTAGAACGTAAACCCTGGGGTTCAGCGTCATGATTGGTACAACTTTGAATGGTCAGTTAGACCAAAAAAAAAGAAAAATGAAAAAAAAATATTTGGGGTTTTCAGGCCTCCTGGAGGTAATACCCGGGTATTAGGTTATGGGGCTTAGGAAAGGTTTAAGGTTTTTGGTGATAGGGTTAAAATAACTGTCCAAAACCTTTTTAGGAACATGTTTCAGACCTTTTGGAGTTGGTTACACCAAAAAAAAATGTAAAATGAAAAAAAAATATTTGGGGTGTTCAGGCTTCCTGAAGGTAATACCCGGGTATTAGGTTATGGGGCTATGGTAAGGTTTAAGGTTTTTGACGTTAGGGTGAAAATATCTGTCCAAAACCTTTGTAGGAACTCTTTTCCAACCTTATGGAGTTCGTTAGACCAAAAAAACAAGAAAAATGAAAAAAAAATATTTGGGGTGTTCGGGCTTCCTGAAGGTAATACCCAGGCATTAGGTTATGGGGCTTAGGAAATGTTTAAGGTTTTTGGCGTTAGGGTTAAAATCACTGTCCAAAAACCTTTGTAGGAACTCTTTTCCAACCTTTTGGAGTTAGGTAGACCAAAAAAAAAAGTAAAATTAAAAAAAAATATTTGGGGTGTTCAGGCTTACTGAAGGTAATACCCGGGTATCAGGTAATGGGGCTATGGTAAAGTTTAAGGTTTTTGGCGTTAGGGTGAAAATCACTGTCCAAAACCTTTGTAGGAACTCTTTTCCAACCTTTTGGAGTCAGTTCGACCAAAAAAAAAGAAAAATGAAAAAAAAAAAATATTTGGGGTTTTCAGGCTTCCTGGAGGTAATACCCTAATATTAGGTTAAGGGGCTATGGTAAGGTTTAAGGTTTTTGGCGATAGGGTTAAACTAACTGTCCAAAACCTTTTTAGGAACATGTTTCAGACCTTTTGGAGTTGGTTACACACAAAAAAAATGTAAAATGAAAAAAAAATATTTGGGGTGTTCGGGCTTCCTGAAGGTAATACCCGGGTATTAGGTTTTGGGGCTATGGTAAGGGTTCAGTTTTTTGGCATTAGGGTTAAAATTATTGTCCAAAACCTTTGTAGGAACTCTTTTCCAACCTTTTGGAGTTAGTTAGACCAAAAAAAAAAGAAAAATGAAAAAAAAATATTTGGGGTTTTCGGGCTTCCTGATGGCAATACCCGGGAATCAGTTTCTGGGGCTTTGGAAAGGTTTAAGGTTTTTGGCGTTAGGGTTAAAATCACTGTCCAAAACCTTTGTGGGAACTCTTTTCCAAGCTTTGGAGTTAGTTACACCAAAAAAAAAATGAAAAATGAAAAAAAAAATATTTGGGGTGTTCGGGCTTCCTGAAGGTAATACCCAGGTATTAGGTTATGGGGCTAGGGTAAGGTTTTAGGTTTTTGGCGTTAGGGTTAAAATCAATGTCCAAAACCTTTGGAGGAACTCTTTTCCAAGCTTTTGGAGTTAGTTAGACCAAAAAAACCTGAAAAATAAAAAAATATATATTTGGGGTGTTCGGGCATCCTGAAGGTAATACCCGGGTATTAGGTTTTGGGGCTATGGTAAGGGTTCAGTTTTTTGGCATTAGGGTTAAAATTTTTGTCCAAAACCTTTGTAGGAACTCTTTTCCAACCTTTTGGAGTTAGTTAGACCAAAAGAAAAAGAAAAATGAAAAAAAAATATTTGGGGTTTTCGGGCTTCCTGAAGGCAATACCCGGGAATCAGTTTCTGGGGCTTTGGAAAGGTTTAAGGTTTTTGGCGTTAGGGTTAAAATCACTGTCCAAAACCTTTGTAGGAACTCTTTTCCAACCTTTTTGAGTCAGTTAGACCAAAAAAAAAGAAAAAAGAAAAAAATATATTTGCGGTTTTCAGGCTTCCTGGAGGTAATACCCGGGTATTAGGTTATGGGGCTTAGGAAAGGTTTAAGGTTTTTGGTGATAGGGTTAAAATAACTGTCCAAAACCTTTTTAGGAACATGTTTCAGACCTTTTGGAGTTGGTTACACCAAAAAAAAATGTAAAATGAAAAAAAAATATTTGGGGTGTTCAGGCTTCCTGAAGGTAATACCCGGGTATTAGGTTATGGGGCTATGGTAAGGTTTAAGGTTTTTGACGTTAGGGTGAAAATATCTGTCCAAAACCTTTGTAGGAACTCTTTTCCAACCTTATGGAGTTCGTTAGACCAAAAAAACAAGAAAAATGAAAAAAAAATATTTGGGGTGTTCGGACTTCCTGAAGGTAATACCCGGGTATTAGGTTATGGGGCTATGGTAAGGTTTAAGGTTTTTGACGTTAGGGTGAAAATAACTGTCCAAAACCTTTGTAGGAACTCTTTTCCAACCTTATGGAGTTCGTTAGACCAAAAAAAAAAGAAAAATGAAAAAAAAAATTTGGGGTGTTCGGGCTTCCTGAAGGTAATACCCAGGCATTAGGTTATGGGGCTTAGGAAATGTTTAAGGTTTTTGGCGTTAGGGTTAAAATCACTGTCCAAAAACCTTTGTAGGAACTCTTTTCCAACCTTTTGGAGTTAGGTAGACCAAAAAAAAAAGTAAAATTAAAAAAAAATATTTGGGGTGTTCAGGCTTCCTGAAGGTAATACCCGGGAATCAGGTAATGGGGCTATGGTAAGGTTTAAGGTTTTTGGCGTTAGGGTTAAAATCACTGTCCAAAACCTTTGTAGGAACTCTTTTCCAACCTTTTGGAGTCAGTTCGACCGAAAAAAAAGAAAAATGAAAAAAAAATATTTGGGGTTTTCAGGCTTCCTTGAGGTAATACCCTAATATTAGGTTAAGGGGCTATGGTAAGGTTTAAGGTTTTTGGCGATAGAGTTAAACTAACTGTCCAAAACCTTTTTAGGAACATGTTTCAGACCTTTTGGAGTTGGTTACACCAAAAAAAATTGTAAAATGAAAAAAAAATATTTGGGGTGTTCGGGCTTCCTGAAGGTAATACCCGGGTATTAGGTTTTGGGGCTATGGTAAGGGTTCAGTTTTTTGGCATTAGGGTTAAAATTATTGTCCAAAACCTTTGTAGGAACTCTTTTCCAACCTTTTGGAGTTAGTTAGACCAAAAAAAAAAGAAAAATGAAAAAAAAATATTTGGGGTTTTCGGGCTTCCTGAAGGCAATACCCGGGAATCAGTTTCTGGGGCTTTGGGAAGGTTTAAGGTTTTTGGCGTTAGGGTTAAAATCACTGTCCAAAACCTTTGTAGGAACTCTTTTCCAAGCTTTTGGAGTTAGTTACACCAAAAAAAAATGAAAAATGAAAAAAAAAATATTTGGGGTTTTCGGGCTTCCTGATGGCAATACCCGAGAATCAGTTTCTGGGGCTTTGGAAAGGTTTTAGGTTTTTGGCGTTAGGGTTAAAATCACTGTCCAAAACCTTTGTAGGAACTCTTTTCCAAGCTTTTGGAGTTAGTTACACCAAAAAAAAATGAAAAATGAAAAAAAAAATATTTGGGGTGTTCGGGCTTCCTGAAGGTAATACCCAGGTATTAGGTTATGGGGCTAGGGTAAGGTTTTAGGTTTTTGGCGTTAGGGTTAAAATCAATGTCCAAAACCTTTGGAGGAACTCTTTTCCAAGCTTTTGGAGTTAGTTAGACCAAAAAAAAGAAAAATGAAAAAAAAATATTTGGGGTTTTCGGGCTTCCTGATGGCAATACCCGGGAATCAGTTTCCGGGGCTTAGGAAAGGTTTAAGGTTTTTGGCGTTAGGGTTAAAATCACTGTCCAAAACCTTTGTAGGAACTCTTTTCCAAGCTTTTGGAGTTAGTTACACCAAAAAAAAATGAAAAATGAAAAAAAAAATATTTGGGGTGTTCGGGCTTCCTGAAGGTAATACCCAGGTATTAGGTTATGGGGCTAGGGTAAGGTTTTAGGTTTTTGGCGTTAGGGTTAAAATCAATGTCCAAAACCTTTGGAGGAACTCTTTTCCAAGCTTTTGGAGTTAGTTAGACCAAAAAAAAGAAAAATGAAAAAAAAATATTTGGGGTTTTCGGGCTTCCTGATGGCAATACCCGGGAATCAGTTTCTGGGGCTTTGGAAAGGTTTAAGGTTTTTGGCGTTAGGGTTAAAATCACTGTCCAAAACCTTTGTAGGAACTCTTTTCCAAGCTTTTGGAGTTAGTTACACCAAAAAAAAATGAAAAATGAAAAAAAAAATATTTGGGGTGTTCGGGCTTCCTGAAGGTAATACCCAGGTATTAGGTTATGGGGCTAGGGTAAGGTTTTAGGTTTTTGGCGTTAGGGTTAAAATCACTGTCCAAAACCTTTGTAGGAACTCTTTTCCAACCTTTTGAGTTAGTTAGACCAAAAAAAAATGAAAAATGAAATAAAAAATATTTGGATTGCAAAAATATATCAAGATCCAAAGATGGTGTGCGCACTTGTCTGTGGTCATTTACCATTATAATGAATGGGAGGCGCAGTTTCTACCAAAACACTTGCTGCAGACAAACTTCATTACCTATATGAAAAAAGTCTGGACCATGAGTGAGGGCACAAACACAGCTAGTATATATCCAAATGGCAAGTTGCTCCTCCTTTCGGTTTTGCAGAGAGAGCGGTGTGTTTGAGCCATTGAGCGATGGGCAGGAAAAACTTGACTTTTTCTCCTGCCTTGGGGGGGCGCTCTTTTGGTGAGAAAAAAATGACTTCACAAATGTTTTGATGGCTGAACATTGCATCATCCTAGAAAACTTGGATGAGTGGCCAAAACTTCTTTGTCTGCTGTAAAATCAAATTGGATTAATATTTTTTCCAGATTTTTTTTTGTACATCTCTTATTTTACTTCTGCCCTGTTCAAAACTAGCAAATGTTTCATTGAAGATATTTTTTTTAACCCTTTAAGAGCCTTTTAAATTTTTCTGTAGTATCAGATTTAATAGACAACTCCTTTGGCGCCACTCAGTGGCCATAACTACTTTGTCTGCTGTTAATAGACAACTCCCTTTGGCGCCACTAAGTGGCCAAAACAATTTGTAATCATGTGGATTTTTGGGTTATCTTTGCAGCCCCCTAGAACGTAAACCGTGGGGTTCAGCGTCATGATTTGTACAACTTTGAATGGTCAGTTAGACCAAAAAAAAAGAAAAATGAAAAAATAATATTTGGGGTTTTCAGGCCTCCTGGAGGTAATACCCGGGTATTAGGTTATGGGGCTTAGGAAAGGTTTAAGGTTTTTGGTGATAGGGTTAAAATAACTGTCCAAAACCTTTTTAGGAACATGTTTCAGACCTTTTGGAGTTGGTTACACCAAAAAAAAATGTAAAATGAAAAAAAAATATTTGGGGTGTTCAGGCTTCCTGAAGGTAATACCCGGGTATTAGGTTATGGGGCTATGGTAAGGTTTAAGGTTTTTGACGTTAGGGTGAAAATATCTGTCCAAAACCTTTGTAGGAACTCTTTTCCAACCTTATGGAGTTCGTTAGACCAAAAAAACAAGAAAAATGAAAAAAAAATATTTGGGGTGTTCGGACTTCCTGAAGGTAATACCCGGGTATTAGGTTATGGGGCTATGGTAAGGTTTAAGGTTTTTGACGTTAGGGTGAAAATAACTGTCCAAAACCTTTGTAGGAACTCTTTTCCAACCTTATGGAGTTCGTTAGACCAAAAAAAAAAGAAAAATGAAAAAAAAAAATTTGGGGTGTTCGGGCTTCCTGAAGGTAATACCCAGGCATTAGGTTATGGGGCTTAGGAAATGTTTAAGGTTTTTGGCGTTAGGGTTAAAATCACTGTCCAAAAACCTTTGTAGGAACTCTTTTCCAACCTTTTGGAGTTAGGTAGACCAAAAAAAAAAGTAAAATTAAAAAAAAATATTTGGGGTGTTCAGGCTTCCTGAAGGTAATACCCGGGTATCAGGTAATGGGGCTATGGTAAGGTTTAAGGTTTTTGGCGTTAGGGTGAAAATCACTGTCCAAAACCTTTGTAGGAACTCTTTTCCAACCTTTTGGAGTCAGTTCGACCAAAAAAAAAGAAAAATGAAAAAAAAAAAATATTTGGGGTTTTCAGGCTTCCTGGAGGTAATACCCTAATATTAGGTTAAGGGGCTATGGTAAAGTTTAAGGTTTTTGGCGATAGGGTTAAACTAACTGTCCAAAACCTTTTTAGGAACATGTTTCAGACCTTTTGGAGTTGGTTACACACAAAAAAAATGTAAAATGAAAAAAAAAAATTTGGCGTGTTCGGGCTTCCTGAAGGTATTAGGTTATGGGGCTATGGTAAGGGTTCAGTTTTTTGGCGTTAGGGTTAAAATTATTGTCCAAAACCTTTGTAGGAACTCTTTTCCAACCTTTTGGAGTTAGGTAGACCAAAAAAAAAAGAAAAAAGAAAAAAAAAATATTTGGGGTTTTCGGGCTTCCTGAAGGTAATACCCGGGTATTAGGTTTTGGGGCTAGGGTAAGGTTTGAGGTTTTTGGCGTTAGGGTTAAAATCACTGTCCAAAACCTTTTTAGGAACATGTTTCAGGCATTTTGCAGTTGGTTAAACCAAAAAAAAAAAGTAAAATGAAAAAAAAATATTTGGGGTGTTCGGGCTTCCTGAAGGTAATAACCGGGTATTAGGTTATGGGGCTATGGTAAGGTTTAAGGTTTTTGACGTTAGGGTGAAAATAACTGTCCAAAACCTTTGTAGGAACTCTTTTCCAACCTTTTTGTTACGACCAGCTCGTTTAAGGGAGAAGGGAAGCAACATAAAACCGACCAGATGTTAAATGATCAAATCAAGTTATTTATTAACAAAAGTAAAATTGGCAGTAACAACAAAAAGAGAGGCAACAAAGGCCTTAAAGGAAACTTAACAGGTTGCCAAAAACACAGGGAGACTCTAACCTAGAGTTAGTTACCAGTAAAATAAACAGATCTGCTCACAATCGGCAAGAAACAAACTAAAACACAACTCTCAGCCCTAATGCTGGATACAAAAGAAAGCAGGTAGGCGTGTGCAAACCAAAATGCCTCACAAGCTATGAAAAAGTCCTTATTCACAATTACTAAGACAATCAGTCTGAGGAAGAGGCATGGGAGCTCCACTGGTTACAGCGTGCTCCCTGATCTGCAGGTCCGCTGGAGTTTTATCCACTCCCCCCAAGTGGCTCCTCTCAATTGGCAGAAGCCCTCAGCCAGTCAGTGTTTGCAGTTTCCAGGTGGAGGTGATCAGGCACTTAATTGATCCGCAGCCACGGCAACCTGTGAACTGCAGGCAGCATGCACACACAGGCACTCTCACACCCGCACACACACACACACACAGAGAGAGAGAGAGAGAGAGAGGAAGACCCAAGACTCGCCACTCTAAGGCGGCGGCCGTAACACCCCTCCCCTTAAGAGGCAAACCCTCCTAAGGAGGTTTGTCATGAGCAAAAAAAAAAAACCACACAGTCAACATTACATTCTGGACAACGCATCTCCTACCACATTGTCGGACCCCTTTTTGTGCTGGATCTCCACATTGTAATCCTGCATGACCAGTGCCCACCGCATAAGCCTTTGGTTGTGGTTATACATACGATGCAGAAAGACGAGTGGGTTGTGGTCAGTGAAGACCACCACTGGCAGAGGACTGGAACCTACGTATACTTCAAAGTGTTGAAGTGACCATAACAAAGCAAGGGTTTCTTTTTCTATGATTGAGTAGTTCACCTGATGCTTGTTAAATTTGCGGGAAAAATATCCTACTGGGTGGTCAACTTCATCACTATCCTCCTGCAACAGGACAGCCCCGACACCTACTGCAGAGGCATCTACCTCAAGTTTGAACGGCTGGGAGAAGTCAGGAGCTGCAAGGACAGGGGCGTGGCTAAGGAGGGACTTTGCGCTGTCAAACGCATGCTGACAGGCAGGGGACCAATCAAAGTCGACTTTGGGACTAGTTAGAGAAGTCAACGGCTGAACAACGGAGGAGAAGTTGCGGCAGAAGCTACGGTAGTAGCCCGCCATGCCCAGAAAACGACGGAGCGCCTTGCGGGTGGTTGGGACCGGAAACTCTGCTATGGCAGTTACCTTGGCGTCGAGAGGCTTAACTTGACCCTGCCCAACCTGTCGTCCTAAATAGGTGACGGTGGCCTTACCGAAATCACACTTGGCGAGATTTAGCGTTAGGGTCGCGTGCGCAAGACGAGTGAACACCTGTTCGAGGATGCGGAGGTGCTCCTGCCACGTCACTGTGTAAACAATTAAGTCATCCAAGTACGCGTTACAGTTTGGCAGCCCGGCCAAGACGGTATTAACGAGCCGCTGGAAGGTGGCCGGGGCGTTACACATGCCAAACGCCATGACGGTGTACTGCAAGAAACAGTCAGGAGTCACAAACGCGGAGATCTCAGATGCGCGCTCCGTTAACGGGACTTGCCAGTATCCTTTCAATAGGTCCAGCTTGCTGACGTACTTAGCGCTGCCAAGCGTGTCGACACAATCTTCCATTCTAGGAAGAGGAACGAGTCTTTGACAGTTACTGAATTTACCTTTCACAGATCTGTGATAAAACGAGGGGTACCGTCTGATTTTTTCTCAAACAAACATGGAGAGCTCCAAGCGCTGGAGCTTGGCACAGCTAAACCGTGTTTTAACAAATAATCTGTTTCTTTTTTCATGAGCTGGCGCTTCACGGGGTTGAGTCTGTACGGATGCTGTCGGATGGGCTTTGCTCCGTTGACATCTATGTCATGTTGCAGAACAGTAGTGCGAGTTGGAACGTCGCCGAAAAGACACTTAAAATTATTGATCAAAGCAATTAGGTCACTTTGTTGCGCGCGGGTCAAATGACTTAGCTGGGACGATAATGTTTTCAGTGACTCCGAATTCGGCAGTCGCGCTGTTTGATGCGATGAGGTACACGTCTGTAAATCATCCTCATCAGCAATGGTAGGAGACTCAGTGACAATCAGCGCATTGACAGCGATAGTATTAGCTTTTGGGGGAACCACTGGTGGAGTGACAGCTGGGTTCGGTTCACGTGTGAAGTAAGGTTTGAGCATGTTTATGTGACAAACACGACTTTTACGCCTTCTCTCCGGGGTAGCAATAACATAGTTGAGGTCACTGAGGCATTCACGGACCTCATAGGGACCGGTAAATTTAGCAGAGAGAGAAGAACCAGGGATCGGCAGAAAGGCCAGCACTTTGTCACCAACATCAAATCGGCGGGGGACGGCAGATCGGTCATAACGACGTTTCATCACAGCCTGGGAGGACAAAAGACACTCTTTAGCGAGCGAGTTTGCACGGTGTAAACGCTCGCGGAATTTACTCACAAAATCAAGTACGTTCTCTTCACGTGAGACTTCAGAGGACAGGAATTTTTCTTGCAGAGATTTAAGCGGACCGCGGAGTGTGTGGCCAAATACGAGCTCTGCGGGGCTCAAACCTAAGGATTCCTGGACAGCGTCACGAGCGGCGAACAACACGAAAGGAACCCCTTCATCCCAACTTTTACCTGTCTCGAGGGAGTATTTACGCAGCATGGATTTTAATGTCTGATGCCAACGTTCTAACGCTCCCTGGGATTCAGGATGATACGCGCTGGACACGGAGTGTTGGACACTGAGCGTTTTAAGGACTTGTCTGAACAACCGAGACTGGAAGTTTGTACCTTGATCGGTCTGGATAACACGAGGGAGGCCAAACGTGGAGAAAAACTTTGTCAGGGCTTTGACAACAGAGCTGGACGTAATTTTACGCAGCGGGACGGCTTCCGGATAGCGGGTGGCAGCACACATAATGGTGAGTAGGTACTGATTACCTGTTTTAGAGCGGGGCAATGGGCCTACACAGTCTAAGATTACACGCTCAAAGGGCTCACCTATGGTAGGAAAAGGATGGAGTGGAGCAGGTGGGATGGTTTGGTTTGGTTTACCCGCTAGTTGACACACATGACAAGAGCGACAGAATTTGGCTACATCAGATTTTAACCCAGGCCAGAAGAAATGCTTGAGGATGAGGTTGTAGGTCTTATTCACCCCCAAATGACCTGACCATTTGCTCTCGTGGGCAACTGACAATACATGCTGCCGGTATACAAAAGGCACTACAACTTGTAAAGCACTATATTCGCAATCAGACACTGCAGGAGTCCATTTACGCACCAGGATGTCTTTATTCATTAGGTAAGATACTGTTTCACCACTTGCTTTGTCGGCACTCACCACACTTTTGAAGCAACGTGCCAGAGTCGGGTCAGCCCTCTGCGCAGCGGCGAGACGTTCACTGCCCACCGGCAGCGTCGGACTGTCCGACGGCGCCGAACTCAGATTCGCAGAACGCACGGGCTCGGCACTTTCTGACCGCAGAGATGTGGGAGCTTTCTCCTTCACAACTTCCACATCTGAAAAAGCAGACATTAGCACAGTATCCGACAGTGAGAATTCATCCAGTTTACGAGATTGCGCACGAGTTACAGCACAAGATGGAAACGGTTTCTGAGCAGTTTCTGTTTCATTTTCTATATCAGGGCTCTGCGGAGAGTCAGACACCTCTAGTGCAGGGGTTACCTGGCCACCAGCGATGTCGTTGCACATAAGTAGAACTACTCCTTTTATAGGCAGAGCGGGACAAACAGCCACAGGAAAAACACCACTTATCAACCGGGACTTAATGTGGACTGTATGCACCGGTTGTGGGACATAACCCATCTCAATACCTTGCAAGGCAACAGTATAACCACAAAAAGACTTTTCAGAAAATGGCAATGCACTAGCCAGTATAACGGATTGAGAGCCACCGGTGTCCCTCAAAATGCGTACTGGGCACTGATCAGCAGTCTTACCTGTCAGAGATACATACCCGTCGAATATGAACGGCTCAAAACATGGATCTGGGCAAACAGAAGAAACAGCATTAGATACTACACGTTTCTCAGATTTAATGAGCCCAACGCCTTTAGGGGGCGATCCGTTGCCATTCTGTTTTTTCCTGTTTAAGGAGGGACAGTTTGCAATGAGGTGTCCAGATTTATGACAATAGTTACAGCTTCTTTCATCCCTTCTGTGGAACACTCTGGCTTGTCCTCTCTGTGGTGCCGGAGCACGAGGCTTTTCATAAGTAGACAAAAACACAGGTTTGTGGGTTAGCACAAATTCATCAGCCAGTACAGAGGCTGCAGAGAGAGATGAAACTTTCTGTTCATTTAGGTACACAACAATGCGCTCTGGTAGACATTTCTTAAATTCTTCCAGAAGAATTAGTTCACGGAGTGAACTGAAATCAGCAGTTTTACTAGCGTTACACCATTTATCAAAAAGAGTTCCCTTTTCCCTTGCGAACTCCACATACGTCTGTTCAGGGCCCCTTGTGTGGTTCCGAAATTTTTGCCTGTAAGCTTCAGGGACTAATTCATAGGCACGTAAAATAGACATCTTTACCTTTTCATAGTTCAGGCTCTCCGCTAAAGGTAGAGCAGCTACAGCTTCTTGTGCTTTACCATGGATCTTACATTGGAGAAGTAGTGGCCACTCTTCATAAGGCCACTGAAGTGCAGTCGCAATGCGCTCAAATGCCGGAAAATAACTGTCAACTTCAGAGTCTCTGAATGGTGGAACAAGAGAAATATGCTTACCAATGTCAAAGGACTCTCGGGTAGAGCTGGTGGAAGGAGGTGACATTATTGCATCTGCAGATGCATCCAGTGCCGGGGTTGCTTTCACCTGAGCTTCTAGCTCCAGCTGACGTAGTCGGACTGCTTTATCAGCCTCGATCTCCATTTTACGGATCTCAAGCCTCAGCTTTGCTTGCCGGTTCTCGGCTCTCTCCTGAGCCTCCATCTGGATTCGTGCCAGCCTGACTTTCAGTCTGGCCTCACCCAGAGAATCAGTGCTGCCTGAGAAAGGAGGAACATAGCGAGGCAAGGTAAAGGGAGTTTTGGGCTGAGCAGACACTTTACTGAACTCCCTTTGTGCAGTGTAATCAGCCGCAGTCTCAGAGCCAGGTGCGCACACAGGTGACTCAGGGAGCACCGGCAAAACAATTACACCTAATTCCACCAACTTACCTATGACTAGAGATTTTAATTCTTTTTTCAGGATTGATTTGGCAAACAGGACATTGAAGTGCACAGCTATCTCGACCAAATTATCCTTTCTGCACTTATTAATTTGGTCAAGTGTCGGATTTAACAAGAAGCTGTCAAGATTGAAAGATGCCATTTTACCTACCTAAGCACACACACAATAATCTTACCTTTATTAACAATAACTTTTCGGATTTCCGGGTCTCCTTTAACGGATTAGGATCCCGGACGAGCCCCCATTTATGTTACGACCAGCTCGTTTAAGGGAGAAGGGAAGCAACATAAAACCGACCAGATGTTAAATGATCAAATCAAGTTATTTATTAACAAAAGTAAAATTGGCAGTAACAACAAAAAGAGAGGCAACAAAGGCCTTAAAGGAAACTTAACAGGTTGCCAAAAACACAGGGAGACTCTAACCTAGAGTTAGTTACCAGTAAAATAAACAGATCTGCTCACAATCGGCAAGAAACAAACTAAAACACAACTCTCAGCCCTAATGCTGGATACAAAAGAAAGCAGGTAGGCATGTGCAAACCAAAATGCCTCACAAGCTATGAAAAAGTCCTTATTCACAATTACTAAGACAATCAGTCTGAGGAAGAGGCATGGGAGCTCCACTGGTTACAGCGTGCTCCCTGATCTGCAGGTCCGTTGGAGTTTTATCCACTCCCCCCAAGTGGCTCCTCTCAATTGGCAGAAGCCCTCAGCCAGTCAGTGTTTGCAGTTTCCAGGTGGAGGTGATCAGGCACTTAATTGATCCGCAGCCACGGCAACCTGTGAACTGCAGGCAGCATGCACACACAGGCACTCTCACACCCGCACACACACACACAGAGAGAGAGAGAGAGAGGAAGACCCAAGACTCGCCACTCTAAGGCGGCGGCCGTAGCACTTTTGGAGTTAGGTAGACCAAAGAAAAAAGAAAAAAGAAAAAAAAAGATATTTGGGGTGTTCGGGCTTCCTGAAGGTAATACCCGGGTATTAGGTTTTGGTGCTAGGGTAAGGTTTGAGGTTTTTGGCATTAGGGTTAAAATCACTGTCCAAAACCTTTTTAGGAACACCTTTCAGACCTTTTGGAGTTTGTACACCAAAAAAAAAATGTAAAATGAAAAAAAAATATTTGGGGTGTTCGGGCTTCCTGAAGGTAATACCCGGGTATCAGGTTTTTGGGCTAGGGTAAGGTTTGAGGTTTTTGGCGTTAGGGTTAAAATCAATGTCCAAAACCTTTGGAGGAACTCTTTTCCAAGCTTTTGGAGTTAGTTAGACCAAAAAAACATGAAAAATAAAAAAATATATATTTGGGGTGTTCGGGCATCCTGAAGGTAATACCCGGGTATTAGGTTTTGGGGCTAAGGTAAGGTTTAAGGTTTTTGGTGTGAGGGTTAAAATCACTGTCCAAAGCCTTTGTAGGAACTCTTTTCCAACCTTTTGGAGTCAGTTACACCAAGAAAAAAATTTAAAATGAAAAAAAAATATTTGGGGTGTTCGGGCTTCCTGAAGGTAATACCCTGGTATTAGGTTATGGGGCTATGGTAAGGGTTAAGGTTTTTGGATTAGGGTTAAAATCACTGTCCAAAACCTTTTTAGGAACATGTTTCAGACCTTTTGGAGTTGGTTAAACCAAAAAAAAATGTAAAATGAAAAAAATATATTTGGGGTGTTCGGGCTTCCTGAAGGACCTATTAGGTTATGGGACTATGGTAAGGTTTAAGGTTTTTGGCGTTAGGGTTAAAACCACTGTCCAAAACCTTTGTAGGAACTCTTTTCATACCTTTTGGAGTTAGTTAGACCAAAAAAAATGAAAAATGAAATAAAAATATTTGGGGTGTTCGGGCTTCCTGAAGGTCATCCCCGGGTATTAGGTTTTGGGGTTAGGGTAAGGTTTAAAATTTTTGGCGTAAGGGTTAAAATCCCTGTCCAAAACCTTTGTAGGAACTCTTTTCCAACCTTTTGGAGTTAGACCAAAAAGGAATGAAAAATGAAAAGAAAATATTTTGGGTTTTCGGGCTTCCTGAAGGCAATACCCAGGTATTAGGTTATGGGGCTTTGGAAAGTTTTAGGGTTTTTGGCATTAGGGTTAAAATCACTATACGAAACCTTTGTAGGAACTCTTTTCCAACAGTTCGGAGTTAGTTAGACCAAAAAAAAAATGAAAAATGAAATAAAAAATATTTGGGGTGTTCAGGCTTCCTGAAGGTAATACCCGGGTATTAGGTTATGGGGCTTAGGAAAAGGTTTAAGGTTTTTGGCGTTAGGGTTAAAATCACTGTCCAAAACCTTTGTAGGAACTCTTTTCCAACCTTTTGGAGTCAATTAGACCAAAAAAAAAAGAAAATTGAAAAAAAAATATATTTGGGGTTTTCAGGCTTCCTGGAGGTAATACCCGGGTATTAGGTTATGGGGCTATGGTAAGGTTTAAGGTTTTTGGCGATAGGGTTAAACTAACTTTCCAAAACCTTTTTAGGAACATGTTTCAGACCTTTTGGAGTTGGTTACACCAAAAAAAAATGTAGAATGAAAAAAAAATATTTGGGGTGTTCGGGCTTCCTGAAGGTAATACCCGGGTATTAGGTTATGGGGCTATGGTAAGGGTTCAGTTTTTTGGCATTAGGGTTAAAATTATTGTCCAAAACCTTTGTAGGAACTCTTTTCCAACCTTTTGGAGTTAGTTAGAACAAAAGAAAAAAGAAAAATGAAAAAAAAATATTTGGGGTTTTCGGGCTTCCTGAAGGCAATACCCGGGAATCAGTTTCTGGGGCTTTGGAAAGGTTTAAGGTTTTTGGCGTTAGGGTTAAAATCACTGTCCAAAACCTTTGTAGGAACTCTTTTCCAAGCTTTTGGAGTTAGTTAGACCAAAAAAAAACATGAAAAATGAAAAAAAAAATATTTGGGGTGTTCGGGCTTCCTGAAGGTAATACCCAGGTATTAGGTTATGGGACTATGGTAAGGTTTAAGGTTTTTGGCGTTAGGGTTAAAACCACTGTCCAAAACCTTTGTAGGAACTCTTTTCATACCTTTTGGAGTTAGTTAGACCAAAAAAAATGAAAAATGAAATAAAAATATTTGGGGTGTTTGGGCTTCCTGAAGGTCATCCCCGGGTATTAGGTTTTGGGGCTAGGGTAAGGTTTAAGGTTTTTGGCGTAAGGGTTAAAATCCCTGTCCAAAACCTTTTTAGGAACATGTTTCAGACCTTTTGGAGTTGGTTACACAAAAAAAAAATGTAAAATGAAAAAAAAATATTTGGGGTGTTCGGGCTTCCTGAAGGTAATACCCGGGTATTAGGTTATGGGGCTATGGTAAGGGTTCAGTTTTTTGGCATTAGGGTTAAAATTATTGTCCAAAACCTTTGTAGGAACTCTTTTCCAACCTTTTGGAGTTAGTTAGACCAAAAAAAAAAAAGAAAAATGAAAAAAAAAGTATTTGGGGTTTTCGGGCTTCCTGAAGGCAATACCCGGGAATCAGTTTCTGGGGCTTTGGAAAGGTTTAAGGTTTTTGGCGTTAGGGTTAAAATCACTGTCCAAAACCTTTGTAGGAACTCTTTTCCAAGCTTTTGGAGTTAGTTAGACCAAAAAAAAATGAAAAATGAAAAAAAATATATTTGAGGTGTTCGGGCTTCCTGAAGGTAATACCCAGGTATTAGGTTATGGGGCTAGGGTAAGGTTTTAGGTTTTTGGCGTTAGGGTTAAAATCAATGTCCAAAACCTTTGTAGGAACTCTTTTCCAACATTTCGGAGTTAGTTAGACCAAAAAAAATGAAAAATGAAATAAAAAATATTTGGGGTGTTCAGGCTTCCTGAAGGTAATACCCGGGTATTAGGTTATGGGGCTTAGGAAAGGTTTAAGGTTTTTGGCGTTAGGGTTAAAATCACTGTCCAAAACCTTTGTAGGAACTCTTTTCCAAACTTTTGGAGTCAGTTAGACCAAAAAAAAAGAAAAATGAAAAAAAAATTATTTGGGGTTTTCAGGCTTCCTGGAGGTAATACCCTAATATTAGGTTAAGGGGCTATGGTAAGGTTTAAGGTTTTTGGCGATAGGGTTATACTAACTGTCCAAAACCTTTTTAGGAACATGTTTCAGACCTTTTGGAGTTGGTTACACCAAAAAAAAATGTAAAATGAAAAAAAAATATTTGGGGTGTTCGGGCTTCCTGAAGGGATTAGGTTATGGGGCTATGGTAAGGGTTCAGTTTTTTGTCGTTAGGGTGAAAATTATTGTCCAAAACCTTTGTAGGAACTCGTTTCCAACCTTTTGGAGTTAGTTTGACCAAAAAAAAAAGAAAAATGAAAAAAAAAGTATTTGGGGTTTTCGGGCTTCCTGAAGGTAATACCTGGGTATTAGGTTATGGGGCTTAGGAAAGGTTTAAGGTTTTTGGCGTTAGGGTTAAAATCACTGTCCAAAACCTTTGTAGGAACTCTTTTCCAACCTTTTGGAGTTAGACCAAAAAAGAATGAAAAATGAAAAGAAAATATTTGGGGTTTTCGGGCTTCCTGAAGGTAATACCCGGGTATTAGGTTTTGGGGCTAGCGTAAGGTTTGAGGTTTTTGGCATTAGGGTTAAAATCACTGTCCAAAACCTTTTTAGGAACTTGTTTCAGACCTTGTGGAGTTTGTACACCAAAAAAAAAAGTAAAATGAAAAAAAAATTATTTGGAGTGTTCGGGCTTCCTGAAGGTAATACCCGGGTATTAGGTTATGGGGCTATGGTAAGGTTTAAGGTTTTTGACGTAAGGGTGAAAATAACTGTCCAAAACCTTTGTAGGAACTCTTTTCCAACCTTATGGAGTTCATTAGACCAAAAATAAATGAAAAATGAAAAAAAAATATTTGGGGTGTTCGGGCTTCCTGAAGGTAATACCCGGGTATTCGGTTATGGGGCTTAGGAAATATTTAAGGTTTTTGGCGTTAGGGTTAAAATCACTGTCCTAAACCTTTTTAGGAACATGTTTCAGACCTTTTGCAGTTGGTTAAACCAAAAAAAAAATGTAAAATGAAAAAAAATATTTGGGGTGTTCGGGCTTCCTGAAGGTAATACATGAGTATTAGGTTTTGGGGCTAGGGAAAGGTTTAAGGTTTTTGGCGTAAGGGTTAAAATCAATGTCCAAAACCTTTGTAGGAACTCTTTTCCAACATTTCGGAGTTAGTTAGACCAAAAAAAATGAAAAATGAAATAAAAAATATTTGGGGTGTTCAGGCTTCCTGAAGGTAATACCCGGGTATTAGGTTATGGGGCTTAGGAAAGGTTTAAGGTTTTTGGCGTTAGGGTTAAAATCACTGTCCAAAACCTTTGTAGGAACTCTTTTCCAAACTTTTGGAGTCAGTTAGACCAAAAAAAAAAGAAAAATGAAAAAAAAATTATTTGGGGTTTTCAGGCTTCCTGGAGGTAATACCCTAATATTAGGTTAAGGGGCTATGGTAAGGTTTAAGGTTTTTGGCGATAGGGTTAAACTAACTGTCCAAAACCTTTTTAGGAACATGTTTCAGACCTTTTGGAGTTGGTTACACCAAAAAAAAATGTAAAATGAAAAAAAAATATTTGGGGTGTTCGGGCTTCCTGAAGGTATTAGGTTATGGGGCTATGGTAAGGGTTCAGTTTTTTGTCGTTAGGGTGAAAATTATTGTCCAAAACCTTTGTAGGAACTCGTTTCCAACCTTTTGGAGTTAGTTAGACCAAAAAAAAAAGAAAAATGAAAAAAAAAGTATTTGGGGTTTTCGGGCTTCCTGAAGGTAATACCTGGGTATTAGGTTATGGGGCTTAGGAAAGGTTTAAGGTTTTTGGCGTTAGGGTTAAAATCACTGTCCAAAAACCTTTGTAGGAACTCTTTTCCAACCTTTTGGAGTTAGACCAAAAAAGAATGAAAAATGAAAAGAAAATATTTGGGGTTTTCGGGCTTCCTGAAGGTAATACCCGGGTATTAGGTTTTGGGGCTAGCGTAAGGTTTGAGGTTTTTGGCATTAGGGTTAAAATCACTGTCCAAAACCTTTTTAGGAACTTGTTTCAGACCTTGTGGAGTTTGTACACCAAAAAAAAAAGTAAAATGAAAAAAAAATTATTTGGAGTGTTCGGGCTTCCTGAAGGTAATACCCGGGTATTAGGTTATGGGGCTTAGGAAATATTTAAGGTTTTTGGCGTTAGGGTTAAAATCACTGTCCTAAACCTTTTTAGGAACATGTTTCAGACTTTTTGCAGTTGGTTAAACCAAAAAAAAAAATGTAAAATGAAAAAAAATATTTGGGGTGTTCGGGCTTCCTGAAGGTAATACATGGGTATTAGGTTTTGGGGCTAGGGAAAGGTTTAAGGTTTTTGGCGTAAGGGTTAAAATCTCTGTCCAAAACCTTTGTAGGAACTCTTTTCCAACCTTTTGGAGTTAGGTAGACCAAAAAAAATGAAAAATGAAAAAAAAAATATTTGGGGTGTTCGGGCTTCCTGAAGGTAGTATTAGGTTATGGGGCTTTGGAAAGGTTTAAGTTTTTTTGCGTTAGGGTTAAAATCACTTTCCATAACCTTTGTAGGAACTCTTTTCCAACCTTTTGGAGTTAGTCAGAAACAAAAAAAGATAAAAAATAAAAAATATTTATTTGGGGTGTTTCGGCTTCCTGAAGGTAATACCCGTATTAGGTTATGGGGCTACGGTAAGGTTTACGGTTTTTGGCGCTAGGGTTAAAATCACTGTCCAAAAACCTTTTTAGGAACTCTTTTCCAACCTTTTGGAATTAGGTAGACCAAAAAGAAAAAAATATTATTTGGGGTTTTTGGGCTTCCTGAAGGTAATACCCGGGTATTAGGTTTTGGGGCTAGGGTAAGGTTTGAGGTTTTTGGCATTAGGGTTAAAATCACTGTCCAAAACCTTTTTAGGAACATGTTTCAGACCTTTTGGAGTTTGTACACCAAAAAAAAAAGTAAAATGAAAAAATAATATTTGGGGTGTTCGGGCTTCCTGAAGGTAATACATGGGTATTATGTTATGGAGCTTTGGAAAGGTTTAAGGTTTTTGGCGTTAGGTTTAAAATCAATGTCCAAAACCTTTTTAGGAACATGTTCCAACCTTATGGAGTTAACTAGACCAAACAAAAAAAGAAAAATGAAATAAAAAATATACGGGGTGTTCGGGCTTCCTGAAGGTAATACCCGGGTATTAGATTATGGGGCTATGGTAAGGGTTCAGTTTTTTGGCGTTAAGGTTAAAATCACTGTCCAAAACCTTTGTAGGAACTCTTTTCCAAGCTTTTGGAGCTGGTTACACTAAAAAAAATGTAAAATGAAAAAAAAATATTTGGGGTGTTCGGGCTTCCTGAAGGTAATACCCGGGTATTAGGTTATGGGGCTATGGTAAGTTTTAAGGTTTTTGGCATTAGGGTTAAAATCACTGTCCAAAACATTTTTAGGAACATGTTTCAGACCTTTTGGAGTTTGTACACCAAAATAAAAATGTAAAATGAAAAAAAAATATTTGGGGTGTTCGGGCTTCCCGAAGGTAATACCCGGGTATCAGGTTATGGGGCTATGGTAAGGTTTAAGGTTTTTGGCGTTAGGGTTAAAATTACTGTCCAAAACCTTTGTAGGAACTCTTTTCCAACCTTTTGGAGTTGGTTACACCAAAAAAAAATGTAAAATGAAAAAAAAATATTTGGGGTGTTCGGGCTTCCTGAAGGTAATACCCGGGTATTAGATTATGGGGCTATGGTAAGGGTTCAGTTTTTTGGCGTTAGGGTTAAAATTATTGTCCAAAACCTTTGTAGGAACTCTTTTCCAACCTTTTGGAGTTAGTGAGACCAAAAAAAAATGAAAAATGAAAAAAAAATATTTGGGGTGTTCGGGCTTCCTGAAGGCAATACCCGGGAATCAGTTTCTTTGGCTTTGGAAAGGTTTAAGGTTTTTGGCGTTAGGGTTAAAATCACTGTCCAAAACCTTTGTAGGAACTCTTTTCCAAGCTTTTGGAGTTAGTTAGACCAAAAAAACATGAAAAATAAAAAATATATTGTGGGTGTTCGGGCATCCTGAAGGTAATACCCCGGTATTAGGTTATGGGGCTATGGTAAGGGTTAAGGTTTTTGGATTAGGGTTAAAATCACTGTCCAAAACCTTTTTAGGAACATGTTTCAGACCTTTTGCGGTTGGTTAAACCAAAAAAAAATGTAAAATGAAAAAAATATATTTGGGGTGTTCGGGCTTCCTGAAGGACCTATTAGGTTATGGGACTATGGTAAGGTTTAAGGTTTTTGGCGTTAGGGTTAAAACCACTGTCCAAAACCTTTGTAGGAACTCTTTTCCAACCTTTTGGAGTTAGTAAGACCAAAAAAAATGAAAAACTAGGGCCCCGGTGGGGCACTGTCGGGCCCGAGCCGCGTCGCGCCACCCCCAGCGCGACCGCCTCCCCCTCCCGATCGCGTCACACTCAAGGTCCAAAGATGGTGTGCGCACTTGTCTGTGGTCATTTCCCATTATAATGAATGGGAGGCGCAGTTTCTACCAAAACGCTCGCTGCAGACAAACTACATGTCCTATTTGAAAAAAGTCTGGACCATGAGTGAGGGCACAAACACAGCTAGTATATATCCAAATGGCAAGTTGCTCCTCCTCTCGGTTTTGCAGAGAGAGCGATGCGTTTGAGCCATTGAGCGATGGGCAGGAAAAACTTGACTTTTTCTCCTGCCATGGGGGGGAGCTCTTTTGGGGAGAAAAAATTCCTTCACAAATGTGTTGATGGCTGGACATTGCATCATCCTAGAAAACTTGGAGGCCAGTGAGGACAAAAATAAAAAGTTATAAGACTTTTAAAAATGTGGATATTTGGGTCCTCTTTGGCGCCCCCTAGAACGTAAACTGTGGGGTGCAGCGTCATGATTTGTACAACTTTGAATGGCCATGGGGTGTAGATTGGCCTGAGCAAATTTGAAGCCGATGGGACAAAAGATTTAGGAGGAGTTAGCGAAATTCCAATGTGTGCGGATCGGCAAAAAATGCGAAATAACCCTTTAACCGTACATTTGACAGATACGCCCGCACTGACTTTTTTGTAGATCTTATTGAGATACATGTGTGTGTCAAATTTTGTGTCATTTTGACAAAGCGTTAAAGGCGTGACAGTCAACAATGTGTATTTTTGCCTTAGGAGACAAGAAAAAATGGACTTTTTTCTCCTGCCATGGGGGGGGCTCTTTTGGCGAGTAAAAATTCCTTCACAAATGTGTTGATGGCTGGACATTGCATCATCCTAGAGAACTTGGAGGCCAGTGAGGACAAAAATAAAAAGTTATAAGACTTTTAAGACTGTGGATTTTTGGGTTATCTTTGGCGCCCCCTAGAACGTAAACCGTGGGGTGCAGCGTCATGATTTGTACAACTTTTAATGGCCATGGGGTGTAGATTGGCCTCAGCAAATGTGGTGCCTTTGGAACGAAAGCCTTCGGAGGAGTTAGCGAAATTCCAATGTGTGCGGATCGGCAAAAAATGCGAAATAGCCCTTTCACCGTACATTTGACAGATACGCCCGCACTGACTTTTTTGTAGATCTTATTGAGATACATGTGTGTGTCAATTTTTGTGTCAATATGACAAAGCGTAAAGGCGTGACAGTCAATAGTGTGAATTTTCGCCTTAGGAGACAAGAAAAAATGGACTTTTTTCTCCTGCCATGGGGGGGCGCTCTTTTGGGGAGTAAAAATTCCTTCACAAATGTGTTGATGGCTGGACATTGCATCATCCTAGAAAACTTGGAGGCCAGTGAGGACAAAAATAAAAAGTTATACGACTTTTAAGAATGTGGATTTCTGGGTTATCTTTGGCGCCCCCTAGAACGTAAACCGTGGGATGCAGCGTCATGATTTGTACAACTTTTAATGGCCATGGGGTGTAGATTGGCCTGAGCAAATTTGGTGCCGGTGGAACGAAAGCCTTCGGAGGAGTTAGCGAAATTCCAATGTGTGCGGATCGGCAAAAAATGCGAAATAGCCCTTTAACCGTACATTTGACAGATACGCCCGCACTGACTTTTTTGTAGATCTTATTGAGATACACGTGTGTGTCAATTTTTGTGTCATTTTGACAAAGCGTACAGGCGTGACACTCAATCATGTGAATTTTTCACCTTAGGGGGCGCTATGGAGCCATTTTGCATTTGATCTTTTGGGCGACTTCAGAATATCGAATTTTTCACCAGGCCCGGTCGTCCTGCCAAATTTCATGACTTTTCACCAGTGGGAAGTGGGCCATTTTCCAGTTCAAAGGGGCAGAAAAATAATAAGAAGACTAGGGCCCCGTTGGGGCACTGGCGGGCCCGAGCCGCGTCGCGCCGCCCCCAGCGCGACCGCCTCCCCGTCCCATTCGTGCCCTCTGGCCATCGCCCTCTCTGGTGACGCCCATCACTGCAAAGACCCTTTTCCTTCATCGGTGTTTGCTGTTCTTCCTGCCATTGCGTGTTGCTTTCACTTACACTTGCCACAGCCAGCCTCGTGAGTGCCTGGCCTGGTTTGACCTTTGCTCACCATGATTGTGTGACCTTGGTATCAGCTACTTGGGAAGTTCAACCGTTGTGGCAAAGCTTTGTTTGCGTGCTGTGCTCAACCACCTATTTTCTATGGATGTGCAAGTAAACCACTTTCTTTCTTACACAATGACACACTCATACTTATCACTCACTGCTACTGATGTGCTCTGTTAGTATGCATGCAGGAAACCTGATGAATGAAGAAATGCCCAGACTAGCCAACATCTCAATAAATTATGAGGTATGACATCACTTGAATGGTTTCCTTGGACTATGCTTCCATTATTCTAATTCTGTAATAAAAAAGAAATTTTGTCCAAAAGGACTGTTGTTGTTTTTTCTTCTAATAATTAACATATTTAACATAATTAACATTCAATATGCGCTTATTACACACGTGCACACTCTTTGATGATCTGAGAAGCAGAGCTTAAAGGACAGTAGGAGTAGCTGAACAAAGTGTATTTGTAGGAAAGCCGTAAGAGCTATTGAAACGCCGTTTTCGCGGGTTGAAAGGTTAGGGTGTCCACCAAAGGTCAGAGGTCAAATAACATTTGTATCTCAAACTGTGACGTCAAAGTCAAGGTCCAAAGATGGTGTGCGCACCTGTCTTTGGTCATTTCCCATTATAATGAATGGGAGGCACAGTTTCTACCAAAACGCTCGCTGCAGACAAACTACATGTCCTATTTGAAAAAACTCTGGACCATGAGTGAGGGCACAAACACAGCTAGGACATATCCAAATGGCAAGTTGCTCCTCCTTTTGGTTTTAGCGGGAGAGCAATGCGTTTGAGCCATTAAGCGATGGGCAGGAAAAACTTGACTTTTTCTCCTGCCATGGGGGGGCGCTCTTTTGGGGAGAAAAAATTCCTTCACAAATGTGTTGATGGCTGGACATTGCATCATCCTAGAAAACTTGGAGGCCAGTGAGGACAAAAATAAAAAGTTATAAGACTTTTAAAAATGTGGATATTTGGGTCCTCTTTGGCGCCCCCTAGAACGTAAACTGTGGGGTGCAGCGTCATGATTTGTACTACTTTGAATGGCCATGGGGTGTAGATTGACCTGAGCAAATTTGAAGCCGATGGGACAAAAGATTTAGGAGGAGTTAGCCACATTCCAATGTGTGCGAATCGGCAAAAAATGCGAAATAGCCCTTTAACCGTACATTGAACAGATACGCTCTCATTGACTTTTTCGTAGATCTTATTGAGATACATGTGTGTGTCAAATTTTGTGTCATTTTGACAAAGCGTAAAGGCGTGACAGTCAACAATGTGTATTTTCGCCTTAGGAGACAAGAAAAAATGGACTTTTTTCTCCTGCCATGGGGGGGCGCTCTTTTGGCGAGTAAAAATTCCTTCACAAATGTGTTGATGGCTGGACATTGCATCATCCTAGAGAACTTGGAGGCCAGTGAGGACAAAAATAAAAAGTTATAAGACTTTTAAGACTGTGGATTTTTGGGTTATCTTTGGCGCCCCCTAGAACGTAAAACGTGGGGTGCAGCGTCATGATTTGTACAACTTTTAATGGCCATGGGGTGTAGATTGACCTGAGCAAATGTGGTGCCTTTGGAACGAAAGCCTTCGGAGGAGTTAGCGAAATTCCAATGTGTGCGGATCGGCAAAAAATGCGAAATAGCCCTTTAACCGTACATTTGACAGATACGCGCGCATTGACTTTTTTGTAGATCTTATTGAGATACATGTGTGTGTCAATTTTGGTGTCAATATGACAAAGCGTAAAGGCGTGACAGTCAATAGTGTGAATTTTCGCCAGTAGGAGACAAGAAAAAATTGACTTTTTTCTCCTACCATGGGGGGGCGCTCTTTTGGCGAGTAAAAATTCCTTCACAAATGTGTTGATGGCTGGACATTGCATCATCCTAGAGAACTTGGAGGCCAGTGAGGACAAAAATAAAAAGTTATAAGACTTTTAAGACTGTGGATTTTTGGGTTATCTTTGGCGCCCCCTAGAACGTAAACCGTGGGGTGCAGCGTCATGATTTGTACAACTTTTAATGGCCATGGGGTGTAGATTGGCCTGAGCAAATGTGGTGCCGGTGGAACGAAAGCCTTCGGAGGAGTTAGCGAAATTCCAATGTGTGCGGATCGGCAAAAAATGCGAAATAACCCTCTAACCGTACATTTGACAGATACGCCCGCACTAACTTTTTTGTAGATCTTATTGAGATACATGTGTGTGTCAATTTTTGTGTCAATATGACAAAGCGTAAAGGCGTGACAGTCAATAGTGTGAATTTTCACCTTAGGGGGCGCTTTGGAGCCATTTTGCATTTTATTGTTTGGGCGACTTCAGAATATCGAATTTTTCACCAGGCCCATTCGTCCTGCCAAATTTCATGAGTTTTCGCCAGTGGGAAGTGGGCCATTTTCCCCTTCAAAGGGGAGGAAAAATAAGAAGAAAGAAAGAAAGAAAGAAAGAAAGAAAGAAGAAAGAAAAACCTTTACAGGAATAATAGGGCTCTACGCCCGGCTGCTCTGCAGCTGGCTCGGGCCCTAAAGACTAGGGCCCCGGTGGGGCACTGTCGGGCCCGAGCCGCGTCGCGCCGCCCCCAGCGCGACCGCCTCCCCCTCCCGATCGCGTCACACTCAAGGTCCAAAGATGGTGTGCGCACTTGTCTGTGGTCATTTCCCATTATAATGAATGGGAGGCGCAGTTTCTACCAAAACGCTCGCTGCAGACAAACTACATGTCCTATTTGAAAAAAGTCTGGACCATGAGTGAGGGCACAAACACAGCTAGTATATATCCAAATGGCAAGTTGCTCCTCCTCTCGGTTTTGCAGAGAGAGCGATGCGTTTGAGCCATTGAGCGATGGGCAGGAAAAACTTGACTTTTTCTCCTGCCATGGGGGGGAGCTCTTTTGGGGAGAAAAAATTCCTTCACAAATGTGTTGATGGCTGGACATTGCATCATCCTAGAAAACTTGGAGGCCAGTGAGGACAAAAATAAAAAGTTATAAGACTTTTAAAAATGTGGATATTTGGGTCCTCTTTGGCGCCCCCTAGAACGTAAACTGTGGGGTGCAGCGTCATGATTTGTACAACTTTGAATGGCCATGGGGTGTAGATTGGCCTGAGCAAATTTGAAGCCGATGGGACAAAAGATTTAGGAGGAGTTAGCGAAATTCCAATGTGTGCGGATCGGCAAAAAATGCGAAATAACCCTTTAACCGTACATTTGACAGATACGCCCGCACTGACTTTTTTGTAGATCTTATTGAGATACATGTGTGTGTCAAATTTTGTGTCATTTTGACAAAGCGTAAAGGCGTGACAGTCAACAATGTGTATTTTTGCCTTAGGAGACAAGAAAAAATGGACTTTTTTCTCCTGCCATGGGGGGCGCTCTTTTGGCGAGTAAAAATTCCTTCACAAATGTGTTGATGGCTGGACATTGCATCATCCTAGAGAACTTGGAGGCCAGTGAGGACAAAAATAAAAAGTTATAAGACTTTTAAGACTGTGGATTTTTGGGTTATCTTTGGCGCCCCCTAGAACGTAAACCGTGGGGTGCAGCGTCATGATTTGTACAACTTTTAATGGCCATGGGGTGTAGATTGGCCTCAGCAAATGTGGTGCCTTTGGAACGAAAGCCTTCGGAGGAGTTAGCGAAATTCCAATGTGTGCGGATCGGCAAAAAATGCGAAATAGCCCTTTCACCGTACATTTGACAGATACGCCCGCACTGACTTTTTTGTAGATCTTATTGAGATACATGTGTGTGTCAATTTTTGTGTCAATATGACAAAGCGTAAAGGCGTGACAGTCAATAGTGTGAATTTTCGCCTTAGGAGACAAGAAAAAATGGACTTTTTTCTCCTGCCATGGGGGGGCGCTCTTTTGGGGAGTAAAAATTCCTTCACAAATGTGTTGATGGCTGGACATTGCATCATCCTAGAAAACTTGGAGGCCAGTGAGGACAAAAATAAAAAGTTATACGACTTTTAAGAATGTGGATTTCTGGGTTATCTTTGGCGCCCCCTAGAACGTAAACCGTGGGATGCAGCGTCATGATTTGTACAACTTTTAATGGCCATGGGGTGTAGATTGGCCTGAGCAAATTTGGTGCCGGTGGAACGAAAGCCTTCGGAGGAGTTAGCGAAATTCCAATGTGTGCGGATCGGCAAAAAATGCGAAATAGCCCTTTAACCGTACATTTGACAGATACGCCCGCACTGACTTTTTTGTAGATCTTATTGAGATACACGTGTGTGTCAATTTTTGTGTCATTTTGACAAAGCGTACAGGCGTGACACTCAATCATGTGAATTTTTCACCTTAGGGGGCGCTATGGAGCCATTTTGCATTTGATCTTTTGGGCGACTTCAGAATATCGAATTTTTCACCAGGCCCGGTCGTCCTGCCAAATTTCATGACTTTTCACCAGTGGGAAGTGGGCCATTTTCCAGTTCAAAGGGGCAGAAAAATAATAAGAAGAAGAAGAAGAAAGAAGAATCCATCAGGAATAATAGGGCTCTCGCAGCTGCTTAGCAGCTACGCTCGGGCCCTAATGAAAAACAAATATTTGGGGTGTTCGGGATTCCTGAAGGTCATCCCCGGGTATTAGGTTTTGGGGCTAGGGTAAGGTTTAAGGTTTTTGGCGTAAGGGTTAAAATCCCTGTCCAAAACCTTTGTAGGAACTCTTTTCCAACCTTTTGGAGTTAGACCAAAAAAGAATGAAAAATGAAAAGAAAATATTTTGGGTTTTCGGGCTTCCTGAAGGTAATACCCAGGTATAAGGTTATCGGGCCAGGGTTAGGTTTTAGGTTTTTGGCGTTAGGGTTAATATCAATGTCCAAAACCTTTGGAGGAACTCTTTTCCAACCTTTTGGAGGTAGTTAGTCAAAAAAAAAAGAAAAATTAAAAAAAATATTTGTGGTTTTCGGGCTTCCTGAAGGTAATACCCAGGTATTAGGTTATGGGGCTTTGGAAAGTTTTAGGGTTTTTGGCATTAGGGTTAAAATCACTATCCGAAACCTTTGTAGGAACTCTTTTCCAACAGTTCGGAGTTAGTTAGACCAAAAAAAAAATGAAAAATGAAATAAAAAATATTTGGGGTGTTCAGGCTTCCTGAAGGTAATACCCGGGTATTAGGTTATGGGGCTTAGGAAAAGTTTAAGGTTTTTGGCATTAGGGTTAAAATCACTGCCCAAAACCTTTGTAGGAACTCTTTTCCAACCTTTTGGAGTCAGTTAGACCAAAAAAAAAAGAAAAATGAAAAAAAAAATATTATGGGTTTTCAGCCTTCCTGGAGGTAATACCCGGGTATTAGGTTATGGGGCTATGGTAAGGTTTAAGGTTTTTGGCGATAGGGTTAAACTAACTTTCCAAAACCTTTTTAGGAACATGTTTCAGACCTTTTGGAGTTGGTTACACCAAAAAAAAAATGTAAAATGAAAAAAAAATATTTGGGGTGTTCGGGCTTCCTGAAGGTAATACCCAGGTTATGGGGCTATGGTAAGGGTTCAGTTTTTTGGCGTTAGGGTTAAAATTATTGTCCAAAACCTTTGTAGGAACTCTTTTCCAACCTTTTGGAGTTAGTTAGACCAAAAAAAAAAGAAAAATGAAAAAAAAATATTTGGGGTTTTCGGGCTTCCTGAAGGTAATACCTGGGTATTAGGTTATGGGGCTTAGGAAAGGTTTAAGGTTTTTGGCGTTAGGGTTAAAATCACTGTCCAAAAACCTTTGCAGGAACTCTTTTCCAACCTTTTGGAGTTAGGTAGACCAAAAAAAAAAGAAAAAAGAAAAAAAAATATTTGGGGTTTTCCGGCTTCCTGAAGGTAATACCCGGGTATTAGGTTTTGGTGCTAGGGTAAGGTTTCAGGTTTTTGGCGTTAGGGTTAAAATGACTGTCCAAAACCTTTTTAGGAACATGTTTCAGATCTTTTGCAGTTGGTTAAACCAAAAAAAAAAAGTAAAATGAAAAAAAAATATTTGGGGTGTTCAGGCTTCCTGAAGGTAATACCCGGGTATTAGGTTATGGGGCTATAGTAAGGTTTAAGGTTTTTGAAGTTAGGGTTAAAATAACTGTCCAAAACCTTTGTAGGAACTCTTTTCCAACCTTTTGGAGTTAGGTAGACCAAAAAAAAAAGAAAAAGAAAAAAAAAATATTTGGGGTGTTCGGGCTTCCTGAAGGTAATAGGAAATTGGAAAGGTTTAAGGTTTTTGGCGTTAGGGTTAAAATCACTGTCCAAAAACCTTTGTAGGAACCCTTTTCCAAGAAAAATGAAAAAAAAATATTTGGGGTGTTCGGGCTTCCTGAAGGTAATAGGAATAGGAAAGGTTTAAGGTTTTTGGCGTTAGGGTTAAAATTACTGTCCAAAAACCTTTGTAGGAACTCTTTTCCAACCTTTTGGAGTTAGGTAGACCAAAAAAAAAAGAAAAACGAAAAAAAAATATTTGGGGTGTTCGGGCTTCCTGAAGGTAATACCCGGTTATTAGGTTTTGGGGCTAGGGTAAGGTTTGAGGTTTTTGGCATTAGGGTTAAAATCACTGTCCAAAACCTTTTAGGAACATGTTTCAGACCTTTTGGAGTTTGTACACCAAAAAAAAAAATGTAAAATGAAAAAAAAAATATTGGGGGTGTTCGGGCTTCCTGAAGGTAATACCCGGGTATCAGGTTATGGGACTATGGTAAGGTTTAAGGTTTTTGGCGTTAGGGTTAAAATCACTGTCCAAAACCTTTGTAGGAACTCTTTTCCAACCTTTTGGAGGCAGTTAGACCAATAAAAAATAAAAAAAATAAAAAAAAATTATTTGGGGTGTTCGGGCTTCCTGAAGGTAATACCCGGGTATTAGATTATGGGGCTATGGTAAGGTTTAAGGTTTTTGGTGATAGGGTTAAAATCACTGTCCAAAACCTTTGTAGGAACTCTTTTCCAACCTTTTTGAGTCAGTTAGACCAAAAAAAAATTAAAAATGAAAAAAAAATATTTGGGGTGTTTGGGCTTCCTGAAGGTAATACCCTAATATTACGTTATGGGGCTATGGTAAGGTTTAAGGTTTTTGGCGATAGGGTTAAACTAACTGTCCAAAACCTTTTTAGGAACATGTTTCAGACCTTTTGGAGTTGGTTATACCAAAAAAAAAATGAAAAATGAAAAAAAAATATTTGGGGTTTTCGGGCTTCCTGAAGGTAATACCCGGGTATTAGGTTTTTGGGCTAGGGTAAGGTTTGAGGTTTTTGGCGTTAGGGTTAAAATCACTGTCCAACACCTTTTAAGGAACATGTTTCAGACCTTTTGCAGTTGGTTAAACCAAAAAAAAAAAGTAAAATGAAAAAAAAATATTTGGGGTGTTCGGGCTTCCTGAAGGTAATACCCGGGTATAAGGTTATGGGGCTATGGTAAGGTTTAAGGTTTTTGACGTTAGGGTGAAAATAACTGTCCAAAACCTTTGTAGGAACTCTTTTCCAACCTTATGGAGTTCGTTAGACCAAAAAAAAAAGAAAAATGAAAAAAAAATATTTGGGGTGTTCGGGCTTCCTGAAGGTAATAGGAAATAGGAAAGGTTTAAGGTTTTTGGCGTTAGGGGTAAAATCACTGTCCAAAAACCTTTGTAGGAACTCTTTTCCAAGAAAAATGAAAAAAAAATATTTGGGGTGTTCGGGCTTCCTGAAGGTAATAGGAATAGGAAAGGTTTTAGGTTTTTGGCGTTAGGGTTAAAATCACTGTCCAAAAACCTTTGTAGGAACTCTTTTCCAACCTTTTGGAGTTAGGTAGACCAAAAAAAAAAGAAAAACGAAAAAAAAATATTTGGGGTGTTCGGGCTTCCTGAAGGTAATACCCAGGTATTAGGGTTTTGGGGCTAGGGTAAGGTTTGAGGTTTTTGGCATTAGGGTTAAAATCACTGTCCAAAACCTTTTTAGGGACATGTTTCAGACCTTTTGGAGTTTGTACACCAAAAGAAAAATGTAAAATGAAAAAAAAATATTTGGGGTGTTCTGGCTTCCTGAAGGTAGTACCCGGGTATCAGGTTATGGGGCTATGGTAAGGTTTAAGGTTTTTGGCGTTACGGTTAAAATTACTGTCCAAAACCTTTGTAGGAACTCTTTTCCAACCTTTTGGAGTCAGTATGACCAAAAAAAAAAATAAAAAAAAATAAAAAAAAATATTTGGGGTGTTCGGGCTTCCTGAAGGTAATACCCGGGTATTAGGTTATGGGGCTATGGTAAGGGTTCAGTTTTTTGGCATTAGGGTTAAAATTATTGTCCAAAACCTTTGGAGGAACTCTTTTCCAACCTTTTGGAGTTAGTTAGACCAAAAAAAAAAGAAAAATGAAAAAAAAATATTTGGGGTTTTCGGGCTTCCTGAAGGCAATACCCGGGAATCAGTTTCTGGGGCTTTGGAAAGGTTTAAGGTTTTTGGCGTTAGGGTTAAAATCACTGTCCAAAACCTCTGTAGGAACTCTTTTCCAAGCTTTTGGAGTTAGTTAGACCAAAAAAAAATGAAAAATGAAAAAAAAAATATTTGGGGTGTTCGGGCTTCCTGAAGGTAATACCCAGGTATTAGGTTATGGGGCTAGGGTAAGGTTTTAGGTTTTTGGCGTTAGGGTTAAAATTATTGTCCAAAACCTTTGTAGGAACTCTTTTCCAAGCTTTTGGAGTTAGTTAGACCAAAACAACATGAAAAATAAAAAAATATATATTTGGGGTGTTCGGGCATCCTGAAGGTAATACCCGGGTATTAGGTTTTGGGGCTAAGGTAAGGTTTAAGGTTTTTGGCGTGAGGGTTAAAATCACTGTCCAAAGCCTTTGGAGGAACTCTTTTCCAACCTTTTGGAGTCAGTTACACCAAAAAAAAATGTAAAATGAAAAAAAAATATTTGGGTTGTTCGGGGTTCCTGAAGGTAATACCCCGGTATTAGGTTATGGGGCTATGGTAAGGTTTAAGGTTTTTGGCATTAGGGTTAAAATCACTGTCCAAAACCTTTTTTGGAACATGTTTCAGACCTTTTGCAGTTGGTTAAACCAAAAAAAATGTAAAATGAAATAAAAAATATTTGGATTGCAAAAATATATCAAGGTCCAAAGATGGTGTGCGCACTTGTCCGTGGTCATTTACCATTATAATGAATGGGAGGCGCAGTTTCTACCAAAACACTTGCTGCAGACAAACTTCATGACCTATATGAAAAAAGTCTGGACCATGAGTGAGGGCACAGCCAGTATATATCCAAATGGCAAGTTTCTCCTCCTTTCGGTTTTGCAGAGAGAGTGGTGTGTTTGAGCCATTGAGCGATGGGCAGGAAAAACTTGACTTTTTCTCCTGCCTTGGGGGGGGCACTCTTTTGGTGAGAAAAAAATTACTTCACAAATGTGTTGATGGCTGAACATTGCATCATCCTAGAAAACTTGGATGAGTGGCCAAAACTTCTTTGTCTGCTGTAAAATCAAATTGGATTAATATTTTTTCCAGATTTTTTTTTTTGTACATCTCTTATTTTACTTCTGCCCAGGGGCGGATCTACTGGGGTGGCATGGGGTGGCAGGTGCCACCCTAAAATTAACCCTTGCCACCCCTGCTGCCACCCCAACCGGCAGCAATGAACCGGTAGAAAAATGTAACAGGTACGAGCGCGAAGTTCCGATGTCCGACGACAGTGAATGCAGCACGAGAGAGCGCGAGAGCGACACGAGACTTCTTTGGTGGGAGAGGCGCGAACTTACAGTCTATGGGCTCGAAGCGAGAGAGAGACAGAGACAGAAAAAGGCACGAGGAAAGAGGTAAAAGCCATTTTCAGGCATGAAAATCTCTCACCTTTCGGCGAAATTCGCCGTTTTGAAGTCAAAAAAGGTGACTTACATGAATCGTGTAGATCCGAGGAGATTTTTTTTTTTTTTTTGGGGGGGGGGGGGGGGTCGGGGTCGGGGTCGGGAGATTTATTTATTTATTTTTTAATTATCATGTGATTGACTTAATACGTAAACTGAACACTTCAGAAATCGGCCCTTTAAATGACACTTGGACGGTCAGCAAATCCTCCTGGCTGCCTCGCTGACGAGAACCAATCATGCGCACACTCTTCACGTGTACTTGGAGTACTTGGAGAGCCTGTGGTAGCATTGCAAAGCTGCGAGAACGAGAACCAGGACTTATCCACGCCGGTGTTGTGCCGTAGAATGCCCCCCTGACGAGAGCGCGGTTGAAAGTACGTAACAAGGCGAAATAATCGAAGTTTTCCTTACCGTTGGACGGATTCAAAAGCGTGTGCCTTTAATGATTTCATTCAGGTTATACAGATTAGCCGAAAACAATAGCCCTCTGATTCAGAATATTTGCTGTCCCGAAAGTTTATTGTTCTTTACCTTGACTCACCTATTTTTTCCGAGTTTTTTTTCCCGCCAAATACGCCCAACTGAATAAAACATAAACTTATAAAAACTTGAAACCTCTCTGTGAAACGTGCTTGTAAATTGTGGTAAACATCCATGGGCTTTGTGTTCTGTTTGTGCCTGTGTGCGTGTTGCGGTGAACAGCTGTATGATCAGCTGATGCACGTACCCGCGACTGCGCCCTGTGAAACCCCATTCAAAAACTAAAGTATTTTTATTATTAGCACTTCATAGACCACATCCCCGCCCATCTACACCTAGGTGACCACAATATATATTTTTTAGATAATTCGGCACTAGTTCGGCCTGTCAAATCATCTGATCAAAGCCAGTTTATTTACTTTTATCCACAGCGGAGAGCGCGCCCGGCGCTTATTTTCTTTTTTGATGAGCGCCCGGCTCATCAGCTGGCCGAGTACGCGTCACGATGATGCGACTACTCGAGGACCTCGAGTTACGTGACGTTTGCTTTGTTTAGTGCAGTTCAGGCAACGTCTTAGTTATTTGTACACGTTTGCATCATAGCACTCTTCTAAAGCCGCTACAAAATAAACCCAACAGTTTAAAAACAGTAAAAAATAGTAGACCTTCTGAGTACCTTATATGTCAAATTCAAGAAATCATTTGGTAAGTGAAAGTACATATGGGTTAAGAAGTTAGAGGGGGCACTTTTAGATATTAATGTTCAGTTTATCTAGCAAGTTTGCAGCTCATATTAATTTTAATATACCCATTCCACAGAAAACAAGTCACAGAGAGCAGGGCAAACATGTTCAAGAGATTAAAACAGAATACCCTGGATGCATTTCTGGCAAAGAAAAAGAAAGAAATTGACAAAGAGGAAGATAGTAAACATGAAACCAAGGAGGATGGAAGAGAGAATAGGGAAAGTTAGGTGTAGCAGAGAGAGGAGAGTCATTCAGAGATGGAAGGGGAGCAGAGGCACACGGAGGAGGATGGAATAAAAAAAAAATTTAAAATAAATAAAATATATTTAAACAATAAACATCTTGTGTGACTTGTAGCCTAAAAAATTATAATTAAAAAAAACATTTTAAAAAATTTAAGCGCGCGCTTTGCGCGCGCATCATGGACCTCACCTATTCCAAAATCCTGGCTACGGCCCTGGTTTTGAGCCATCTAAAATAGCAAAAGCAGGCATCTGCAAAAAAGCAAGCAGGTGTGACTTGGAGTGTTTTTGGCGCCTCCTGCAGATCACTGAAACACAATGTGGGTGAACAGAGCTCAATATTTTGTTGGGTTGTACAGTGTGCCGGAACGTATTTCCTCCGCACCCTTCTCACCTTTTCAACCCCTGACCCATTTTCATGCTTGCATATGAGAAAGAAAGGTTTAAAATGTGACACTGGTCTAAATCCATGGAGCTGCAATGGGTTGTTGTTTTTATTTTTCCATGCCTCATTGTATTAATCTTACTGGTGTGAGAATCCTAATAAAAGAAAGATTGTATTGGACGAAGAATGTCTGTCATGTTTGTAAATGGCAGCCATGCCTTTTTGTATCGATCAAACTCAGTATATATCTGCCATATGTTGCCACCCCTCAAAAATTCCTGCCCCCCTCTTGCCACCCCATGAATATTTTTCTAGATCCGCCCCTGCTTCTGCCCTGTTCAAAACTAGCAAATGTTTCATTGAAGATATTTTTTTTAACCCTTTAAGAGCCTTTTAACTTTTTCTGTAGTATCAGATTTAATAGACAACTCCTTTGGCGCCACTCAGTGGCCATAACGATTTGTAATCATGTGGATTTTTGGGTTATTTTTGGCGCCCCCTACAACGTAAACCGTGGGGTTCAGCGTCATGATTTGTACAACTTTGAATGGCCATGGGATGTAGATTGGCCTGAGCAAATTTGGTGTCGGTGGGACAAAAGCCTTAGGAGTTAGCCACATTCCAATGTGTGTGAATCGGAAAAAAATGCAAAATAGTCCTTTAACCGTACATTTTACAGATACGTGCGCTTTGACTTTTTCGTAGAACTTATTGAGATACACGTGATTGTCAAATTTTGTGTCAATATGACAAAGCGCACAGGCGTGACACTCAACAATGTGTATTTTCACCTTAGGGGACAAGAAAAAATTGCCTTTTTTCTCCTGCCATGGGGGGGCGCTCTTTTGGGGAGAAAAAATTCCTTCAAAAATGTGTTGATGGCTGGACATTGCATCATCCTAGAAAACTTGGAGGCCAGTGAGGACAAAAATAAAAAGTTATAAGACTTTTAAGAATGTGGATTTTTGGGTTATCTTTGGCGCCCGCTAGAACCTAAACCGTAGGGTGCAGCGCCATGATTTGTACAACTTTGAATGGCCATGGGGAGTAGATTGGCCTGAGCAAATTTGGTGCCGGTGGAACGAAGGCCTTCGGAGGAGTTAGCCACATTCCAATGTGTGCGGATCGGCAAAAAATGCAAAATAGCCCTTTAACCGTACATTTCACAGATACGCCTACACTGACTTTTTTGTAGACCTTATTGAGATACACGTGTGTGTCAATTTTTGTGTCAATATGACAAAGCGTACAGGCGTGACACTCGATAGTGTGAATTTTCACCTTAGGGGGCGCTTTGGAGCCATTTTGCAAATAATTTTTTCAGCGACTTCAGAATATCGAATTTTTTACCAGGCCCGGTCGTCCTGCCAAATTTCATGAGTTTTCGCCAGTGGGAAGTGGGCCATTTTCCCCTTCAAAGGGGAGGAAAAATAAGAAAAAGAAAGAAAGAACTAGGGCCCCGTTAGGGCACTGGCGGGCCCGAGCCGTGTTGCGCCGCCCCCAGCGCGACCGCCTACCCCTCTTGATCGCGTCACACTCAAGGTCCAAAGATGGTGTGCGCACTTGTCTGTGGTCATTTACCATTATAATGAATGGGAGGCGCAGTTTCTACCAAAACGCTCGCTGCAGACAAACTCCATGTCCTTTTTGAAAAAAGTCTGGACCATGAGTGAGGGCACAAACAGAGCTAGTATATATCCAAATGGCAAGTTGCTCCTCCTTTCGGTTTTGCCGAGAGAGCGATGCTTTTGAGCCATTGAGCGATAGGCAGGAAAAACTTGACTTTTTCTCCTGCCATGGGGGGGCGCTCTTTTGGGGAGAAAAAATTCCTTCACAAATGTGTTGATGGCTGGACATTGCATCATCCTAGAAAACTTGGAGGCCAGTGAGGACAAAAATAAAAAGTTATAAGACTTTTAAAAATGTGGATATTTGGGTCCTCTTTGGCACCCCCTAGAACGTAAACCGTGGGGTGCAGCGTCATGATTTGTACAACTTTGAATGGCCATGGGGTGTAGATTGACCTGAGCAAATTTGAAGCCGATGGGAAAAAAGCTTTAGGAGGAGTTAGCCACATTCCAATGTGTGCGAATCGGCAAAAAATGCGAAATAGCCCTTTAACCGTACATTGAACAGATACGCTCGCATTGACTTTTTCGTAGATCTTATTGAGATACATGTGTGTGTCAAATTTTGTGTCATTTTGACAAAGCGTAAAGGCGTGACAGTCAACAATGTGTATTTTCGCCTTAGGAGACAAGAAAAAATGGACTTTTTTCTCCTGCCATGGGGGGGCGCTCTTTTGGCGAGTAAAAATTCCTTCACAAATGTGTTGATGGCTGGACATTGCATCATCCTAGAGAACTTGGAGGCCAGTGAGGACAAAAATAAAAAGTTATAAGACTTTTAAGACTGTGGATTTTTGGGTTATCTTTGGCGCCCCCTAGAACGTAAACCGTGGGGTGCAGCGTCATGATTTGTACAACTTTTAATGGCCATGGGGTGTAGATTGGCCTGAGCAAATGTGGTGCCGTTGGAACGAAAGCCTTCGGAGGAGTTAGCGAAATTCCAATGTGTGCGGATCGGCAAAAAATGCGAAATAACCCTTTAACCGTACATTTGACAGATACGCCCGCACTGACTTTTTTGTAGATCTTATTGAGATACATGTGTGTGTCAAATTTTGTGTCATTTTGACAAAGCGTAAAGGAGTGACAGTCAACGATGTGTATTTTCGCCTTAGGAGACAAGAAAAAATGGACATTTTTCTCCTGCCATGGGGGGCGCTCTTTTGGCGAGTAAAAATTCCTTCACAAATGTGTTGATGGCTGGACATTGCATCATCCTAGAGAACTTGGAGGCCAGTGAGGACAAAAATAAAAAGTTATAAGACTTTTAAGACTGTGGATTTTTGGGTTATCTTTGGCGCCCCCTAGAACGTAAACCGTGGGGTGCAGCGTCATGATTTGTACAACTTTTATTGGCCATGGGGTGTAGATTGGCCTGAGCAAATGTGGTGCCGGTGGAACGAAAACCTTCGGAGGAGTTAGCGAAATTCCAATGTGTGCGGATCGGCAAAAAATGCGAAATAAACCTTTAACCGTACATTTGACAGATACGCCCGCACTGACTTTTTTGTAGATCTTATTGAGATACACGTGTGTGTCAAATTTTGTGTCATTTTGACAAAGCGTACAGGCGTGACACTCAATCATGTGAATTTTTCACCTTAGGGGGCGCTATGGAGCCATTTTGCATTTGATTTTTTGGGCGACTTCAGAATATCGAATTTTTCACCAGGCCCGGTCGTCCTGCCAAATTTCATGACTTTTCACCAGTGGGAAGTGGGCCATTTTCCAGTTCAAAGGGGCAGAAAAATAATAATAATAATAAGAAGAAGAAACTAGGGCCCCGTTGGGGCACTGGCGGGCCCGAGCCGTGTCACGCCGCCCCCAGCGCGACCGCCTCCCCCACCCGATCGCGTCACACTCAAGGTCCAAAGATGGTGTGCGCACTTGTTTGTGGTCATTTACCATTATAATGAACGGGAGGCGCAGTTTCTACCAAAACGCTCGCTGCAGAAAAACTCCATGTCCTATTTGAAAAAAGTCTGGACCATGAGTGAGGGCACAAACACAGCTAAGATATATCCAAATGGCAAGTTGCTCCTCCTTTCGCTTTTGCCGAGAGAGCAGTGCGTTTGAGCCATTGAATGATGAACAGGAAAAACTTGACTTTATTCTCCTGCCATGGGGGGGCGCTCTTTTAAAGAGAAAAAACTCCTTCACAAATGTGTTGATGGCTGGACATTGCATCATCCTAGAAAACATGGAGGCCAGTGAGGACAAAAATAAAAAGTTATAAGACTTTTAAATATGTGGATTTTAGGGTTATATTTGGCGCCCCCTAGAACCTAAACCGTGGGGTGCAGCGTCATGATTTGAATAACTTTTAATGGCCATGGGGTGTAGATTGGCCTGAGCAAATGTGGTGCCGGTGGAACGAAAGCCTTCGGAGGAATTAGCGAAATTCCAATGTGTGCGAATCTGCAAAAAATGCAAAATAACCCTTTAACCGTACATCTTACAGATACGTGGCCATTGACTTTTTCGAAGATCTTATGTAAATACACGTGTATGTAAAATTTTGTGTCAATACGACAAAACATACAGGCGTAGCACTCAACAATGTGTATTTTCACCTTAGTGGACAAGAAAAAATTGACTTTTTTCTCCTGCCATGGGGGGCGCTCTTTTGCCGAGTAAAAATTCCTTCACAAATGTGTTGATGGCTGGACATTGCATCATCCTAGAAAACTTGGAGGCCAGTGGGGACAAAAATAAAAAGTTATAAGACTTTTAAATATGTGGATTTTACGGTTATCTTTGGCTCCCCCTAGAACCTAAACCGTGGGGTGCAGCGTCATGATTTGAATAACTTTTAATGGCCATGGGGTGTAGATTGGCCTGAGCAAATGTGGTGCCGGTGGAACGAAAGCCTTCGGAGGAGTTAGCGAAATTCCAATGTGTGCGGATCGGCAAAAAATGCGGAATAACCCTTTAACCGTACATTTGACAGATACGCGCGCATTGACTTTTTCGTAGATCTTATTGAGATACATGTGTGTGTCAATTTTTGTGTCATTTTGCCAAAGCGTACAGGTGTTACACTCAACAATGTGTATTTTCACCTTAGGGGACAAGAAAAAATGGACTTTTTTCTCCTGCCATGGGGGGGTGCTCTTTTGGGGAGTAAAAATTCCTTCACAAATGTGTTGATGGCTGGACATTGCATCATCCTAGAAAACTTGGAGGCCAGTGAGGGCAAAAATAAAAAGTTATAAGACTTTTAAATATGTGGATCTTAGGGTTATCTTTGGCGCCCCCTAGAACCTAAACCGTGGGGTGCAGCGTCATGATTTGAATAACTTTTAATGGCCATGGGGTGTAGATTGGCCTGAGCAAATGTGGTGCCGGTGGAACGAAAGCCTTCGGAGGAGTTAGCGAAATTCCAATGTGTGCGGATCGGCAAAAAATGCGAAATAACCCTTTAACCGTACATTTGACAGATACGCCCGCACTGACTTTTTTGTAGATCTTATTGAGATACATGTGTGTGTCAATTTTTGTGTCATTTTGACAAAGCGTACCGGCGTGACAGTGAATAGTGTGAATTTTCACCTTAGGGGGCGCTATGGAGCCATTTTGCATTTTCTTGTTTGGGCGACTTCGGAATATCAAATTTTTCACCAGGCCCGGTCGTCCTGCCAAATTTCATGAGTTTTCGCCAGTGGGAAGTGGGCCATTTTCCAGTTCAAAGGGGAGGAAAAATAATAACTAGGGCCCCGTTGGGGCACTGGCGGGCCCTAGCCGCGTTGCGCTGCCCCCAGTGCGACCGCCTCCCCCTCCCGATCGCGTCACACTCAAGGTCCAAAGATGGTGTGCGCACTTGTCTGTGGTCATTTCCCATTATAATGAATGGGAGGCGCAGTCTCTACCAAAACACTCACTGCAGACAAACTACATGTCCTATTTGAAAAAAGTCTGGACCATGAGTGAGGGCACAAACACAGCTAGGATATATCCAAACGGCAAGTTGCTCCTCGTTACGGTGTTGCCGGGAGAGCGATGCGATTGAGCCATTGAGTGATGGGCAGGAAAAACTTGACTGTTTCTCCTGCCATGGGGGATGGGGGATGGGGGAGGGGGGATGGGGGGGGAGGGGGATGTGGATTCTTTTAAGAATGTGGATATTTGGGTCATCTTTGGCGCCCCCTAGAACGTAAACCGTGGGGTGCAGCGTCATGATTTTTACAACTTTGAATGGCCATGGGGTGTAGATTGGCCTGAGCAAATTTGGTGTCAGTGGGACGAAAGCCTTAGGAGGAGTTAGCCACATTCCAATGTGTGCTAATCGGCAAAAAATGCAAAATAGCCCTTTAACCGTACATTTTACAGATACGCGCGCATTGACTTTTTCGTAGATCTTATTGAGATACATGTGTGTGTCAAATTTTGTGTCAATATGACAAAGCGTACAGGTATGACAGTCAACAATGTGTATTTTCACCTTATGGGACAAGAAAAAATGGACTTTTTTCTCCTGCCATGGGGGGGCGCTCTTTTGGGGAGTAAAAATTCCTTCACAAATGTGTTGATGGCTGGACATTGCATCATCCTAGAAAACTTGGAGGCCAGTGAGGGCAAAAATATAAAGTTATAAGACTTTTAAATTTATGGATTTTAGGGTTATCTTTGGCGCCCCCTAGAACCTAAACCGTGGGGTGCAGCGTCATGATTTGAATAACTTTTAATGGCCATGGGGTGTAGATTGGCCTGAGCAAATGTGGTGCCGGTGGAACGAAAGCCTTAGGAGGAGTTAGCCACATTCCAATGTGTGCGGATCGGCAAAAAATGCGGAATAACCCTTTAACCGTACATTTGACAGATACGCGCGCATTGACTTTTTCGTAGATCTTATTGAGTTACATGTGTGTGTCAATTTTTATGTCATTTTGACAAAGCGTATAGGCGTGACACTCAACAATGTGTATTTTCACCTTAGGGGACAAGAAAAAATGGACTTTTTTCTCCTGCCATGGGGGGGCGCTCTTTTGGGGAGTAAAAATTCCTTCACAAATGTGTTGATGGCTGGACATTGCATCATCCTAGAAAACTTGGAGGCCAGTGAGGGCAAAAATATAAAGTTATAAGACTTTTAAATTTATGGATTTTAGGGTTATCTTTGGCGCCCCCTAGAACCTAAACCGTGGGGTGCAGCGTCATGATTTGAATAACTTTTAATGGCCATGGGGTGTAGATTGGCCTGAGCAAATGTGGTGCCGGTGGAACGAAAGCCTTCGGAGGAGTTAGCCACATTCCAATGTGTGCGGATCGGCAAAAAATGCGGAATAACCCTTTAACCGTACATTTGACAGATACACGCGCATTGACTTTTTCGTAGATCTTATTGAGTTACATGTGTGTGTCAATTTTTATGTCATTTTGACAAAGCGTATAGGCGTGACACTCAACAATGTGTATTTTCACCTTAGGGGACAAGAAAAAATGGACTTTTTTCTCCTGCCATGGGGGGGCGCTCTTTTGGGGAGTAAAAATTCCTTCACAAATGTGTTGATGGCTGGACATTGCATCATCCTAGAAAACTTGGAGGCCAGTGAGGACAAAAATAAAAAGTTATAAGACTTTTAAATATGTGGATTTTAGTGTTATCTTTGGCGCCCCCTAGAACCTAAACCTTGGGGTGCAGCATCATGATTTTGATAACTTTTAATGGCCACGGGGTGTAGATTGGCCTGAGCAAATGTGGTGCCGGTGGAACGAAAGCCTTCGGAGGAGTTAGCGAAATTCCAATGTGTGCGGATCGGCAAAAAATGCGAAATAACCCTTTAACCGTAATTTTGACAGATACGGCCGCACTGACTTTTTTGTAGATCTTATTGAGATACATATGTGTGTCAATTTTTGTGTCAATATGACAAAGCGTACCGGCGTGACAGTGAATAGTGTGAATTTTCACCTTAGGGGGCGCTATGGAGCCATTTTGCATTTTCTTGTTTGGGCGACTTCGGAATATCAAATTTTTCACCAGGCCCGGTCGTCCTGCCAAATTTCATGAGTTTTCGCCAGTGGGAAGTGGGCCATTTTCCAGTTCAAAGGGGAGGAAAAATAATAACTAGGGCCCCGTTGGGGCACTGGCGGGCCCGAGCCGCGTTGCGCTGCCCCCAGTGCGACCGCCTCCCCCTCCCGATCGCGTCACACTCAAGGTCCAAAGATGGTGTGCGCACTTGTCTGTGGTCATTTCCCATTATAATGAATGGGAGGCGCAGTCTCTACCAAAACACTCACTGCAGACAAACTACATGTCCTATTTGAAAAAAGTCTGGACCATGAGTGAGGGCACAAACACAGCTAGGATATATCCAAACGGCAAGTTGCTCCTCGTTACGGTGTTGCCGGGAGAGCGATGCGATTGAGCCATTGAGTGATGGGCAGGAAAAACTTGACTGTTTCTCCTGCCATGGGGGATGGGGGATGGGGGAGGGGGATGGGGGGGGGGGGGGGGGATGTGGATTCTTTTAAGAATGTGGATATTTGGGTCATCTTTGGCGCCCCCTAGAACGTAAACCGTGGGGTGCAGCGTCATGATTTTTACAACTTTGAATGGCCATGGGGTGTAGATTGGCCTGAGCAAATTTGGTGTCAGTGGGACGAAAGCCTTAGGAGGAGTTAGCCACATTCCAATGTGTGCTAATCGGCAAAAAATGCAAAATAGCCCTTTAACCGTACATTTTACAGATACGCGCGCATTGACTTTTTCGTAGATCTTATTGAGATACATGTGTGTGTCAAATTTTGTGTCAATATGACAAAGCGTACAGGTATGACAGTCAACAATGTGTATTTTCACCTTATGGGACAAGAAAAAATGGACTTTTTTCTCCTGCCATGGGGGGGCGCTCTTTTGGGGAGTAAAAATTCCTTCACAAATGTGTTGATGGCTGGACATTGCATCATCCTAGAAAACTTGGAGGCCAGTGAGGGCAAAAATATAAAGTTATAAGACTTTTAAATTTATGGATTTTAGGGTTATCTTTGGCGCCCCCTAGAACCTAAACCGTGGGGTGCAGCGTCATGATTTGAATAACTTTTAATGGCCATGGGGTGTAGATTGGCCTGAGCAAATGTGGTGCCGGTGGAACGAAAGCCTTCGGAGGAGTTAGCCACATTCCAATGTGTGCGGATCGGCAAAAAATGCGGAATAACCCTTTAACCGTACATTTGACAGATACGCGCGCATTGACTTTTTCGTAGATCTTATTGAGTTACATGTGTGTGTCAATTTTTATGTCATTTTGACAAAGCGTATAGGCGTGACACTCAACAATGTGTATTTTCACCTTAGGGGACAAGAAAAAATGGACTTTTTTCTCCTGCCATGGGGGGCGCTCTTTTGGGGAGTAAAAATTCCTTCACAAATGTGTTGATGGCTGGACATTGCATCATCCTAGAAAACTTGGAGGCCAGTGAGGACAAAAATAAAAAGTTATAAGACTTTTAAATATGTGGATTTTAGTGTTATCTTTGGCGCCCCCTAGAACCTAAACCTTGGGGTGCAGCATCATGATTTTGATAACTTTTAATGGCCACGGGGTGTAGATTGGCCTGAGCAAATGTGGTGCCGGTGGAACGAAAGCCTTCGGAGGAGTTAGCGAAATTCCAATGTGTGCGGATCGGCAAAAAATGCGAAATAACCCTTTAACCGTAATTTTGACAGATACGGCCGCACTGACTTTTTTGTAGATCTTATTGAGATACATATGTGTGTCAATTTTTGTGTCAATATGACAAAGCGTACAGGCGTGACAGTCAATAGTGTGAATTTCCACCTTAGGGGGCGCTATGGAGCCATTTTGCATTTTATTGTTTGGGCGACTTCAGAATATCGAATTTTTCACCAGGCCCGGTTGTCCTGCCAAATTTCATGAGTTTTCGCCAGTGGGAAGTGGGCCATTTTCCAGTTCAAAGGGGAGGAAAAAGAAGAAAGAAAGAAAGAAAGAAACAAAGAAAAACCACTTGGGGAATAATAGGGCTCTCGCAGCTAGGGCCCTAATAATAATAACAAAAGAAGGAAACTACAGGAACAAGAGGGCTCTCGCAGCTGCTTAGCAGCTACGCTCGGGCCCTAAGAAGAATCCATCAGGAATAATAGGGCTCTCGCAGCTGCTCTGCAGCTACGCTCGGGCCCTAAAGAAAGAAAGAAAGACTAGGGCCCCGTTGGGACACTGGCGGGCCCGAGCCGTGTCGCGCACCCCCCCCCAACGCGATCGCCTCCCCGTCCCATTCGCGTCCTCTGGCCATCGCCCTCTCTGGTAAGGCCCATCACTGCAAAGACCCTTTTCCTTCATCGGCGTTTGCTGTTCTTCCTGCCATTACGTGTTGCTTTCACTTACACTTGCCACAGCCAGCCTCATGAGTGCCTGGCCTGGTTTGACCTTTGCTCACCATGATTGTGTGACCTTGGTATCGGCTACTTGGGAAGTTCCACCGTCGTGGCAAAGCTTTGTTTGCGTGCTGTGCTCAACCACCTATTTTCTATGGATGTGTAAGTAAACCACTTTCTTTTCTTACACAATGACACACTCATCTTTTAGGGAGAAAAATTCCTTCACAAATGTGTTGATGGCTGGACATTGAATCATCCTAGAAAACTTGGAGGCCAGTGAGGACAAAAATAAAAAGTTAGAAGACTTTTAAGCATGTGGATATTTGGGTCATCTTTGGCGCCCCCTAGAACGTAAACCGTGGGGTGCAGCATCACGATTTGTACAATTTTGAATGGCCATGGGGTGTAGATTGGCCTGAGCAAATTTGGTGTCGGTGGGACGAAAGCCTTAGGAGGAGTTAGCCACATTCCAATGTGTGCGAATCGGCAAAAAATGTGAAATAGCCCTTTAACCGTACATTTTACAGATACATGCGCATTGACTTTTTCGTAGATCTTATTGAGATACATGTGTGTGTCAAATTTTGTGTCAATATGACAAAGTGTATAGGCGTGACACTCAACAATGTGTATTTTCACCTTAGGGGACAAGAAAAAATGGACTTTTTTCTCCTGCCATGGGGGGACGCTCTTTTGGGGAGTAAAAATTCCTTCTCAAATGTGTTGATGGCTGAACATTGCATTATCCTAGAAAACTTGGAGGCCAGTGAGGACTAAAATAAAAAGTTATAAGACTTTTAAGAATGTGGATTTTTGGGTTTTTTTGGCGCCCCCTAGAACTAAAACCGTAGGGTGCAGCGTCATGATTTGTACAACTTTTAATGGCCATGGGGTGTAGATTGGCCTGAGCAAATTTGGTGCTGGTGGAATGAAAGCCTTCAGAGGAGTTAGCCACATTCCAATGTCCCTTTTGGAGTTAGTTACACCAGAAAAAAAAGTAAAATGAAAAAGAAATATTTGGGGTGTTCGGGCTTCCTGAAGGTAATACATGGGTATTAGGTTATGGAGCTTTGGAAAGGTTTAAGGTTTTTGGCGTTAGGGTTAAAATCAATGTCCAAAACCTTTGTAGGAACTCTTTTCCAACCTTATGGAGTTAGTTAGACCAAACAAAAAAAGAAAAATGAAATAAAAAATATTTGGGGTGTTCAGGCTTCCTGAAGGTAATACCCGGGTATTACGTTATGGGGCTAGGGTAAGGTTTAAGGTTTTTGGTGTTAGGATTAAAATCAATGTCCAAAACCTTTTTAGGAAAATGTTTCAGACCTTTTGGAGTTAGTTACACCAAAAAAAAATGTAAAATGAAAAAGAAATATTTGGGGTGTTCGGGCTTCCTGAAGGTAATACATGGGTATTTGGTTAAGGGGTTATGGTAAGGTTTAAGGTTTTTGGCGTTAGGGTTATAATCACTGTCCAAAACCTTTGTTGGAACTGTTTTCCAACCTTTTGGAGTTAGTTAGACCAAAAAAATGAAAAATGAAAAAAAAAAAAATATTTGGGGTGTTTGGGCTTCCTGAAGGTTATACCCGGGTATTAGGTTATGGGGCTTAGGAAACATTTAAGGTTTTTGGCGTTAGGGTTATAATCACTGTCCAAAACCTTTGTTGGAACTGTTTTCCAACCTTTTGGAGTTAGTTAGACCAAAAAAATGAAAAATGAAAAAAAAAAAAATATTTGGGGTGTTTGGGCTTCCTGAAGGTTATACCCGGGTATTAGGTTATGGGGCTTAGGAAACATTTAAGGTTTTTGGCGTTAGGGTTAAAATCACTGTCCAAAACCTTTGTAGGAACTCTTTTGCAATCTTTTGGAGTTAGTTAAACCAAAAAAATGAAGAAATGAAAAAAAAATATTTGGGGTGTTCGGGCTTCCTGAAGGTAATACCTGGGTATTAGGTTATGGGGCTTAGGAAAGGTTTAATGTTTTTGGCGTTAGGGTTAAAATCACTGTCCAAAACTTTTGTAGGAACATGTTTCAGACCTTTTGGAGTTGGTTACACTAAAAAAAATGTAAAATGAAAAAAAAGATATTTGGGGTGTTCGGGCTTCCTGAAGGTAATACCCGGGTATTAGGTTATGGGGCGATGGTAAGGTTTAAGGTCTTTGGAGTTAGGGTTAAAATCACTGTCCAAAACCTTTGGAGGAACTCTTTTCCAAGCTTTTGTAGTTAGAACAAAAAAAAAAAGAAAAATGAAATAAAAAATATTTGGGGTGTTCGGGCTTCCTGAAGGTAATACCCGGGTAGTAGGTTATGGGGCTATGGTAAGGTTTAAGGTTTTTGGCATTCGGGTTAAAATCACTGTCCAAAACCTTTGTAGGAACTCTTTTCCAAGCTTTCGGAGTTAGTTAGACCAAAAAAAATGAAAAATGAAAAAAAAATATTTGGGGTTTTCGGGCTTCCTGAAGGTATTACCCGGGTATTAGGTTATGGGGCTTTGGAAAGGTTTAGGGTTTTTGGCATTAGGGTTAAAATCACTATCCAAAACCTTTGTAGGAACTCTTTTCCAACATTTCGGAGTTAGTTAGACCAAAAAAAAGATGAAAAAAAAAAATATATATATATTTGGGGGTTCGGGCTTCCTGAAGGTAATACCCGGGTATTAGATTATGGGGCTATGGTAAGGTTTAAGGTTTTTGGTGTTAGGGTTAAAATCACTGTCCAAAACCTTTGTAGGAACTCTTTTCCAAGCTTTCAGAGTTAGTTAGACCAAAAAAAAATGAAAAATGAAATAAAAATATTTGTGGTTTTCGGGCTTCCTGAAGATAATACCCGGGTATTAGGTTATGGGGCTTAGGAAAGGTTTAAGGTTTTTGGCGTAAGGGTTAAAATCACTGTCCAAAACCTTTGTAGGAACTCTTTTCCAACCTTTTTGAGTCAGTTAGACCAAAAAAAATGAAAAATGAAAAAAAAATATTTGGGGTTTTCGGGCTTCCTGAAGGTATTACCCGGGTATTAGGTTATGGGGCTTTGGAAAGGTTTAGGGTTTTTGGCATTAGGGTTAAAATCACTATCCAAAACCTTTGTAGGAACTCTTTTCCAAGCTTTCGGAGTTAGTTAGACCAAAAAAAATGAAAAATGAAAAAAAAATATTTGGGGTTTTCGGGCTTCCTGAAGGTATTACCCGGGTATTAGGTTTTGGGGCTAGGGTAAGGTTTGAGGTTTTTGGCATTAGGGTTAAAATCACTGTCCAAAACCTTTTTAGGAACATGTTTCAGACCTTTTGGAGTTTGTACACCAAAAAAAAAATGTAAAATGAAAAAAAATATATTTGGGGTGTTCGGGCTTCCTGAAGGTAATACCCGGGTATTAGGTTATGGGGCTATGGTAAGGTTTAAGGTTTTTGGCATTCGGGTTAAAATCACTGTCCAAAACCTTTGTAGGAACTCTTTTCCAAGCTTTCGGAGTTAGTTAGACCAAAAAAAATGAAAAATGAAAAAAAAATATTTGGGGTTTTCGGGCTTCCTGAAGGTATTACCCGGGTATTAGGTTATGGGGCTTTGGAAAGGTTTAGGGTTTTTGGCATTAGGGTTAAAATCACTATCCAAAACCTTTGTAGGAACTCTTTTCCAACATTTCGGAGTTAGACCAAAAAAAAGATGAAAAAAAAAAATATATATATATTTGGGGGGTTCGGGCTTCCTTAAGGTAATACCCGGGTATTAGATTATGGGGCTATGGTAAGGTTTAAGGTTTTTGGTGTTAGGGTTAAACTCACTGTCCAAAACCTTTGTAGGAACTCTTTTCCAAGCTTTCAGAGTTAGTTAGACCAAAAAAAAATGAAAAATGAAATAAAAATATTTGTGGTTTTCGGGCTTCCTGAAGATAATACCCGGGTATTAGGTTATGGGGCTTAGGAAAGGTTTAAGGTTTTTGGCGTAAGGGTTAAAATCACTGTCCAAAACCTTTGTAGGAACTCTTTTCCAACCTTTTTGAGTCAGTTAGACCAAAAAAAAAAGAAAAAAGAAAAAAATATATTTGGGGTTTTCAGGCTTCCTGGAGGTAATACCCGGGTATTAGGTTTTGGGGCTAGGGTAAGGTTTGAGGTTTTTGGCATTAGGGTTAAAATCACTGTCCAAAACCTTTTTAGGAACATGTTTCAGACCTTTTGGAGTTTGTACACCAAAAAAAAAATGTAAAATGAAAAAAAATATATTTGGGGTGTTCGGGCTTCCTGAAGGTAATACCCGGGTATCAGGTTACTGGGCTATGGTAAGGTTTAAGGTTTTTGGCGTTAAGGTTAAAATTACTGTCCAAAACCTTTGTAGGAACTCTTTTCCAACCTTTTGGAGTTAGTTAGAACAAAAAAAGGATGAAAAATAAAAAAAAATGTATTTGGGGTGTTAGGGCTTCCTGAAGGTCATCCCCGGGTATTAGGTTTTGGGGCTAGGGTAAGGTTTAAGGTTTTTGGCGTAAGGGTTAAAATCACTGTCCAAAACCTTTGTAGGAACTCTTTTCCAACCTTTTGGAGTTAGACCAAAAAAGAATTAAAAATGAAAAGAAAATATTTGGGGTTTTCGGGCTTCCTGAAGGTAATACCCAGGTATTAGGTTATGGGGCTAGGGTTAGGTTTTAGGTTTTTGGCGTTAGGGTTAATATCAATGTCCAAAACCTTTGTAGGAACTCTTTTCCAAGCTTTTGGAGGTAGTTAGACGAAAAAAAAAGAAAAATTAGAAAAAAATATTTGTGGTTTTCGGGCTTCCTGAAGGTAATACCCGGTTATTAGGTAATGGGGCTTTGGAAAGGTTTAGGGTTTTTGGCATTAGGGTTAAAATCACTATCCAAAACCTTTGTAGGAACTCTTTTCCAACATTTCGGAGTTAGTTAGACCAAAAAAAATGAAAAATGAAATAAAAAATATTTGGGGTGTTCAGGCTTCCTGAAGGTAATACCTTCAGTATTAGGTTATGGGGCTTAGGAAAGGTTTAAGGTTTTTGGCGTTAGGGTTAAAATCACTGTCCAAAACCTTTGTAGGAACTGTTTTCCAACCTTTTTGAGTTAGTTAGACCAAAAAAAAAAGAAAAATGAAAAAAAAAATATTTGGATTGCAAAAATATATCAAGGTCCAAAGATGGTGTGCGCACTTGTCTGTGGTCATTTACCATTATAATGAATGGGAGGCGCAGTTTCTACCAAAACACTTGCTGCAGACAAACTTCATGACCTATATGAAAAAAGTCTGGACCATGAGTGAGGGCACAAACACAGCTAGTATATATCCAAATGGCAAGTTGCTCCTCCTTTCGGTTTTGCAGAGAGAGCGGTGTGTTTGAGCCATTGAGCGATGGGCAGGAAAAACTTGACTTTTTCTCCTGCCTTGGGGGGGTGCTCTTTTGGTGAGAAAAAAATGACTTCACAAATGTGTTGATGGCTGAACATTGCATCATCCTAGAAAACTTGGATGAGTGGCCAAAACTTCTTTGTCTGCTGTAAAATCAAATTGGATTAATATTTTTTCCAGATTTTTTTTTGTACATCTCTTATTTTACTTCTGCCCTGTTCAAAACTAGCAAATGTTTCATTGAAGATATTTTTTTTAACCATTTAAGAGCCTTTTAACTTTTTCTGTAGTATCAGATTTAATAGACAACTCCTTTGGCGCCACTCAGTGGCCATAACTACTTTGTCTGCTGTTAATAGACAACTCCCTTTGGCGCCACTCAGTGGCCAAAACAATTTGTAATCATGTGGATTTTTGGGTTATCTTTGGCGCCCCCTAGAACGTAAACCGTGGGGTGCAGCGTCATGATTTTGAACTTTGAATGGCCATGGGTTGTAGATTGGCCTGAGCAAATTTGGTGTCGGTGGGACGAAAGCCTTAGGAGTTAGCAACATTCCAATGTGTGCGAATCGGCAAAAAATGCGAAATAGCCCTTTAACCGTACATTTCACAGATACGTGTGCATTGACTTTTTCGTAGATCTTATTGAGATACACGTGTGTGTCAAATTTTGTGTCAATATGACAAAGTGTATAGGCGTGACACTCAACAAAGTGTATTTTCACCTTAGGGGACAAGAAAAAATGGACTTTTTTCTCCTGCCATGGGGGGCGCTCTTTTGGGGAGTAAAAATTCCTTCTCAAATGTGTTGATGGCTGGACATGGCATTATCCTAGAAAACTTGGAGGCCAGTGAGGACTAAAATAAAAAGTTATAAGACTTTTAAGAATGTGGATTTTGGGGTTTTTTTTGGCGCCCCCTAGAACTTAAACCGTAGGGTGCAGCGTCATGATTTGTACAACTTTTAATGGCCATGGGGTGTAGATTGGCCTGAGCAAATTTGGTGCCGTTGGAACGAAAGCCTTCAGAGGAGTTAGCCACATTCCAATGTGTGCGGACCGGCAAAAAATGCGAAATAGCCCTTTAACCGTACTTTTCACAAAAGCACCTGCACTGACTTTTTCGTAGACCTTATTAAGATACACGTGTGTGTCAATTTTTGTATCAATATGACAAAGCGTACAGACGTGGTTTTTGGCGTTAGGGTTAAAATCACTGTCCAAAACCTTTGTAGGAACTCTTTTCCAACCTTTTGGAGTTAGCTAGACCAAAAAAAAAAACGAAAAATGAAAAAAAAAATGTTTGGGGTTTGAAGGCTTCCTGAAGGTAATACCCGGGTATTAGGTTACGGGGCTATGGTAAGGTTTAAGGTTTTTGGCGTTAGGGTTAAAATCACTGTCCAAAACCTTTGTAGGATCTGCTTTTTCAACCTTTTTGAGTTAGTTAGACAAAAAAAAAAAAAACGAAAAATGAAATGAAAATTTTTGGGTGTGGGTCCATGTTAATTTTGTTGACGAAAAATTTTCGTCATTGTCATCGTCAACGACCTTTTTTTTCTGACTAAAACGAGACGATAACTTGATAAAAAGTAATTCACAAGGCCTAAGACGATAACGAAGTGTATTGACATGTTTGTCAACGAATAAAAACGAGACGAAAATGTCTGGCAAGGATCCAATCAGAGCTCATTTTGTTTGTGGAAGGAAATGACGATTTTAGAAAGAGGCGGGAGGAGTTGGGAGGGAGAACCAATCAGAGCGACGTGGTTAGGATGTTTGAGACCGAGCCCGGCAAAGGCGAAATGTCCCCGCGCTCCTCGTCGTGCTCAGCTGAAAATGTCAACAACAGCAGGGAGGAAGAGGCGTCAGGATGTGTGGACGCACTTTACTTTTGATTTAAAGGACAACAAAACACTTTGCAAAAACTGTGGAGCAAAAATAACCGGGAAAAACACAACGAATCTGAAGAGGCACCTGGAGTCGAGCCACCATGATATATACGCTCAGGTAAGCATGAATGAATGAATGGATGAAACCTGCTCCATAACGTTAACGTAACGTTACATTTTAACATAACACACAAGGCTCTGAACATACGTGAACTCACTCACTAGCCTGGTTATTTTTTTGCTCTTTTGTTAAACCCACACCGCCATGTGCATTTTCTTTCAACGGGGGCTCTCTGATAAATCAATCTCGTTAATTATCATTTAACGTTACGGTGCGGGTCGTCGGGGGCGATACCAATACACCACTGCTGTTCTGTTAAGCTAAAGGTACCTGCTGGCTGCTGATTTAAATGCATATAATTCATTTAACTATTTTGTTGGTGTTAAAAATGAACTCTACCGTCCTTTTTTCTTCATCACAGCTACAGAAGACTTCAGGTGACCTCGATGGGCCACAGGGTGCCAAGAAAAAGAAAGGAACAGTTTTGGCTGCCTTTTTGAATGTTTTGAAACATAAATAAAATGAATTACAAGTGGAATCTGTCTGTGTGTGAATTGAACAGTTGTTCTTTAACACAGGTTTATTGTTGTAAAGGTAATGACTTTCAGAAAATGTACATATTATTACCCTTTACACACTTTTTAGTTGACTAAATCTATTGTAATTTTCATCGACTAAAACTCTTGTGATATTAGTCGACTAAAACTAGACTAAACTAAAAAGATTTCAGATGACTAAAATATGACTAAAACTAAGTAGTGTTTTAGTCAAAAGACTAAGACTAAAACTAAATCAGAATTTGTTGTCAAAATTAACACTGGTGTGGGTAAGAGATAGAGTGATAGCCCCCACATTCGTCAGTTGCCTTGGCGGTTTGGGGTAGGCTGATCAAGGGCTTGCACTGGCCGGCACATGTCGACCTGTCACATGTTCCCAGTCGATTCTCCGAGCTCAATCTGTGTGTAAAAATTATGTGTTGGTAGGAAGTTTAATGACTCAGCTCAATTGGTATGCTATGCTGTCTATCTTTTAGACTATGTGTTTGTAGAGCAATTATTTTTGGAGGTTCAGTTAGGGAGTAGAGTTGGTATGGTTAAGTGTTAAAATAATAATAATAATAATAATAATAATAATAATAATAATAATAATAATATTATTATTATTATTAATAATAATTTTTCTTATTGAGAAGGACTAGGTGGTGTTCGTAGGGAGGGAATAGGGTGAATTTTATCTATAGGAGTAGGGTTATGGTGCATTAGTGCAAAGTCTCAGAGGTGCCACAAACTTCAAACACGACACAAACTCAAGTTCAAAAACACCACAGACTCAAGTTCAAAAACGACACAAACTGAAGTTCAACAAACAAAACTAACTATTAAGAGTAATTTTGAGGTGTTTTTCGTAGACTTACCCTAGTGGTCCTATGTTGTTGTTGATGTGAGGCGTTTCTTTTCCAGTAGTCTAAAATCTGTTGGAGGGGGGAAAAGGTTCCAGCTGTCCAGCCGCGGCGGCAGCGGTGTGTCTGAAGTCCGGGGTCCTCGGCGGGGGAAAGAAGATAGGCGCTCCGCGGGAAGGTTTGCTGGGACTCGGTGCCGTCGGCGGGGCGAAGCTCGGTGGTGGGCGGCTTGGAGTGATGGAGGTGCGGCGTCTTCCTCGAGGCGGTGGTCCGTCTTCTTGGTCCAGTGGTCAGTGCTCATTTACAGGAACAGGAATTGCTGTTTAGTGCACAGCACTTAATTGTGCTTTTGACAGGAGAAGACATCCTCAGAGTTGGGCTCCAGTCATGGTTTGTGCTGTTCCTCTCAGACATGGTTGTGTTCTCTTCTCGATGTTTGTATTCCAGAATGGATGTCTCTTGGTTGTATTTTAAACTTTCAAGTTGTTTTAAGTTAATTTTAATGTAGTTTTGTTTTAAATTGAGTTTTGCTACATTAAATTTGTATGCAATGGTAAGGGATTGTGGGTATTTTAGTTCTCAGGGATGAGAGCCTAAGGAATCAATCTTCCTGTTACAGCAAAGGATTGTGGGTAAAACCGTGAGTGAGGGAGGTACATTTTTCCTGGCATGAGAACCTCAGGAGTCAGTCCTTCCTAAGAAAAAAGAGGGGAGGGGGAAGAAAAACAAAAGCACAGGAACCCTAAAATAAAATAAAATAAAATAATATAAAACAATGAAAAAATAAAAAAATAAAAGAAGAACAAAAGTGGATTGCAAAAGGGAAAGGGGAAGAAAAAAGGAAAAAAAGAAGTGTCAAGAGCAAATAGCAAAAATCAGAAGTGAGCTTAAAAACAGAGAACAGTTCCCTAAAAGACAGACAGAAATGTAAATTTGATCAATGTCCTAAGGGAAAATCTGTACGTGTATGTGTGTTCTTTTTTGCAAGCTTAGTCTGGTGTCACTGATGGTCAGTTATTAATAAGTATTTATTATTTAAATTTTTGATGAAGTTGTTTGTAGTGGGGTTAGCTGGCTAATTTTAGAGTGTTAAAAAAGATGTTAGAGGGGGAGGATTTAGGGGGCACGGCGGTTCCCCTTCAGGTCTCTCTTAATCCTCCATATAGGTGACCCAACAGGGGTTACCCCCCGGCCTGGGTAGGCCTAGGCTGAAGATCACCTATTTGTCCTCTGTGAAGGTGAAAATAAAGGGGCAGGGGAGGGAATAAGAAAGAGGGGGTGTGTTAGAGAGAGGGGGAGAGATGAGGGAGAGAGATGAGGGAGAGAGAGAGAGGGGTGTGTGTGTGTGTGTGTGAGAGAGAGAGAGAGAGAGAGAGAGAGAGAAGGGAAGAGGGAGAGGGGGGTTTAAGGGAGAGGTGGAGATGGTGGAAAATAAAGATTGGTGAGGGGGATTTGGTGGCGGATGAAACATCCCATAGCTCCCCTGCTCTCACCATCCATGTGAGGAGAGTGAGCAAGGGACATAGTCCCCCGACCCGACTAGGTCTAGGCTCTGCTCTCCTCACGGTCCTCACAAGATACAAAGAGATATGTAAACGTGGAAGTGAGAGTTCTCTAGGCAGAGTTTTGGGTTTGGTTTGAGCTGAGTTGGTCAGTTGATTATTGATTACTATTTTAAGTTCTAAAAGTGGATAGAGTCAAAAAGTCACAGAGGATTGTGGTGGGAGCAGGTGGTCCGTCTGGCACCATTCTGCTCATGCAGGGATTCGAGTGATAGAAAGAGAATAGATCTTGCCACCGTGACTCGCCATTGAGACTCTCCTCACCTGCTGGTTTTCATCCTCTGATAGGAGAGAGAGGTACAGATCAGGAGAGAGGGAGAAAAGGAGGGAGGCAGGGTGGGGTCAGTAGTTAATTTGTCTTGAAAAGTATTTATCTTTTCGTCATTGCTGTTAGGGTTTAGATGTTTTTTGTTTAGTTATCTGAGGAATGTAGTGTTAGTATAGGTTCCAAGGTGGAGAATTCTTTGGAATTCACTTTCACCCTTGAAACTGGAAGATCTTAGATTCTATAAAGGGTGGGGGGGTTGTGTGCACAGAAGGAGCATGGGCTCAGACTATTCTCTGAATGATATTGTGACAAGTCTGTCCGAACGCAAGTGGCTGGTTAGGTGTGGGAAAGAGATAGAGTGATAGCCCCCGCTTTTGTCAGTTGACTTGGCGGTTTGGGGTAGGCTGATCAAGGGCTTGCACTGGCCGGCGCATGTCGACCTGTCACATGTTCCAGTCGAGTCTCCGAGCTCAATCTGTGTGTAAAAATTATGTGTTGGTAGAAAGTTTAATGACTCAGCTCAGTTGGTATGCTATGCTGTCTATCTTTTAGACTATGTGTTTGTAGAGCAATATTATGTATATATTATGTTACAGGGCTAGGAAAAGGTTAAAGGTTTTTGGTGTTAGGGTTAAAATCACTGTCCAAAACCTTTGTAGGAACTCTTTTCCAACCTTTTGGAGGGAGCTAGACTAAAAAAAAAAAAAATAATAATAATGAAAAAAAAGTTTTTGGGGGTGTTAAGACTTCCTGAAGGTAATACCCAGGTATTAGGTTACGGGGCTAGGGTAAGGTTTAAGGTTTTTGGCGTATGGGTTAAAATCACTGTCCAAAACCTTTGTAGGAACTCTTTTCCAACCTTTTGGAGTTCGTTAGACCAAAAAAAGAAAAAGAAAAAAATATGTTTGGGGTGTTAAGGCTTCCTAAAGGTAATACCCTGGTATTATGGTTATGTGGCTATGGTAAGGTTTAAGGTTTTTGGCGAAAGGGTTAAAATCACTGTCCAAAACCTTTGTAGGAACTCTTTTCCAACCTTTTGGAGTTATTTACACCAAAAAACAATGAAAAATGAAAAAAAAATATTTGGGGTTTTCGGGCTTCCTGAAGGTAATACCCGGGTTATTAGGTTATGGGGCGAGGGTAAGGTTTAAGGTTTTTGGCGTTAAGGTTAAAATCACTGTCCAAAACCTTTTTAGGAACATGTTTCAGACCTTTTGGAGTTGGTTACACAAAAAAAAATGTAAAATGAAAAAAATATTTGGGGTGTTCAGGCTTCCTGAAGGTAATAACCGTACTACTCGGGTATTAGGTTATGGGGCTAGGGTAAGGTTTAAGGTTTATGGCGTGAGGGTTAAAATCACTGTCCAATATTTTTTAAGGAACATGTTTCAGACCTTTTGGAGTTAGTTAAACCAATAAAATGAATAAAAAAATATTTGGGGTTTTCGGGCTTCCTGAAGGTAATACCCGGGTATTAGGTTATGGGGCTAGGGGAAGGTTTAAGGTTTTTGGCGTTAGGGTTAAAATCACTGTCCAAAACCTTTTTAGGAACATGTTTCAGAACTTTTGGAGTTTGTTACACCAAAAAAAAAATGTAAAATGAAAAAAAAATATATTTGGGGTGTTCGGGCTTCCTGAAGGAAATACCCAGGTATTAGGTTATGGGGCTATGGTAAGGTCTAAGGTTTTTGGCATTAGGGTTAAAATCACTGTCCAAAACCTTTGTTGGAATAAGTTTCAGACCTTTTGGAGTTAGGTAGACCAAAAAGAAATGAAAAGTGAAAAAAAAATATTTGGGGTGTTCGGGCTTCCTGAAGGTAATACCCAGGTATTAGGTTATGGGGCGAGGGGAAATTTTAAGGCTTTTGGCGTTAGGGTTAAAATCACTGTCCAAAACCTTTGTAGGAACTCTTTTCCAAGCTTTTGGAGTTAGTTAGACCAAAAAAATGAATAAAAAAATATTTGGGGTTTTCGGGCTTCCTGAAGGTAATACCCAGGTATTAGGTTATGGGGCTAGGGGAAGGTTTAAGGCTTTTGGCGTTAGGGTTAAAATCACTGTCCAAAACCTTTGTAGGAACTCTTTTCCAACCTTTTGGAGTTAGTTAGACCAAAAAAAAAAGAAAAATGAAAAAAATATATTTGGGGTGTTCGGGCTTCCTGAAGGTAATACCCAGGTATTAGGTTATGGGGCTAGGGTAAGGTTTTAGGTTTATGGCGTTAGGGTTAAAATCACTGTCCAAAACCTTTTTAGGAACATGTTTCAGACCATTTGCAGTTGGTTAAACCAAAAAAAAAAAAGTAAAATGAAAAAAAAAATATTTGGGGTGTTCGGGCTTCCTGAAGGACCTATTAGGTTATGGGGCTAAGGTAAGGTTTAAGGTTTTTGGCGTTAGGGTTAAAATCACTGTCCAAAACCTTTGTAGGAACTCTTTTCCAACCTTTTGGAGTTAGTTAGACCAAAAAAAAAAAAAATGAAAAAAAAATATTTGGGGTGTTCGGGCTTCCTGAAGGTAATACCCCGGTATTAGGTTATGGGGCTATGGTAAGGTTTAAGGTTTTTGGCGTTAGGGTTAAAATCACTGTCCAAAACCTTTTTAGGAACATGTTTCAGAACTTTTGGAGTTTGTTACACCAAAAAAAAAAGTAAAATGAAAAAAAATATATTTGGGGTGTTCGGGCTTCCTGAAGGTAATACCCAGGTATTAGGTTATGGGGCTAGGGTAAGGTTTTAGGTTTTTGGCATTAGGGTTAAAATCACTGTCCAAAACCTTTGTTGGAATAAGTTTCAGACCTTTGGGAGTTAGGTAGACCAAAAAAAATGAAAAAAAAAAAAATATTTGGGGTGTTCGGGCTTCCTGAAGGTAATACCCGGGTATTAGGTTATGGGGCTTAGGGAAATTTAAGGTTTTTGGCGTTAGGGTTAAAATCACTGTCCAAAACCTTTGTAGGAACTCTTTTCCAACCTTTTGGAGTTAGTTAGAACAAAAAAAATGAATAAAAAAATATTTGGGGTTTTCGGGCTTCCTGAAGGTAATACCCAGGTATTAGGTTATGGGGCTAGGGGAAGGTTTAAGGTTTTTGGCGTTAGGGTTAAAATCACTGTCCAAAACCTTTGTAGGAACTCTTTTCCAACCTTTTGGAGTTAGTTAGACCAAAAAAAAAGAAAAATGAAAAAAAATATATTTGGGGTGTTCGGGCTTCCTGAAGGTAATACCCAGGTATTAGGTTATGGGGCTATGGTAAGGTTCAGGTTTTTGGCATTAGGGTTAAAATCACTGTCCAAAACCTTTGTAGGAACTCTTTTCCAACCTTTTGGAGTTAGTTAGACCAAAAAGAAATGAAAAGTGAAAAAAAAATATTTGGGGTGTTCGGGCTTCCTGAAGGTAATACCCAGGTATTAGGTTATGGGGCTAGGGGAAATTTTAAGGTTTTTGGCGTTAGGGTTAAAATCACTGTCCAAAACCTTTGTAGGAACTCTTTTCCAAGCTTTTGGAGTTAGTTAGACCAAAAAAATGAATAAAAAAATATTTGGGGTTTTCGGGCTTCCTGAAGGTAATACCCAGGTATTAGGTTATGGGGCTAGGGTAAGGTTTAAGGTTTTTGGCGTTAGGGTTAAAATCACTGTCCAAAACCTTTGTAGGAACTCTTTTCCAACCTTTTGGAGTTAGTTAGACCAAAAAAAAAAGAAAAATGAAAAAAATATATTTGGGGTGTTCGGGCTTCCTGAAGGTAATACCCAGGTATTAGGTTATGGGGCTAGGGTAAGGTTTTAGGTTTTTGGCGTTAGGGTTAAAATCAATGTCCAAAACCTTTGGAGGAACTCTTTTCCAACCTTTTGGAGCTGGTTACACTAAAAAAAATGTAAAATGAAAAAAAAATATTTGGGGTGTTCGGGCTTCCTGAAGGTAATACCCGGGTATCAGGTTATGGGGCTATGGTAAGTTTTAAGGTTTTTGGCGTTAGGGTTAAAATCACTGTCCAAAACCTTTGTAGGAACTCTTTTCCAACCTTTTGGAGTTAGTTAGACCAAAAAAAAAAAGAAAAAAGGAAAAAAAAATATTTGGGGTTTTCGGGCTTCCTGAAGGTAATACCCGGGTATTAGGTTATGGGGCTAGGGTAAGGTTTGAGGTTTTTGGCATTAGGGTTAAAATCACTGTCCAAAACATTTTTAGGAACATGTTTCAGACCTTTTGGAGTTTGTACACCAAAATAAAAATGTAAAATGAAAAAAAAAATATTTGGGGTGTTCAGGCTTCCTGAAGGTAATACCCGGGTATTAGGTTATGGGGCTTAGGAAAGGTTTAAGGTTTTTGGCGATAGGTTTAAAATCACTGTCCAAAACCTTTGTAGGAACTCTTTTCCAACCTTTTGGAGTCAGTTAGACCAAAAAAAAATGAAAAATAAATAAAAAAAATGTATTTGGGGTGTTCGGGTTTCCTGAAGGTAATACCCGGGTATTAGGTTATGGGGCTTAGGAAAGGTTTAAGGTTTTTGGCGTTAGGGTTAAAATAATTGTCCAAAACCTTTGTAGGAACTCTTTTCCAACCTTTTGGAGTCAGTTAGACCAAAAAAAAAAGAAAAAAGAAAAAAATATATTTGCGGTTTTCAGGCTTCCTGGAGGTAATACCCGGGTATTAGGTTATGGGGCTTAGGAAAGGTTTAAGGTTTTTGGATAGGGTAAAAATAACTGTCCAAAACCTTTTTAGGAACATGTTTCAGACCTTTTGCAGTTGGTTAAACCAAAAAAAAATGTAAAATGAAAAAAAATATTTGGGGTGTTCGGGCTTCCTGAAGGACCTATTAGGTTATGGGACTATGGTAAGGTTTAAGGTTTTTGGCGTTAGGGCGAAAATCACTGTCCAAAACCTTTGTAGGAACTCTTTTCCAACCTTTTGGAGTTAGTTAGACCAAAAAAAAAGAAAAAAGGAAAAAAAAATATTTGGGGTTTTCGGGCTTCCTGAAGGCATTAGGTTATGGGGCTTTGGAAAGGCTTAAGGTTTTTGGCGTTAGGATTAAAATCAATGTCCAAAACCTTTTTAGGAAAATGTTTCAGACCTTTTGGAGTTAGTTACACCAAAAAAAATGTAAAATGAAAAAAAAATATTTGGGGTGTTCGGGCTTCCTGAACGTAATACATGGGTATTAGGTTTTGGGGCTAGGGAAAGGTTTAAGGTTTTTGGCGTTAGGGTTAAAATCACTGTCCAAAACCTTTGTAGGAACTCTTTTCCAACTTTTGGAGTTAGTCAGAACAAAAAAAGATGAAAAATAAAAAATATATATTTGGGGTGTTCGGGCTTCCTGAAGGTAATACCCGTATTAGGTTATGGGGCTACGGTAAGGTTTAAGGTTTTCGGTGTTAGGGTTAAAATCACTGTCCAAAAACCTTTGTAGGAACTCTTTTCCAACCTTTCGGAGTTAGGTAGACCAAAAAAAAAAAGAAAAAAGAAAAAAAAATATTTGGGGTTTTCGGGCTTCCTGAAGGTAATACCCGGGTATTAGGTTATGGGGCTTTGGAGAGGGTTTAAGGTTTTTTGCTTTAGGGTTAAAATCACTTTCCAAAACCTTTGTAGGAACTCTTTTCCAAGCTTTTGGAGTTAGTCAGAACAAAAAAAAGATGAAAAATAAAAAATATATATTTGGGGTGTTCGGGCTTCCTGAAGGTAATACCCGTATTAGGTTATGGGGCTATGGTAAGGTTTAAGGTTTTTGGCGTTAGGGTTAAAATCACTGTCCAAAACCTTTGTAGGAACTCTTTTCCAACCTTTTGGAGTTAGGTAGACCAAAAAAAAAAAAGAAAAAAGAAAAAATAATATTTGGGGTTTTCGGGCTTCCTGAAGGTAATACCCGGGCATTAGGTTTTGGGGCTAGGGTAAGGTTTGGGGTTTTTGGCATTAGGGTTAAAATCACTGTCCAAAACCTTTTTAGGAACATGTTTCAGACCTTTTGGAGTTTGTACACCAAAAAAAAAAAAGAAAAATGAAAAAAAAATATTTGGGGTGTTCGGGCTTCCTGAAGGTAATACCCGGGTATTAGGTTATGGGGCTATGGTAAGGTTTAAGGTTTTTGGCGTTAGGGTTAAAATCACTGTCCAAAACCTTTGTAGGAACTCTTTTCCAACCTTTTGGAGTCAGTATGACCAAAAAAAAAATAAAAAAAAAATAAAAAAAATGTATTTGGGGTGTTCGGGTTTCCTGAAGGTAATACCCGGGTATTAGGTTATGGGGCTTAGGAAAGGTTTAAGGTTTTTGGCGTTAGGGTTAAAATAATTGTCCAAAACCTTTGTAGGAACTCTTTTCCAACCTTTTGGAGTCAGTTAGACCAAAAAAAAAAAGAAAAAAGAAAAAAATATATTTGGGGTGTTCAGGCTTCCTGAAGGTAATACCCGGGTATTAGGTTATGGGGCTTAGGAAAGGTTTAAGGTTTTTGGCGATAGGGTTAAAATAACTGTCCAAAACCTTTTTAGGAACATGTTTCAGACCTTTTGGAGTTGGTTACACCAAAAAAAAATGTAAAATGAAAAAAAAATATTTGGGGTGTTCGGGCTTCCTGAAGGTAATACCCGGGTATTAGGTTATGGGGCTATGGTAAGGGTTCAGTTTTTTGGCATTAGGGTTAAAATTATTGTCCAAAACCTTTGTAGGAACTCTTTTCCAACCTTACGGAGTTCGTTAGACCAAAAAAAAGATGAAAAAAAAAAAATATTTGGGGGGTTCGGGCTTCCTTAAGGTAATACCCGGGTATTAGATTATGGGGCTATGGTAAGGTTTAAGGTGTTTGGTGTTAGGGTTAAAATCACTGTCAAAAAACCTTTGTAGGAACTCTTTTCCAACCTTTTGGAGTTAGGAAGACCAAAAAAAAAAAAAAAAGAAAAAAAATATTTGGGGTTTTCAGGCTTCCTGAAGGTAATACCCGGGTATTAGGTTTTGGGGCTAGGGTAAGGTTTGAGGTTTTTGGCATTAGGGTTAAAATCACTGTCCAAAACCTTTTTAGGAACATGTTTCAGACCTTTTGGAGTTTGTACACCAAAAAAAAAAGTAAAATTAAAAAAAAATATTTGGGGTGTTCGGGCTTCCTGAAGGTAATACCCGGATATCAGGTTATGGGGCTATTGAAAGGTTTAAGGTTTTTGTCGTTAGGGTTAAAATCACTGTCCAAAACCTTTGTAGGAACTCTTTTCCAACCTTTTGGAGTTAGTTAGAACAAAAAAAAGATGAAAAATAAAAAAAATGTATTTGGGGTGTTCGGGCTTCCTGAAGGTAATACCCGGGTATTAGGTTATGGGGCTTTGGAAAGTTTTAAGGTTTTTGGCGTTAGGGTTAAAATCACTGTCCAAAACCTTTGTAGGAACTCTTTTCCAACCTTTTGGAGTTAGGTAGACCAAAAAAAAATGAAAAATGAAAAAAAAATATTTGGGGTGTTCGGGCTTCCTGAAGGTAATACCCCGGTATTAGATTATGGGGCTATGGTAAGGGTTAAGGTTTTTGGCGTTAGGGTTAAAATCACTGTCCAAAACCTTTGTAGGAACTCTTTTCCAACCTTTTGGAGTTAGTTAGACCAAACAAAAATGAAAAATGAAAAAAAAAAAATTGTGGTTTTCGGGCTTCCTGAAGGTAATACCCGGGTATTAGGTTATGGGGCGAGGGGAAAGTTTTAAGGTTTTCGGCATTAGGGTTAAAATCACTGTCCAAAACCTTTGTAGGAACTCTTTTCCAACATTTCGGAGTTCGTTAGACCAAAAAAAAGATGAAAAAAAAAATAAATATATATTTGGGGTGTTCGGGCTTCCTTAAGGTAATACCCGGGTATTAGATTATGGGGCTACGGTAAGGTTTAAGGTTTTTGGTGTTAAGGTTAAAATCACTGTCCAAAACCTTTGTAGGAACTCTTTTCCAACCTTTTGGAGTTGGTTACACTAAAAAAAATGTAAAATGATAAAAAAATATTTGGGGTGTTCGGGCTTCCTGAAGGTAATACCCGGGTATTAGGTTATGGGGCGATGGTAAGGTTTAAGGTCTTTGGAGTTAGGGTTAAAATCACTGTCCAAAACCTTTGTAGGAACTCTTTTCCAACCTTTTGGAGTTAGTTAGACCAAAAAAAAATGAAAAATGAAATAAAAAATATTTGGGGTGTTCGGGCTTCCTGAAGGTAATACCCGGGTATTAGGTTATGGGGCTATGGTAAGGTTTAAGGTTTTTGGCATTCGGGTTAAAATCACTGTCCAAAACCTTTGTAGGAACTCTTTTCCAAGCTTTCGGAGTTAGTTAGACCAAAAAAAAATGAAAAATGAAAAAAAAATATTTGGGGTGTTCGGGCTTCCTGAAGGTATTAACCGGGTATTAGGTTATGGGGCTTTGGAAAGTTTTAGGGTTTTTGGCATTTGGGTTAAAATCACTGTCCAAAACCTTTGTAGGAACTCTTTTCCAACATTTCGGAGTTAGTTAGACCAAAAAAAAGATGAAAAAAAAAAATATATATATTTGGGGGGTTCGGGCTTCCTTAAGGTAATACCCGGGTATTAGGTTATGGGGCTATGGTAAGGTTTAAGGTTTTTGGTGTTAGGGTTAAAATCACTGTCTAAAACCTTTGTAGGAACTCTTTTCCAAGCTTTCAGAGTTAGTTAGACCAAAAAAAAAAGAAAAATGAAATAAAAATATTTTTGGTTTTCGGGCTTCCTGAAGATAATACCCTGGTATTAGGTTATGGGGCTTAGGAAAGGCTTAAGGTTTTTGGCGTTAGGATTAAAATCAATGTCCAAAACCTTTTTAGGAAAATGTTTCAGACCTTTTGGAGTTAGTTACACCAAAAAAAATGTAAAATGAAAAAAAAAAATATTAGGGGTGTTCGGGCTTCCTGAAGGTAATACCCGGGTATTAGGTTATGGGGCTTTGGAAAGGTTTAAGGTTTTTTGCGTTAGGGTTAAAATCACTTTCCAAAACCTTTGTAGGAACTCTTTTCCAACCTTTTGGAGTTAGTCAGAACAAAAAAAAGATGAAAAATAAAAAATATATATTTGGGGTGTTCGGGCTTCCTGAAGGTAATACCCGTATTAGGTTATGGGGCTACGGTAAGGTTTAAGTTTTTCGGTGTTAGGGTTAAAATCACTGTCCAAAAACCTTTGTAGGAACTCTTTTCCAACCTTTTGGAGTTAGATAGACCAAAAAAAAAAGAAAAAAGAAAAAAAAATATTTGGGGTTTTCGGGCTTCCTGAAGGTAATACCCGGGTATTATGTTATGGGGCTTTGGAAAGGGTTTAAGGTTTTTTGCTTTAGGGTTAAAATCACTTTCCAAAACCTTTGTAGGAACTCTTTTCCAAGCTTTTGGAGTTAGTCAGAACAAAAAAAAGATGAAAAATAAAAAATATATATTTGGGGTGTTCGGGCTTCCTGAAGGTAATACCCGGGTATTAGGTTATGGGGCTACGGTAAGGTTTAAGGTTTTTGGCGTTAGGGTTAAAATCACTGTCCTAAAACCTTTGTAGGAACTCTTTTCCAACCTTTTGGAGTTAGGTAGACCAAAAAAAAAAAGAAAAAAGAAAAAATAATATTTGGGGTTTTCGGGCTTCCTGAAGGTAATACCCGGGCATTAGGTTTTGGGGCTAGGGTAAGGTTTGGGGTTTTTGGCATTAGGGTTAAAATCACTGTCCAAAACATTTTTAGGAACATGTTTCAGACCTTTTGGAGTTTGTACACCAAAAAAAAAAGAAAAATGAAAAAAAAATATTTGGGGTGTTCGGGCTTCCTGAAGGTAATACCCGGGTATCAGGTTATGGGGCTATGGTAAGGTTTAAGGTTTTTGGCGTTAGGGTTAAAATCACTGTCCAAAACCTTTGTAGGAACTCTTTTCCAACCTTTTGGAGTCAGTATGACCAAAAAAAAAATAAATAAATAAATAAAAAAAATGTATTTGGGGTGTTCGGGTTTCCTGAAGGTAATACCCGGGTATTAGGTTATGGGGCTTAGGAAAGGTTTAAGGTTTTTGGCGTTAGGGTTAAAATAATTGTCCAAAACCTTTGTAGGAACTCTTTTCCAACCTTTTGGAGTCAGTTAGACCAAAAAAAAAAAGAAAAAAATATATTTGCGGTTTTCAGGCTTCCTGGAGGTAATACCCGGGTATTAGGTTATGGGGCTTAGGAAAGGTTTAAGGTTTTTGGTGATAGGGTAAAAATAACTGTCCAAAACCTTTTTAGGAACATGTTTCAGACCTTTTGGAGTTGGTTACACCAAAAATAAATGTAAAATGAAAAAAAAATATTTGGGGTGTTCGGGCTTCCTGAAGGTAATACCCGGGTATTAGGTTATGGGGCTATGGTAAGGGTTCAGTTTTTTGGCATTAGGGTTAAAATTATTGTCCAAAACCTTTGTAGGAACTCTTTTCCAACCTTACGGAGTTCGTTAGACCAAAAAAAAGATGAAAAAAATATATATATATATTTGGGGGGTTCGGGCTTCCTGAAGGTAATACCCGGGTATTAGATTATGGGGCTATGGTAAGGTTTAAGGTTTTTGGTGTTAGGGTTAAAATCACTGTCCAAAAACCTTTGTAGAAACTCTTTTCCAACCTTTTGGAGTTAGGTAGACCAAAAAAAAAAAGAAAAAAGAAAAAAAAATATTTGGGGTTTTCAGGCCTCCTGAAGGTAATACCCGGGTATTAGGTTTTGGGGCTATGGTAAGGGTTAAGGTTTTTGGCGTTAGGGTTAAAATCACTGTCCAAAACCTTTGTAGGAACTCTTTTCCAACCTTTTGGAGTTAGTTTGACCAAACAAAAATGAAAAATGAAAAAAAAATATTTGTGGTTTTCGGGCTTCCTGAAGGTAATACCCGGGTATTAGGTTATGGGGCTTTGGAAAGTTTTAGGGTTTTTGGCATTAGGGTTAAAATCAATGTCCAAAACCTTTGTAGGAAATCTTTTCCAACATTTCGGAGTTCGTTAGACCAAAAAAAAGATGAAAAAAAATATATATATATTTGGGGTGTTCGGGCTTCCTTAAGGTAATACCCGGGTATTAGATTATGGGGCTATGGTAAGGTTTAAGGTTTTTGGTGTTAAGGTTAAAATCACTGTCCAAAACCTTTGTTGGAACTCTTTTCCAAGCTTTTGGAGTTGGTTACACTAAAAAAAATGTAAAATGAAAAAAAAAAATAGCCCGAACACCCCAAATACATTTTTTTTATTTTTCATCTTTTTTTTGTTCTAACTAACTCCAAAAGGTTGGAAAAGAGTTCCTACAAAGGTTTTGGACAGTGATTTTAACCCTTACGCCAAAAACCTTAAACCTTACCATAGCCCCATAACCTGATACCCGGGAATTACCTTCAGGAAGCACGAACACCCCAAATATTTTTTTTTCATTTTACATTTTTTTTTTGGTGTACAAACTCCAAAAGGTCTGAAACATGTTCCTAAAAATGAAAAATGAAATAAAAAATATTTGGGGAACTCTTTTCCAACCTTTTGGAGTTAGTTAGACCAAAAAAAAAAAGAAAAAAGAAAAAAATAAATTTGGGGTTTTCGGACTTCCTGAAGGTAATACCCGGGTATTAGGTTATGGGGCTAGGGCAGACATGGGCAAACTACGGCCCCCGGGCCACATACGGCCCGTTAGGCTTTTTAATCCGGCCCGCCGAACTTGTCCAAATTACAGTAAAAACCTCCTTCATTTTCCCCTTTTGCTGCAATGCCTACGTTTCCCCAATAGATGGCGCACTCAAAACACATTGACCGTTGTTGGAGTGGCGCGTATTTCTCTTTATTTCACTTTAATTTTCACTTCGTTTCACGTTGCCATTTGAGCCCTATTGTGAAAATGAGCGGACCAAAGAGAAGGAAAGTGGACAGCGAATGCCGAGTGTTTAATAAGGAGTGGACAACAAAATACTTTTTCACTGAAGTCCGATCAACGGCTGTATGTCTGATATGCCAAGAAGCTGTTGCGGTTTTCAAAGAGTACAATATCAGCCGTCACTTTACCACGAAGCATGCAAACTATGCTAGCAAGCAGTCAACACAAGAACGGGTGGCTACTGCTCAGAGGTTGGCAGCTAATTTACAGAGTCAACAGAACTTTTTTCACCGACAAACTGCAATTCAAGAGTCAAGTACCAAGGCAAGTTATTTGCTGGCATTCAAATTAGCAAAGGCTAGCAAGCCTTTCTCCGAAGGCGAGTTTTTGAAAAGAGTGCATGGTAGAGACAGCAGGTCTCTTGTGTCCGGAGAGCAAAGCCAAGTTTGAAAAAATCAGTTTAGCACGCAGGACAGTGACTCGCCGCGTGGAATTGATTGACGAAGACTTAGTCAGCGAGTTAAACAAAAAGGCGGAGTCCTTTAAGTTATATTCACTAGCACTGGATGAAAGTAACGACATAAAAGACACTGCTCAGCTCCTAATTTTTATCCGAGGGATTAACGACAGTTTTGAGATAACGGAGGAGCTTTTGAGCATGGAATCACTGAAAGGGAAAACGCGAGGAGAGGACTTATATGAACAGGTGTCTGCTGTCATCGAGAGAATGAAGCTACCTTGGAGTAAACTTGCCAATGTCACCACGGATGGATCGCCAAATTTAACTGGAAAAAACGTCGGGCTGCTGAAAAGAATCCAGGATAAAGTGAAAGAAGAAAACCCAGACCAGGATGTTATTTTTCTTCACTGCATCATTCATCAGGAGTCTTTGTGTAAGTCTGTATTGCAGCTTAATCACGTCATGGATCCAGTTGTAAAACTTGTTAACTTCATACGAGCAAGGGGACTTAATCATCGTCAGTTCATTACGTTCCTGGAAGAAACTGATGCGGATCACCAGGACCTACTTTACCACTCTCGCGTCCGCTGGTTAAGTCTTGGGAAAGTGTTTCAACGAGTCTGGGAGCTCAAAGAGGAGATTCGCTCATTTTTGGAGTTAATGGGGAAATCCGACGAATTCCCCGAGCTGAGCGACACAAACTGGCTTTGTGACTTTGCGTTTGCTGTGGACATATTTTCACACATGAATGAGCTGAACGTGAAGCTACAGGGGAAAGATCAGTTTGTGCACGACATGTACACAAATGTGAAAGCCTTCAAATCCAAGCTGGTTTTATTCTCCAGGCAAATGTCAAACAAATCTTTCGCACATTTTCCCACACTAGCCGTGCAGAAAGAGGCCGCCCGATGTGCGAAGAAATACTGCAAATCACTGGACGACCTGCACAGAGAATTTTGCCGTCGGTTCTGTGATTTTGAAAAAATTGAGAAGTCACTTCAACTGGTGTCCTGGCCCCTGTCACAAGACCCCGAATCAGCACCGCAGGAGCTGCAGTTGGAACTGATCGATCTTCAGTCTGACTCCGTCTCAAAGCAGAAGTTCAAGTCTCTTAAACTGAATGACTTTTACGCTTCACTTAACGAGACCACGTTCCCAAACCTCCGGAGGACGGCACAGAAGATGCTGGTGTTGTTTGGCTCGACCTACGTGTGTGAGCAGACGTTTAGCGTCATGAAAATCAACAAAGCCCATCACAGATCCAAGTTAACTGACCAACACCTCAGATCTGTCCTGAGAATTGCCACAACAAAACTAACTCCAGACTTTGATGCACTGGCAAAAAAGGGAGACCAACAACACTGTTCCCACTGAAATTGGTGAGTTTTTCTGCTGTGTTATGAAAAAATGCATATGGAAAGTTTGGAAGTGCGTCTTTTAATTAAGAGCAATGCGCATTTACGCACAGCAGCGGTACAGTAGCTTAATTAACACACCGCACATCGCTCTTAATTTCAATTTCAATTTTCAGCTGCAGGTAGGATATTTAATACAGCCTATGTCTGTGTGCTTGGCAACGATACACGTGTACTGTAAGGTGAGGGCGTCCGTGGCGAGTTTGTAGAGCGCGCGGTCAGGACAATCCATCCATGATTTTGCGGGGTTTAACACAAGTATATATTATTGAGCTTGAGTATTTTGTTGTGTAATAATATGTTTTGAATGTTGAAAGTGATTCCATTTTTCAATAAATGTTGATTTCTTTAACTTTGCACCTTCGATTAAAACTTATTAAAAACAGACGCAATCTTGATAAATCACAGTGCGTATGCTATTTTAATCTATTTACATTTCCTCCTCCCAGTATCGTGCAAAATAGTATGTAAACGCCATATCTTGCATATTCCTTGAGACAAACTTATTAACTGATAAGGGCTATTTTTCACATTTGAAAGACAGTTAATAAATTGGGTTGTAGTGTTCTTACTGTGCTATGAGGTTTGCACACACTACATGTAATGCTTTAGTATGTCCGGCCGAAACACTCCATCCAAATGCTCCTGGCCCGGCCCCTCTGTCAAATTTTAGAACCCATTGTGGCCCGCGAGTCAAAAAGTTTGCCCACCCCTGGGCTAGGGTAAGGTTTAAGGTTTTTGGCGTTAGGGTTAAAATCACTGTCCAAAACCTTATTAGGAACATGTTTCAGACCTTTTGCAGTTGGTTAAACCAAAAAAATGAAAAAAAAATATTTGGGGTGTTCGGGCTTCCTGAAGGTAATACCCGGGTATTAGGTTATGGGGCTTTGGAAAGTTTTAGGGTTTTTGGCATTAGGGTTAAAATCACTGTCCAAAACCTTTGTAGGAACTCTTTTCCAACATTTCCGAGTTCGTTAGACCAAAAAAAAGATGAAAAAAAATATATATATATTTGGGGTGTTCGGGCTTCCTTAAGGTAATACCCGGGTATTAGATTATGGGGCTATGGTAAGGTTTAAGGTTTTTGGTGTTAGGGTTAAAATCACTGTCCAAAAACCTTTGTAGGAACTCTTTTCCAACCTTTTGGAGTTAGTTACACCAAAAAAAAAAATGTAAAATGAAAAAAAAATATTTGGGGTTTTCAGGCTTCCTGAAGGTAATACCCGGGTATTAGGTTTTGGGGCTAGGGTAAGGTTTGAGGTTTTTGGCGTTAGGGTTAAAATCACTGTCCAAAACCTTTTTAGGAACACGTTTCAGACCTTTTGGAGTTTGTACACCAAAAAAAAAATGTAAAATGAAAAAAAAATATTTGGGGTGTTCGGGCTTCCTGAAGGTAATACCCGGGTATCAGGTTATGGGGCTATGGTAAGGTTTAAGGTTTTTGGTGTTAGGGTTAAAATCACTGTCCAAAACCTTTGTAGGAACTCTTTTCCAACCTTTTGGAGTCAGTTAGACCAAAAAAAAAAAGGAAAAAGGAAATAAAACGTATTTGGGGTGTTCAGGCTTCCTGAAGGTAATACCCGGGTATTAGGTTATGGGGCTTAGGAAAGGTTTAAGGTTTTTGGCGATAGGGTTAAAATCACTGTCCAAAACCTTTGTAGGAACTCTTTTCCAACCTTTTGGAGTTTGTTAGACCAAAAAAAAAAGAAAAATGAAAAAAAAATATTTGGGGTGTTCGGGCTTCATGAAGTTAACCCCATAAATGCCAACTGAAATTTAATGACATGAATGTTAATGGCCAATTTGAATTTTTTACCCTGTTTTAGCTGATTAATTTTAATGAATTATAATTGTAATGCCCAATTAGAAATATTTATCCTGTTTTTGACCTATTTAATGTAATAAATTGTAATTGTAATGCCCAATTTTAACTTTTGCCAATTAGAATCGTAATGAATTTGAATTTTTAAAGACAGATGTAATTATGTTAGCCCCTAATTCCCTTTTTAAATTTTAGATGAGATATGCATTTTTAATATTTATGGTTTTAATGTGAAATCATTACTATTTTTAGCCTCTTATGAAATATAATAATTAATAATGAATTAAAAATAATTAGTTAAAATAAATTATTAGTTATTAAAGGTTAGGGTTAGGGGTCAGGGCTAGGGTTAGAGAGGTTAGGGTTAGGGTTAGGGCCAGGGTTAGGGTTAGGGCTAGGTTTAGGGGTTAGGGTTAGGGTTAAGGCCAGGGTTAGGGTTAGATTTGATCCCGAGGGTTAGGGTTAGGGTTAGGGATAGGGTTAGGGTTAGGGTTAGAGTTGATCCCCGAGGGTTAGGGTTAGGGTTAGGGATAGGGTTAGGGTTAGATTTTGATCCCCGAGGGTTAGGGTTAGGGTTAGGATTCTGGTTAGGCGTTAGATTAGGGCTAGGGGTTAGTGGTTAGGGGTCAGGGGTTAGTTATTAGGGGTTGGTGGTTAGTGATTAGGGGTTGGTGGTTAGTGATCAGGGGTCAGGGTTAGGCATTGGAGCCCCTAATCATACGTGGATGTAAAACAAAAATTGATTAGAATTTGATATTAAGGCCAATTGGTTCTTTGGTTTGTAATAAATAAATCCATCTCCTCTCCATGTTTTTCCTGTCCTTATCTGTCCAGAGTAAATTACTCTGGATCCCTGCCATCCTGATGGCCTCGATGCCGTGCTCAATAAAATGTCGTACAAGGGGAGTATTAGTTTCTTTTTGATTTTTTATATTGTACCTATGTTGCCACATTCTTGTTCGTAACGTATTTTTTGTTTCTCCAATGTATTGTTTTCCACATTTGTTGCAAATTATAATATAAACACAGTTTTTAGTTTGTAATGTAAATTTTTGTTTGATTTTGAACATTGTTTTATCCAATTTGTTTGTTACATAGGTCAATGTCTGGAAAAAAATAAATTTGGGGTTTGTATCAATTGGTTGAATCTGTTTTAATTTGGCCCGTACTGAAATGTCTTTTAAATTTTTACTTTTTCTATAAGCTAAAATAATTTGGTGGTGTTTTAATAACCCTGGATCTCCAATTAAGTGTTTGTAATTGTTTTTAATCTGTCTATTTATAATTTTAGTTACTGTCGAATATTGGGTGGTTAAAGGAATAATCTTTTTGGTTGTAATTTTTGTTTTTGTTTCTTTAAATGATTTTAGACATTGCCTCAAAAATGATCTCGAATAACCCCTCTTTCTTAATGCTACAAATAGAATTTTTACAGCTTCCCAAAAATCCTTTTGTTGTGTACAAATCCGATGAAATCGTAATAACTGTGATTTAACTAGACCTTTAAAGGTGTGCTTTGGATGAAAACTGGTTTTGAACAGTAAGGCGTGAGTATCTGTTTTTTTGAAAAATACTTTAATATCTAAACTACCATCTAAATAAAACGATGACCCCTTGTACACCGTCGTATCCAAGAAATCAATTTTATCTTCATGGATTTCATATTTTAATTGTATTGAGGGATCATGACCATTCAAAATTTGCATGAATTCCTCGAATTCTGCACGGGAATAACACCAAATTCCCCAAATATCATCCAGATATCTGAGGTAATGCAGAGGTTTCTTTCGGCATTTTGCCAAGACTTCCTTCTCCCAATTTGCCATGAAAATGTTTGCATAAGCTGGGGCGAATTTTTTACCCATTGCTGTTCCCTTAATTTGTAAATAAAACTCCTCATTGAAAACAAAATCATTCCTAGTCAAATTAATATCTAATAATTTAATTAATTCCTCATCTGGCCTATCATTATCTGGGTGGTCTCTGAAAATATTTTTAACTGTTTCTATTCCTGCCTGTATGTCTATATTTGTGTATAAGCTATCTACATCTAAACTAAAAAATAATGAATTTTGTGGGATCCTCAATTGTTTGATGATGTCAATGAAATGATATGTATCCTTTACATACGAGGCATGGAGCATGGACAAGGGATTGAGATAATAATCAATAAATTCTGCCGTATGGTAGGTTTCACTCCCACAGTCCGAAACAATTGGTCTGCCTGGGGGTATTTCAAATGGTACAGTCCACTTCTGTGGATCTTTGTGAACTTTTGGTAAAATATAAAATCTTCTTTCCCGAGGTTCTCCTTCACCCTTGAGATATTGTACCTGTTTTTTATTAATGTATTTCTTGGTTTTTAAAGTGTCGATGATATCATGGACGATTGGAACTGTTTTCAAATAGAGCGGCTCTGTTAATTTTTTGTAATATTTTATATCATTTAATTGGCGCCGAACTTCTGTGACATATTGATCTCGTCCCATGATTACAACTACACTTCCTTTATCTGCAGGTTTAATAATTATTTCATTGTTTTTCCTTAACTCTTTCAGTGCTGTTATTTCTTGTTGTGTCAAATTTGTTTTTTCCAAATAGAATTTAAAATAATTTTTAAGGTCCTGATTGTCTTTACGGATTAATGTGTGGATTAGGGTTAGGGTTAGGGGTTAGGGTTAGGGTTAGGGTTAGGGTTTAGGGTTAGGGTTAGGTTTGGGGAATGAATCCCGTCTCCCATAGGGAGCGGGGAATGCACGGGCCTTCCCTCGACCGGACACGTTCCCCCAGTCCCGGAATGGCTGGCGGAAGCGCTGGCCTTTACGGCCAAAGCGGACTTCCGTCCAGCCGGCAAGGCCACTCATACATTGAGTGGCCATCAGGTTTGTAGTTAGGGCCCGAGCGTAGCTGCTAAGCAGCTGCGAGAGCCCTCTTGTTCCTGATGGATTCTTCTTTCGTTATTTTTCCTCCGCTTTAAACTGGAAAATGGCCCACTTCCCACTGGCGAAAACTCAGGAAATTTGGCAGGACGACCGGGCCTGGTGAAAAATTTGATATTCTGAAGTCGTCCAAACAAAAAAATGAAAAATGGCTCCATAGCGCCCCCTATGGTGAAAACTCACCTGATGCCTGTACGCTTTGTCAAAATGACACAAAATTTGACACACATGTGTATCTCAATAAGATCTACGAAAAAGTCAGTGCGGGCGTATCTGCCAAATGTACGGTTAAAGGGCTATTTCGCTTTTTTTGCCGATCCGCACACATTGGAATTTCGCTTACTCCTCCGAAGGCTTTCGTTCCACCAGCACCAAATTTGCTCAGGCCAATCTACACCCCATGGCCATTAAAAGTTGTACAAATCATGATGCTGCACCCCACGGTTTACTTTCTAGGGGGCGCCAAAGATAACACAAAAATCCACATTCTTAAAAGTCTTATAACTTTTTATTTTTGTCCTCACTGGCCTCCAAGTTTTCTAGGATGATGCAATGTCCAGCCATCAACACATTTGTGAAGGAATTTTTACTCCCCAAAAGAGCGCCCCCCCATGGCAGGAGAAAAAAGTCCATTTTTTCTTGTCTCCTTAGGTAAAAATACACATTGTTGAGTGTCACGCCTATACACTTTGTCATAATGACACACAATTTGACAATCACGTGTATCTCAATAAGATCTACAAAAAAGTAAATAGGCACGTATCTGTCAAATGTATGGTTAAAGGGCTATTTCGCATTTTTTGCCGATTCGCACACATTGGAATGTGGCTATCTCCTCCTAAGGCTTTCGTCCCACCGATACCAAATTTGCTCAGGGCAATCTACACCCCATGGCCATTCAAAGTTGTAAAAATCATGACGCTGCACCCCACGGTTTACGTTCTAGGGGGCGCCAAAGATGACCCAAAAATCCACATTCTTAAAAGTCATTTTGGCCACTGCAGGAGTACAGAGTACTGCAGTTCAAGGGGGCGCCAAAGATGACCCAAAAATCCACATTCTTAAAAGTCTTTTTGGCCACTGCAGGAGTACAGAGTACTGCCGGACACACACACATATACACACACGCCAACACACACACACACACACACACACACACACACACACACACACACACACACACTCAGAGTCTGTTTTTTAGCACCTGCAAAAACATGCTGTTTACATATTTGACAAGAATGCAGAGGCTTCCTTTTGCCCCTGAAAAAAATCAAATTTCAAACACAACTTGACTGTTCATTTCTCCAAAAGACAACCATGAAGCTCCATCCAAACCTGAAGCAGATAGTTGATGCATGTGTACAGTAACCTGAGGAGAGTGAGGTGACTACTTCTGAGGAGAACATGAGCAGTGAAGATTCACCTTGGAGCTAGAACAGGGACGTGCACATGATTATACAGGGGCAGGGGCTCAAGTTTTTTCCAGTCATTTATACAATATGGAAATTAATGTGAAATTAAACCACAAATATGTGTGATGAACTGTTTTTAAAACTTAAACTTCAAATAAAAATTGTAAACTTCAAAACATATGCAAATTTTTAACAAAGAACATAGTAATTTACCTCTATTTACATCAAAATGCAGGCAATGGCCCAGGCGTTCTTTGTAAAATTATTTACAAAACACTGTATAGTCTCACAAATGTCACTTTTTATTTATGCCACTACAAAAAAACATGATGTAAATGATGCATGATGTAAAACATGATGTAAAAAACTTGTGTAGATCCTCCTCTATGTCAGTCCATGTGTAATTTTTCCATAATTCTTTGTTTTTTGCAGCATTTTTGTTAGTGTAACTGCAGATTGTGCTGACAGTGTCTATGGCAAAAAAAAAAAAAAAACTGAAAATGCCTCAACATGAACTCCTGGTGGTCTCTGAGGGTGAAACCTGCTAACTGTGCAGCTCTCTCAGCTCTAGTCTCCCATGCAGAGCTCGGAGCGCATGTGTGGCTCTGCACCCTTAGCAGCGTTGCTAACTCCTCAGTAAGGAAAGCCTTACGGCCCGAGCGACACAGCTCGGGCCCGCCAGTGCCCCAACGGGGTCCTAGTTTTAATTTGTTTTTTAATTATTAAATGTTTTCTTATTTGAACTGAAATTGTGATTATTCCCACAAAAATGAAATAAAGGCTTACTAAAACAAAATTGTGTTTTTCTTCTGTTTTTTTTTTACTGTTTACTAAATGAAATTATTATTGTGTTTAACCAGAGATGCTATTTTTTTACATACAATATTAAATAAACTGTTTTTAACCCTTTTTTAACATAAATTGTTGATTTTACTCTGTTTTTAAACTTGTTTTTTGAAATAAAATGTTTTTAACCCTTTCTTAAAATAAATTGTTGATTTTACTTTGTTTTTAAACTTCTTTCTTGAAATAAAATATTGATTAACACCCTAAAATATAAAAGTTTTCAAAATATCAACTGTTTTTTAATGTTTTTAAATGTTTTTGTATTTTTTGTTAGTTTTTTAATATTTTTTTGCTTTTTTTAGACTTTTTAATGCTTTTTTTAGACTTTTTAATGTTTTTTTTAGAGATTTTTTAATTTGTTTTGAACCATGAACTCTTTTTAGCCTTCTTCTTGTGTGTCTCTAATGCAACGTTTCGACCTTCATAGGTCTTCTTCAGGCCAAGACACACACACACACACACACTGAAAACAAATGGCAAAGGCTGTTGCCAGAAATATAGGTGTTAACTAAAAGGTTTTCTGAGTGGAAATGAATTATCACTGCTCACGTCTGCCTTTTATATCCTCCGAGAGAAAATTAGAATGAATTTCCTTATTTTTTAACTGAATTTCCTTATTTTTTAACTAAATTATTTACCCTTTTTAGTTTAGCTGTTTTTAACCCTTTAATATCCTTGCAGACTATTTACCACGATAATATATGAACTTATTTATTTAAATTATTTATTTATTTATTTATTTTGTTATGAATTAATTAATTTATTAACCCCCTAGGGTTAGGGTTAGGGCTAGGGTTAGGGTTAGAGCCCAATCGATTAATTTATTAGGGTTAGGATTACGGGAAAAGGGGGACTGTCTCCTAGAATAGGAGACAGGAGGTGCACGGTCCATCCCCCTGTTCCCCGTCCCCCACGTCCTCGTTTGGTACTGCTGATTAGTGCAGTACGGGCGTCGACCACGCCTTCTCCCGTATCGCACTTCAGTCCATTCTTGCTCATTGTAATTCATGATTGTTTTTAATCTTTTTAATTATTAATTACTATTTATCAATGTGGTGTATTTATTAAACTATTTATTTATTTATTGGTGTATCTTTCTATCTAATTTATTTATTTATTGAAATGAAGGTATTTAAAACTAAAACAGTATAACCAAATAAATGAATTGTTCTGATTTTTTATGCTTTTTTGTTTTTTTCTGAAATCAAAATGAAATAAAATGAAATAAAAGAAAGAAAACTGAATAAAATGTCTATGAAGACGAAGAAATAAAGAAAAGGTGTAATAAAGAGTGCCCAGTCGCGACGTTTCGACCGCTGTGGGTCTTCTTCAGGCTATGGGCACAAAAGGGAATATGTCTGGACTTGTCTGAGTGTGTTTGTGAGATGCTTTCTCTTCAGGAGACATATGAGAAATGAGAGAAACTGAGCTCTGTGTGCCTGTGTTATTTAGGGGCGTGGGAGAGAGCAGAGCGCAGCTGCGCACCCATAAGCTAGACGGGGGCCCCGGCCGTCTGGGTGCTGTCTGGGTGCAGTTAACCCCATAAATGCCAACTGAAATTAAATGATATGAATGTTAATGGCCAATTTGAATTTTTTGCCCTCTTTTAGCAGATTAATTTTAATGAATTATAATTGTAATGCCCAATTAGAAATATTTATCCTGTTTTTGACCTATTTAATATAATAAATTGTAATTTTAATGCCCAATTTTAACTTTTGCCAATTATAATTGTAATGAATTTGAATTTTTTAAGACAGATGTAATTATGTTAGCCCCTAATTCCCTTTTTAAATTTTAGATGAGATATATATTTTTAATATTTATGGTTTTAATGTGAAATCATTACTATTTTTAGCCTCTTATGAAATGTAATAATTAATAATGAATTAAAAAGAATTAGTTAAAATAAATGATTAGTTTTTAAAGGTTAGGGTTAGGGGTCAGGGCTAGGGTTAGAGAGGTTAGGGTTAGGGCTAGGGTTAGGGTTAGGGCTAGATCTAGGGGTTAAGGTTAGGTTTTAGAGATAATCCCGTCTCCCCTATATCGCCCTACTTGGGTCTGCGGGGAGCGGGGAAAGCACGGGCCTACGCCCCGCCGGACACGCTCCCCGGGTCCCGAAAGGCTGGCGGCTACTTCCGCCAGCTGTAAGCCATATTTGGTTTGATGTGTATTAATTTATGTTTAAATTCATTGTAGTCTTATTTGACTTACTCACACACACACACACACATAAACAATTCATACATGATCTATATTTGATCTATGTATACAGTGTGCCAGCATCGACGACGTTTCGACCCTGCTTGGGTCTTCTTCAGGTCTGGGCACACTAAGCAGATAAGGCTGCTGGGCCCCAATTCATAGGGGCGGACCAGCCAGCAGCCAGAAAGAAATGAAAAGCCCTACCAACTTTTCTCCCTTTTTATCCCCTCAGCCAATAATTAGAATGAATTTACCTATTTTTTAAGTTATTATGTGCTCTAATATATGTATATATATATTATTATATATTAATATATGTATTTTAATCCCAAGATTAGGGTTAGGGTTGCCTCTAAGGTTAGGGTTAGGGTGAGTCCCAGGTTAGGGTTAGAATCCCATACCAGGGTTAGGGGTTAGGGTTAGATTCCCAGGTTAGGGTTAGTGCTGGGGTTAGGGTTAGGGTCAGCGCCATGGTTAGGGTTAGGGTGAGCGCCATGGTTAGGGTTAGGGCTAGATGCCAGGCTGGGGTTATCATTAACAGCCGCCCGGACTGCGAGTTTGGATAGGGTTAGGGTTAGGGTTAGGGTTGGGCTAGGGTTAGGGTTAGGGTTTTGGCTAGGGTTAGGGCTAGGGTTAGGGTTAGGGTTATGGCTAGGGTTAGGGTTAGGGTTTGGCTAGGGTTAGGGTTAGGGTTGAGCTAGGTATACGCATTTTGGAGGTGACCCACCCCCTTGGTAACTTTTGAACGGAAGGTCGTAGAGCGCTGAAACTTGCATGTTGGGGGGTGGAAGATTTTTCTGAGTCCAATGAACCAACTCCCGAGTCTCTAGGACGTTCCTAAAAAAAGTTGATTTCTTCCCATAGGAATGCATGGGAAAAAAATGCCGACCCAATTTTTCACCTTCCAGAATTGTGTTAGGAGCACGTTTCAGGCCACGGGGAGTCTATAGGACCTAATTCTGGGGGAAGTTTTTGAAAAGTTAGGGTTAGGGTTAGGGTTGGGGTTAGGGTTGGGCTAGGGTTAGGGTTAGGGTTAGGGTTGTGGCTGGGGTTAGAGTTAGGGTCAGGGTTAGGGTTTGGATAGGGTTAGGGTAAGGGTTGGGCTAGGGTTAGGGTTAGGGTAAGGTTTGTGGCTAGGGTTAGGGTTAGGGTTAGGGTTGTGGCTAGGGTTAGGGTTAGGGTTTGGATAGGGATAGGGTTAGGGCTGGGCTAGGGTAAGGGTTAGGGTTAGGGTTGAGCTAGGTATACGCATTTTGGAGGTGACCCACCCCCTTGGTAGCTTTTGAACGGAAGGTCGTAGAGCACTGAAACTTGCATGTTGGGGGGTGGAAGATTTTTCTGAGTCCAATGAACCAACTCCAGAGTCTCTAGGACGTTCCTAAAAAAAAGTTGATTTCTTCCCATAGGAATGCATGGGCAAAAAAATTTGAAAATTTTTGTAAGTGCCGACCCAATTTTTCACCTTCCAGAATTGTGTTAGGAGCACGTTTCAGGCCACGGGGAGTCTATAGAACCTAATTCTGGGGGAAGTTTTTTGAAAAGTTAGGGTTAGGGTTAGGGTTAGGGTTGGGCTAGGGTTAGGGTTAGGGTTGTGGCTAGGGTTAGGGTTAGGGTTGAGCTAGGGTTAGGGTTAGGGTTAGAGTTGTGGCTAGGGTTAGGGCTAGGGTTAGGGTTAGGGTTAGGGTTACACTACTGTGTAATTGTTGAAGCCACTGCAAACACGCACGCACGCACGCACGCACACACACACACACATAGCCTCCTTATATCCAGCTGTTGCATATTTTCACATTCAGTTCAGTTGTTTTATATTCAGTTGTCAGTCACTTCTAGGACTGGCAGTAACTAACATATAGGCCCTCTCTCTCTCTCTCTCTCTCTCACACACACACACACACACACACACACACACACACACACACACACACACACACACACACACACACACACACACACCAGTTATGTCAAAATGCTTTTGGAGTGTTTAATAAAAAGCTTCCAATCAATAAAGTTTTGTCGTTATCCTGATTTTTCAATGTTACGTTTCACCCCCGGGTATGCAGACCCAGACTATGGGGTGAATTGTAACATTTCACTCCTTGTCATTGAGACTAAATTATGCGTAGTCTATTTGTATTGCAGGGGTAGCTGCTGCTACGGCCTTTATTAGCAGACACATATACCTGGTTTGTTTCACAATTTGAATGCATTGGCTTAAAAGAGCTCTAAGGTACAGACAAAAAATGTCAAAAATGTTACAGCCATCCCCCTACTATGAAATAAGATGGACTCGTCCTCCTGTGTCCAACCCCAAACTGCTGATCAGGAAGAGATAATGTTGTCAAAGCAGTCAGCAGGGGGGTTGACGCTCCTCCACACTCCACCCTTCTCTCTCTCCCACCTCCAGCACAACAAACCATGTTTGGACTTGAGGCTTTTATTAGTTTAGTAATTGCATCGTACATCAAAGTTGTGAGGAGCCTGCACTGTCTGGCGCATGCCGATAAGGTGCCTGGTCGCGAGTTGGATGACGGACAGTATCATATAGTGTCTCCAACACTGCCTCCGTGAATACTTTAATTAACTATCGACAGCGAATAAAAGAAGTCCTTTTGTGCGGGACTGGAAGTCCTGCTGAAGTGTCCTCGAGCAAAGAAAGCGTGACTGCTACAGGCATTCACACACGCAGATCTAAAACACAGGTTTTTTTAATCATGCCATGAACGTGTGCATAGGGCTGCAGATCAAGCACACCAGAAATGAGTCTTTGCAAGTTCACTTTCATATGTTGTGATTTACTTTTGGTGCGTTTGAATGGATTCTTGGGGAGTTAGCACAATCTAAATTTTATTTTTCATGCTTTCATTTTTTATCACAGTTGACTTCCATGCAGACCTATCTTGTATTTTACCCTCCTTGACAGACAAAAACATGAAAGCCCTGATAAAGTTGCACTTTTTGATTTTTACTACATAGGGGAGAGTGGGGTAAGTTGAGCCAAAGGGAAAGTTGAGCCAACCCCTGTTGCTTGGAAATGGTAAAAAAAAAAAAATTGATCATGTGACCAAATATTTAGGAGATGGGCATCAATTCATGGAGTCTGTGAAGGTTTAAAAGCACATGGGTTAAGGGGTTAGACATTTATTTAAAAAACATTTTTCACTCTTGAAAGTAAATTTAGTCTGTCTTTAGTTTTATTAGAATTGTGTTCAGACCAAAAAGGATAATTTTAAATTTGTTTTATACATCAATTGTGGTATCTATGAGCTACAACATGAGATCAAAAACCTAGAATAAAAGTCCACCATTTTAGCTTAGAGGACTAATAAAGTCATAATAGTAGTTCTGGGGTAAGTTGAGCCAGTGGCTCAACTGAGAAAGCAAATTAGTCTGATGAGAGGATCAGAGTTTCAGTTCAGATTGTTGAAATGTGTTACTTTTTCTTCAAAAATACAGCTGTGAATGTTCTGAATCACTTAAAGTCATTCTCATGTTAAAATGACTTTTTACAAAACAGCTTTTTAGCAGCTATACGCAATAATAATGAAAAGAATTATTGTACCTTTTGAATAGTGAGGGAGGGCTGGGGGTGGAGAGTCGGGGGGGTAGTAGGGATACGGCTCAACTTACCCAGCTCCTATGGTCAACTTACCCCATAGAAGACCACTTTTTTGGCATGCTATATTATCAAGACAGTTATGTTTACACTCATTCTGTTGGTTTTCAGGGGTGCACAACATCTTGAAATATATGCAGATAAACAAGTTATAGACAAAACTATGATTACCTTGATGTAGTGATCTGAAATATGAAAAATGGCTCATCTTACCCCACTCTCCCCTACGATTTGCCTGACCTCATCGATGTCTGTCCCTTGCTCTCAAAGGGTTTACACACATAGTTATGTTTGTAACATGCTTCCAAGTTAGTTATGACATTAAAAAACCCCACTCTTGTCAACTCAGGTTTGAGGTAAACACTAAGAGCCCGAAACAGCCTTAGGTGAAAGCATGCAGAATGTCACTGCATACTGATTCTAAAGAAATCCAGAGACAAAAAGAATACTTTTAGTTTCAACTCACATAATTATTAATATTAAGGGGGGGTTATCTCTCTCTGAATCATCAACCAAAATTGTGAAGACTGTTCAACTCTGAGTCAAGCAAATTCTGTTGGTGCTCTCCATGGTGCTGAATTTGTGTGTTTGCACTTTGTTTGTTCTTTCCGGTATTTTTAACTCTTTCTTTTCTAAGTTGGTTGTCTGGTATCAAATCACCATCAAAATACATGTTCAGTAGCAATCACTATCATTCCCAGAGAACTTTGCTTGGCCTCTATTCACAGGGTCCCAATGGGCGTGAATTTCCTTAGTTAACGAACGATATACAGAGAAAATCAAGGCCCAGTTTTTAGATTTCTGCAGAGCTTTCAACACGCAGAAAGCCAGAAGAATTACCTCTAAGCTGGTGAATGGTTGTTGTTACACAAAATGGCAAAGACAAGGCTCAGGCTCTAATAGATGATGGTTGTAAAAGTGTGTTCATGAAAATAGGTCTCTCTTTTCTAACTTGTTTGCTATGTCAAATAAATCCAAAGAAAGATGTTGTTGTTGACATTAAGCTTCGTAATCAGTGCCAGACTGAGTGGAACAATAAACCCAAACAGTTGTAATCTTCGTCTTGACTTGATTGGACATAAACCTCTTAAAAGGTGAAACATGGGACACCTGTAGTCCAGAGCTTAACCTCACCTCCTGACCTGACTCCAGAAAGACGTTACACAGAAAATAACCAGACCCCCGAGGGATTATAGAGCAACTTAGGGTAACATTTACAGAGAAATAGAATTAAACATATTAAGACATATCACAAAGTATTAGTTTTTATCTCACAGATCCAACCCTTCAAATATTATTCAGTGCTCTTTATGAGCGTATGTTTCGCCAGTTATCACTTGTGCCACTGAGCATCACTTTGTTTGAAAAACCATACTATTAATACAGTTACAAATGAAGTGCTGTTTATTCTTCAGAGATGTATCATACTTATTTATGCATATTTGTTCTCATAATCACACATAAAAATCAAATACTGCTTTATTTAGCGGGAAGACCTGGTTTACAATCAGTTGAATATGTTGTTTGCTGTATTTGTTGTACTTTTCTGTTCCTTTGAATATACAAAATCAGTTTTTATCAACTTTGAAACACTGTGTAGTTGTGTTTTAAAACAAGAGTATTGTTTCTGGAGATGCCTTTCAGTTTTGTGTTGAAATAAGACTTTCAAACAAGAAGCATTTCACTGGGTGCAAAACAAGCCGTCTCTCGATCCTTCTGCTCAGCTGGAGTAGTCAGATATATTTTTGTGACACTTACTTAATACACTTATCCAGTTGGGGAACACCGTGGAGTCATCCAGCTAGAGTGGCCATATAATCAGGTAAAAGGTGTGGGATCAGGGATCATCATTCGAGGGAATTACTCTTCACAAATCCTTTATTCTTAGAACCGGGGCGTTTAATCTCACCACTCCTAGGTGGTGCATGGAGCATCTCCCTCAGACGCTCCAGGAGAAGAGGAGGACACCACACCACTTTTTACACCTCTGCATCCATGCAGCCGTACGAGTTTTCCCACAATGGTTCATCATACCTGGGACCGCAAGGAGAGCCCCCTCTGTCACGCACAGGCTTCATCATCCTCTCCATCATCATGGCTCTTTTCACCGGTCCGGCCATTGTGCTCAATGCTACGGTGATAATTGTGTCCCTCATGCACAAGCAGCTGAGGCAGCCGCTCAACTTCGCTCTGGTGAACATGGCGGTGGCTGACCTGGGTACGGCCATGACTGGAGGGGTACTGTCTGTGGTCAACAACGCTCAGGGGTACTTCTCTCTGGGAAGGACAGGCTGTGTTTTAGAGGGTTTTGCAGTCTCTCTCTGTGGTAAGTATTTTAATTACTTACATTTTTATAGCACAGAAAGTTTTGAATTCCTGACATATTCAATCATTTTCAACAATAATCCCTTACCCCTGTCTTGAATGTCCACCGGTGCTTCTCTGCAGGCATCACATCTCTGTGCACAGTTGCTCTAATTGCTTTGGAGAGGATGTTTGTCGTGTGTAAGCCGTTGGGGCAGATAACCTTCCAGAAAAAGCATGCAGCTGGAGGCATCGCCTTGTCCTGGCTGTGGTCCCTCACATGGAACTTGCCCCCTCTCTTTGGTTGGGGCAGGTATGAGCTGGAGGGTGTGGGGACATCCTGCGCACCTGACTGGCACAACAAAGACCCCCACAATGTCTCCTACATCCTGGTTTATTTCACAGTGTGCTTCGCTTTTCCTTTCGTAATAATCGTGGCATCCTACACCAAGCTCATGTGGACTCTACGCCAGGTGAGAATTTCAGGATTTATGGTACTTTCATCGTAGCCTACAGCAGAGGGGGAAAAAAATATTTTTTTAGAAAAGCAACATACCTACACACAAAATAAATATTACTTCTATGATATACTTTCATATTTAGTTGAGATTCACAAGTATGACAAAGCTAAGGGTCAAGAAAATCCAGTTCAATCCGTGCTGACCAAAGTGCTGTACAGTGAAAATTATTTACAATTAAAATTAAATTAAAAATTAAAAAAGACAATTAACACGAACAAAAGAACAAAGACACAGGAACACATTAAAAACAAAGGGACATAGATTGATCCGTAAAAACCTGATTAAAAGGCCAAGTTCTCAGGAGTTAAAAGCCAGGGAGTAAAAATGCGTTTTCAAGTTTGATGTAAAGATCATTGGAAAAAGTCCGGTCACCCCTGAACTTTAATCTTGACCTAGGGACAGTCAGAAGGCACTGGTCAGAGGATCTGAGAGTCCGAGATGAAATAAAAGGAACAAGCCAGTTTAAAGATTTATAAGTAAATACCAACATTTTAAAATCAATCCTAAAACGCACAAGAAGCCAGTGAAGAGAGGCTAAAATAGGGGGAATGTGGTCATATTAAGGGGGGCCTGATAAAAGACGAGCTGCGGCATTTTGAACGAGCTGTAAACGATTAAGAGAGGAAGAAAAAGCAGAGGATAGATGTGAGTTTTCAGAAGAGATTTTAAAGAGGACACTGAGTTTGCCCGTCGACATCCACAGCTGCTGCGGCGCGGTCACCTCCTGTGACCAGTGGAGATTTGAGAACCAGAAGTAGGGCCCTGCTAGAAGACCTTAGACTGGATTCAAGTTCATAGAGAGTAAATCTCACAGATAAAGGCTGGAGCCTGGTCATGGACTGGTGTTACGTGGCCACTTCACCCAATGTGAATTACAGTCAAACCAGTCTTTAGATGTTCTGCTTGCTGATGCTGGATTAAAATGCTGAACAGTGGTCGATTCTGGAAGAAGTAAAGACACGGGTGACTTTTCTGGGTTGGCAGAAGAAAGACCAGATCTGATCTGAGTGAGCTGTCAAAGCAAGACTGCCTAAGTCCGGCGTAAGTCACTTCAACACCCAGATGGCCAGTTTGCAAACATTTTTAGATAAAACACTCAGACTGGGAAATGGGAGGGGGTGATCCCAGTGGGTTTAAATCCTACAGGACATAATGTGAGAAACATCTGTGACGCAAGGTTTTAGATCAGATTAGATTGGATAGAATTTTATTGATCCCTTTAGGAAGGTTCTCTCAAGAGATTAAAATCCCAGCGACAGGGCTTAGAGTTTACTGTCACCTACACAGCAGATCAAGTTCATAACATGCCTACACAGGATTAACCATAGGAGAAGAATGTACATGGTGCATAAGAACTGAAGCCCATTGAAAATAGGAGTGGAAAACCCAATAAGACAATGAACAGTTAATGCTAAAGTAAAAAAAGTTAATCTCTTCATTTTGTTTGTATGTAAAGAAATTTAAAATGACAGTTTTAACAAATGAGACTGTACAGAAATATCTATAAATCAGATTCTAGATTAAAACACACCCCTGCTCACCCTTGTGGATAAAGCAACATAGATCTTTAAAGACAAGAAGTTCCTGTGATGCATGAAATCTTTGATAACACTATTTCCCAAATTTTACCATCAATAATGTCTATTTGTACAAAATCTTCTGGGTATGACAACCACTCTTGTCTCTTTCTGCCTCTTTGTGTTCCAGGTGTCGAGGATGGCCTGTGTCGAGAGCGGCGCAGTGGCTAAAGGAGAGATGAAGGTGGCGTTCATGGTGGTTCTGATGGTCATTACATTTCTGATAAGCTGGATGCCTTACGCTAGTTTGGCCCTGGTGGTGGTCTGCAATCCCGATCTGAGCATCCACCCCTTGTTGGGCACGGTGCCAGTTTACCTGGCCAAGAGCAGCACTGTGTATAACCCCATCATTTACATCTACCTGAACAAACAGGTGAGCAGGGATGAGTTTGAGTGAGATTAAGCAGCGCCAAATGAGCTGTTATTTTGAAACACTATCACCATCTAGTGGTGAAGACTGAGATAAGGATTTACACCTTAGTAGAGTTTAAGGCATATTTTGAGATAGAAAAACAACATCTTCCTCTTCACCCAGATATTTGGATATTCTACTGTTTCACCTCTTCCTCATTTAATCAAAGATGCTGTTAAGAGACACTGGCACCTCATTTAAAGTGATAGTATTTTTTAAAAACTCTGGTGTTTGCAAGGAATCAGAGGAACAAACTGTGAAAACAAAAAATTCATGTGAAATCCAAACACTTACTTCTCCTCCTCATGATAATTATATGATGACCGTGTAGCCAAACAGATACAGTACAGGCCACAACCTTCTCATTCAACGCATTTTCTTAATTCTTATTACTATTTTAATTGTGGATTCTCACTGAAGGCATCAAAATTAATCATGTGCTCAAGAAAAAAGTGTGAAATAACTGAAACCATGTTTTATATTTTAGATTCCTCAAAGTAGCCACCCTTTGCTTTTTTGATAGCGCTGCAAACTTTTGCTGTTCTCTCAATGAGCTTCATGAGGTAGTCACCTGAAATGGTTTTACTTCACAGGTGAGCCTTGTCAGGGTTACTTCGTGACTAAGTACTTCTGTCATCAAGAGCAAAGGGTGGCTATTTTAAAGAAACTAGAATATAAAACATGTTTTCAGTTATTTCACACTTTTTTTATTAGTACAAAATTCTACATGTGTTTATTCGTAGTTTTGATGCCTTCAGTGATAATCTACAATGTAAATGGTCATATAAAAAAATAAAGAAAAGACACTGGATGAGAAGGTGTGTCCAAACTTTTGGCCTGTACTGTATATCTCTGCCATAATTAAATTGGGCCCATCGTTATAACTCTACGATATAACCCAGGCGACAGAGTGATAGAGGGACAAACAGAGCTCTTTCAGAACTCGCATGGAAAGCTTTCATAATCTTGTTTCCTTAAATCTTAGATTTGTCACATTTGTTTCCAGGAAAATATACCTCTGTGTTGATCATGTTTATGTTTGATACTGTGATGTCAGAAACAATCCCTTTCACTCCAGTCTGAGAAACCCTAATGAAAGTCTTAGACAAAGGCACACCAGTTTCCTCGTTACATACTCTGATATTTAGTGTACTAATGTCTTCATACTTATATTGATTATTGAACATCTTTATTATTGCTTTTTTATAAATGTAGACAACATGATCACTGATTAGAATAATGATGCACCTCGTTCTGCTGCTTGTGAACTAACTTATCTTTCTTTTTCTCCAGTTTCGTAAATATGCGCTGCCCTTCCTTCTGTGCGGCAGAGCAGCCACTGTGGAGGATGAGGAGTCAGAGAACGCAACAACTGTTGAGACAAAACAGGTGTCACCCGCCTGAAATGAGCAAACATACTGAAAAAACAACAATTAAAAACACAGTTCTCTCTGTGACAGAATACAAATGAATGAGAAGAGTAATTCAGCATAAATTTATTCAATGATGGTCAATAGAAAATAAAATAGTATCCATTGAATTAAAGTCAAGGCCTAAATCAAATGAAAAATACAAAAAAATGTATTGATACAAAACCTAGAAGGTTATAGTAAAGCATTTGCTACTAAGAGAAATGATGTTTACTGAATAAAAACATTAAGGAGCAAATATCAAGACTTTCAAGTAAGAGAACATTACCATGGGTCTTTCCATACTTTTGTACATATTTTACATTATCTTCTATTTTAATACATCTTTCAGAACATTAATAGTAGTAATAGCAATTATAATAATAAGAATATGAAGAAAACTAATAGAAACGTTCAAATCAATATGTTTCTCTGTAAATTGGTACGTTTTACCGTTTGAATTTTTTCCCCACCCACACACAGAGAAACAGTGCACCTTGAAAATATTTTTTAATACTCGTTCATTCCCAGCATTGTAAGGTGAGTTGTAAATGACAAATATAGATTTCACTAAACCATACACAGTCACAAAAAGTACAAAATTGTCTCACCTCAATACACAAATCTGTTTAGAAAAAGGAGAAACAAAAGCACTATACAGTAACTTGTGCAAAGACAAACAGCTATGTGCTAATATTTAAATACCATTGGTATAGACCCAACCAAATCGTTATTTTCTTTTTCTCAGGAATCCCTGACATGAGGTAAAAGTAAGTTATTTTTCGTCTTTAGTTTAACACAACTTTTAAAAGTGTTTACAAAATAATGCATATCTTCAGTTCATCAGTACTGTAATTGCTACGAATAGTACAATGTGCCTGTTATGTGCATTCGCCCTTTAATGTGACAGTCGTCAACGAGGGACAAGCACACTTTTTTTTTTTTTTTTTTAACTCACAAACAATTCAAAGAGCCCTTTCAATGTGCACACAAAATGGAAAACCTACATTTTCATGACAGTATTCGGTTGAATTAGAGTACAAGACGCACTCACCTACAAATCAAACACCCATGAACAACAGATCACATTTACCCATAATACCTTTAATTAAAACTCTCCATGGTAACGCCTGAAAAAGCCCACTTCACCTTATTTATCTCATTACTTGTATTGGTACGGATCAATAAAAGATAATTCACCACATGATATTTGTGGGCTCCTTTTTCCCCGTCTTCAGGGTTAGGTTCTCGTCTAGTCTCATTCATAAATATGATTAGGGGGACACAAAAGGTTCTTCTCTCTTTCAAAGACTGCATTGTGGGACGCTGGGACAGACAGGAAAGCCGACACAATGATATGTTGTCACGTTGCCTAACGAGGTATTCTGTATGCAGGAACCAGGCAGGCTGAGAGAGAAAAGGGGGGTAAGGGGTTCGTATTGCTTAGCCTCTCTCCAGCATCCTGACAGCAGGACACTCTCTGTCCTCCACCTACAACATAAGTCTGTTTCTGACCTTTGGATGTGTGCATATGTCGCCTGCCGGCACACACACACACACACACTACATGAAGGCTGAGATGTGATTGCCAAGATTCATTACAAAGGTTTTAATGGAAAACCCCATGATTGGCAGAGCGTAAGTCACGGGAAATCCCAGCACAAGCAATGAGAAATATCAATTTATCCCTGTTATCACCTTCTCTCGTGTTTCCTTCCTTCAGCAGCAAAAAGGCATTCGAGTAGGGGCTGAGAAAAACAAGGTTGGACTCTGAAACCAACTAAAAAAGCAGCATTGTAAATGCACTATGCATCTGAAATTCATGTGCATGCCCTGCACAAAATATGCAAACAAATGTGGTTGTCACATCTGTAAAAAATTTCAGCCCTGGATCCTTAAAGCTTGCCTCTAAAAATACTCCTTTAAAGGGGGCTTAACCTTATGCAACTGGTGTTGGTTGGATGTATTAACACATGTACGCCTATGCTAAGAAATTAAAGCCTTTTGCATATCTTGTGCAGTCGTGTTGTTACACAAGCAGAACCTCTTAAAAATGTAAAAATTAAGGATCTGTATAAGCAAAAAACATGAAAGGCAAATAAATATCAGAATATTGTACCTAATAAAATATGCAAGGCTGCTTTTATAGCATACCAGGAGTCACAAGGGTCCATATTGCTGATCTTTTAAATTATACATAATTACAAAATATAGAATATCTCTTTACAAAGGTTCTTTTTGTTTTATAATACAATTTACAGCATATCAACTATGAAATATTAACGAGGCTATTCTAAAATTTTAAAACAACCTGCCTGCTAGTGCATTTATCACAAATGCTTCAAAAGCACACATCTCAAGTTGAGTGATGCTAAAAGAAGGACAGTTAGTTCCTGCATAATCTGGTACAGCTCTACTGGTGCTCTTCACTGTCAGACTCAGCCTCAGCAATCATTTAACGCTCTGTCCTAACAACAAAAGGGTTGAGTTTTACTAACCACTACGAGGGGGGAGATATGCCTTTCTATGCTTGCATTGAAAACTTGCATGATATGCCAAACCTTAATAAAGTGACCAAGGTAATGACATCGTACATCTGATTGTCATCACCCAAAAAGACCCGTCCAGGAGAGTGTCTCACACCTTTGCCCACCGATCCATCTTTCACTGGCATGGATGTCCTTATCTCTGATTGGCTGCAGGCTGGACCTGTGTGTGGCAGCCTTTGGAAGGTGCAGTCAGTCCCTCTGTGCTCAGCAGGGCGGAGTCTGGCTCTGTGCTGTGACCTCCTTTGCTGGCAGGTGTAGAACGAATCAAAGAGCGGGGCTAAGTGTCTCTTCTTTATGCCTTTTTCTCTTCACTGTTAAAGGCACTTCTTTTGGTCAGAGCCAACAGATGCATTTCTTATTTATTTTTTTAAATTTTCACTGATATAGTGGTTCTAAATTTGCAGATCCCTTCAGCCACTGCTATAAAGTTGTGATGCAGATCATCTCGTCTGCCAGATCCTCCTCGTAAGGAGCTCTGGGTTCTGTCTCTGGCTCCTCGTCACTGTAGCTGGCTGCTGTGTCCTGCAGTTCATAGTCCCGTGGTGTCAGGATGGGGAACACGTTGACCCCATTGACGCACGGGGCCATTCCTCCGTTCAGCAGGTGACTGGCTGCACTCTCCATCTCGTCTATCGTCATCTCACATGCGTCTGCTATCTCGTGCTTTGTGGCAGCAACAAACTTTGGGTCCTTGGCGTATCTCCCGAGCCCTTCTGATATCAAAACCTGCCACGGGGGGGAAAACATCGCTTCAGATCATTTTCAAATGTGCTCGTGAGGTCGTAATCAAACATCAAACTCACCGCTTCCACAAGGCTGGTGGCGCTGCCTCTCTTTTGGTGGTACTGGTTGTGGTACTCAGGTGGCACCTGCAGGTGGATCGGCGAGTACGTCCTCTGGGTGAAGTCCGGGTCGTCTGTGTACCACGAGCTCTTGCGCACTGACACCTGGCTGCTAGAAGCACTCCCCCTGTGTGGGTGGTCCACTCTGATGAGAGGGGTATAGTACGGAGACTGGTCTTTACTGGCCGGGGTGGCAGGGGGTGTGGCCCAGGAGCGAGTGGAGCGGGTTGGGGAGAGGCGGTGCGCTCTGCTGGAGTCTAAGCCTGCTACAGCCATAACCTGGTAGGTCAGCAAAAACACAGGGTTCAAATTCATTCATAGAGATAAACATACAATTAAACTAGGGTGAAACACACTGTAACACTGACCATCAAGGGATAAATGTTGCCGACCGCTTGCTTCTCTAGTTATACCAACTTTAGTAACGACCGCAGATAGAAGTACAGAGAGCCTTGTTTGTACAGAGACCTTCGGGCAAGTCCATCGACTGCAGCGGGGTGCCGCAGCTCAAGGAAGAACATCTATGATCATTTCATCATGGAAATGCAATCAGACCGAGACGCTAAGGCAGAAGAACTACCGCGTCTGGAGTGCAAAATTATTAATATGATGATTATTACTTCAAGGAAATGATAAAGAAATTATCATTAATGTTGTTCCTTGAGCTGCAGCACCCCGCTGCAGTCGATGGCCTCGCCTGGAGGTCTCCGTACAAACAAGCAGATGCTGGAAGAGAGTTGGTGAGTTGTGTTTAGTCTCTTGGCTAAAGAAATAAGGAAAAGTTAAAAAGATGTTTGGTGGCTAGTGCTATGGCTGGGACCCTATATGTACTGTTGATGAAGTTAGGTGCTGTTCTGATCATTATTTGTGGTTATAGAGTGTTGTTTTGGTTGAGCGCATGGCTCTCTGTATTGCTATCTGCGGTCGTTACTAAAGTTGGTATAACTAGAGAAGCAAGTGGTCGGCAACATTCATCTCTACGCTGGAATATCCCTTTGAGAGAACATCTGATTAGTGTGTTTTGATTTCAAGATTTAATAGTATGAAAGAAAATAATTCCAGAAATGTCCAAACTGTGCAGAAGTGTACCAAACAATGCATGTGAGCAATCCAGACAGGTGAGACATGTTCCTGTGTTACCTGGTGCTGCATGAGGTGCAGTGGTAGAGCTGTACGCTGATGTGGAAGCTCGTCCTGGCTACTCTGTCTGCGCAGACATTCAAAGTTGAAGGATGGCCTCCTGTTACCTGAGCAAGTCAGGAGTGGACCAGTGAGTGACCTCATGCAGGAAACTTTGACAGCATGCAATACTGAAAAAAAAACCTCACAGGGAATATGATGCTGAGTGGGTGGATAACTAATACTCTCAGTGCCTCACGTACAGTATGAGTGCTTTTTTAGACAGTAACTTTGATGATGAAGAAAACACTTTAATGGGTTCTGTCCTGAAACCTGTTAACTGACTTTCTTCAGAAATAAAGTTCAATAAAGATAAACCCAGAGTGGCAGCTGTGGGTACAAAGTGTCCCAAAGCAAAATTTCACTTTGCTTTCTCATTCATAATTTTACAGTATGAACTTTCTTCACTCATGAGTTTGTTTGAAGCACATACTTTGAAATACTCTTTGACAGTGTCACAAATATATAGTCATTCCAGGTATACATTTGTTTACATACTTAAAAAAATAATAATTTGGGTAATTCTAGGCCCCCCCACCTCTCTAAGATCCTCTGCAGATCCCAGCTAAATCATACTGGATTTTTTTGTTTCTTTTACGTGCATTTGGGATAACACTCAAGGAATGAATTGAGACACAAAGTCAAACTTTTTAAAATGTTTTTAAAACAGCTGATCTAGTGTTGAAAAGACAAAAGGATAAGATACCTTGAGGTGTGGCAGGAAGCAGCCGTCTCTTTGGTGACCTCCGTGAGTCACGATAAAGTGGCTGCTCATCATCGTCATAGTAACTGTCAGGGTGATGGTAACCTTTGGGAGTCTCATACTCTGTATCACTGTTCTGATACCTGTGGACATGAACAATAAAGATCAGGAAAGAAAGAATCCACCATCCCTCGGTTTTTATACAGATTAACTTTAGTTCTTCATAGAGCTCTGCACAGCTTTCCCATTTTAATTGTATTTAGGAAAACTACATAACATCCAAAGGTTGCCAAATGGGTCATTACCTGTCCCCTGACAGCATACTGTCATCTTCATAAAACTCCTCCCCACTGTAATACTCCCCAGAGAAGCGGTCTTCATCAAACTCTTCCTCTCTGCGGATGGTTGGGTGGCGTCCATCCACTCCTCGGGACCTGACAAGAGGTATGAGGAGTCAGACAGCGCTCAACGCTGCAGTTGCAAGTAGATACTGGAATGGGGCCATGCACTGCCATGCAGACGCAAGCCTCCAGGGGGCAGCGATGCAACAGGACACACTTAAAAAAACGTATCAGAGCCAAACTGGACAACAGGCAGACGTTTCTGACTGAAGAGCATCACTTTGTCCTCTAAACATCCCATCTACTTTGAGGTCCTTCATACATACAGTAGGTGTTGTTACATTCAAGAAACGTTAAGTGAAGTGAGTAAAATCTAATCCTTGGGAAACGAACATTAAATGAAAATAGTGGTGTGAAACGAGAACTGCAACTAGTTGTGCATCTTTGATATCAAGAATCTGGATTCTTCCTCAAAGCAGGCACGTCACTTGGACACATGCACAAAGCAGGACTGAGCTCAGCAATATGCTGGCCAAAAATATTGAAAAATGTTGATGACAGTTCTCCTTTTACTCCAGAGCTTTAACATCTCATGGAAGTCTCACAGCAGCAAACGGTTACCAGACAAATCACCGGCCAGCATATCGCGTATTACACTGACTTAGCAAAGATGCAGCCATTCACTAATCCAAGACCGGGTCAAAAGAAAAAAAGATGAACCAAAAAGATAACATTTCTTCTGCTTGTTGTTGAAACATACTTGCTGGAGCCAAACCTACAGGAACAACATACCTAACATAGGTCTCATAGTAGCGCCTTCTGTCCAAGAAAGCAGAGGGGTGGTTGAGAGAAAGCATTTTGGTTAGGAGGGTGAGAGAAAAGAAAGAAAACAGAGAAGGGATGGAGAGAATATGACACACATATATCATCATATATGAGACATATACAGAATTCTCATGTATATGTATGAGCGGAAGGGAGTGTGATGGTGGACGTCCACTCCAGTGTTGGTTGACAATTCCATTTTCTACTCTTGAGATAAGAGAGAAACTGAAAATCATCTCTCCTCTGTAAAGCAGCAGCAATGAAATTGTCCCCCAAACATATTGGGTCCTAAAGAAAAAAAAAAACAGGCCCAATATTGAAGTAGCTGACTAAACAGAGCATGAGAAATCAGGAGATAAGAGTACAGTCGGTCACTTATGAAATTAAGTGTCAGAGGAAGAGCAAAATAAATCAGGAAATGAAAGGTTTAGAATAAAGGTTGGAGAAAAGAGGAGGTTTGATAGGAAACAACAATTATACAACAGATTTGCCTAATCTGTTGCAACAGACTTGAGGTTTGCTGTAGGAAAAAACAATTATGCAACAGATCTTCCTATTTCAGCGAGAACCCTGTATGGAAACTAAGACCAGTATTTTATTATTTTTTTTCAGAGAACTATCTAAGTGAAGGGCTGTCATGCTACCGAAGATAAATATCCCAAATGCTAAAGATAGCCTCTGAGGAAAACAGCAGAAGAGGAGGAAATCAAAAACTAATGCAAACGTGTTTTTACCACAAAGATTTCATTGAAACTCTTGAACTTGCTGCCTGATATTATTCTTGTGTGATAAAGCTATTAGCTGCTTATGGAAAGGTTTACCTCTCAACTGTACTCAGCTTCACAAAGTTTCTCATGTTCACAAAAAAACATAAATTACTGCTTATTTCTCTTCAAAGATGAATTTGACCAGAATCTGTCCGTCAATCTCACTACTTCTTAAAGGGATATCCCAGCGTAAAATTAAGTTAAAGGGTCAAACACACCTTAACACTGAGTTAGACACTCCGTACAACAAGTGGCTGCTGGAAGAGAGTAGGTGAGTTGTGTTAAGTCTCTTTGATAAAGAAATCAAGCAAAGCTAAAAAGATGTTTGGTGGCTAGTGCTATGGCTGGGACCCTATATGTTCTGTTGATGAAGTTAGGTGCTGTTCTGAGCATTATTTGTGGCTAAAGAGTGGCTTTTTGGTTGAATGCGTGGCTCCTGTATTTCTATCATGCAGTTGTTATGAAAGTTGGTATAACTAGAGAAGCAAGTGGTCGACAACATTCATCTCTTGACGGTGTTACGGTGTGTTTGACCCTACCTTAATTTTACGCCAGAATATCTCCATTGTAACCACCTGCAGCCTGTTAGCTTAGCTTTTGATGCCTACAAATGAGGCTGTGTCCATCATGTTTACTTTAAGCTAGATGGCTAATTTAGCTAAGAAGGCAGCTTGTACAATGTGACTAACACAAGTCACAAAAGAGACAAAAGAGAGCCAGTGACAAGTGTTAGTGCAGATCATTCATTTTGTCTTATTGTCTTCTGATCCTTCGAGAAAAGGCAGAATTGATGCTTTTAACTAGCTAAGATAAACCCATGTTTTGGTTTCATAGGTCACCTCTGCATCGGTTACTTGATCAATGTCTGTGGTGGAATCAATAATGTGGTAGTTAGTGAGTGAATACCTTTGACCCTGCGGGGTCCGAGGCTTCTCGTAGTCATAATAGGAGCTGCGACGACCCGGGTAACCATTAGGTGGCGCGTGTTCATAGTAGCGGTGGTGCCCTCCGTTGGGCAGGCTCGAGACGTTGGCGTTGTTCAGGTTGATGTTGGTGGATTTGGGAGACTTGCCGTAGGAGTTGTGGTGTCGGTGATGGTGGTGGTGATGGTGATGATGGTGGTTGTGGTGGGACATCGCGTTTGCTCGAGAAAGGCGTCCCACCGGCTGCTCCATGTGGGCGTAGTGAGGAGGGGGCTGCACCTGGAGAGGTCTCTGGGTGGCGTTGGTCTGGTGGCCGTTGGACCGCCTGTGACCACCGTTCATCAGATGGTTACCAAAGAGTCCACCGTTTCGCTGTGAAAAAACGCTCAAAGTAAAACCACCGAGCGTTGACTTCGTGGAGCAGATTAAAACGTGTTTTTGATGTTAAGTCTGATATTTATTTCGAAAACTTTATGTGCAAAAAAGAAGTTCGGAAGCTGGTTTCATGGCACATGAGTGAGCAACATGAATGCACTGTTTGTAATTTGTTGGAACTGAAATGGAGAAAAAAAAAGAACCAAAAACAACATATTGTGGCTGTATAATATAGAGACAGTACATCAGTTATATATTTAACTACCATAATTTAACTACATATTTTTCCACCATGAAAAACACCATTTAGAAACTTTACGGGTATAATATTAACACTTTTGCCACATTAATTTCCCCTGACATGTAGAATAAAAGCAGTTACCCTATAAATTTCCTCGTCTTCCTCTGGAATAAAGTCTACTAGCTCGTCATCTTGCAGATCACATGATATCGCTCGGCGAATTTCGGGCCCAATATCATGAAGGGTGCGAAGGCCAGCCTGTAACCATGACAACAAGAGGGCTAAACGCTACAGCCGGGACCTTCATCTTTACAACTTACAGCACGAAATCTGACATTATACCACAACCATCGCATACACACATTGGGCGCGCGCGCACACACACACACACCTGCAACAGCTGACATACAGATTATCAACAGACTGTGAGAGATGAGAACACACAGACAGACAAATGTGCTCTCCTGAGTGCAACCTGCTCTATCACTAATCTGGAGTGTCCTGTGAGGCACCCTGTTGTCTCACCCAGGCTGGATGAGTGTGTTGAAATAACTTTTCTTCCTTTACTTTGTGTTTTTAAAAATACTTAAAAGCCAGCGTACACAGATAAAAGCCAGTCTAATTTAACTAAAACCTGTCGTATTTGCTGTGACACTGATATATGGGAACAAAACATGACCATATATCATACATGATAAGGGAACAGAAATGGCAACTCAGTTTGCATGTGATTTTCATGAGTTGATGAGTGATTTGTAATGCACAGAAAACACGTGAAATGATGGCTGGAGACAAAGACACACGCTTAACATCAACATCTATGGTACTTGAAGATGCAGAGACACAAAAATCACACATTGGAAATAAGAACCCCACAGTAACTGATTCATACTGTGCACCAAGATCATGAACGTCCTGCTGGATCACAAACCATATCATTAATGATATTTGAATGAAATGCACAAAGACACATTTTACAGACTTGACTCAACGAGATTGAAATGCTCATAAATCCATGTTTTCACACATTTTCATACAATCTCTCTCTTTGCTCTCGTTAAAAAAAAAACAACACAATCACCAGGAGACTCACCTGTAAAGCGATGGCCGTGTTGTTCTGGGAGGGATGCGCACCCACCAGGCCTTCCTCTTTACGTTTCTTGAATTTCCTAAAGTAGTCCTGTATCAGGAAGGTGGCATAGAACTTCCCCACGGTTACCTCATCATCTGAGTGAACAGACCACACAAATGCTTCCTGTGTCAGCAGGTCACTACTCACAGAACTCAGGGAGAGAGGAGAGACTTTTTCCCTTTGCTCAACCATTTTTCTTTAAACTGCCAGTCCATCACCTTATGACTGTGGACAAGTGAGGCACTTTTCAAACTTTTATAAACCAAATTATATACATCCATCTTGATGGTGTATATACTGTACCTCAGTTTGCACCAAATGGCATCAATATCTGTGTTTTGAAAAGAACAGAAAATCAAGTATTTGCTCTTCTAACTTTGTTTTTTTGTACTTATGAGATTAAAACTTGAAGAAAATCAGCCACAATTTGACCCAACAAAGCAAGAAATATCATCACAGCTGTGACTTCCTGTCCTCCTTTACTGTTGAGCTGTGGGTCGAACCAACCTCTGGGTTCTTTGATATTTTAGCAGCAAGTTAGATGAATATGTGAATATATCAGTGCCATCTTACAATGGGCAGAAATGAATCCACATTGTCATTCTACATACAGTCAATGACAAAGAGCAATGCTGTAATGCTAAAATTTTAAAAATAAAAACAATTCCCCTCATAATTTCTCTGACTGTCAAAATTAAATTGAATATAACATTAAAGCAGTGGTTGTAATTGGCACTGTAACTCCTGGTCTGATGCTGTCTACTTATTTTGAAACTGGTCATGCTGCTGACATGTACACTCACTTCTCTCTTGCACTTATTCTCAGACTTCTGAAACGTTTACTTTCCTCCATAAAAAGTCCATGTGACTTTAATTTTTTTCGTTCTGTTCAGGCACAGTTCTCTAGCCTCGAGCTCGCTGGCACTATCAGATCAGCCCGCAGGGACTAGCCCTCTAAGCTCACGTTATCCTCGGTAAAGGTATCAGGTCACCACCTGAGTCTTGCAAGATGAAGATGCTTAGCACAGTTTACAGAAAAAAAAAAACAAAAAAGAAAAAACACGTTTTTGACCAGTTTTGACATCACATTGATACCAATCCACATTTCAACAGACCGGTGTGTTTGGATCTTTAACATCAAGACTCTTTACATCCCGTATGTTTTTCCAACCCATTTTAACTTCTACAGCACATGCAAGCAAGCAGATCTACAGTTCGCATCAAACATATCAGTATGTTTTTCTAAATTCACCTGTGTGTTCTCATATATGCTCATCATAAGACTTGTGCTAGCATATGCAGGGGTGTGTCCAGGTGTTTTGACAAACAGGGGCACTGGGATAAGGGAAGTTGGGGGGGGGGAGTTCTCAGCTAGGACTGGGCGATTTGGCAAAAAATAAAAAATAAAAAAAATAAAATAAATACATTTTCATATCATCCGATCTCGATTATTATCACAATTTTTTTTTACTGCCAGTTTTAAAGCATCTGTACTAAAAAACTAAAGAAATTAGAAGTTAGTTAAACATTTTATTAACATACAAAGTAAATAAAAAGCAAATCAAATAAGATAAACTCAGAAAAATATAAAAACCATTTTAACTCATCAGTACAACAAATATAAATACTAATTATTACCGTGATATAGTTTATTGTCCTGAGTGTTTTTGCTGGTATACCAGACCCAAAATGAACAAATTGCCCCCTCAAGGATAATTAAGACGCCTTAAAATGTAAACATTAGATAATGTAAACGTAGATAATACGATTGATTGCTGCTCTGGTCTGGTGGCTGCACCGCTATTTGTGGCTAAACTGCTAATACTACTTGTGCTGTCAGTAGTGGCAGGCTGTACAGACTCTGCTCCTATTTTCATGCTTTCCACATAATCAATCAGGAAGTACTTCTTCAAATGATTTAACAGATCTGTTGTGTTGCCGATTTTTGAGGTCACCGACCACCGACATACCTTACTCATTCGCATAATTGCTCGACGTCACTTTGAGATACCGGAACCACCTCCATACAACCAACGTTGAATAACTTTTCTTCTCAACGATAACATCTTCAGAGGATGACTCAAAGTCACGGCTGACATCTATTTTGCTGCCCTCAGCTCCGTGTTTAGCTCCACATTCGGTCATTCTGTTTACTTCTCCGGCAACTTACAGAAGTGAGCAGGAAAAGTTCGACTCTGATTGGCTGTTGTCGCGCACATTTCCGCCATGTTTGATTGAGTAAATATGCTCACAGCTGATCACTGTGATCGAACTAAAATTTATCATTATCATAAATCACGATCGTATAAATCGCCCAGTCCTACTCTCAGCGATAATTAAAGAAATCCTGTAACAACAAAGCACAAATAGTTGATTTTACCACAAGTTCTGTCTCTGATAATGCCAATAGCCTTGCATAGGATTCTGGGTTGGCTATTCAGGGTTCAAGGGGCCAGTGCCACCCCTAGCCACCCCTCTGGACACACTCCTGGATATAAAGCATATTTTAAGAGATTTTTTTTCTTTTATTTAATCTAAGGAGTATGTGAGAGTGTATGAGAATCATTCTGAAGCAGGGGTCTGAATCACTTTGAAACAAGCACGCTGGGGACAGAGATTGGAGAGAGAGGCAACACTAGTTCCATGCCACCACCCTAAAACAGAACTGCTTCAGAATATTCTGAAGTGTCTCAGAGTTTTGGATACAGAGATAAAACAGAATGGGAAGAAGAAGCTGTGGAAGCTGAAGCAGTAAGATAAAGACAGCGATTAAGACAACAGAGAGAGTCAGACTGATAGACAGAGAGAGGTAAAGACAGAGACAGAGATCAGAGAAGGACACGGCATGCTCTTGGTCTACGAGGCCATGCAAGCCCAAAGCCCAGCAGACGGTCAGCGGCCTCCGTCAGTGTCCAGAGCCGGAGGAAACACACATTAATAAGGAACAGACTGCTGAGGGGACAACCAGGAAAACATGAGCAGAGCAGAGACAACACAGATTTACTCATGTTGAGACTCGATGTGTGTGGAAGTCCAAATTCAAGGCCACATTCACTAAAGGGCACTTTGGAGCTGCTTGTAATTTTATGATTACGTCATGAGAGCAGCACATGGTGTTTGTGTGTGTGTGTGTCTGTCTTTGTGATCTATGCAAGCTGCTTTAGCCTGTTTCAAAGTATAACAGACGGACTAGGAGGTGTGTGTAACTTCATTGACAGACATGGGTGGGTTTCACTAACCACCAGCAGGGGGGACCACTTGATCCAGCAGCTTCATACTGGTTCTCTTCCAGATTTTCTTGATGACTGCTCGCAGCTCTTCATTTGCTTGCTCTAGATTACCTGAAACCACATGCCAGCGTCTCTGAGAATTAGGTTCTTCTCGATTTCTTCCATTTTAAATCAATGCAAGCATATCGAAACACAATTTAACACAATTTTACAGTTAAACTTCAATAAATGCACCAGAAGACTATTTCTGAGGAGTGGTGTAATACACGTTCAACATCATAGTTGTCTTTTACCTTCAGTTTTGATTTTCAGGGCGGTGCGCACCAATGCAAATAGAGTGGCGTTAAACATGACTGTGCCGTCACTGTTCAGAGGCATGTTCATGGCCACCAGCCTCTGTAAGAAGAGAGCAAATCTATGAGTTTAAAGCACCAGAACAACTGATGAATATTTCTGCACGCATTTTGTACATCAGATGATAGAAGATATCCAGAAAGTAGACCTTGCAGGCGACCCTGTGAGGACATAGTTTGCCAAAGCCGAGAGGAGGCTGAATACGGCGGAGAAGTGTTACAACATCCAGGTGTTTAATCCTGCCTCTGTACGAGGAAAAAATAAACAGTTACTTTGAAAGCACTGACTGAGAAAGACGTGGGTGAACAAGTATGGATAAAACTGGTAATAAATGCTGGGTTGGAGTCACCTCAGAAGTCAGATGTCGGAGCTGAAAATGAGGTCACACCTGAGTTACCAGCGTTTCAGTTACCGAATCGGAAAAAAGCAAAATCGGAGGCGGAAACAAGATGGCTACATCTACGAAAGTTCTTTTAGCGCTTGCCTTGTCCGAATATGAGCAAGGACAGGGGAAGCGCTAAAATAACTTTCGTAGATGTAGCCATCTTGGATTTGGTAACTAAAACGCTGGTAACTTAGGTGTGACGTCATTTTCAGCTCCGGGCTTCTGATTTCCGAGATAACTCGAACACAGAAAAAGCACCTACTTTGCCTCTGGGTCGTACTCTGACCAAATCCTCTTAAACTCATCAAGATGATGTGGACCGAGAATGGACCAATCACGTGTTAGATAGTCAAAGTTGTCCATGATGACAGCTACAAACAAGTTGATAATCTGGAGGAGTAGAATGATCACACACAAAATTACTCATTGTTACCTCTTGACAAGTTTCTAGAAAATCAAAACAAGTACATAATATCATTAAAAAAAAGGTTAGTTGCACTGTGAAGGTTTGGTTCGTACCAAGAAGGCGCAGAGCATGTAGAAGGTGATGAAGTAAACAATTGCAAATCCGCTGCCACACGTCATCTCCTCTCCGGGGTTGTAGTCAGACTCCGGGTCACACAGTTTCCCCGGCATACAGGCCAACATGATCTCCTGCCATGCCTCTCCAGTGGCACATCTTGAGATGGTTATAGCAAGACAGACTCAAATTAATACCTCAATGAGTAAACCAAGACATTTTAAAGCATCCTGATGACACCCTCACACCTGAAGAGAAGGAGCACAGCCTGAGGGAAGGTCTGGAAGTTGTTGTTTCTGTTGATGTGGGTGCCGTCCACCATGGCCACCTTTCCAAACACCTGAAACACAAAAATAAAATTCCCACGAGTTTAAAAGCAGCCTCACCAGCTTGAGTTAGTGAGCAACAATATTTTCTTTCTTATTAAGTTCCCTACCTGCATGCCGATGACAGCATAGATGAAGAAGAGCATGGCTATCAGAAGAGCAACATATGGAAGAGCCTTCATGGCACAGAGAGGAGGAAGAGGACGTTGTCATTAGTAACTCAAAAATATACTTCATTCACCTGTCAGAAAACCATTTCTTGTATTCACCTGGAAGGATTTGATGAAAGTCCAAAGCAGGGTGCGAATGCCCTCCCCTCTGCTGAGGAGCTTGACCAGCCGCATGACTCGAAACAGACGGAAGAAGGTGATGGAGATGCGAGCGCTGTCCTCAGTGTTCTGTCGAAAAGTAAACCAGAGTCAGAGAACTGAAGGGAATCAGAGTATGGGGTAAACACAGAGCGCCTGGCTGTGCTTTACAGAATGAGGAGGTCTGACCTGCGACCTCAGGGCCAGATACATATGGGCTGAGAAGCAGCACTGCATCTTCAGGTCAAAGAAACCTAGGCGTTTAGAGCATTCAACTTTAGCTCAGACTGTAATCTTTTAGAGATCTTCTGGCAGATGTTGAAGTGATTTGATGAAATTTGTTGTTCAATCATAATCAGTCTCTAAAGCAGTGCAGCTCCAGCTAATATGTTTCTGTTTGTCTGCTTCCAAAGCACCGTCAGGAGCCCTGCCACTGCACAGACCTACTGGGGAGGAAGCAAGGAGGCGAGCATGCTGGAGAAAAAAACCTTGCCATACTTGACAGGACACGTCTGCGCAAGCATGGCACCCTCAGTCCAGAGTCACTGCATGCGGAGTCACAGTGGGGCCAAACCCCAACGGGTCGGCCAGGAGGTTCACAGGTCAGAGCTGGGTGACCTGATCCCAGGGGGGAAGGGGTCATCCATGGGTCAACTACCCCACCACACAAGAAAGTGGGCAGAGACCATGTAGCAAGTGTCAGCAGTACAAACGTGAGGAGCAGCGTTCAAACCGCTCCCTCCTAACAACACACGCAGGGGTCACGTTTGAGTGACACACACTCTCCTTAGAAAAAACTCCAAATATTTAGGAAAATGGAAAGCTATTTTTAAGGATATGTGCAAATGATCAAACAAAAAAGAAGAAAAATCCAAAGCAAGAACAAGAATGAAAACCTTATCATGAGGAAATAAATGAAACAGTTATAAGCAACAGATCGTAAATTAATGTTCAAAAAGACAAACAAAAGAAATGCAGATATATAAATATGATATGACCCTGAAGTAGGAGGGGGGAGGAGAAGAGAAGAGGGGGGTGGGGGGAGGAGCATCTTACCCCCTGCTCATCCACCTGAGGAGTCTCCGTTGGCTTTAAAATCAAAGACCTGTATTAATGACTTGCATAGAGCCTGCAGGTCTCACACACAGTGGGCTTATTACTTCAACATTACATAGAAAATATATTTCACACACAACGCTAGCACACGTCAGTCAAGACGCAGACAGAACAGAGTCACTACTCTTCTTATTGACAGGACAAGACTGTCTGATTGTGCCACTATCACAGAGACAAACATTGAGGTACCACTGTCTATAAACACTTTGTATTAAGACAGACATGAAAACATTATCTTGACATTTTAGAGGACTATCACACAACAGGTTTACATCTTAACATTCCTGACAAACAACATGAAACTGCTTTAATACTGGGTAACATGTAGGACTGGCATACAACTTTATCCCTCCCCCACTATGATGGTCTCTACTGATGAGAGTCAATGGATCATACAGTATGATTGAGATGTCTATGCTGGGTTTGATGGGCGGCTAATTGACGGAGATATCAGGTGATATAAATTCATTTCACAATAAAAACACTTGGGACCACTTAAGTATAAGAATAATGTAGACTCAGCTAACGGCAATTTGTTTCCTTTGTACCTTTCAGATTCAGGCAAATGCACATTAAAGGGATATTCCTGCGTAAAATTAATTTAGTGTCAAACACACCGTAACACAGAGTTAGACACCCCCTCAAGAGATGAATGTTGCTGACTGCTTGCTTCTCTAATTATACCAACTTTAGTAACGACCGCAGGATAGCAATACACGGCAGTCTCAGGAGCCACACACAAGCCTCAACCAAAAGCCACTCTATAGCCACAAATAATGTTCAGAACAGCACCTAACTTCTCAGCCAGAGTACTAGCCACCGAACATCTTTTTAACTTTGCCTGATTTCTTCAGCAAAGAGACTTAACACAACTCACCTACTCTCTTCCAGCAGCTGCTTGTGTGTAGCGAGACCTCAGGCCAGTCCATTACGGACTACAGCGGGGTGACGCAGCTCAAGGAAGAACATTTATGATCATTTCTTTATCATTTCCTTTAAGTAATAATCATCATATTACTCATTTTGCACTGCAGACACAGTAGTTCTTCTACCTTAGCATCTCGGTCTGATTGCATTTCCATAAAGGAATGATCATAAATGTTCTTCCTTGAGCTGCGGCACCCCCACAGCAGTCCGTAATAGACAATTACAAACAAGCGGCTGCTGGAAGAGAGTGGGTGAGTTGTGTTTAATCCCTTTTGCTAAAAAATCAGGCAAAGCTAAAAATATGTTTGGTGGCTAGTGCTATGGCTAGGACCCCATATGTACTGTTGATGAAGTTAGGTGCTGTTCTGAGCATTATTTGTGGCTATAGAGTGGTGTTATGGTTGAGGTTTGTTTATGGCTCCTCAGACCTCTGTGTATTGCTATCGTGTGGTCGTTACTAAAGTTGATATAACTAGAGAAGCAAGTGGTCGGCAACATTCATCTGTTGAGGGGGTTTCTAACTCGGTGTTACGGTGTGTTTGACCCTAAATTAATTTTTTGCCAGAATATCCCTTTAAGATCTGACTTTGAGTAAATCACTAACAGTGCATGGGAAATATTTGAATGCATGTAGTAATGATTACACCTTTTTTTTATCACAATGTGTTTTTGAGTGGCTGAAATGATACTGACCAAAAAAGATGGAGCACAGTTTAAGACTCTAATTCATACAGTTGTCACACAAATTCACATCTGCACACATTTTGTGATTCTTGTCAGCAAGATTAAATTATTGACATTAGTACAGTCAGAGAAAAATCCATGTGCAAAATAAAAAACAATGAATCACCATTAAGCTGTTTATCAGGCTAAATCCCTGTTAAAAATGCAATTTTTTTTATCTTTAGATCAATGATACTAAAGGAATCATACCAGAAGACTCGGCACTGAAAACAACTCCAGACAGATATGGCCTTCACGCAGTATTCAACAGTGTCAAAATGAGGTGCAGAATGAGAAGAAATAATATTTGAAAGAAAGAAAAATTTGCTTGAGGAGGTTCTTTAAGTAATCCTGGCCACAGAGCTGATGGAGCATGCGTTCAGCATCGCCACGTTGCTGGGGAAGCACTGCACGCACACGCAGACGCAAGACATTTGGATGAAGGGGAAGGCCATCAGTGAACTTTTAGCAATGCAGCGACTCATGCATGTCAGGAGTGCCCTGCTACAAAACTGCCATAGCAGGGCGCTCTTACAATCCGGTGCAGAGAGAGGAGACTGAGGATCAAGAGAGCAGAGAAGGAAAAGGAAGAGGAGGAGGAGGAGGAGGAGGAGGAAATCAGAGAAAGAGACAAACAAAGGTAGGCAGATTCTGAAATGGGAGGAAGAAGAGGAGAGGCAGATAGGTGTCAAGAGGGAGAGAGTCGCTGTTGGAGAGTTCATGCACCTGACTGGAGTCTACACACCTGCGCTACACATGAGCTCCATTCTGAGCTTTAAGAGCTCACTACAGGAAGACAGAACAAAACACAGAGACAATCACTCACAGGGACACAAACACAAGATCATCAAAGAACCTCAGACTTCGCTGCATTAAAGCACCATCAGTGAAGAGTACAAAAGCAAGGGCTGAATTAGCAACTGCTAATATATTTATGAACCTTCAGTTCAAAGATTATTACCTGGACTCTTTGGTAAAAGGATGCTTCAACTCTTATTCCAATTTTAGAGTTAATCTGACATCTGAGCTAAATCACAGTTCTTCACAAGTTTTCAGTATCTGTGCAGGTCACATTATGATCTTTTTTTAAACTAATACTTGCGCGGCAAATCAAAAATCTATAAAGCAGGAGTAGCCTACACAACATGAAGGATAAAACAAACACAATTTTCAGCTTTTAAAACAGACTAACTTCAGAAATGTTGGATGAAAATTGTCCTTCATGTTGTGTAGGCGTCTATTTCCAAGCTCTGAGCTCCAGGGCCATTCTGTCTGGAGGTAAAGGTCGAGGGGTATGGCAAGAGAGAAAGGGCAAACTTCAGAGGCTCTATGGAAAAAAACTGACCGGAGGGGAATGGAGCGGGTGGCCAAGCGCCATCTGTGAGAGGGCAGGACATGGAGTGATATCAGAGAATGAGGTGAATCATGGCTGACACTTCCCAGCATGCATTTGGAAAGCTGAACAATTACAGAGCTCATGACTGAAAATGCAAGCAAGTAGCAAAAACCAAAACTGAATAGATTCAGTTTGAACCTGGAGTAGATCAGCTGTTAAGAACAAGTTGAGTACCTGATCTCTGACTATCATGAACAGCAACCTCATGCAAACAAATGTCAGTGATGAATGAAAGGTGCCTCACAAGGAACCGTCAAAAGCTCTTGTGAAATCAACATCATGTCCGCAAAACACACATACACACACATTCATACAAACAGCACACCTTAAAGTACAAACAGTACACATGTAAGACACGCATGCACAACATTATTAACCACACACACCTCCACCACCACCGTATGTTTAAATTAAGTTTGTTTATACTCTCATGCAAACACACATTTAAGAACAGAAACTGAGAAAACACAGAAAACATGAAATATAACTCCAGAAAAACAGCACTGCAGCTCAGACACAGAGAGCCCAGGATGGGGAAGGAGGAGAAGGGGGGGCAGGTCGAGCGGGGGAGTCTTGGGTGCACTGCACCTCTAACAAGCACCACTATAACCACTACTGTCCCATTAAAAGAGGAAATCTGGCCTCATAGCCTTTGTTGTAGTTTATTGTTCATATGCGGCTACAAAGGTGACCCTTGTTACAGTTTTTGAACCCGCTGAACTCACAGCATAAAACCTCACAGTCAATCAGAGACATAGTTTTCGTTGGTTATAGATCCTGTGAATAATGGAGCCATAAAGGAAGAGGGTAATACTTTATCAAGTCTTAATCTAAGCTTTTCTACATCTACATCCATTGTGTTCTACCATTTCCAACCCCTATTTTTTTCCCCTGATTCTGTAAAACATTACGGGGGTCCCGAAGATAAAGTTGTTGTTCAAAAACAGGTTACACACAGAAAACAGTTTTTGGTTCATTCCAATACTTGCCTCTACAAGTTTCTATGGAAACAAAAATGAACAAGAGTACAACATTAGCCAACCACATCATAGATCAACCTTCTGTGCACCAAACACAGGCCTTCAGGTCACACAGACTGTGACAGACTCTTGATTTTGACGAGTACGTTCTCACTGTAATATTCAAAGGTTAATAATCAGCTGTAAGACTGGCGTGATTCCTGCAACAAACGATACTGCAACACACTGACAGCGGCACTTTTAGCAGAAGCAAAACTTCAACAGCACAGACAATTTGATTGGATTAGAGTACCGTTAGTGCAGCACTCATAACAAGACATTAATGAAGGTGAAACTGAAGCTTTACAGAATGAGCCCATGTCACACAGACGATTAAGAATGGATTTTTTTAGCTTGATAAATATAATACAGTTAAGGTTAGATAGTTCAAATGGGATTATTAGAAAGTGGATGCTTAAAGTACTAGAGGTGTGTCTGAAGGGTGAACACTTTCTGCTGTTCAATCTTGTTGAGAGAAAACCTCTTTATTTTACATTTTAGCAAATCATTCTCTAAACTGTCAGATGGCTTTTTTGTAAAGCTTTAGTTCAAGTCAGGAAGCAGAAATAAATTCATACTTACATTTACTTCAGTGATAGCGATATCGACGACGCTACCAACAACAATTAAGGCATCAAAAGTGTTCCAAGCATCAGCGAAATAGTGCTGTTAATGCGTGGTGTTAGACATGACGGTAAAGATGGGAATAATATGAAGAGTAGGGGAGAACAGACAAGTGACCAAAGGAGAGCAGACAGTACAGAAGAAACGTGACAAGTGATTTTGTGTAATGGCAGGGTCAGGTGATGACAAAAAAGGAGAGAAAGAAAGAAGAAGGAAAAAAGTATTAAGTGATCAGATTAAAAACCAGAAGTCTTGAGTCCTGCCAAGAAAAGCTACAGTGTGAGAAAAGGCGACCCGAACAGAGAGAGGTCAGAGTGCAGCAGGGGGCGCTGTAGCTGGGCTTACTTACATCGATCTCACTGAGAACAATGTCTACTATGCTGCCAATCACAACCAGGGCGTCGAACACATTCCAGGCATCCCCAAAATATCCCTGAGTGAGGTGGAGTGAGTGGAGGGGGGGGCAAGTTGGATGTGATAGGCACACACAAATAGTAGCTTAGCTGCAGGGCAACCAGCGCCAAACTGAAGTTAAAATACTGATGTTACATAGAAAACTACTGCTGCCAAGAACTCGGCTAACAGTGAGAGCTATTTTAGTTAACAAAAGGTCAAGAGTCAGCACAGCACCCCACACTCTGTCTCTTACTAGCATCCTGTCCTTCTTCTCAACAAAGAGCTGTTTGGCAGGCAGCAGAGTTGAGGGGAAATTAAAAAAAAAAATCACATATTTGTGGGTTGTCAAAGGTTCATGTGTTCTGGTCCATTCTTTAACATTTTTAACCATTAGTTGACATTTTGAAACACTTGCTTTCTTGCCAAAAATTAAACATTATGATTCACATCAGTTTGCAAAAAACATGTAGTTAAAGCCAAGAGGTGGTTTGCTTAGTTTAACTGGGGGACTGAAAGCTAACTGAGGCATCCAGTCTGGCATAAACCATAAAAATCACACACTGTGGTTTTATTGGAGTTTCACAGAGGACTGTCTCTTTGCCTGAAGCAGTAATACTCACCTATCATCACTACTTAAGTTCACATTTTTAAAAGCCACAACAATTTACCTTTGGACAAAGACGAGCTGAACTGTTTACCCCAAAGTCTTCATGATAAGCTCAAAGACTAAAGGAGAAACAGGCTCCTTCTTTAACCGGCTGTCACTGCTTTCATATATTATGAATATAAAAGATTGTATCATTCCCACTGAGCAATAGACGGCTATTAGATGTCTAGTTTTTTTTTTTTTTTTGACCTAATTTCAACCATCTAGACTCTATATGTATAAAGACGGAATTTAGACGTTGAATTTAGACGTTGTGATTGATTATTCGATCACTATTTATTTCAAAAAGCAACTGTGAGTTGTGTAACTGATCTCCAAGTACTTAACCAAAATAATTATGATAGCTGTTGAGCAATATACAGTGTAGTATAGATATAGCCCAGATTTTTATTTAGTCTAAACTTGGTCTAAATTTAGACGTCTAAAAAACTGTCATTATTAGACCTGTGGCCTGATTTTAGATCAGTCGTCTAGGCCAGAGGTCCCCAACCACCGGGCCCCGGACTGATACCGGTCTGTGGATCAATTAGTACCTGGCCGCAAAAAAATAACAATGATTACAATGTTTTTTTCTTTTCATCCGTCCTCCCAGTATCTTATTTTGAAAGACCACCACTTCCACCATTGCCTCACTTTCGCACCTGACTCTATGGCACCTCATTTTCCTGCATCAGCAACACAAGCTAGCCCTTACAAAAATGAGCCAGAAACAGAGTTCACTGGAGAGAAGGGGTTGATTCCGCATTATGGTGAGTTGATGTTAAAGTGTAATGAAAAGTGCCTAATATAAAATGTAACTGTTGTATCCAGATTACATACTATGTACTGATTTAGGTTTTTGTTGTTGGAACGTCCACGCCCCTACCCGCCCCTGGAAAAAAGTTTCCTGCATGAAACTGGTCCCTGGTACAAAAAAGGTTGGGGACCACTGGTCTAGGCTACATTAAGACCTCTTGTAGACCAAAAAATGCTCAGTGGGTTAGGTCTATCCTTAATTCAGTTTAGCCGTTTTAGAATCCTCTCGACATTCAAGTGCTTTATGAATGAAAACATACGTATGTATGGATACTCACCCTGGGTTTGAAAGCGATGAGTTTTAGAACCATTTCCACAGTGAAGACAGCAGTGAAGACCATATTTAAAATGTCCATCACATAGTTAAAGAGTGCTGACTGGCCGTAGTGCTGCAGCAAGAAGAAAATGTGGTCAAAGAAAAGTGTAGAAAAACAGAGTTTTCAACAACACTGAAGAGAAATCTGAAAAAACAATACATGAAAAAATTAAGTTGAATACTTTGTTGTATTTAAATACAGTATTTCTCTAAAAGATCCCAAAAGTTGTGTGTGAAGGGTTAAAGTTGATGGTGTCATCGCAGTCTTCAGTCCATTCACTCCCCTTCAGAATAAAATCTCATTCCTGATGACACCACTAGAGAGCACCAAAACCAGCCTGTTACAACAGAGGTTTTCTGTCAAACTGCTCACTACTCACATTTTTACAAATAGCAGTACTTAATCATTACACAGTTGTGTGAAACACTGACTAACATAGAATCAAATGAGCAAACATCATATTCTTAAAAAGCAAATGTTTTAAGGTTTGGAATATATAGTAACCATATTTAATTTACTATATCAGCTAGAAGATCACTCACCTAATATGATAACTGAATGAACGCTGACATGACACTTTCTCTCTGCCTGTTACAAACTAAATCCATCTTAGAAGTAGAGGGTATTGGATAAATACTTAAAGTACTACTAACAAAGCGCACAAGTGCAATCTCAGTCTCACAAACACACTTGACTATAGATTTCAACCGAGCTGTTTGGTATGTCTCAAATGAACACACAGGGGTGACAGCTTACCTGTACAGCCAGACAGAGTGTGTTGAGCATGATGAGCACAAACATGATGTACTCAAACCCCGTGGAGTTGACCACATACCAGAACTTGTACTGGTACGGGTTCTTAGGGATGTACCTCCTCAGCGGACGAGCCTTCAGAGCGTACTCCACACACTGACGCTGCAGAGGGATACACAACATTTGTTGAAATGCCACATCTAATCCTTTTGTTTGAACTCAGTATAAGCCATAATTCATCTTATTCTTACAGCTACTCCATACAGGGTAGTAGTACGCTCAAATGCTGCTTCATTTAAGTGCTGGTGTATCTATTTTTGTGAACATGACACACATAGGGAATCTGAAAATCTGTCAATGTTTCACTGCATGTAAACTGATAGTAACTGGGAGATGGTACAAAGTGAAAATCTGTCTCATATGGTCATACTTAAAAAAACAACATATTCAACAACATAAAACAACATTCAATAACCTGTTAGCTACCCTGAAACAACAGCTAAGGTGAGTATTCAATTGTCTTTTTGATAATCTTACAATAAAGTTGCACAGTATGCTAGATGAGTATGAAAATATGGCTTTACATTACATGTCTCATTAGTTTTACACGTAACACATATAAACACAAACAACTTCTTCTACCAAACCTGCTGACTGACCTGGTTCTTGTCCAGTTCACAGTTTTTGTACTCTTTCTCTCCTTGTTCCTGAAATGTGACGATCACAAAACCTACAAAGATGTTCATCATGAAGAAAGCGATGATGATGATGTAGATGATGAAGAAGATGGAGATTTCCACACGGTAGTTGTATATGGGGCCGAAGTTCTCCCTGTTGGAATCGATGGCCTTGTAGAGCAACCTAACAGGAGATGGAAAAGGGAGAGTAATGTAATACAGTTTTTCTAAATACAGAAATCATCTGTGTGGATTTTTTGGGGATTAAAAGTTTGAATCTTACGCAGGCCAGCCTTCAAAAGTGGACACAGTGAACAAAGCCATCATAGCCATGAGGACGTTATCAAAGTTGAAGTCACTGTTGTGCCACACTCTTTTGTGGACGGTTGGCTGGTTCACGTCTCCATCCTTATAAAGGATGTAGGTGCCTCTGTGTGAAAAAGACGCATTAAAGTCGAGAGTGAAACTGGGATGATGGCCGCATATAATTTTACTGTTCAAACACGAGAAGATCAAAAACTGACTTGCACTCCTCTGGGTTGGACTTGGCTTCATCAGTGCAGCGATAGAACTTCCCCTGCAGCAGTACACCAAACATTCTCATTGTAATGATGAATATTTCAAAAACAATTAACTCAATATCTCATGCTGATCGTGCGAGGGATTGATTTTTTTTAAGCCAGGCACTGCTGACCTTAAACAGCTGCACCCCTATACAGGCAAACATGAACTGGAGCAGAGTGGTGACGATCATTATGTTACCGATTGTTCTGATGGCCACGAACACACACTGCACCACGTGCTGTGAGGCAGAGACAGAAATATGTTAGACACTGAGGGATCAATGCTTTACAATTAAGACTGCGGTTATCTCCGGTGGACAAGCTGTGAGGAGTCTCTTTGATGAGGTCCCACCTTGAGGCCTTTGGCTCGGTTGATGGCTCTCAAGGGTCGAAGGACACGGAGAACCCTAAGGATCTTCACCACTGAGATTGCAGAAGACCTAAACAAAGAAGACAGATGAGTGTAGTTTGAGTTTACACTATTGACCACAGAAGCCTTTTTGAGAACAGAAACCATTTATGAACACAAGTATAAAATATGAAAACGTGAAAAAAAAGTTCCAGATAAATCGATAAATTTCAAGGCTCTTCGCAGACTGTAAAAAAAAAACAGTCTCATTTAATTTGAGTTAAGTGTCTTTGGTTGAAATACTCTTAATCAGAAACTGATCGAATCATTTCATCTCTACATCGGCAGAATGACATTTCAGCTCGTACTCACTGGATGCCAAAAGAGACAAGGGAGACTCCCACCACCAACAGGTCCAGGAGGTTGAAGTAATTTCTACAGAACGCTCCCTTATGGAGAAAGGCGCCGTATGTCGTCATCTGAGGAGAGGACACAAGAGGTTAAGGAGAGAAATGACAAAGAAAAAAAAAAGATTTATCAAGAAACGTACAAAAGCATACAAATATACAGTAACATTCACTCTCTTCACGCACACAGGGAACAGACGCAAACAGTACAAACGTGTTTGAAACATCGTCTCACTCTCCACCTTGCAGACACTCACACTTCTTCACACTCTTTTATTTCACTCTGATTCGGGGTGGCAGCTCAGAGCAATGAAACAGGAGGCTAGATCTACTGCCGCCACCCCCACGGCCCTCACCTACATGAATGTAGTAGTAAGTCATTCATTTCACAATCGACTATGGGATGGGGCAATAAAACATGCATTTTGTTGCCATGAGGATTATTACTACCTGTAAGAGCTCTAGTTATAGTGATTGGAAGGATGAAATTGCCTTACTGTCACATTCATGTGGACCGTCATCTTAAAGCACATTCCATTATGTTCTTTAATAGTTAAGAAAAAAAAGGGAAAGCAGCTCCCGATTCAAACTTCAGAGTTCAGCAGGCAGAGAAGAAAACCAGCCAAAATAACTCTTCTTGAAATAATAAAATTAAAGGATTTGTTTTCTAAGTGCACATAAATGTGGAGCTCCGCAGACAGACTGAGAGAAGAGAGTGCTAACTAAGAGCACTGGAGAATTTACAGTATAAAAAAGGTGAACTTGTCCAGTTTTTGCATGTTTTTTAGCTGTGGACACAACTCCACGTTCCTGTGCACTCAGTCAGGGAAAGCAGACTGAACCATGCTCGTTGTGAACATGGTTGGTTGTGCCCCCTCTTTTATGGTTGATCTGAAGAGCAGTCAGTACGAGAGGCATGGAGTTAGCTTTGACTGGAGTTGACTTTTACGTCTTCAAACACCTCCCCGAGCGTGACCTCAAACTCAACTTCAGCCAATGCCTGAAAAAATGTCTGAACAGCCCACTAAAATGTGTTGCATTGCACAGAAGGGTTGCATCATGTTATTCATATCTTGCATCATCAAACTCATATCAGCAATGACCGCCCCAATGACGTGACACCCATGTGAGTATAATGTAATGCTGATGTCATGTTTCCTTCCCCCAGAGCGAGCTCTTAGATTCGTGTAATTAGAGCAAATCTTGTGTTTGTTTGTGTGTGTGCAAAGTGACAACTCCAATATTTAGTTTTTTGTTTGATTGTGTTTTTTTTTTGTTCTTTTTAAAAGAGGTGCCATGAAGAAAAATCAAATAAGAGAAAGGAAACAAACAAGCCAGGTTGTACTGAGTGGCAGGTGACACACAAGGAGAGAATGCAGCAAGGCTCTCGTTGTCATTTTAAGGGGTTACCTTCAATATGATCTCAAATGTAAACATACTAGTGAAGACATAATCTGCATAGCCTAGGACCTGGAAGGCAACGAGACGTTTGGAGTGTTATTGGGTATGGTTAGTCACAGCACGAACAGGGGACACAGGGCATTTACCTTCAACACGATCTCAACAGTAAAGATAGCCGTGAAAGCATAGTCAAAGTAACCAAGTATCTGCAAAAAGCAACGTACATGTTTAACAAAGACAGGTCATTGTGCAGCTTTAAACATCATGTCAAACAAAATTAATGCAAAGAAAATATTTGAGGAGTTTTCTGGGAAGAATTTGTCAGAGTTAATATAAAAAAACAGACATTTGCACAAAAATATCATTGGACTAGGAGTGTAAGGTAACCCGCTACCGTATAGCGAAAAACATACAGGATCCGTATTAAGTGCGTTCCGTGTTTGCTCCATAGAGCAGCCCTGGGTTTCACATACAGGATGCGTATTTAGAGCGTAGCAGCAGCGTAGAGCAGCCTCAGTCAGCTGGGCTCAGTATAGAGTAAACAACATGCTCACAACAGGTTGTTTTGCCTTTCTTTGGTCTATTTCCTGCTAATTTGGATGTAATTCAGTGACCGTTGAACCTCTACTAACAGCGAAAAAGACACGTGATTTAAAAGTTTCTGTTTTTGCAGGTTTACTTGTGTTTAATAAAGTAAACTATGTTCCTTTAAGCTGTGCTGTTACCTTCATACAGAGTTATCGGTTAGAAGTCCTGTTGGGGTCCACATGGATCAGGGATTGATCATCGGATTGTTCTGTGTTACTGATAAATCCAGAACCAGAAGGTATTTCTCATCTACACCAACTGATACACAATCAGCAGTTCGCATATGGTGTTTTATTTTGAAATACCGGATGACATGCGCAGTTTTCGCTCTAGAACTATCTTGTCTGTGCAGATTGATGTGCATTGGAAGCGTAGAGCAGCAAAAATACTTGTTGTGTATCTTTAGCAGAGCTGCTCTCGATACGCTTCTTATACGATGCTGCGACGGAGCTGATGTGCGTCCTGTATGTGATGCTGCATTGATTAGACTAGAAACCTACTTGCTGCATAATACGCAACGCTGCCGATGTGCACTCAATACGGATCCTGTATGTTTTAGACTGCTAAACTGCAGCTATCTTCATGCACCAGGGCAGTTAAATCATTACAATGCACTGGAAACAAAACACAAGGATAACTGACTGTTTATATTACAGGACTGGACCAGTGTGTTTGCATATTTTAGCAAATGTAATACAACCTGAATACGATAAAAGATGCTTCAAACTTTTCAGATGGCGAGGCAACATTACTGTGCAGACATCTAACACTGACTCAACAGAAAGTACAAACACTGTGTAAATTATGTTTAGCAAAAGCTAAAAGTGCTCCTCAATGTTGCATTAAAGGACATTTGGACATCCGAGATTTATGAGTCAGCAGTAAATACATTCACAAGCTGCAGACCCTTGAAAAAGCAATCATAGGGAAAAAGCACATTGTCACAAAGATAATGAGAACTTGAGAGCGTCTTTGATCTAAAACACAGATTTTTAGCACCCAGTCCCTTAAATCACGAATGCTGGAACAATGTAGGATATTCGGGTAACTAGAAGTCAACATAATATCTAAAGAAAAACAAACATTAATCCTAGATCCCTTTCAGAAGTAGCTTTTTTGTCATGGCGATGACAGTTGGAGAGCTGTGCATCTTTCTTAAAAAAAAAAATCAAGTCCAGGCTGTCAAGGACAGTTCAGATGGCATACATCTCGAAAAAAAAAAAAACCCAATAAATAATCATTCTCTATTAATCAAGTCCCAGATTTTCACTTTTTGTTGTCTTCTGCCTTCTGTGTGGTGACAACAAGAGCAGAAACAGTGGATAAAAATGAAACTCTAGACTGGCAGAGATGATTTAGTCTGGGAGTCATCTGTCGGTGAAGTAATTTATTAACATCACTTTAATTCTTTTCATATTTACTGTGTGACAATGAGCAAGTTGAAGTCATAATATGTGGCTACAATAACCAAAGATTGACCTCAAACTCACATCATTAACATTTTAATAACAGGTCTCATGTACTTATTTGGGTTTGTTATAAATGAACTGGATTCAGTGTTGCTAAATCAGTCATTCAAAGTTTGATTCACAAATTATCATCAAAAATTAAGCATCTGCTAAACCTGTGCATTGGATTAAAAATGCATATACTGTTCTGTTTATACCTGAAAGCTAGCAAAACAGGTTAAATGTGCCCTAAACTGCACCACAGCACTCCAGTAGGAGGTCCAGTAGAATGCAGACATCTAGATCTAAGACTCTGACGTAAATGAAACTGATAATGCCCATCAACATTTCACCGACAAAACTTGATGCTGTCATAATCTCAAAGTCATTAATCTTTGCAACACTGTCAGTAAGAAGCCAGACATACATTTCCTGTGAAAGACTGAGGACTTACAATATTGCGGGCAGAGAAGTTTCTGATTGGATCCTCAGCAGCGAGTGAGACCGAACTGAGCATGATGAACACCAGAATGAGGTTTGTAAATATGTGATGGTTAATGAGTTTGTGGCAAAACACACGGACTCTGAAACACAAGACAAAGAGAGAACCATCAGTGTGAAACAAGGCTTCGACCTCTCTGTCCAAAGTCTGAGAGGTTTGACACGTGAGTGCATGTCTTACGGGTTTGTACTGCTGAAGATGAAGAAGGCACTTCCTTCTGGGATAGGAGTGATCTTCTCCTTCTTAACCAGATCAGAGATGACTGGCCGAGGCCCAGATGGAACTTCTGGATCCTCCTCCTCTGCTGCTGTGTCATCATTGTCCTCCTCTTCCTCCTAAAAGAGATAGAGAGAGTGTGCCAGTGCATCAAACTTTTAACACCATTACGATAAGTTACTAAAATAATAAAGATTACCTTCTCGTCTTTTTCATCATCCTTTTTGTCCCTGCAACAAAAAGCCAATGTCATAAATCAGGGATTCTTGAGAGTCGGGACAAAACACTTCCTAAAAAACTTTTTTTGAGAATGCACACTATATTGATTAGAGTTATTTATTACTGTAGAGAAAGGTCTTAGCTATTTAACCCCATAAAGGAACAGGCTCTAAATAAAAACATTTTGTCTATAAATTAACATGTTTCCCTTAGACAGTGGATTTGTGTCAACTCCATCAGACACACAAAAAAGAATATAATTTTAATAATTCTAGTCCAACAAGAATCTAAAGTTCTGATGTATGTTGTAATAGTGTTTAGTTACTCTGATATGCCATGAAATATAATATATAAACCTAATGTGTGATTTCACACTATTTTGAAAACCAAGATTTCTAAATAGTTGTATTTTCAAACTTTGTTTTTAATTTTTATATTATAAAAACAATTTCTCTAGGTAAATAAGACACAAGAGGATGTAGAGCCAATGCTCCTTTATTACTTAAACAATATAAACTGAAGAAACAATTTTTTTTTCTCCAAAATTGAAGAAAAACATACATCTGACGGTGTTGACGAACACCTGACGGAGTTGACGAGAAACTGACGGAGTTGATGACATTGCATATGTTATTGAACAAATGTGTTTTTAAACCGATTGACAATAGGTCAATAGGTGAAAATAGATTAAGAACTAATAACTCCTTGTTTTCATACTGAACATACCGTTAATGCAATTAACCACCGCGCCGACAAGGCGTTTCCAAGCACATTTTCGTATTTTGGTGAGTTGTGCTGCCCGGCATAAGTATCCCCCCTCCCTAACTCAGCTCCTTCCAGCGGCGTAGGTCATAGGGAGGGAGGAGAGAGGGCGTGGAGTGGGTTTAACACAGCCGAGACCTGTATTGACCAATAACATCAGCTCTTCTCGCCTTTGAATCCGCCACTAGCGAGGCGTATTACCATTTTCGTGAAGTAGTCAAAGAGATCAAGAGATTTCTGAAGACAGCAATGCCACACGATGGCGACAGAAGGCAGCTCCTCAACAAGTGTCACTGTAAGCGCTGCATTGGGCGTCCTTCACACTGTCTCATATGAGCACAGATGGATTTGGTGTGTGTAATGTTGGACCCACTGGTAAGACAAACACCCTTTTCCACAAATAAAGACAATCACATTAAATTGCATATATTTAAACCTCACGTGACAAAGGTGGGTTGTGCGCACAGATCACATCATAAATTCCAATAATGGCATTAAAATCGGAACCAATCTGTGTGTAAATCGCGCTCCGTGGCTTGGCTCTTTCTTTCATAGATGTTGGCATATAAAATAAATTTGGCTCACAAAACTGATTATTATAATATTTGTATGTAGGCTTAAAGTAAAAAACTCATCTGATCACTGGAACAAATCATCTGTTCAGCTGCCGCAGCAGCAGCTGCAGCAGGACGGGTAGAGGACACGGAGACATGTCCAGGTTGAGCTGTGCGAGAAATAAGAGGAAGAGGAAGCTAGAAATGGGGGCAGACAAATTAAATATCTCGTTAACTTCATCATGTGTGTTTATTTACTAGATATTTGATTCAATTTCATGCAGATTCAGCAGCTGTGTTAATTTGGTCAGGTTGAGTGTCCAAACACATGCCAAATGCGCTCATCAGATCAGATATAGATCAGAATACATCGATATAGATCTAAATGTATGTGCTGACACAGATTATTAGTTGTTATTGATTATTTATTGCACGGAAATGTTCCTGACACTGTGGAAACCTGCTGGTGAGGCCGATATGCTGCCGGTCTCCCAAAATACCACTAGCCCATCCGGATCCACCTGCGCTGAAAGCTGACCAGGTTTGAATCTGCGAGCTTTCAGCGCACTTTACACGCCGGCAACAAGTACGAAAATGTCACTGCGTCAGCTGATTCTGTGGACACCTCACCCTGCCACACATCCACGCCCAGCTTGGCGGACCTCGGTGCACCTCAGTCCACGAAAATACCAAACTGGCTGTACGCTGAGCTCCGCCAGACAAAAATGCCACTGCGCGGGGCTCACCACCCTCCGCCATGTCGCCGGTGGACACAAAAATAGAGCCCAAGGTCTGAGGGTCCAAGTTAACAATGTAAAAATAATAACCTTTTTCTTCTATCTGGTATCCCACCTACACTGGGGTTTAAAAGAGCAACATAGAACTTCTTGCGCACTCTATAAGAAGCCAGTGTGTAGATTTTAGGTAGTGAAAATTACATACTGCACCTTTAGGATTGTACATTAATCAATCAATCAATGAGATTAGGTGTGTGTGTGTGTGTGTGTGTGTGTGTGTGTGTGTGTGTGTGTGTGTGTGTGTGTGTGTGTGTGTGTGTGTGGGAAAGTTTGACAGTTATAATCAAGCAGACAGCCTGCCCATGGTCTACTCTACAAAACAGAAGTATATGGTAAAATAACGTAATATATGCTATATATGTACTTTTATGTGCAGATAAGACCCTGGAATAACATTGTTATCCTTAACCATGTTCAAAAATAGCATAATGTCAGCACATTAAGAGGTTATAAGTGGATTTGTCAACTCCATCAGCTTACATGTCAACTCCGTCAGACACAAAATCTGACGGAGTTGACGTCTGACGTAGTTGACGTAAGGGCGTGTATTTTCCCTCCAAAACATTCTTGTACAGTGCAGCTAGCTACTTTTTTGGCAGTTGCTAGCTGTCCTGATAATCTCACTAAAATACTTTAATTAAACTCACTATGGTTTAAAAAAAAGTATAATAATGGAGAGACGGTGTTGACATGGTCCAGCTGTGACCATACAAATATTGACATTGTTTCTCTAAAATATCAAAAACTGTAAAACCTACCAGACCATGTGTGGTGGTGTTGCATTCACCAGAAGCAGGAAATGAAAAGGGGTCCTCAGGGATATAGCTGACCATGATATTGCATGATTTAATGAGGTTTATAGAATAATCTGATGGAGTTGACAGAAACTGAGGACACAACTTTTATAGGCAGATTTTTAGGCAAAAAGCTATTTGATGTTCAGGCCATTCATTGTTTATATATTTATAGCCCTGAATTTTTATTTGATGTATATGTTTTCACAATTATAGAGTTTTTTAAAGTTTTTTGGGGCTGGTCAATATTGTGACCTCTTGCTGAGGACACAAGCAATAACATGGACCTTCTAACCACAGACGTTTCATTTAAACAAATATCCCCCAAAAAAGTAAATATCTGTGCTAAAAAATAGGATTGGTATACACAAATCCATTAGATTTAACTTTTTGAGTATGTCAAACATTTAGAATTTCTTAATTGTTTTGACTAAATTAGACTTTTCTATGTAGGACATGTTTTGTCCCGACTCTCAAGAATGGGTAAAATATTAGAGTTTTAAAACACATCAAAAGAACCCATTCAAAAGAAGACTTTTCACAGAGTCACCCTTTCTTGTCTCCTTCGTCTGTGTTGAGAGATTCTGCGTCTGCCAAGTTGTCCACAGCGATAGCCAAGAAGACATTCAGGAGGATATCTGACAAAGAGCTCAGGAAAAGACAAATCTCTCTAAAACTGCTTCACATTTCCTAAATAGAACGTGCTCGCTCATAGTTTCCGGTTTACAGTCTTGAGTGATTCGGTGTCTTTGACAGAGGATACAGTTTCCGCAGATGAAGAGGATTATGAAGTAGAAGCACACAATCATCCCTGAAGAGGAGGGACCTCCATATGCCATGATCCCATCATACATGACAGCATTCCAGTCTTCTCCAGTTAGGATCTAAAATCAAAGAGGACTTTCTTTTGTAACAGAACTTAAAATCAAGCTTAAAAATGTAGAGATTAAACCTTTTGATGTTTGCCCCATGCTGGTTGAGCCGCTTCAAAAACTTTTATAGTAACTCAGACACATTATTCAGAGGGAGTTGTTGAGTTGCCTACAACAGAACTAAACACAGTGTTTCATATCATCCTGTATGCCAACTGTATAGTCATGCTTGGCACTGTAATTTAATCTAATACTTCATGTTTATTTATTTAGCAAAGTAATACTTGGCTGAGATGCTCCTATCAACATGTAAGATTTTAAAGGATTTAGTAAAACCTGTTTGAAATACTAAAACATTACCAAAAAATAAATAAACAAAAAAAAAAAAAAATTCAGACTAAATAAATAAATTAGAATTGTGACCAAATAGCAAGATACTGGCATGTAAAAAAATCAACAAATTAACTAATTAAGGAAAAATACCCTTAAAATAAATTTGGTAAAAAAGTGCTGTTCGCAGGCCGCCAACAAACAACAACAAGCGGCCATGATTAGCCTTCTACTCTCAAATGACTGACGACACCAAAACAAACAGATGTATTAAAAGATATCACATCATAAGAGAGGAAGTGAGTTATGACCACAGATATATTAAGAAGGCTTTATACCCCAGCACGCTGTAGCAGCCCACAAAGCGATGTGCCTATGTGGCAGCCATCTTGGTGGGGGCGACTTTCCCATTAAAGTCATCAGATGTACATGGAAAATTATATTATATTATATTATATTATTTATATTTATTATTATTTTCAATGCCAAAACATGTGCTGGCAATACAGAACATTTCATTAAACGTTTGATTTTTAAAATTTGTTTTCATTGTACATAAATTGCCTTTGATAGGAACGGTATAGGTGTAGTTTTAATTTTTTTACTAGTTTTAACTCTGCACTGGTTTTACGGTTTTACTGTCTAATGTGTTATTGTCCCTTTTTTTATGCACTGACTGTAAAGGCCTTTTTTCATTTCGTTATGCTTGTCACAATGACAATAAAATTCTATCTATCTACTATGCCTCCACCAAGATGGCTGCCACGTAGACACGCAGCTCAAACGGGTTTGTTGTATCTACTATTCATATCTGGTTATTACCATAAAAAGTTCCTTTAAAGATCACACGAACCTTGACCTCTGACCTTTGACCAAAAAAATCTAACCCATCAGAGAGTTGCCTCCCTTTGTTACGGACATACAGAGCAGCTGTTGCAAGGGATGAATGAGTGACACTAAAACTTTCACGGCTCTCTGGTGGATGAGGTTTGCCCATATAGTGACAGTATTTAGTCCTCAACAGTGTTTCAGACCTCTTACCAATAACCTATTATCAATCAACCAAAACAGACATTTTCTGTTTGATTTTCCACTCAGTGTACAAATAAGCAAATGCTGCAAGTTCAGATGTCTGTTACTCTGATGGGGTTGACCTCAGATTAGACTTTGAATACCTGAAATACAGTCAGAAGAGCCTGGGGAAAGTTGTCAAAGGTACTCCTCTTTGTTTGAGTCTCATCAAAATTGAACTTTCCACCAAACACCTGCATGCCCAGCAGGGAGAAAATGATGATGAACAGGAAGAGCAGCAGCAGCAGGGAAGCAATGGACTTCATGGAGTTGAGCAGAGATGCCACCAGGTTACTCAACGACTGCCAGTGACTGGGAAAACAAAAAGAGAGAGAGACAGGTGACTCATTTAACACCACCCTTACACTAAACACACACACACACCTACATACAAACACAGCGAGACAACAGTTGTACCGTGTGACCTTGAAGATCCTCAGCAGGCGGACGCAGCGAAACACAGAGATACCGAGGGGAGACATGATTTCAAGCTCGACCAGAATGGTTTCAGTGATTCCTCCACAAACCACAAAGCAGTCAAAGCGGTTGAACAATGAAACGAAATAGGCCTGAAGCCCGAGACTGTACATCTTCACCAACATTTCACACGTGAATAGGGCCAGCAGCACCTTGTTGGCCACATCTGAAACACAGAGAAAAGGCTCAATGTAAGAAGGCTGCAGACTGAAGAGACTTTTGTAAATTAATACACTCACTCCTACAAAGTTCGAAATAAAATAACGTTATAAATATAATTTTTTTTACAGCTTCTTTTAGAAACTTTAAGTCTGTGTCAATTTTGCAGTACCTCTTATCTCTTTGCTGATATTGGTCTGCACATTTCAGGTCTTTTTAAGAAAACTCGTATCCCATCTGGACTAATGATTTACTAAACTCAGCAAATATTAAAAGGTAATAAAATTCAACTTTTTTTCTGTTGTATGTATGTATAATCTGTCCATACCCTGCACTTGTGTCAGCCACAGAGGCTGGTTATAATGCTCTGATGAAATGGTCAGTGTGTTGAGAAACACCAAGATGATGACCAGCCAATAGAAAGGCACCGATTTGACAGCCAACCGGCACTTCCTGCGGCAGAATCTGTTCCAGCGGCGCCAGCGCCGACTGCAGAAGAAAAGAGAGAATAAGTACAAAGAGTAAAATTTAGTTTAAATACATTGCTGTGTTTTTCAAGGAAGTTGTTACAGTCATTGCAATGAATAATAACAATGCAGAGGTGTGAGGCAGAAAGGCCATGAGGGAACTGAATCAAAAATTTTTTTTGCAAGTCATACTGTGAAGTAAATGAGCTGAAAAACCCTGCGTTAGGCTTTTCTCTTGAAAACCTAGTGGTACTTGCTGACTTAATAAAAGCAGTTGATTTATCATCCATGGTAAAGTCTCATTAAAATACAGTAAAATGAAAGCCAAGCACCTATTTAAATTTAAATCTCTATAACATAATGCAGACACAGAGCCTGCAGCATGAAGCATAACACATTATGTAAAGACAGTCACAAATTAACTCACCTGAACTTTGACTTTGAAATTTTTTGACTGAAAGAGAAAAAGAGAATCAAAGCTTAGACACAGGAGATGCAGCAGAGGTTTGCAGGCTTTAACAACAATAACAGTTTGATTGCAAAACCCTCAAGCATCACACTGTGGGTGTGCTCAAAAAGAAAAGTGAGTTTGAATAGTTTGATTTAAAATTTTCACAGACAGTGGTTTTATTTAAATGAAGAGTGAAATTGTATGTTCTCACCACAGAGGTCCACAGCATGGTGTTTTTTCATCCCCCTCGGTTTGATTCTCAGTGTTGACAGATTCTGTTTCACTGGCTGGAACGCTGGCTGCAGTGGCAAAAACAAATAAGATATTTAAGAGCGAACGATCATATCTCACAATGTTTTTCAGATGAAGCACGGTGCAGTGCCTCTCAGGAGAAACACTAAAGGAATAGTCTTCCCGATTTAGAGAAGATAAAAAGATTTACACATCAAATTAAGTGTCTAAGTGGATCATAATTATTAGATGGGGATTTTTAAAAATTGATAATCGTATATTTTATCCTTAAAGTCATACTGCTGCCAAAATTCCTGCAACCTCATAGAGAAGAGCTAAGCACTGCGGCTGTACATCACTGTCATCATTAGTATTATTTACCAAGTGCTGAAAGGGAGCTGACACGGGACAGGCGAACGGACAGCTGCTCCACGAGGGCTGACTGATGCAGACAATGAGGAGCAGGGGGAAGAGGGGAGCAGGGCTCTGAAAGCTGTCTCTGAAATGCTACACTCGGAGCTCTGCCAGCGCTCAGCAGAGGCTGTGTGTGCAGACACACACGATGATTAACTGTGTGAAAAGTCTCACTGCTTTAGCTCGTATGAGGCAGCGCGCTGTGTGCTGCTTAGCTTAGCTTATGCAGACGTGTTGGCTTTGATTGGTCGGACAGCTCTTAGCTCTGAAAATAGTGCTGACTGCTGGAGTAGTGATCTGGGTTTAGCCCTGTTTCCTATATTCACACTGAGCCCCTGCTTTTGAAATGGGACATGGTAAAGAAACAGGGCGTGCCTGCTATCAAATTGAACAGTATTTCTATTTCTGATTCAGTCTGGTGGAAGAGTTTGTTTTCATTTGGAACCAGCAGATCACACAAAAAAAAAAAATCATGAGGAGGAAAAAGGATATAACTGGATAAAAAATGGCCGTGATGCTTCAACACAACAGGTTAAAACAACAGTAAAGCACCGAGTGATGAAGTATTACATAAGGCTGCGCACATAAACACACACGTGCACACACACACACACACACACACACACACATTCAGCAGTCACTCAGGATGCTCCAACTGGAATTTTGAAGGCCAGCAGTCCCTAATTTTTTGGTTAAATTCAAAGTTTCGAATAAAAACACCGACATTAAAGAGTATATGACAGTAAAATAAGGAGAATACAGGTGAAGCAGAGAAGATTATATCTTTACTGACTGCACCTAAGAAAAGCTAACACTTTGTTTATTGCTTGCTGGGTTATTATGTTTAAATGATATCCTTTAATACAGACTGTTTCCAACAAGATTATTGCAACTATTATCAAAAGCACAACTCTGCATTTTAATCTTGTAAAATCAAGAGAAAGGAAGTGGGAAGATTGGTCTGATTTTTGATAAAAAGCTGACGCACATTTCGGTTTTAATAAAATTTAAGCATCAAACACAAACACACACACATGCAGATGCAAACGCACACACGCACACAGAAAAAGCTAGAGAACAGTGGAGGGAAAGCACAGGATTTACCATGAGTGTCGGACGACTGGCTGAACCACCCAAACCTTCCTTTCTTCTTCTCAGTAAGGTCAGCCAGAGTCACCCCTTCATGTGTAATGCATGCATGTCCATGCATTCAGACACAACGGCACAGCAGAGGGGACATTGGGGAGGGGGGAGGGCGAGAATGGGCAGCTATCAAAATGGGTCAGAGCAGACAAGCACCACAGGACAACAATAGTATTCAAAATATCAATATCCAACAATGACAAGAGCGGCAGGAGTCACAGGCGGCAGACACTGAGGAGGGCAGAAGAACAACATGGAGAGCTGTTAGTTACTGGGAGCATCTGCAAGTGACCAGGCCCTGTACTAACATGTTATACTGCAGAAATAAGACGTGTGCATAACAACATGTTAGTAGGGGCTCGTGTTCCATCCACAGACACCAAAAGCCAGGATGGATGTCGGAGAAAAGCAGCATGAACCTGCCTGCTCGGAAAACCAGCTTCAAACCTCGCTTTATGGAAAAATGTTTGCAGTCAGGGTCAGGATTAGGGAGAAAACGTGTGTTTATATTCATGACTAAAGGAAAAGACAGGTGGGAGAAGCAACAGTAAATGGACAGATTACATTCAAATGAAGGGAGCAGACAGAGGGTAAACATTCAAAACCTTACGCTCAAATGTGGAGTGAATCAGTGGCGGTTTCTCTGTTTTGAATCGTGCCTGCTGCTTATATAAAGAGGATTTGGATTAAGAGTTTTTTTTACTGCTCAAGTAATATCATTTTTTCCCTTTTTCCACTTATTACTAGGGCATATCTGACCTTTTACTCGCAGCCATGTTTTATCAACATGCCTAATTTACTTCTGCTGTACATGATGATCTCCTACAAGACCCAGTGCTTCTTATTCATTTAACTGACTTTTTAGCTCTTCATTCTGTCACTCTGACTACTGCCTTTATTGCTATTATTATTGTTGTTTTACCCTGCTTTTATTGCATTTTGATGGTTAATGCTTTTTATGCTCTTCTGTTGTTCTTAGTGCCTTTCTCTCTAAAACTCTTGTATTACCTCCATCATTTTTAATTGTATACATCGTTTTGCATCTTTGGTCCTCTTGGTCTTGATTTCTGTTGTGCAGTTCTTGTTAGTTCGGATGCTGTCTTTGTAAATCATGTTGGTTGGATTTTCATGGTAGTTAGATCCTTTCTGCTGTTGGGTTCTTCTCATGATGATTCTGTTTTGGTTTTGTCGTAGGTTTCGTGCAGTCTCTCTCTCACTCCCCTTTTTGTTCTTTTTCCTGCAGGGCATGTGTGTTGTAGGGGGGTGTGGCTGACTTCTTTCAGGCAGTAGATGAGACACACTAGTGGCCACTCAGCTTGTCAAAGTGTTCATGAAATTGCGATATTCAGGCCCGTTTATACATATCCGGTTATTTTTGAAAACAGAGACATTAACCGTCATTTGCACCATAGACTGTATAAACTATGGACAACTTGATTCCGTATTCCGCCAGTATATGGATTTGAAGCTGAAAAGCTCTTGGTAATTCCCCGTTTTCTCTACATTTCCTGAAACCATGTGATGATGATTGGCTTCATCAGTGTATCCCGCGGTTGAGCTGCGCACTCTTTGTACGCCTATGGGCTGTATCAAGTGTCAATCATCGAAAACTTGAACCCCCTAATAACTTTTCAAAATGGAGCTGTGGAGAAAAAAAAGAAGACTTGAGCACAAACTAGTCTTACAGTAACTACATGTCAACATCACAAGCAGGGGGGAGATAAATTTAAATTCTGTGTAATACATTTCTTAAAATTTGTCCACAGCTCCATAGGGATTGTTGGAGGAGGCGGGATTTATGACCTATACTGCAGCCCGTCACCAGAGGGTGCTGTTCTCGGAGTGGCTTCACCCAGCGAGGAGGCAGGCGACATCCATTCTATATACAGTCTATGGTTTGCACCCTTCGTTTAGACGCAAACGGAGAATTCGCCCCTGAAAACGATGTTTTTTAAAAACTCCGGTCGGAGTGGAGATTTGGAAAACTCAGTTTTCACGTTTGCAAGTAAATGGAGAAAAAAAGGAGGAAAACAAAGATTTGGGTAGCCGACGGCAGATTGTGCGCAGGAAAGAAGGAAGAGATGTTGTTGTTATTGCTGCTATGCAGTATTCTGATTGGCTAACGTTGGCTCGCGCTTCTCACTACACTGCCACCCACATGTTTGATACGCTCTTGCCGGCATATATACATGGGTTTGTGTAAACGAAAACTTTTCTGAAAATGCAGCAGTGTGCACGCAGTTTTTTTGTAAACAGAGAGGGGTAACTGTCTCTTTATGAAAATAGCCGGGCATGTTTAAACATATTCTCACTCCACTGTGCCACAGATCGTTTTGTTTGGTTTAGTGGTAGTGCTGTCTGTTTCTAGTTTTTTTATAGCATTACCTCATGGATTTTGTTCTCACCAGTGTGTGCTTCTTTCTGCCCAGGTTTTCCTGTGTGCATCACTGCCTGCCAGTCCACTCTCCTTCAGTGCCTGAAATTTCTCCAGTTTTTTCCTCACCAGAGATCGCTTCAAGACAGCCAGCTTCCTGCTCTCACTTTTCCAATAAACTCTTTTGCTAAACCCAATCCAGTGAGAGTCTCTGCTTTGGGGCCCAGCTTACCAAACACTTTAGTTGTTTGTATTTGGATTTATTCTGCCTGGGTTTTTGTTTTATTTATTGCATGGTGTACTAAAAGGTGAGTTTGCACATTTCTGACTCATGTTTCCTCTGTATCTGAGCTAGACATGCCCCATTATTATTGCCCAGTTATTTGAGGCAATATTCCAAATAGAGCACTCTATGCTAGAGATGGCGCAGAAATCACAGTAAAAACATCTGATGTTTTGAAACCCTCAAATATTGGATAAATATTTCTCCCCCAGAGAGAAATTATCTTTAGGTCATCCACTGTGTTTTTTTTCTCAAACTCCCACAATGAAACATTATAGATTTCCTGAGTACAAACTCATGCACTCCCTGATTATATAAACAAAGGCCTAATTATAGCAGCAGAAATCACAGCCCTCTCAAGCCAACAATAACACACACTGCTGGATATTTCTCTCCATGTGGTAGAAACAGATTCTATCAGCTTGCTGTATTAAAGTGTGGCTTGTGATGCCAGTGCGGCGTTACTCAGCATGACTGAGCGAGTAGGTGACGGTACTCACGGTTGCGTTTGCTCTCCTCGTCAGCCTCATCCTCGTTGTCGGGGTCGATGTCTTCAGCCTGAGTGATCCAGTCCAAGTAACCCTTAAGATCCTCCTCCAGCTGCTGCTTCTCACGCAGCTTCTGGAAGTCTCCACGAGCTTTCGCCTTCTCTCTCTCCTTAGAGAACTCTCTGAGTTTGCGGATTAAACGGTGGACAAAATATGCAAACAGAAGGAGACAGACGAGAGTGCATGGATTACAAAGTAGACACATGTACATTAACTTTCACTGCAAGCGGAAAAAGGTACTCCACACAAAGAATTCCCACGCCAAACAAAAATGGACAAGTTTTTCCAATAAAATAGTCAAACACAGAGACATTTTTACATCAATAACTGAAGATATACCGTATATAAATGTCCTGTTTATTCCCAGTGTGGTGTGATTACATATTCAAACACTTCAATCACACCCTTTCAATGCCTTGTGTGTTTTTGTGAACCGTAGCCACTGGAGGGAGATGTACACCTTTGAAAGACAACAGCTCTATATTTAGATCCCATCAGTACAGTCGCTTATCTTTTTAGCATCTTTATCATACAGAGGAGGCTATTTAGGTAGACTGATGGTTTCAAGAGACCTTCATTCAAAATCCATGGACTATACTAAACAACCACACCGGCCTCTAGGATTTTGAGGGACTGTGAGCATGGAAGGTAAAGACATGTAGTGTGCAGTGGGAAAATGCAGTTATCTATAAAATATGTATTTATTCTATAATGATGAAAAAGTCAAAGAGGAAGTGGTTAATAAAGGCGATTCAGCGTAATGAATTCTGCTGATTTAAGGTGGAAAACCTCAGGCCTTATAACCTTGTTGGCTTTCAAAAAAAATCAGGCCTTGCTGGCTGGTCTACACGCCACAGTTAAATGTACTGTAACTTTCCATCCCCCTTTCCACAGAGCAGGAAAAGCAAAGTGGGGTTTGAGGGAGCTTAGGAACGCAGAGGGAGTGAAGGGCGAGGAATAAGATTAATTTCTCTCTCAGGAGGTTGGCTGGGCGAGGAGAGTTGAAGGAAAAATGCTCACATTGCAGTTGCCATAAGAAGGATGTGATCGACAAAGGTTGAGAGAGAATGACCGTGAGGAAATGTATGTTTATAATGAGACCCTTACTCAGATTATAGCTGATTATTACAAGGCTGTTTGAAATAATTTGTTCTGATTGGTCAAAACATCAGTACTTAATTCTTTTAAAAAAGTAAAGCCAGATCACAATTGTTTTATCGAATCAATCCAATAAAGGAGGCCAACTCACATCATCACAGCCAGTTGTAACTGTAGCAAAAAATGTGTGTAACCCCCAATTTCCACCGCATCCAGAACGGCTGCGAAAAGGCTGTATGCGCCGATTTTGTTCCCGAGCTGTTTGTTTCCATTCAAGGAGATGTGTCAATTTCCAGCGGCTTCTTTCCGTTCCACAGAGGCTCAGCAGACTCTGCAGCTGATCGCCAGAGTTCTACTTTTTCTGGACAACGCAGCATGCCGTATAAATTTAGCACAGAATAACCTGTGCTGGAAAGGAAGTCGGGCACAGACACGAAATAAAACATCCGGCTTCTTTTCAAAATGAAACGCTACAATCAGGCAGATCGTATTTCAAGTGAAAGGTTTATAGACAGCATTTCACTCCGATGACACCATGGATGAGGAGATGCTGATTCTTTAAGTCCATTAGTGGATTTCCTCCTCTTGAAGGACACAATCTACTGCTTATATGGTTATGTGGCCGTCTTTATAGAGGCAACTCGTTGGTGCGATTGCATGTGAATCCGCGGGTGAGTTCTTGCGATTCCCGCTGTCTGAAATCTGCCACGAAATTCGCCTCACAAACGCATTCAGTAGGATAGGAATTGGTGGACGGCGAAAAATGCCACCGTTCCATAGTGGATCTGTTCCGGATGCGGTGGAAATTGGGGGTCACTGTTTGCATTCTTTATGTCTTTGGGGTCTGAGGGCAGCCAGAGGAGCTACTGGGCTTCAACCTATGATAAAGAAGAGTGGAGCAAAATCCTGTCTCGCAATCCAGGCGATGGCAGCAGAGCTGGTGAGTGCATTTTTAAGTTTTTGATCACGACAAACTAACTTAAACCACAAGTAGAGATGAGAATAGCAACAGTCTGAAAAGTTGTGACACTTTAATTTATGTTAAAAGATGCATCTACTGCAAAGCTCCAAAAGGAAAGATAGCTGAAGGAGAACAGAGTTTGTCAATGTGAAGTTAACCTTGTCTTGTGTTATCTTTAATGGAAACAGTTTAATGTAGAGTTTAGAAAATAAACAGACTTATGTTTGAACTTGACCATAAATTGAAAAAAAAAAATCTGCAAGACAGCCAGTAAGAATCTGTTGCTATGTTAATGTTACCTGCGGTTGAATCAGGGGAGACTATTTTTCAGCTGTATAAACAGATCTCTTTTAAATCAATACAATCATCTTTATATCAATAATTTCTATTAACTTGATCATATATTTAGATGGTGATGAGTAACAGGTATAATGTATAGCGGTATACGGGTGGTTATGCAATCCAAAATTCCAAAATTAGCCAAAAGCCACTGCAAACATGCTTTTCCCACTGCAAACCAGAACCACTGCACAAGTTTCCTCTTACCCACTTAGCACACCTAACACAAGGTTTAACACGAAAAAGGAGCCCAGTATGATCAGGCTAACGAAATAAATCCAAGGTGTTTCCCATCCAATGGCGTCATTGACCTACAGGAGCCAATAAGAGTGGGTGGTTAGACAGAGACAGTGACAAGAACAGAGAGCCTCTGACCTGAGGTCATGTAGAGGGTCTCTGTCAGGAGAGAGAGGAAGGTGCTTACCCGCTCAACACACCCAAAACCAGGTTAAGCACGAAAAAGGAGCCGAAGATCACAAGACTGACAAAGTACACCCATGGAAGCTCAAAGCCCATAGCGTCGTTCATCTGGAGCAGCGAGCGTCACCACAGAGGAAGGACGTGAAGAAGAGGAGAGACAGAAAACAGTGAAAGTGAGTGTTAGAGGAAGACACTGTCAGAAAAGAAAAGCAGAACAAAAGGAAATTAAGATTCCTTACAGAAAGAATAGAAGTGTCCCTCATTTATAAAACCAATCATATCAGAGGACTTTTAGCTGCCTTAAGATGTTATCAGCAGCTTCACCTCTGATCTGAGGAGACACTTGAGCTGAGGGAGAGTGACAGTCGCTGGATCTAAAAGAGGACGGGGCAGAGCACAATTCTCACCCAGTACAGCACATCGGTCCAGCCCTCCATGGTGATGCACTGAAACACCGTCAGCATGGCAAATAGGAAGTTGTCAAAGTTGGTGATGCCACCGTTGGGACCTTGCCAGCCTTCCCTGCACTCGCTGCCATTGATGGGGCATTGGCGCCCGTGCCCTGAGATCGCACATGGAGCTGGTTCCTCTTCTGCAAGTCCATCTACAGGGAAAAAAAAACATGTTCAGCTACTTCTCACACATGAAAGATGATTTTATTTAGGGGTAGATTTTTTACACTGTATAATTAACACTCAATTTTCCACACTGCATGCACACTGACAACCATAATTACATTTCGTGATAATTACTTACTTATTTCATTAAATATATTTTGTAAAACTCTGCTACCATATGTGATTTCCCTGGGGTCGCCCTATAAGAAATGTTCATTCAACTATATTTTTCATGCATGCAAAATAAATACAGCCGATTCAAAGCCAATACAGTCCTCTAATTCACTATTTCTCTGTGTATTTGGGCTTAGTCAAATCACACATATGCAATATCAACATTTAAATATTTAAAAAAATGTGTAAATGAGTTAGAAAATATCAGAGCTTCATACTGAATTCATAATACAAGTTGCAGAGCCAAGACTGCTGGCCTTAAGTTTTATGTTAAAAAATAAAAAGAGTGCATACCTGAGCCAGGAAGATAGCAGGTAGCGTGCATTTTTCCAATGAAAAGCTCCAGGCCGATAATAGCGTAGATGATAATGACAAACAAGACCAAGAGGGCAATGTGGAGAAGAGGGACCATGGCTTTAATGATGGAATTCAACACCACCTGTAAACCTGGGCAAGAAAGAAAAGAAACGTCATGTTGGCTGTTTTTTGTAAACCCATGTGCTTAAACAAACATCAGTATTTTTCTAGCTACAAAGATCAGCTGCTTGCAGGCTCAGTTCCCTTAGAAAAATATGAACCTTTGGTCATTGATTAACGCAGCATGATCTTCATGTTTCAACTAAAAATGCAGGACAGTAATAAACGCTTTTGACCCATAGACTGTGAAATAAATTTCTTAAGTTTGTCCACAGCTCCATAGGGATTGCTGGCGGAGGCGGGATTTATGACCTATACTGCAGCCCGTCACCAGAGGGTGCTGTTCTTGGGGTGGCTTCACCCAGTGAGGAGGCAGACGGTGTCCATTCTATATACAGTCTATGTTTTAAACACTGTTACAAGTTTAAGTCTCAATAATTTACACTGAAAGAGGTTGATGACGTAAAATAACCATTCAACAACATTATCAACAGATATGATCCAACAATGTGAGGTGTGGGGTGGTACTTTAGTGGTCTATTGGATGGGTTTCAAAAGGCAGAAAAAAAAAACTCACTTAGCAACATAGATAATGACTGTGTCAATGTGTTTACTCTGAGCTTGTTTTTGTCACATATTTTCATTACACCCAGAACTCGTCCTCGGGGTGCTCATGTGCTGTGGACAGATGTTTTTGAAAAAACTGTCCTCAGGGATGATACAGAGACAATCTGTCTCTCTCTTCTGTGTAACTCCTCAGGACCTCATATTACAAAATACATGCAGAAAGTATGTGAGTGCAAATACTGTGTGTTTTGTATTGACTGTGTGATTTGGTGTAAAAGGCACAAGCACTTACTGGGTACTCCTGAGACCAGCCGCAGGGGTCGCAGCACACGGAAGGCTCTTAGGGCTTTAACATCAAATCCACCTGGTTTTCCCCCATGGCCGTGCATTGACGGATGGCTACTTTCTCCTTCTGTCTCTATCTTTTCATCTTTGGTCAAAAGCTCCAAGACAACACTGAAGAGTCTGTTAGAAAACAAACACAGGGCCTCACATCATTATCGTGTCATGAAAAACTTAGTTTATCACACTGCAACTATTTTCGGAATCTTTTTTTAAAAATTATTGTCAAGGACAGACATGCCAGACATCCAGCAGTTTCATTGTTCTAAATATGCAAATATTCATTTTTTTAATCAGTCATGTTTGATTGTAAACCGATAAAATTTATCAGGGTATTCATAAGTCTAAAAAAGCCATTTGCATAAGTTATTTACTAAATTCACAAATGCATCAAACCTCTCAGGGTGAGCTGCATGTATGTATGAATGAATACAAACAGCCTCATTTTCTACCTCAAACTTACCCAAACCTTTCCAGTCAGTATGTGAATGTTTTGGAGAAGTGTGCCAATATGTAAACGACAGGTTAAAGTCAGAAAAACTCACCACAAGCGAGCAACTGGGGGAGATTTTATTTATATCATAGTGAAGCTGTGTCTTACTCTGTTCTGCTCACCAAACCAGACTCTAAAGATGTTGAATCAAACAAATCACTGACATTTTTTAAGAAATACAGACCCTTTCCAAAAAATTAGAATATCATGGAAAAGTTTATTTATTTCCATAATTCATTTAAAAAAATTGAACTTTCATAGATTATAATATCAGGGCCCACAAGTTAAACAATTTAAAGTATTTATTTGTTTATTTTTATAAAATGTGGGCTACCAGCTTATAAAACTTACGAAAACGGGAACTAAAAAAATGAGAATACTGTGAAGAAATCACCATTTAAGTCTCCGTTTTGTACTTGAAATTGTTCAATTTATGGGCCTTAAAATCTATAATCTATGAAAGCCCCACTTTGAATGTTTTGGAAAAGTAGAAATAAAACGGTTTCTTCTGTGTGTTGTGTGGCTTAAAGATTATAACTTATTAATTATCAATCTTGTTGTTGATTCTCTTATTTGCTTTTGTAAGTCAAAGAGAGGCATTTTTGTTCCTTTCAACCTCTGACAAGACCAATAAAAACTCCTCACAGAGGGTTTAAATGAAGACAAATCTGTTTTGAAAGCATGTGAACTAAAACCCTTTCCTGGCTGGGGGCACTGGTCTCAACTGCTGTTGATCATAAAGTGTTATTTATATGTGAAAGTAATGCATTGTGCATCATCAGTTTGCTTTACAGCCACTTACAACACTGGCTGACAGAAACCAGATGCACAACATGAGAAAGTACCACATATACACTCACCGGCCACTTTATTAGGTACACCTGTCCAACTGCTCGTTAACACTTAATTTCTAATCAGCCAATCACATGGCGGCAACTTAGTGCATTTAAGCATGTAGACATGGTCAAGACAATCTCCTGCAGTTCAAACCGAGCATCAGTATGGGGAAGAAAGGTGATTTGAGTGACTTTGAACGTGGCATGGTTGTTGGTGCCAGAAGGGCTGGTCTGAGTATTTCAGAAACTGCTGATCTACTGGGATTTTCACGCACAACCATCTCTAGGGTTTACAGAGAATGGTCAGAAAAAGAAAAAATATCCAGTGAGTGGCAGTTCTGTGGGCGAAAATGCCTTGTTGATGCCAGAGGTCAGAGGAGAATGGCCAGACTGGTTCGAGCTGATAGAAAGGCAACAGTGACTCAAATAACCACCCGTTACAACCAAGGTAGGCAGAAGAGCATCTCTGAACGCACAGTACGTCGAACTTTGAGGCAGATGGGCTACAGCAGCAGAAGACCACGCCGGGTGCCACTCCTTTCAGCTAAGAACAGGAAACTGAGGCTACAATTTGCACAAGCTCATCGAAATTGGACAATAGAAGATTGGAAAAACGTTGCCTGGTCTGATGAGTCTCGATTTCTGCTGCGACATTCGGATGGTAGGGTCAGAATTTGGCGTCAACAACATGAAAGCATGGATCCATCCTGCCTTGTATCAACGGTTCAGGCTGGTGGTGGTGGTGTCATGGTGTGGGGAATATTTTCTTGGCACTCTTTGGGCCCCTTGGTACCAATTGAGCATTGTTGCAACGCCACAGCCTACCTGATTATTGTTGCTGACCATGTCCATCCCTTTATGACCACAATGTACCCAACTTCTGATGGCTACTTTCAGCAGGATAATGCGCCATGTCATAAAGCTGGAATCATCTCAGACTGGTTTCTTGAACATGACAATGAGTTCACTGTACTCAAATGGCCTCCACAGTCACCAGATCTCAATCCAATAGAGCATCTTTGGGATGTGGTGGAACGGGAGATTCGCATCATGGATGTGCAGCCGACAAATCTGCGGCAACTGTGTGATGCCATCATGTCAATATGGACCAAGCTCTCTGAGGAATGCTTCCAGCACCTTGTTGAATCTATGCCACGAAGAATTGAGGCAGTTCTGAAGGCAAAAGGGGGTCCAACCCGTTACTAGCATGGTGTACCTAATAAAGTGGCCGGTGAGTGTATATTCAACACAGTGCATCTACAATATCACTGTATGGTTAATAAACTTTTAAGGGCCTCACAAATCAATGGTCAGTTATTTCAAAGCTAGGAGTGATGTTGAGGGTGCAGTACAGCAGCATCTGTTGGTAAAAGTGGCACCAGAAGTGTCGCTCACCGAAGAGAGAAAAAGGAAAATCAGCAGTGACCAAATCTCCCAACATGAGGACAGAGGAGCCTTCATCACAGTCAGTTAGACAGTCTTCACCCAGCCAAGAGAGGAAAACATCCCCACACATCACATCAGAGCTGTGGACTCAGAGCAGAGGATGAAGCTGCCAATAGTGGCTGAAGGGAGCTCTGAGGGCCTATAAGCTCCGTCTGCTCAGACGTATGTTAGACTGAGTCACAGCTGTAAAACTGTCCACCTGCCACTGGGCCTTCATCACTCACCCAGCCATGTTCAAAGGGAAACCATCTTCACACATCGACTCTTTCTCACTGAAACTTCCTGAGGAAAAAACTTCTACAAAAATGACAGTTGAGCTGGTTAACATCCATGTGTGCTTCAACATAAGAGTGAGTTTGCTTCAACCGTTTTCGCCCATCCTCCACAGATCTGGTCAACTCTACAATCAACTTGTAAAACACGACTGTGCGTAAAAAGCTTGAACCCTTCTCTGCTGCTTCAGTTATTTCACTTATTCGTGTACTGTATGATAATCAGGGTGCTGTCATGCCCTCCAGCTCTTCTTTGTGGCAGCCTCTCCCTTCTCTTTTCCTTTTCCCCAGGTGGGCATGAGTGAGGTGTCATAAAGCACAGACAGGTATGGGCAAGTGGTAATTACCAAACTCTCCAACCTCTGCCATAAAACCAGACTAAACAGACATTTCATCCTCTCAGTTTACAAAAAAACTGTGTGCACACCACAAAGTTTTTGTTTACACTAACCCGTGTATATATGCCATCAAGAGCATGTCAAACCTGTAGGTGGCAGTGTGGCAAGGAGCTCAAGCCCACGTTAGCCAATATGAAGGGATTGTACCAGCATAAATACGGCTGCTATTCTGCATGCACTCATGATCACCATAGATAGTAAACGTAGACTGTGGATTGTAAACAACGTCACATTTAACACAGTTTCCAACGCGTTATCTGCCCTTGGCTACCCAAATCTCTGTTTTTCTCTGTTAACATACAAACGGAGTAAAAATGAAAGGTGCAAATGATGGTTAATGTCACGGTTTTATAAATAACCAGGTATGTATTAATGTATGTATTTATTTTTTTGAAAAAAGAGGATATTCTGCTTTTCTACATTTATGTCAAAAAATGCAAAGTTACAAAGTTTGACAAGGCTCTGCTAACTGGTTCACCCGCTTCCGGCGCAGCGGAGTAGCCTGCCCCCAGCAGCAACATGTGATGTGACGCCCACAGTGGAGTGGGGTAATGCTCCTCTGCTGCACTACTCGATCGACCACAACAGAAGGGGCGGGGCCAAAACATCAAGCACCAACCTTCCGAAAGGTGGCCAGTCAGAAGCAAGTAGGCATGTGGAGGAGCTTAAAGAGACAGCAGCTAAAAGTAATTGTTAGAGACAGAGGCTGAAATAATTATATTTTGATACACCAGAATGAGAAACACAAGGTTTTTTTTTACCGAAATTCTTGAAGAGCTATTAAAGAGGTATGAGAAATGAGGTATAGAGTGTATAGAGAAAAAAATGCATAATACCCCCTCTTTAACAAACTGGAGAAAACATCCCAACACTTAACTTTTCCAAACCATGAATGTTTGCTTTAAATCAACACACTGTGAACTGTACTGACCTGAAGGATCTCATATGGGTGAGTTAAATGCGTGTTTTTGTTGAGGGGTGTTACGTTAGTGCCGCGCTCCATCAGCCAGCTGCTACTGGGCATGCCTCCACTCAAAACACATCACCAGCACAATATGTCAGCGCTTACTGTGGGGTATTTTGGCTTTCTTTTTTTTTTTCCCCCCACAAAGTGAGGAGATGGAGAAATGTCATCCATATTTATTTACACTCAGTGGTCTGCAGCTGACTAAGAGGAAAGAAAAAAGTGAAGTGAACCCTTGAGCTGTGAGCCTTGAAACTCAATAATGAAATGAAAAATGCTGCAATCTTAATTTAACCTTTAAAGGATATGTGATCATTTAAAAATATCAATATAGCCCTGAGGTAGAGTGGACTGAACTTTGACCTCTGACGTTGTTTCCTTGGCTGTTTGGGCAGCTACAGTCACTCTTCAGAGCAGGAACAGCCGTCTTTACATTTGCCTGCATGGCAAAACAAGCCTGCATGCCGCAATCACACAAATCTGACCCAGCTACTCACTGGACTGTGCGTACGAGAAGAGAGAAAGACAGAGGGGAGGAAAGACGATAGAGGAGAGAGAGAGAGAAAAAAAAGAGAAGCAGCTCTGAGGATGAAGAGGAGAGCGTGCAGGAGACAGGAAGGAGGGCAGAGAGAGGTGGAGAGGAGGAGGTGAAGCAGGAAGTGTGCGATTCGAGAAATCAAAATGGAAGGAGAGGAAGAATTAGAAAAAAAGCAGCGGAGACAAAGCAGAGCTGGATGACAGAAAGTGAGCGAAAGACGAGTCAGTGAGAGGAGAGAAAGAGAAATATGGGAGGGAGTGATGGAGAAGAGATGAAGTATGGAGATGGTGACTCACTCCAGCGGTGGTAAAGCTCTGATTTATTCTCTCTGTCTTTTCTGGGTCATATACTGTGGGCGTATGAGGGTCTCTATTAGCACTTGGTCGCTCAGAGTAGAGGCTTAAGCAACTTTAACTTAAACACGGAGATCCTCTCTCAGAAACATCATAAACTCTGCGTGTTACACTGACGACCAAAAAGAAACTTAAGACGACAATGTCAAAACCTCCTGATGTGTTTTATCAGCCAGCATATATATAATCAGTTCATTCACTGATTGAGAAAATAAATGAATTCAAAACACTGGAGCTGAGCACTTACCCAATGACGACAATGACGAAATCCAGCATGTTCCACCCGTTCCGCACATATGCGTTCTGGTGCATCACCAAACCGTAAGCGATGATCTTCAGAAAGGTCTCGATTGTGAAAATGATGAGGAAGGCATACTCTACTGTTTCCTGCAGACACATGGAAAAACAGACAAGAATCAGTCTCAAATAGAAACCACCGAGATGATGGTCTTAGCGGGGGAAAGAAAATGCAGGTTATTTTTAGTCTATAAATGTTGGACAAAATACAAAAGCATAGAAAAAAAGCACAAGTCGCACATGAAAAATGAATCTGATGTGAGATTTAATCAAACTCTGCACTACTGGAGAGAAGACGGAGCAACCTTTATCAAAACACGGGCGCAAAAGAGGAAATTAATCCAGGATTTTCTGAGTTATACCAAAGATTTTGGCATATGTACATCTTAGAGGCCTGAGTCTACAAATGCTGTTTCTAACCCAAGACTTTACTGGCACTTACTGATGTTAAGTTATGGAAGTTGTCTTCTTTTTTGTAGCTACTATGAGGTCTGCTTTAAATGTTTCCTATGCCCTATTCCTATGCCTGGTGTCTAACAGAGAAAACAAAAAAAAAACAGATAGAAAACATGACGCAGCATTTGCTGATGTATACTAAAGGAGATGGTTGTCAAAATTACAGGCCACTGACCTGCAATCTCAAAATCACCTCTGTACAGACCTCTGCCATTATCTCGAAAAAAGTTCATTTTTATTGGTTGATGAAGGAGAACAATACTGTTACCAAGACTGTACACAGGACAACAGGACACTGGGGCTGTAAAGTCCTAGTCAACTGGTCGACTCATTGGTCGATACATGCTGAGTCGACCAAAATTCTGAAATTTTTTTCCGTGTCAATTCACAGTTGATGGTTAATTTCATCAGAGAAGAACGTACCAAGTGCTAATGGGGGTCTTTTCAGAGCACTCCTGTTTCACAGGTAACAGTCTGTCTCAGAACACCCCCCTTGTATTCACTATTTTGGATTTGCCCAACGCCAACCCAGTGGAGACCAACTGGAGACAGGAAGATTAAAGAGCGTCCACGTTAATCAACATCCAGTGGTTTGCTGAATATTTATAATTTAGCCTTTTGTGTTTAATTGCCTTCCCATGCTGATATCAGTATACTTTCACCCTGCCGAGCCATGCTCCGCCAATTGCGTCTTCCCCCGTCGAAAAAGAGTTTGTCATCAGAGTTTAAGTGTTACCCCCACTGTGCAATGTGACGCCGAAATGACAGCTATTTAATGTATTTTTTTCGACCATTTTGATCCATTAAACCAAAACAGACTAAATCTATCTTCGCCACCACCTTGTTCTGCTGTGATTTGATTTCTATCTTTCCAAAAATGTCTCAGCAACTATTCACAGAACCATAAAAACCAGGACAGTGTGACAAATCTGAAATTCAGACTAAAAAGACCAGAAACTGTTCAGCTCTGACTGAACATTGCACAGTTGATCACGCCACAAAGAGCAGAGTGGAATATCAAAACAGATCCCTTTGTCGTCATCTTAAAAAATGAATCTATAAGATGTTATATTTAGGTAAAAGGTTTCTCAGTTTAGCACAGGCAGAGCAACAACCAGGCTGAGATTTCTTACTCACTGATGCATGGATGTCTGAGAGAGGTTAAAAAACAGACAAACACAATTTGACTGATATGTTTTTAGAGGGTATGTAGAGATTAAGACCAGTGATGTAACACAGGATTGTGCTCTCCTCGGTTGTTTAAAAGACTGTTAAATCACAGGGGCCTTTAGATCAAGATCAGTCAAGAACAATGTGGAGGACAGGCAGAGGAACACAGCTGGATGAAGGTACTGAGCGCATGTTAGTGCATGAGATGTGTTAGGTGCTGGAGGTTGACACATCACAGGGTGACTCAGCTGTTCAGGACAGTCCTGTGACCTCCCCGGAGATATGAAACCAAAGTGATGCCCTGTTAGCACAGACATCATATCAACTCTACACAAAGGCTGCTGTTCATGATTACTGCCCGTTAATAAAAGAGTCATTTAACTATCCACAAAGGGCGGCCTTCAGGTCCTTTAAAACAGACAAATGCTTAAAGCCACACACATACACACACACACACTGTATTATATACATAATAACCTCTTGTGCCTGAGGGAGTCCTTCATCCGCTGCTTTGTGGTCTCTTTGGACACCATAAATACAAAAGCGCTGTGAGCCGAGGGGCTCGTTTTCCCAGCAGTTTACTGCAGATTGTGAGAAGCACTTAGCCCACAATAAGAAACATGGGACTCTTTGTTAGGAGAGTAAAAGGTTGAGTTAAGCTCACGGCAGCTGCCTCTATGTCAGAGCGAGCTCGGGCCACAGGGAGCAGGGAGAACACATGGATTCATCCAGTGGAAGAAAAGGGACAGCAAACAGTTTAAGAGGCGTTTACTGACTGAAAGGAGCAACAGAAAACTGCTGAGATGAACAATTCTGGGTCAATGAGGTTTCATTTAGATTAATCACACATACAACTAGGGCTGGGCTATATAGGAAAAGGTCTATTAAGATATATTTATTTTCATATCAGTCAATATCAATATGTATCACGATATAAAAATAAAATTTAACAGTGCTTATTGGAAGCATATCTTTTGCAAAACAATAAGCTACTGCATTTGTGAGGTCTTTGTGTCTCTTTGAGGTTTTGTCGTAAGGCGTTGCGCGAGAGAAAGCGGACTGAATATTCGGCTGTTTCGGCTGCACAGACACCATGGGCTCCTTGCTCCGTTCGGGGTTTGTAACCTTTTGCAATGCGCGTGCTCTGCCGCGTGGCACTGCTTCAGGGGGTGAAAAAGATTTGAGGTATTCCCCGGCTTTGCGAGAACATGTACTCAACATAATTTGCAATGCACATTACTCTGTCTGCTTTATGTACGACCAAAAAAAAACAAAATACCTCCACACCACCAATATTTTTATGCCAGTGTTGTTGTTGAGCCTTCATCTGCATTTCTGCGGGGGGTAGCACTCATTTTCTTTGTTTCTCACTCGCTGTCTGCGTCACGCTTCATAGTGATATGGAAGGGTGTAGCTGCAGCCTGCTACTACACAGTTGTTTGCTACTTGGTTCTAATTCAGCACATGATTGGTTCAGTGTGAAGCGGACCCGAAGCTACTCCCCCTTTTCATTGGCTATTTGTGTAGTCTACCAAAACATAGCAGAATGCCGACTATTGAAACGCATATTGACCAAGTTTTATATTGATATTGAGGAAAATTTATTTTTTGATTATATATCATTATTGTTTTATCGCCCAGCCCTATATACAACACAATTACACACAACAAAGACTCAGGGGTATATACATGTAGTGAATGGCATGATTTAGCTGAGTTTTAATTTTGAAATTAAGATATCTAATGTTATGTAATGTTATTTCAACCAATGTTCTCAAACAGTAATTGAGTTACCAGCATGTCATACAGTGTCAGAACAATTCTGTAACAGTCTGCTCTGCCCCTCTCCTGCTCTGCTGCTCAGCCACACCCCTCATCAGCTAACTGCTTCCAGCTGCTGCTCTCACCTGCTCATCATCTCCAATCAGGCCAGTATATATGCAGCTTCTTTCCCCTCACTCTTTGCCAGATTGTCTTCGCTCTCATGCCTGACTCTCCAGCGTTAATTCCCGGACTGCTTACCTGGTATCGACCTGATCTGCCCCTGACCTTTGCTTCTCGCCTCAGCCCCGGTAAACCTACCTGCCTTCTGTCCTTGACTACGAGCTTTGCCTGCCTGTTTCCTGCTATTCGTCTGCCTGCGGCTGAATGGCACTCAGCCTGTTCCTGCTCTGTTGAGATCCCCCTTCTCGTCAGCTTCACCTCGCCAACTCACCTCCTCTGCCGACGTTGGTTCTGCCAGCTCCTCTGCAAGCTCTGGATCCTCACCCAGTCCTCACCTGAACCACTCTCCAAGAAATCTTCCTCCAGCTGTGAGTTGAGCGTTTTCCCCTTCACTACACTCGTGGAGCAAATTAAGACTGTGGACAATTCCCTGCTCACGAGTCCAAAACTCTTGCCTGACCTGTGGTCCACTGCTAATCTGCTCGCCTATCACCCGGAAGACCCGAGTTCGAATCCTGCCATACCCACCTGCTATACTCTGCTGCTTCATTGGATTTGGTGTTCAATAAAGACTGTTGTTAAAGTGAACCTGCTTGTTTGTGCTGCAATTGGGTCCAGTCAATACCCGTTACAGTACAATCTGGCCAAACTATGGACCCAGCACACAATCCCTCACCACTGGATCGCCTTGAGAGAATTGAAGGCATTCTGCAGCAACATGAGGCCATGATGACTGCGGCTGCCGCTGAAGCCAGAGGAGCTGCTGAGACTCAGGGACAATCACTAGCAGCTTTAGCTGCACAGATGCAACAGCTAGCAGCTCAGCTAGCCCAGCTCCCCTCATCTGCTGGAATTGCCTCTTCTTCGGAAGCTTCACCTTCTGCTCCTGCACCTGTACCCGCCTCTTCTCTACCCAGCGATGCCCCTGAGCCACGGGTGGGAACCCCAGAGCATTATGACGGAGATAGAGAGACTTGCAGCCCCTTCCTCACCAACTGTTCTCTCCTGTTTGCCCTACAGCCCCGCACCTTCGCCACAGAACCGGCAAAGGTAGCGTTCGTCATTAACCACCTGACGGGCAGAGCTAGACTATGGGGAACAGCTGAGTGGGAGAGGCGGTCTCGAGCCTGTGCTTCATTTGACCTGTTTGCTGCTGAGCTTCGGAAGGTTTTTGGGTTTGAGAATTCTGGTTCTGATTCGGCTAGGGGACTGATGGGACTGAAGCAAGGCGAACGAACAGTGGCTGACTATTCCATTGATTTCCGCACCAGAGCCAGCCATAGTGGTTGGAACAGTGCAGCTCTCCGTGATGCCTTTCTCCATGGGTTGGCAGATTACATTAAAGATGAACTGGTTTCACATGACACCTCCCTCACCTTGGACGGGGTGATTGACTTGGCCGTCCGCATCGATCTTCGTGTTCAGACTCGTCGACGAGAGAGGGGTCAAGGGGGAATCCAACATACTCGTCCACCTCGCTTCCGTGGGGGTGCTGCTGCAGCCAACTCCACCCCATTGGGTCAGCAGTTTGAGGATCTAGAGCCCATGCAGTTGGGCCGCACCTCTCTCTCCCTGGAAGAGAGAGAGTAGACGCAAGTCCAATCTCTGCCTCTATTGTGGGGCAGCGGGACACTACATCTCCGGCTGTCCAGCAAAAGCCAGAGCTCATCAGTAGTTGGGGAGACCCTGGTGAGCTCAACTACCCTGTCACCTCCCCAAAGCCAGCGACCCCTGCTCCAAGGCCGCCTCCTCCTTCCAGACGGCCCCCACACCTTGGCTATCTTTATTGACTCTGGGGCTGATGCCAGCATCATTAACGAGGAGGTGGTCCTTCAGCTGGGGCTTGAGCGGGTTCCTTTGCCTCACCCGGTTCCTGCTCGAGCCTTAGATGGACATGTCCTGGGCACCGTCACGCATCAGACCTCTCCTGTTCACCTGCTACTGTCTGGTAATCATCATGAAACCGTCCAGTTTCACATACTGAGCTCTTCCTGCCTGCCACTTATCCTGGGATATCCATGGCTCCGTCTTCACAATCCGCACATCGACTGGGCAACTGGGACCATCCGGGAGTGGAGTTCCTCCTGTCATCAGAGGTGCCTGCAGCAAGCCTCAGTTCCGCTTCATCCCTCCGAGCGTAGCTCCAGTTCGTCACCTGACCTCAGTGGGGTGCCACCCGAGTACCATGACTTCCGCCAGGTCTTCAGTAAAGCCAGAGCCACCTCTCTGCCCCCACACCGACCCTATGACTGCGCCATTGATCTCCTGCCTGGTTCATCACCTCCCAAGGGTCGCCTGTACTCCCTGTCTGAACCCGAAAGAAGGGCCATGGAGACATACATAAATGACTCCTTGGCCGCAGGCATCATTCGTCCCTCTTCATCCCCTGCTGGAGCGGGGTTTTTCTTTGTTGAGAAGAAGGACAAGACATTGAGACCTTGCATAGATTATAGAGGACTGAATGAGATCACGGTTAAGAACCGTTACCCACTGCCACTCATCTCCACTGCTTTTGAACTGCTCCAGGGGGCCACCATTTTCTCCAAACTCGACCTACGCAACGCCTACCACCTCGTCCGCATCAGAGAAGGAGATGAATGGAAGATGGCATTCAACACCCCTACTGGACACTACGAGTACCTCGTAATGCCGTTTGGCCTCACCAATGCCCCTGCCGTCTTCCAGGCTCTGATTAATGATGTTCTCAGAGACATGATCAACCAGTATGTCTTTGTGTACCTTGATGATATACTCATCTTCTCCCGGTCCAAAGAGCAACACATTCATCATGTCCAGTCCGTCCTTCAGCGCCTCTTGGAGAACTCTCTGTATGTTAAAGCAGAAAAGTGTGAGTTCCATGTTCCTTCAGCATCTTTTCTCGGATACATTGTGGCACAAGGCAGCATCCAGATGGACCCAGCCAAGGTCTCAGCTGTTACCTCCTGGCCTGTTCCAGAGAACTGCAAGCAGCTTCAGCGCTTCCTTGGGTTCGCCAACTTCTACCGTCGCTTCATCCGCAACTACAGCTCAGTAGCAGCCCCTCTCACCATTCTGACCTCCCCCAAAGTGCCCTTCCAGTGGTCTTCTGCAGCTGCAGCGGCCTTCCAGTTCCTCAAAGATCGGTTCACCTCATCGCCCATCCTCCTGATGCCTGACTCTGAACGCCAGTTTGTGGTCGAGGTAGATGCCTCTGATGTTGGGGTGGGGGCCGTCTTGTCTCAACGCTCATGCACTGACCAGAAGTTCCATCCCTGTGCCTTCTTCTCCCGACGCCTGTCCTCTGCAGAAAGGAACTACGACATTGGTAACAGGGAACTCTTGGCAGTAAAGATGGCCTTAGAAGAGTGGCGCCATTGGTTGGAGGGCACGAAGGAACCTTTTCTTGTATGGACTGACCACAAGAATCTGGAGTAAATACGCTCTGCAAAGAGACTGAACTCTCGCCAGGCCCGCTGGTCCCTGTTTTTCGCCCGTTTTAACTTCACCCTCTCTTACCGTCCTGGTTCCCGCAATGTCAAGCCTGATGCCCTGTCCCGACAGTTCCAGAGGACAGAGGATTCTGTTGTTGGAGCTGAGACCATCCTACCTACTTCCTGCCTTGTAGCCTTGTTGACCTGGGACATTGAGGAGAAGGTGAAGGCAGCCACAGAAGGACAGCCGGGCCCCAGCTCCTGCCCGTCTAACTGCCTCTTTGTTCCACCAGCCTTGAGGTCAGAGGTGTTACAATGGGCCCACTCCTCCAAGCTCTCCTGCCACCCTGGGATTCAACGGACACAGCATGCCCTCCTCCGACGTTTCTGGTGGCCCACTGTGCAAGAGGACGTCCGGGAATTCGTCAAGGCCTGTCCAACCTGCAGCCAACATAAGACCTCCCGTCGGCCTCCTGCTGGGCTACTACAACCTCTTCCTGTTCCTCACCGCCCATGGTCTCACATATCTTTGGACTTTGTAACCGGTCTTCCCACCTCTGATGGTCACACTGTCATCCTGACAATCGTGGACCGCTTCAGCAAGATGGTCCACTTCGTGCCTCTGCCCAAGCTTCCCACTGCTAAACAGACTGCCCAGTTGGTTCTGCTCCATGTTTTCCGTCTTCATGGTCTCCCTGTTGATGTGGTGTCGGACCGTGGTCCCCAGTTTTCTTCCGTGTTTTGGAGGGAGTTCTGCAGTCTACTGGGTGCTACCGCCAGTCTGTCCTCTGGATTCCATCCTCAGACCAATGGACAGACTGAGCGTATGAATCAAGAACTGGAAACAGCCCTGCGGTGCGTGGCCTCGCAGAACCCCTCTTCTTGGGCGTCACAACTTTTGTGGGTGGAATATGCCCACAACTCCCTCGTCTGCTCTGCTATTGGCCTCTCTCCATTCCAGTGTGCTTACGGCTATCAACCACCACTTTTTCCAGCCCAGGAGAAGGAGCTCTCCTGTCCGTCAGTCCAAGCCTTCATCCGTCGCTGCCACAGAACATGGCTCCAGGCTCGCTCCACCCTCCTCCGTTCCGTGGGTCGTTACACTGCCAATGCCAATCGCCGCCGTACTGCTGCACCTTCCTATCAAGCGGGTCAGCAGGTGTGGCTCTCCACCAAGGACTTACCTCTCCGGGTGGAATCCAAAAAGATGGCTCCGAGGTTCATTGGGCCTTTCACCATTCAGAGGGTCATCAACCCTGTGACAGTCCGTTTGAAACTCCCACGGTCCATGAGAGTACACCCTACCTTTCATGTCTCCAAGGTTAAGCCAGTCCACAACAGCCCCTTGGTCCCTGCGGCACCACTACCTCCCCCTCCACGAATGGTCGACGGTGGTCCGGTGTATGTAGTGCGCCGCTTAATTCGTTCTCGGCAGCGGGGTAGGGGTCTCCAGTACCTTGTGGACTGGGAGGGTTACGGTCCTGAGGAGAGATCTTGGGTTCCTGCTCGCCACATTTTGGACCCCAACCTCGTGGCCAACTTTCATCGGCAACATCCTGACCAGCCAGCCAATGAGTCAGCCCGTCGAGAAACCCTCCTCCAGACCCCCTCCACCCACCCTGCTGAAGAGATGACAAGGTCTTGCTCCCAGGAGTTTTAGGCCCACCCCCACCCCCAGTTTAACCTTTGGGATGTCGGGAGCCATCCCTTGAGGGGGGGGTTCTGTAACAGTCTGCTCTGCCCCTCTCCTGCTCTGCTGCTCAGCCACACCCCTCATCAGCTAACTGCTTCCAGCTGCTGCTCTCACCTGCTCATCATCTCCAATCAGGCCAGTATATATGCAGCTTCTTTCCCCTCACTCTTTGCCAGATTGTCTTCGCTCTCATGCCTGACTCTCCAGCGTTAATTCCCGGACTGCTTACCTGGTATCGACCTGATCTGCCCCTGACCTTTGCTTCTCGCCTCAGCCCCGGTAAACCTACCTGCCTTCTGTCCTTGACTACGAGCTTTGCCTGCCTGTTTCCTGCTATTCGTCTGCCTGCGGCTGAATGGCACTCAGCCTGTTCCTGCTCTGTTGAGATCCCCCTTCTCGTCAGCTTCACCTCGCCAACTCACCTCCTCTGCCGACGTTGGTTCTGCCAGCTCCTCTGCAAGCTCTGGATCCTCACCCAGTCCTCACCTGAACCACTCTCCAAGAAATCTTCCTCCAGCTGTGAGTTGAGCGTTTTCCCCTTCACTACACTCGTGGAGCAAATTAAGACTGTGGACAATTCCCTGCTCACGAGTCCAAAACTCTTGCCTGACCTGTGGTCCACTGCTAATCTGCTCGCCTATCACCCGGAAGACCCGAGTTCGAATCCTGCCATACCCACCTGCTATACTCTGCTGCTTCATTGGATTTGGTGTTCAATAAAGACTGTTGTTAAAGTGAACCTGCTTGTTTGTGCTGCAATTGGGTCCAGTCAATACCCGTTACAAATTCAAGCTTCCCAAGTCACAGTAAATTTGTGCAAATTGCCACTTCCTGGTTTGGAAAGCATGTTGAATATAATAGCAAATGAAAACCGTTCCCTTTTAATTAATCAGCAATTTACTCAATCATCTGTGTGTTAAAGCGAGGGCAGGAAGAGAGGGAGAGACAAAGACAGACACAGAGAGAGAGAGAGAGAGAGAGAGAGAGAGAGGCCTTTGGGGATGACCATAAATATATCTCTGAGTCATTGTAGTTTATTTGTGCCATAAAGAAACTCACTGTAGTATGTTTCCGTCTCATACAGAATGTGCATATCAAAAGCAGCCAATATGTTCACCCTCTGCCTCTCTCTTCAGCGGGCCTGTACAACACATGATACATCAGGCACTCACGCAAACACAGACAAGTGTTTGTGTTAAAATGCACGCTACGTGCTCATCACAAATTCATGCGGAGCAGGACAGCACATGTGTAATACAGACCTCCCTCCGCCACAGGGCTAATGGTCATGTTCAAAGGCATGACTTCGTTCATCTCACAGAACTCAGATCACCATATGACAAAGGAAGCTAACCCACTGAGCCATGCACTCTTCTACATGAACTCTCCATATGACTGAGCCATGTGGACAGGAGCTGAAAATCACTGTTTACATTTCAGATGAGTCTGAGCGCCATGAAAGGAGGCTCCTTAAACACAGAAAATACCAACTTCAATTTAGAGCAGTAGAGTAATAAAATGTAGAAAAGGGGCCATAAAACCACAATAAAACAGTCTGTGTAGCGATTAGAGCACTGCTGTTCTTACATTATCATTTATTATCTAAGTCAGACAGTTTATTAACTGCAGACCCCTCCAGCATGACCGAGAATACAAATATAGCACAGCTCCTGAATGTTTTCTGTTCAATATACATATGTAGTGAATTTAAGATTAAACGGAAGTACAAACTATAGCTGTTGAACAATAAATAGTTGTGATCAATAATTAAAATGATTTACAAATGAAAATCAACATGTTTCAGTTCATCACAAATAGACTTTCTCGGTCTCTGTGACACTTTTTATTAGCAGATTATTTCTTACTTCACAATTTTAATTATCATCTTTTCTTTTTCATTTGTTTCGGTTTGGAGTCATAAACTTAAATTTGATCACACACACACTTCTGTTTGCCTCTTCCAGTGTGTGTCTCCTGCGCTGCCCCTCTTCACCTGTTATATGTTTTACAACAAAACCCTTTTTGCTTTCATCCTGGAATCAGTTTTCACAGCAGGTTCACCGTGTGAAGGTTTGTTGGTAATGCTGCAGCTTAACAAAACAATCAAAACTGCTGTCACTTTTTACAAGCTTTTGAGACAGTGACAGAGCAGGTTTTGTTGAAGGAAAAAAAAGACACTTCAATTCACCTCCAGAAAGTTATCTCAGAGGACATCTCCATCCCTCTGGATGTGTGTGTGTGTGTGCATTTCTTTTTCAGTTTTTACTTGATAGTTGCATGATCTGTGAAACTCCTTTGCTCACCTTGCAGAGCTATTAGAATAAAATACCCCCCTCATTTCTGTAGCCTGTCCTGCAGAACAGAGCCATAGCCTGGAGTCCATTATTTAGCTTGATGTAAAGACAGCAAGAAACAAAAAAAATTCTAAAATATCAACAAATGCAAACTCTTTATCTCTGTGTTTAATTTAGTCAGAAATTAAAAGCAACAAGTTGGGGATGTTTAACTTTAAAGCTCCTGTGAAGAACTTTTGGTTTGTGTTAATTTTGGTGCTCTCTGTGAACAAAGCAGCCTTTGCTTATCTTATCGTCCACATGCTTTAACTGTGACTTCTGACAAATAAATCTCATCCTCTTAACTTTTGAGTGTCAAATGTAGAATTTATTGTAAATACATTTTATACAGAAATCGTAAAAGCAGAATTGTTCCTTCAGCTGACGCCTATCTACCTCGCACGCAGTTCAGGCATTAAAAATGACACTAAAATTCATCAATCTTGTCATTGTCGCTCTTTCTTGTTATTGGACATCATGAAAATGCATCAATATTTCAGTCTATTTCATAAATGTGACAAAAACCTCTTATAGGAGCTTTAACATATTTATTAGCATCACTGGCTGCACTTCAGCACTTATCCTTGGACAGTGCTGCTCTCCATGGCTTGTTTGAAATTTAAATGGGAGAAACTGAATGACTGAGTGAATGTTAGCTTTATGATTAGCTTGGCAGCTGTATTTATCTTAAACCAAGGTTCACCATCCTCCTTTTAAACCCACCTCTAGACACCACATTATTAAACTGTAAAATACTGAGCAGTAAGTAACACCAAGAGACGTGTGTTTGCCTTACTGCGCTTGTGACTCAGCTGCCATAAGGGTCTCATCTAGAACAATAAATAAAACTTTAAAGTTAGGCAGGAAAAGCAGCCAGCCTGACTGATGTCTGAAATAAATCTCAGCACTTTAAATCAAGTGATGGACACACTGACATCAAGAGGAGGACTTAGACTATGACATATTTTCATACTTCCATCGCCAAAGACTGCTACCTGCTACTTTATACACTAAGCCAGTTTTATATAACAATGATATTCTATTATAAGTTGAAGCTTTAACAAAACATTTAAGCTGTAGATTGTTATTCTGAGTTAAGATGTTCATGTCGGCGGAAAAGTCTTTCAGATAATGGCCGATCAAGTTTCGCCGGCCAAAATGACACCCCAGATTGATGAAGTACACCTCAATACCGTAATATTTAAAAAAAAATCCAGGAATATTGATATTTTAAAAAATGTGAGCAGAGAATGTTAGAATTAGGGATGCACCGATCCAATATTTGGATGGGATATCAGCTCCGTTATTGACAAATTAACTGGATCAGATATCGGATGAATGATGCCGATCCAGTATTCCGATCCAGTCTTTTTTTTTTTTTTTCTTGTAATACATGAAAGTCTTCCTTCTTTTTGCTGTGTGCTAATGTGCAATTTGTTATTTTTACATAAATAATATTAAGTAAATTTATATCTGTGTTAATTTGTCACCTTTTTTAACAAGGCTAATATCAAGCCTGATGCCTTCACTCACAGGGCAAGGTATACAGTTCATTCATTCAACAGTAGTATTGGATCGGTATCAGATATCGACTGATACGCTCAGCCTAGATATCGGTATCAGATTGGATCAGAAAAAAATGGATCAGTGCATCTTTAGTTAGAATTTGAACACTTTTGGAGAAAATTACTAAAACAAACGATCCAAGTCTGTATATGGCAAATCTGATCAAACATCTAATCGCTGAATATAAACGAAGGCAAACTTCTGATAAACATACAGAGCTGGCTGCCTCACTGATTGCGTGACCACCTGAGTGTCACTCCATGTTGGTGTATGAAAAGCCAGCATGTGATGGCCGGCCCACAGTTACATGAGTCACAGTGACATCATGCATGTTTGATAGCTGTGTGTGACCGCTGTGCTAGCATGCAGAACAAACACAACAAACACAAGCAATAACAGAGATGTCAGCGCGATCCATACGCTGCACAGTACTGTAGGATGGAGAATCCATACGCAATCAATGTTCACAACCTACATCACAGTGAGACTCAGCAGCTGATTCATAAATTCAGTTATAAACTAAGAGAGCCTTTGAATGAAGAGTGCTCTTAGAAATGTTTCAGTCGTCTGCTCATAAAACAAGCAAACATGTTCTGTACAATTACCCACATCTATCTCCTGCTACACCTCCTCCCCCGTGTTCCCTCCATCTCCATCCCTTGCTAACTCCCTCTACTTCCCCTGTCTGTATAGATCAGTCAGTGCCATGTAGGCAAGCCAGGGGGGTTAGGGCAGCCAGCATTTAGTGCTTCTTCACCACCCACTCCTGCAGGTTTGCACATTAAATATGTGCGCTTCAGTGTGCAGTTTATACTTTTAAGCCTGTTGGAGTGTGTGTGTGTGTGTTTGTGACACATGTGGGTTTGTGTTTATCTCGTAAATCTTTAAATAAAGCCTGCTGCATCACCAGATGATCTTGCATATAATAATTACACATTTTATCACAGTTTATTTATAATTTCATTAGGAAGTTCACCCACATGTCTCTATGTTGCTTATTATCTCTAAGATTGAATCCAACTAGAAACCTGAAACAGCATTGACTAAAGGTTTTTTTTTTTTCAACTTAAATGCATTAAATCATTCAACCTTATTATTTAAAATATACAACATTTTTAATATCTGTTTTTATCTTCCTTTTCATTACCTCTCCAAATAGCTGGGCTCATGTATTTGTATTTACAGCATGCACACAAGTCTTTGTGTGTAGTGTACATACAATTTTGTGCGTGTATGTGTGTGAGGTTCTGTGTGGGAGGTCAGGAGTTGTGCGAGGATGTAAATGTCACTCTGCCAAGGAAAACACTTGGAGTGCAGGTCACCTTAGGTGTACCCACAGCACCGAGTTAATGTCTTCACAAAGCGAGTAAAACACGACACTGAGTGTGTGTTGCGTAAGTGCACTGATGTGGATTTGCTCTAAAGTTTCACCACAAACACGGAGTTGAATGGAAAAGTAGTTGTAAAAATCTGAATGTTTTCATAGTTTTTCAAATGCTAAAGCAGCAAAAAGAGGAGGAGTTCAGATTTTCTGTAATTTCTCAAAGAAGTTGCATGAAACCCTCATGCAATTTTGGACCACAAAGCACCACTTCTGCAGTGTAGCAACTACTGAAGAGGTAAAAAGTGTTTCTTTTTAGCATTTTGAAAACCGTCGTAGCTTCCCCTGATACTGTTTGTGCATGCAGGTGACTGTCACTATGGGAAAAAAGGCAAATTTGCAACCTGAATGCTGCAAGAGCTGAATAAGCCTTCAATCTCATTTCAGTCACACCCACACGACTCACTCCTAAATATGAGAACACAAATACATGCAAACAGCAAATAGAAAAACATACTCCCTCCTTCCACACTCTGTTTTTTCTCTTCTCTCTCTGTGTGGCTCGATTGACAAAGTGAGCCTGTGAATGTGAGCGCTTCATTACTGCAGAGCTGTAGTGCTTGCAGATGTCTGTCCTTGTAAGGAAGCACGTATGACATGTAGTAGCTGTCATGGAAACCAAAATAGGAGCTGAACTCAGAATCCAAAGATTCTCCAACATGCCACGTTAGCTCACACCAGATACAAGAAAAACCTATGCTTTGGTGAAGCATCTTCACAAAGAAGGATTAAGATTACGGACTACATGTAGAAATTACATCAAAAACCTCACAGGAGGCTACGAAAACACCAGCACAGCCAAAAGGCGCAGGTGTGTCCCCTGCTCTGTCTGAAAACTATTAACCTGCCCCTGTTGAGCCGTGAAGAACTCCTCTGACTTGATTTGGTGTCATCTTTAGTTATCGTGACAGGCATGATATATTCATCTCTCTCACTCTGTCGTGTTCAGTTTCCCTCATGCACACGAGCAAAGGTACGCACACAAACAGCCATACTCACACCGAGGCAAATCTAATCCTAGTTTGATTACAAACAAAGCTCAATTAAAAACAACTGGAGTTAACCAAAATGTTGTCTAATTACATGCACAAAAACATGAAGATCACAAATTGAAATTGCAGAGAACAATCGAAAAACAACAACAGGACATCACAATAAGAACACTTTAACAAACCAAAATAAACGTCAACAGAATCTTCGACCTAATGTTGCGTTCCAGTTACCTCGGAAGTCAGATGTCCGAGCTGGGGATGACGTCACACCTGAGTTACCAGCGCCAAGTCGGAAAAAAAGCAAAACTGGAGGCGGAAACAAGATGGCCACATCTACGAAAGTTATTTTAGTGCTTGCCTTGTCTGAATACCAAGTAAGAACAAGGCAAGCGCTAAAATAACTTTCGTAGATGTAACCATCTTGTTTCTGCCTCAAATTTAGCTTTTTTACGACTTGGTAACTGAAACTCTGGTAACTCGGTCGTAACGTCATTCTAAGCTCGGACATCTGACTTCCGAGGTAACTCGAATGAAGCATAAGTCAGGTTCTACTCAGGGTTTCCATGCACATGGTGGATAAATCCCTGCTCTTTGTCAACAAGTCACCAAAGGTTGAATTGTTGACTCTACTGCAGTAAATCTACTGTGTAGGTCTGACACAGAAGCATTAACAGAACTACATTAACTTGCTGCTAACTTCTAAACCAGAATAGAGCTGTCAGTTTGTGAAAATGACAAATATTTAATCTGACTGCAACCGTGGTTAAAATTTTTTTTACATTTTTTATTCAGCTGTCTGCTGGACTTTTTCTCTCTGCTGAACTGTCATGGCTGTATTTCACTTTTTGCAAATATTGTTTTATTACATTTCCAGATGCTGCTCTGTCTGTTAAATTATGCAACATGCATCTTCTCCAAATCTGCAGCTGTAAATCTGTGTCTTTTTGGAAAAGACGTGAGCGCACACTTGCTGAAATTACTGTCTTGAATCACCTGTCTTGACATGGCCGCACCTCTTCATCCTGATGCCAGATAAACAAACCAAAGATGGGCTAGAAATATGGTAGCATTTGTGCATTCATCAATTCCTGAATGCCAATATATCAAACCTATGTTAACACCAAAATGCATGCTAGTTTTCAGAGATTTATATCAGTGTGACAAGTTAAGATTATATATATTTTATATGCAAGAAATGTAAATGTAACATGATTTTCAGCTGAAGGGGTACTTATTCTGTAGCCTACAATCATTTCCATTAACTGACTAGAAAACAGATTGTTAATGGTTTATTGCAGAGAAAGAACAATGATTACAACCCCATTAATCTTTTCTATTTCGTGTGGGTTTGATGTGTACTCCAAATATGTATGAAGGTGCAATTATGATCACTTGAAAGTGCTTCTACATATGCAACAATACTGTGCTGAGAGCAGGACAAAACAACAAAGAACAAGTACTGGAGAGCTAAAACAAAAGAGTAGAGTCATAGTTGTACTTTGGATTTGTTGGATATTTCCTCATGTATTTAAAATGAATCATATGTTTTATCTGGACAGCTTGGGGGGGAAATTATTTACTCACAAATCATCCCTTTATGAAGGCTTGTTTGACACACACTGTCTACATGCTCCTCTTGGTAACACTCTCACACCACGTACACACAGAGGTAACACAACCCTGACTCCTTCTACACTCTGTATCCCTCTCTCTTACACACAGAGACACACATGAACAAACACACACTGTCTCCCATGCACACACATCCAGAGATAACAAGCAGGGGCAGAGCTAGTGTGAGGCACAAATGAGCAGTTACGTTAAGTGACTAAACACATGCTTCTACCATCATCTCTATGGGAGTCCACAGTTCAGACGCTGCTGCCTGTGCCAGCCGTTAAACACGCACGCACACACACACGGAGCCAACTGCTATATCAGTCACAGATGTACACATTTACACCCCTCTTTACACCCCCAGCCAAAACACTGGCACATGTACCTCAGCAGTACTCCTCACATGGAGGCGCATGTCATTCACTCCCTTCCTATATGAAACTAGAATTGTATCGTAGCCTCACTAACTCAAAACAAAGAAAAGCAAAACTAAGAATTTATGAGTGTTTGAGGACATTATAAGGACATATTTCAAGTTCAAGTGGAAAACAGACAGGGATGTGGTACATTCAGGGTAACAAACTGACGGATTATGATTCATGATGGCCTTCAGAATAAAGCTGGGGATTTATGAGTTTGTATATTTGTTTGCCTTGTTCACCTTGAGCCACAGAGAATAATGAATTACCAATAAATGTGACATCAAGATGAACATGACAGAATTTGGGGATGGGTTCGTTAAAACTGTAGAAACTTCAAAGGAATTTTCCTGGGGATGAATGAAGCATCTATCTATCTATCCATCTATCTATCTATCTATCTATCCATCCATCCATCCATCTATCCATCCATCTATCTATCTATCTAGAAATAGATTTAAGGTAAAATGTAGAATCATCAGACTGTAATTATATATACATATATATATATATACACATATACATATATATACTGTACTGTATTTGAAGAAAAAAGTTTAAGTTACTAGATATCTGAATGATTAGGGTTGGGAGAAAAAATCCATTTGCACAAGTTATTTACTAAATTCACAAATCGATACAGCATAGTATCGCGATATTTTGTCTGGTGATATATCGTATCATCTCATTTATCAAGTATGTTTTTTTTTTCAAATTAATTGTTAATATGAAGTCAAATCTATGATAATAAAAATTACTGTTTGTCCAGTGAGGTTGGCAGAGGTGACATTATAGAGCAGGAGAAATTGAGTGCAACAAATATATATAAGGTTTTCAAGATGTGCTGCATGAAAATAAAATACTGTGTAAATGAGACAAACATAAAGGAGAGACAAATGCTAAATTAGCTAAACAGTTAAAAAAAGAAATTGTATAAATAGCAATATATTGTATCGCAATACTCACTGTATTGTAAAATGTTAAAAATCGCAATAATATCGTATCCTGGGGCCACTAGTGAATCCCACCCCTATCAATAATCTAACTCTCGAGATAACACTAATTAAACTGTAAATTGCTAAAAAGCCATCCTCACGTTTCATATACTCATGAACTTGATCTAAAGAGGAGATAATATCTGTCCTCTATAGGCTGAGAAACTAGCCAAGTGAAAGATTATTCATTGACACCCTCAATATAGTGCGCAGTAGTTTTGCAGGGCCACCATGCTTCTTAAATGTAGTGTCTCAGATGGTTCCCTCTAGCCGAGCCACCTGCTACCAAGCCTGGCTGCAGCTCTGGGTTAATGAGTTTGCTGTCCCGTGCAGGGCTTTTCTTGCTGGCTTGCAAGTTAACTATCCCAATATGCCTACAGCATCAATGTCAGCTGTGAAGATTAATTCAGCTGCTGGACTTACAGTTGGCTGAAAAGAAAAAATCTGCCTCATGAATATAACATAATGCGCACTTGTGTGTGTTTGTGTGTGCATGTGTATGTGTGTGTGTGTGTGTGTGTGCATTGGCTGTTGAGCGTTAACTGACAGTAGCTGATCTTTTGACGGCCTTAAAACGTTAATTTAAGCCTATATTTTATCATTAAAAGGTCAATTATTGGTCATTTTTGTGATGACTCTAGGTGTATATGCCTTATGTATATATAGAGAGAATTTTAAAGATTATGTGTTGACCTGTTTGCTATCATTTTTATCATGATGGTGCCATCTTCATTACACAAGTAGCAAAAGGCCCCACTTTTCAGCCACCTTCAAAATAGTTATCTATTTAGTTAGTGAAGAAAGTAATTTAATGTTTTAGATAGAAATGAAAAAGTCAATATATCAACAGTACATACAGGGTCCAAGCATGTAGTACTAGCCATCAAACATCTTTTTAGCTTTGCCTGGTTTCTTTGGCAAAGAGACCAAAGATAACTACTCCACTCTCCTCCAGCAGCCGCTTGTTTGTGGGGGAGCCCTGACGAGTCGATCACCAAGTGCAGTGGAGTTCCACATCTCAAGGAAGAACATTTATAATTATTACTTAATGGAAATGCAATCAGAGTTCTTGTGTATCTTGTAAGTGCACTGTAGACGTAAACGTTCTTCTGCCTTAGCGTCTTGGTCTGACTGCGGAACTCCGCTTGACCAGTACTACATGCTGGGACCCTAAATGTACTGTTAATGAAGTTAGGTGCTGTTCTGAGCATCATATGTGGCTACGAGTGGCTTTTTGGTTGAGGTTTGCGTTTGGAAACAGACCCCTGTGTATTGTTATCGTTCGGTATTCGCTGAAGTTGGTGTAACTAGAGAAGCAAGCAGTCAGAAACGTTCATCTCTCGAGGGGGTCTAACTTGGTGTTACCGTGTGTTTGACCATGACTTAAACTTACGCCGGAATATCCCTTTAATTTTGTTGCACAAAGTGTGTACATTTCAAGCATAGAAACATAACTTATTAAATACCTTTTAATCCATATCTTAATACATATATGATGTTACACATCCAGCCTTCACCTCTTGGGTTTTTCCTAAATAAGCACCCACCAACCACACATGCAGGTATTTTTTAACAGTGTCAGGTGAATCTGCTGTACCTACAAGTCACAAAGTCAAAGTTTCAAAACATCAACATTAAGTCATTTCAGCTTAAGAGTTCAGCAAGCTTACCCTGCTAAATGTCACAGAGCAAAGTAACATTACAGAGAAAAAACAAGCATGCAAGTGTTTAATTGTAAGGGCTTCACTTATAACCTTTAACATGGAGATCAACCATCCATTAAGAACAACTGTATGCTCTCTCACTTCCCTATCATCTACTATTCCTCACTTTACTGTGACAATAAATGCTAATACCAAAGAAAACTGTGCCAGACCCATTTTAAATCAGGAAATCACCTGTAGTAGTCCATCAGCACCCTCTCCATTTAAATGATCCAGGTTTAAAGAAATGCTAATATATTTGAAGTGTAACAGCATCTCAGTGAGGCTGATTCACACTTCTTCTCTGCTGCTGCCCAAATGACCTCTCTTGGTTTCAGCGCGGACGTTTCATTCTTTATATTTTGTGTCCTTTTTGTCCCCAGTAAAAATAAATAGCTCTGCAGCTCCACCGTTATGCAATAACATTGGTACGGGCAAACACTACATGATACCATACGCCATTCGCTACATGTTACCCTACAAGGGATGAGACGTATGAATCATATTCACCACGGAAAGGTCATTGTTTTCCTCAGCTACCTTCAGCAGGAGCTGCCCGGGGTGTTGAGTCGCAGATGGATAAGTCAGGAATGACCTTAAAGCAAAGGCAGGAGGGTGCAGGCGATTTGTCTGTCCCTGAGACAAGGTGGGTGCAGGACAGACGATGGTCACGTGCGTGCACTTGTTACTATTGCAGGGACATGACTAAACAAAGGAAGAGCAATGACAAGGAGCACAAAGCAGCAGAAGAAATGACCATGAGCTCCCGACAAGGTTTACATGCGTGTGCATGTGTTGGCGACATTCTGTTACTCACTTGTGCCTCCTGGTGCAAGAGGGACCCCAATTTTTTGACCCCGCATTCTGCCAGGGGAAATTTTTACTTTCTATTTATAATGAGCTGCTGCATTTAGGCGAGCCTACTAACAGTAAGGACTCATGCTATTTAGGCCTATGACTTTGCAGCATTGCCCTGTTTTTAACTCACAGCAACTCTGCAGACCAAGGCTCTGTGTTTGCAGCGCTGCACAGACAAAACATGTAATTGTAAAACTGATGATGCACCAGATCAACGGGCACAGTTGTGAAAGCACCCTAAAGACCTCCTGCAATTCAAAAGGTGAGAAGCTGACAACAGAGTAATAAATATTAGAAAATAGTTCAAACAGGTAAAGAAAAGGCAATAGGCTCATAGTGCCTAAATTTATCATTCTACACTCAACTACATAACATATCGTGGAAACTTCACAACGTATTTGCTGTGATGGAAGATTCACAAATCAAACAGGTAAATGCCATCTCACTCATATCCTATCCACTTTATTAATTAGTTGAGGTTTAGCTGCTTTTCTTTTCATCTTCTTTTACCTTAAAATGGTGTAAAAAGCAGAGGTGCAGTATAACAGATTTTTGCAGATTTTTTTAAACCCAATTAAAGAAAGCTGAGTCTATCCTGTAGAAGAATTCTGTTGTTATTGTGAAAGTCTAAGAACAACATTTGATTTCACCATAAATGATAAATATAGTGCTCTTCAAATGTAAACATTCAGAAATATTGTTGCTGTAATATTTCTCAGCTTTGTTGAAGACTGAATAAGAGGCAGCTGACAGGTTTTTACTGCCACCAACACTTTTTCTGTTCTCACTTATTACAAACTCTTGGTGCTGTTCAGGATAACAGTTCAAGAGATGTGCAATTAAACAATTAGTTTTCAAGATAGTTTGTTTTGCTCCTCTAACCAACACCAAATAACCCTAATTATTACATCCAGTTCTCTATGTAAGAGTGAATGTACATATGCTCAGTGAGAAAGCATTAAAATAACATTTTTATTCTTAAATCCGGGCTTGTGTCATGTGTCTATAGTGATTGCTCATACAGTGATAATAATAAAAATGGGACTAACTGTGCTGCACCGCATACCATTAGACCTAGAAGTCTGCTTCCCTGTGCTCCAAGCTTTCTTGCCTCTTTGTGTTAAAAGTTATGCAAACATGTCTCTAACTAAGAACTTGCTTCAGGCTTGTGATATCCATTTCATTCTTGCTTCACAAAACAAGCCCTCAGCATCCCTCCTTAGGTTTCCTACCAGCCTCCAGTAAACCTGGGAGGCTGCAGAGCAGAATAGCATGAAATAGCATGAAATAGCAATCTTTACTACAGCAACTACAGCAAAAACCAGCTCAGCGCTTTTCTTGCTAACGCTCCTCCTGTGACTTCAGCGTGAGCTCGGTAGAACAACAAGGCCAAGCTGGCACACCTGCCCTACAAAGTATCTATTGTTCTACCACTGCTAAAAATGTAAAGGATGCATTATTCAGCCTCTGGTGTCTGATATACTGTTGACACGACAAAATTGAACCAGAGTCCTATGCAAGCAATAAACCACTGTCTGTAGTACTGGGCAAGGATCATGGTAAGATCAGCAAAAACACACAGAATATAGTGCAGCAAAGAAGAATCCATAAGCATTTTTAAAAAGTTAAGCTTCTTCCTGACTTCACTGAGAAGACTCTTCATGAAAAATACATCTAAGGTACATTCAATACTCATTATCCCCACTCATCTTTGCCTGTAATAATCTCATCCATTAAGCTTTTAATGAGAATTAATAGTGCTGCTTAGTCCAGGATTATCAGATAGGCAGAGTACGAAAAATGACATCATGGTTTTTCTTCAGCTGGACATCCATAAATCCAACCTGTCAATCCTGTTCAAGGCTGATGCTAGGTCTATTCACACACGGTCACAAAAATGAGAGCAAACGTTAAACAAGGATTTCACAGCAATGTTGCAAACAAACATAAGGTCCTATCGTGCACCTGCGGCACAAAGCGTATAGATGTGCCGTCGACACTGGCCTACATTAGCACCTGGCAGTAGTGTTGGGCGGTATGACGGTATACACCGCGTGACGGTATAAAAGTGTCTACCAGTAGAAATTTTGCTATACCATATATACCGGAGAGAGAGCAGATGTCTGCTGCATCTCTCTGAGTCAGTGTGTAGTTGTCTGCGCTCGCTAACAGGAAAGCCGCAGCGCATCCGTTTGGGTGCGCTCCTTTTATTCACCAGCGTGTCCAGCAGACTGCTTGGCATAGTTTCGACAAAGAAGAAACAGCTTTACTGGTGGTAATCATGAGGAGGCAGCCCCACCCACCCAACATGAAGGAGGGGAGGAGCAACTTGTTCTGAAAAAAAGGCGCAAGTCGCGACATCGGTTGTCTGGAGATTCTACGGATTTAGAAAATCCAGTGATAGTCTAAAAACAATACTATGCAAAGAGTGTTGTGTAGCTGTTGTTGCTGGAGGAGGAAACCTCAGCAACCTTTTCCACCACCTAAAGATGAAACATACAAAAGATGCATAGCACACCTGTTGCACCAAAAACTAAAGCTTCAGCAGCTCCTCTCATACAAAAGAGCTTGGCAGAGTCTTTCGCCAAAGGTGCGCCATATGATAAAAAAAATCACCGGACTGGTGACAGTATGGTTATTTTAAAGCCATTAATTAAATTTACAGGGGGGGAAAAAACATACTGTGATATAAACCGTTACTGTGATATGAAATTAATTATACCATGATATAAGATTTAGTTCATACCGCCCAACACTACCCGGCAGTGTGTTGGTCTTTTGAAGAGGTGAAGTCAGACACAAAGGTGGCACATCTCTGTCTTGAGAAAGCAGAAAGCATCTGTGCCTAAACCAACAAGAACCTGGTCTAAAGTCTGAAATCAGAGCCTCAGTGCTTTGCTTATATTTAGAGGGCACATTAGTGAGAGAGGGAAAAAGCATTAAAGTTCACAACATGCTTTCCTGTGCCTTTTACGCACAAAGAGAGAGGAGAGACGTGCTCTCACTCATGATAAAATACCTGTTTTTGCTGATGCAGTGAAACTAAGTTTTAACTTTGGGACGGGGAGCTTTGAGATGCTAGTTTTTTAACTTGTCCTCATATATCATGATACTGCTTACAGCTATCTCCTCATAACCTTAGCCTTACATGGCCCCAAAACTACAGTCCAGAAGCATTCTCTTGTTTACATGCAGGAACAGACTTTAATAGACACTGCATGGATACTTTCATTAAAAAGGCCATAACCAACTAATTAAATCCATGTAATCCAGCAGCAAAAAGGAGTCAAAATCAACAGCTTACCTTTCTTTGATGTAAAAGCACACAGGACGTGTTTATTTGCCCTAAATTTTAAGTAATTGATGCAGTTTTACTTCACGTCTGTTAATTTGGAAAGCTCCTGATTGTTTGAGCTGCACAGAGGGTTTGTTTTTGTAGATTTAACATCAATTCATGCACCGACATAGCTAATATACTGTGCACATACTGTACCTGTATGTGTTCTGTGTTTCCAGAGGCACAGAAGAAAGAGGGGAGATAGACTTGTCAGCTCAAGCTGAGTCAATTTAAGTAGAGAGGTTGAAATCCGCTGTGTAAAATAGCAACACGCTTGTCTGCACACCTGACTCTTGAAATCATCATTTAGACTTGAGACAGCCAAATTTATCTTTTACTGTGAACATTTAGTATGAAAAACATAACATAGGGGCTGTTTCCTAGCCTCTTGTACCAATAAGAAATAATCCTTTTTTTAATCACTGATGTCCTTTTTTGCGTTTCAATATCATGAAAAACCACTCCTATTAACGTGTGTCTATTTCATAAACATCAAAAACTTCTCACAGGAGCTTTGAAAGGGAAAATATGGTGAGAAACGCCCTAACTCACCCTGTGCCATACACTCTAGACAGTGCATTTTAAATAGTTTTAACAGGGCCCACGATAAAAGTCATTAAGTGTCAAAATATGCATGTCATAGTTTAGAGGTTGATGTTTTTATGCCAGCATAAAATGTAACAGTCCACCATCAGAGTGCATGATAGGCCGAATCATTGTAATGAAACAGAGGAGGAAAATTTCAAAGAGATAAACACTCATTAAACAAACTACCTTGTCTTTTTCAAGGCTTCTGACTGAGACAAATATAGCAACTTTTAACACATCAGACTAAAACAGCTATTCCAGTTTTTGCTTTTATTAAACACTAACTCTCTCAGGTCATCATTGTCTCAAAACTCTCAAATCTGTTTTCTTCCATTGAATATTATATCTTTGAATAGACCAACCTCAGTGACCAAAGGAGGATTACCAGATCTGGACTGTGAAATCAGTTTGATCCACTTATATCCTTAGCTTTGGTTTAGACAGATTGTCAAACCAGTTTTCTTGACCAACACTTCCTTGTTCAGGATGAATCTACAATCTATGACACACTTCTATCTGATCAGCCCTTCTCTTAAACAAACACAAGCTGATTGCTGTGCATCCAGAGTCTGTACATGTGTATCAAATGACGGTAAAAGGTTACCTTAAATACTACACTGCTGCTGTCACAGATACCCCAGCAAACACTCGATCTCTACGCAGGATTGATCTGAATACAGCGTATTCTTGCTCATCATATTGCAGGCATGCACACAAATCACAGAGTATGTAGCGGCTACACCTCCAACACACATAATTCATCGTGTTCTGAAAGTCACATGCAGAAACAGATGGAGAGCTTTTGCTGAATTATGAGTACTGTTACAGGGCCTGTGACACAGATCAAATATAATTTTAAACGTCTTTGCAAATAAGGATGGCATGTCAAGTAGTAACGAGTCAGTTAAGTTTGCCCAAGCGATATTTGCTAATGTTAGTATTTATCCATGAGACCATTTATCCATGAGAAAAAGTCAGGTGAAATGCTGCTGGCAGAGGAGTTTGAGTGTGGACATATTTGACATATTTCACAGCCCAGAAGACAACACCAGAACACAGCTGACGTCATTATTAAACCATTTCCTAGATACCTATTCTGGTAAAAACCACAGATACCAAATACACCAGAGGACAGCTTGGGTCAGCATTAAGCCACTTCCTTAAAACCGTTTACATTAAAAACCACAGATAGGAAGAGAAAGGAGAAATATTTGTGAAAGTTAATTGTGTCTATTTCTAAAGCTTGCTGGCTAACCTCAGCGGACATTTATGTACATTTTTCAGCTCAGAAACTCACTGACATAAATGCAGGTTTGGGTCTATTACATTCATTAGTTTTGGAAGAAATATATAACTACACCTGCGCTTGCTTCTCATTTTGTCCCTCTACTTTTTCATGTGAGAGTTAGAGCCACTGTCAGAGTGGAGAACAGATTTACCTCCACGTTTTAATTGTATAAATTTGGCACCAAATATGTCTCTCCCCAAACTGCAGGGGGCAAGCAAATCTGTGAACCCCCAGAGAGTCTTGTATAGCTCTATTTTGCATATTATCTACATTTTCTGAGTAACAACCCTGCAGCATAATCTAACATGGGAGATACACGTGTCATTAGATTGTACGTTGGTAAAATAGCCAAGACCCTTACATAGGTGCATAATGTTGGTGATAGATACCAGAACTTCCTCCGCAGAATCAGCAAGACATCCAAATCACCCAAACCCAAAAGCTCCAAATTAAATTTTTTTTAAAATTCTGTCCTGTATTTTTTTTTCTTTCAAAAATTCACTTTAGTAAGCTACCTTGAAAAAATAACCACAATTTTCAATTATCATTCTGACCCCATAGCACAGAGAAGAGAGGGACATCCACCTGTTTGGCTTAACAGTCATCTTAAACCACAGAGGAAATGGTGAAAGCATGACATGTTTGAGGCCATACCACTTCTACCACTGTGACCATTGCGCATGTGCATAATAAAGTTATAACGTTCAGACAATATATCCTTTAGCTTTGTCAGTTAAATTAAATAGAAATTTCTCAGCAGCACACACTGATTGGAAAACAGAAAGAGCATTGACCCACTAATACTTTGTTTTCTCAACTGGATGAATCCATTCAAAACAGCTTTACTGTGAGTATTTCTAAACTGAGAGCAGATTCACATGTTTCAAACTCTTACTGAACCTTTTCAGGTCAGCTGATCACAAATATAGTCAAAAGACCAAAACAAAGATGGCAGCATCTGTGTAGCATAGTCACCAAGCAATGAAAATGAATCTATTTCATGTATCCGTAAATCATCACAGATTACCTAACAATACACTTCTGTGGAGTAGAGAAGGCCCCCGGATGTCATAGGAACAGACAGTTTATCACAGAAAAGCTAGCGACCTCATGAAGCAAGTGGATTTTACAGTAAGTTGTTTTATCATACCGTTGCATTTTCAGAGCTGATATTGTAAATATATTCTGTCAGAAACAACAGGGTAGACCTGAGATGATCCCACTTTTTACTTATGTTTTACAAGGAAATAATCCTATCTCCTATTCGGGTCAACACACGACATGCATGGTGCGCTTAGCCGATAGCATGTTTTAGATATACAGTATATGAGATTAGTTGATGAAATAGAAATAAACACGGGTTATGGTATAGATTTCAGAATATGACAAACAAACATATGTCAGATATTATACTAAGTGTGGACATCAGAAACAACATTTAATTTCATTTTCCTGTACATCAGAACAGGGATTTATATCTAACACTTGCCAGTGCCTGTTCTGAATTTGATATGCTGTCATATAAGATGGAGAAAACTAGGTTATCATGTAGGGGGTATTGAATTATCTCAGTAGCAGCCACACTGACAAGGCCGCCTGCAGTGGTTGCAGACATGTTTGTTTATATTTTTAATTGGCCTTGTGAGCACATCTGCCAAAGCCATTTATTATAAATACCATTAATCATTATATGATTACCTTATACCCAGAGGATGCTTTTCTGCTGAATTACAGTTTTAAGTCAAGATCTTGGATTATCATCTCATTTGCTATGAGTAGTTAAAAATCTAGTAGGCCTGGCTTATGGTGTATAACTACAGAAACACTCACAAAAACATCATAACTTTGTGCCCTTTTTCTCAAGGTGTTACATTTAGGACTTTCAAACTCTTTCAAACTCCCAGACTCACTCTGGAAACAGACTGAAGATAAACTGTACCAGACACTGTAATGCCCCAGATGGCCCACTTTCTCTTGATGCACCACTGTGCAAACAAACACCCTGAGGTCACCCTCCAGGAGGTCAAGCTTGGAAGCAGTACACCCTACTTCACCAAAGTAGACCGCACGCACACACACACACACACACTTTGTACCAGAGCCGTAGATAATTTTGCACTGCAGGTTCAGCAGAGAAACACTTCTGCTGGTCTTACACATGAGGCTGGTACAGTTTTCTCTAACATGATCTTACACTCAGAAAAAAGCATCCAAAACACTGTATAAGCAGCTCACGAATCATTAACCGCCACAGTCTTTTGCTCGTGTAGGAACACATTAACCATGTTTGTCTGCCTTTCTGAGGGTGCACTTATACTCAGCTGTGGAACAATGCTTACTTCACTACATCACCCATAGTTCATCACACAGACATAAAAGCACAAGGTGCACAGGGTGGTGCAGTGAGGAGAAAAGCTAAAAATAAAAAGCCGACCAAACCTCTGTTCTCCCAGGGAAAATATGACATGATAAAGTGCCGATGAGGATAGTTGTCAAAGTGTTTCTCTGTGTAGGCACAGCACACACTTTCAAATCTGCATGATGAAGCAATACTGCGCGAGCCGAGCAGCATCTTACTACTCTGACTTTACCTTGAAAAGGCGAAACAATCAAACCCCATCACCCAAAGAGGATTAAGAAGTAATGACACAGTTTCTATGTATTTTGAAACAATTTAACAAATAGAGCAGATAAAAGCTAAGCAAACGAAAAGACATCAGCACACACCGCAAGAGATAATCTTTTTATCCCTCTTTTCATCCCTGTCTCAAACATCGCACAAATATCTTTTAATATTCCTGACATAAAGTTTATTCTTCCATTTTACAGATAACAACCCTTAATTCAAGCCACACAATACAAGGTTTACATATTCTAAGAAAATGATGCAGAGCAGAGCGAGTCTTTCAACAAAGGCACCAAATGAGAAAACTGATAATAAAAGACATAAACAGGCTACTCACCAGGTCGTGGTTTGTGGAGTTAGAATCATCTTCAGGAAAGGGAATATAGACAGCTAAGGCCATACAGTTGGCAAAAATAGCAATTAATATAAAGATATCAAATGGCCTGAGAAGAGAGGTTAAGGCAAACATGGAAGAAAATGAGGCAAAGAAAGCAGAGAGAAAACATGATGTTTAAATCCCCAGCGATAACATTCAAGCTTCTGCATAATTGACCACATTACTTATTCACATGATAAAATCAATTTGATATAAAGTCTAAGGCACTGGAGGTTCCTCCTGACTCTGAGCACTTTCATGATATTTCATTGACTTGTGCTTTAGACTGCAGAACGAAAACATTAATGATTTTTTTTGTATTTTGAAGGAGTTTATCTTCAATTAAACTTAGCTGTAGTCTGGGAATCAGGCAAATCAAAAAGCCTGTGTTTGACTCGCATAAGCAGGCGTGTCTCAGCCTTCTCCTGTCCGGCCCACCTGAAGCTGGTCCCACTAATCGGTCCTGCCTGTCTGACCTGGCGGTTTACTGCTATGTTAGAAGTTTTGTTGCTCTGGTTGGTTGAAGGGTTACACCATTTTCATGCGCCTCTTGCAACCTAAGAAATAGCAATGTTCAGAACTTGTTTGTTTTTGTAAACTAACCGGTGATATTGGACTAATCTGGTTTCTCTCTGAACAATGTAATTGCTTGGTTTGATGCCATAATCTTGATGTGGTAACCAGCTGTTCGGTCAAAGGGTCCTAATGTGGTTAAAAAAACAGCAAAGAGAAAAAAAATCTTAGTCGACTACTGGAGGAATTAGTGTCTTGAGAATAATAATAAATTATTAATATCATAATTAATATTTTTGTTGTACTTATTATTATTGTTATTATGAAAATCAAAGTAAAAGACAAGATTATCCCCTCGACTGACTTGTCCATTTCAGTAATTTGATCATATTTCAATCACCACAGAGGAAACTAATTTTCTTTCAAAATGTCATTGAAAATATTGTGACTTCATGACTATACACATCTCCATAAATATATTCATCATTCGCTTGTGATTTTTTCAATTCAAAAAATTTAAGATGACAAATCACACTGACCTCACACTGACTTTTTACTATCAATTTCTGCTGATTCAAACTGAATAATGCTCAAATAAATGAGACACTGATCACCTAAAATCATGTTTCAGGGGTGGCAAGGAAAGCACCGTAAATTCAATTCACTCTTTACTCACTCTGACTGATTACAGAAAATAAACACGCTCTAACACCGCACTGTTGCTACATAGCGTCAAAAATAACGATGAGATATGACCACAGCTGTGTCTCACTAAGTGTACTGGTTGTAAATCCCCATTGACATTTTTTGGGCAAACACACAAAGGTGGATTATGAAATGTATCTATGCGACTCACGTGAGGCAATCTTCTTTATACCATCTGATGGCCTTTGTGATGACAGCAGCTGCTTTTGCAACAAACCTCCCCCCCCGACTGTCGCACTGCCTAATACTCTCCCTGTGTATTTTAGGATCCATTGACTCTCACTAAATCTTTTGTATGAGAAACATATTTTTATGTTCCAAAACCAACCCAGCGCAATGTGCCTATTCTCCGTCTCCCTACAGTTTTTACTTTACAAAGAACTATGAGCAAAAATAACAACTCAAATAAAGCTAAGCTAAGAACAACAAGGCCTCCGACTGATGACTATTTCATTATATATTTTTCCCTAAACCCATCAACAATAATTCTGTCTGGTAAAATCGTCAAAATATAAACTTTTCAAATCGTCTTATGAGATGTCCTCAAATGTCCTGTTTGTCTGACTGGCAATCCAGATCCAAGCAAACACAATACAAATATTGAACAAATACAACAACAAATAAACATTCTGTGTATTTCTCTGATAAATTAGAATATTTGTTTACTGAAACAGTGTCCCTACATTCCCTTTTTTAGAGTCTTTCTGATAAATAAATACTCTTTTCAGCCTTATGAACATTTACTTATCTAATATTGAGTACATGCATACCCTCCCACATGAAGCCACAGTAAAGGATACTTCCACTCCACCAGGCTGATGCAGGCCCTGCGTATGGGGTTGTTGAGGGTTAGGCAGAACAGAGCCCTAGCTGGCCTGCTGTTGGCGTTGCTGCCTTGTTTCTTGCTTTTGGCATACTGCTGCCGCTTCTTCTGTGCCAACGCACCTACCGGGATGGTGGTGGATGTTTGGGAGGGCAATGCAGGAGGAGCGGACGGCGCTGCAGGAGCCGGGGCCGGGGCAGGGGCAGGGGCAGGGGCCGCAGCAGGGGCTGCAGCAGGGGCAGGGGTTGAGGCCGGAGGGGCCTCTGGGGCCGCAGCAGGGGCTGGGTCTGGGGCGGGCCCGTTGGCGCTCATGGTGTGGGCGTGGCTCTGTGAGGAGCATCCAGCAGCATGGATCTGCCAGGGTAGACAAGGAGACTAGAGGAGGGCAGAGGAGTCTGACCAATGAGCTGGCACGTCACCAGGAGGAGCGACTCTGGTGCTGCTGGCATAATTTGCCCTGGGAATGAAAAAAAAGATGAAAATGGGTCAGTACATTTCTTACTTTACAAAGAAAGCAGAACAGAATTACTAACGTTCAACACAAACAATAAAACTAACTTCACCCTTCTGAACATGGATCCACCACTTATGTATGTTTCTCTAAAAATATGATTACAAGCCAAAATGAATTCAAAGACAATGATGAAAATTAATAATACAAATTGCTTTAGAGTAAGTTCATTTAAATCTCCATACAAATACTGAACTGACTCATTTAATGTTAAGAATAGACTCTTGAAATGGCTCTGAATGTCCTCACCTGTTTTTAACTGCGACCCCAGTTTAAAATACTCTCACACATCCAAGATGACCGTTTCTACTTTTCAACATTAGTCTACACCTAATTCAACTTGTGTTGACACTGTCCTTAGTTTTAATGTTTATAAAAGATTTAGAGGGATGGTTACGCCTCTAATGTAGAGATGCACCAATCCTTTTTTTTTCTCCGATCCAATCCGGGACCGATGCCTGGGCTAAGCGTATCGGCCAATATCTGATAGCGATCCAATACTACTGTTGAATGAATGAACTGTATACCTTGCCCTGTAAGTGAAGGCATCAGGCTTGATATTAGCCTTGTTGAAAAAGGGAACAAATTTACACAGATATAAATTTACTTAATATTATTTATCAAAAAATAACAAACTGCACATTAGCACATAGCAAAAAAAAGAAAGACTCTATGTAATCATTTAGTGCAAAACAATAGACAGACAGACTATAGAGAGAACAGAATCGCTGTGTTGCTGTGTATGATATTAATTAAAAGAAAAAAAAGACTGGATCAGAACGCTGGATCATTCAACAGATATCTGATCCAGTTAATTTGTCAATATCGGAGCCGATATCCGATCCACATATCAGATCAGTGCATCCCTACTCTTATGTGCTTCAAACATGGATCTTTTTGAGTTTAGAAAATGAGTAAGTAACTAAAGAGCATCTCAAACCTTCTATAATTCTCTTTTTTATCCTTTCTATCAACCTTTTATCCTTTATGTTGTGAACTCTGGTTGTGTTAATCAAATGCCTGTTCTTCAGAGGAATATTATCAAGGTTATCTAGCTTTTATACAGGGGATTAGTCGCTGCAAATGAGCACAGAAACCATGGAAGCTGAGCACAATGAGCACCAGGTAACTCATGGTAACTTCAGGTAACTTCACCCTTCTGAACATGGATCAACCACTTCTGTATATTTTTCTGAAAATTAAACAATTACAAGCCAAAATAACTTAAAAGCTAGTGATGAAAATGAATAATATAACTTGCTTTGGAGTACATTCATTTAAGTCTCCTTACAAATGTCCTCACCTGTTTTTAACTGCTACCCCAGTTTAAAACACTCTGACACATGATGACTATTACTATTTTTCAACATTAGTCAACACCTAATTCAGCTTGTGTTGACACTGTCCTTGGTTTTAATGTTTATAGAAGATTTAGAAGGACGGTTATGCCTCGAATATGCTTCAAACATGGATCTTTTTGAGTTTAGAAAATGAGTAACTAAATAGCATCTCAAAACCTTCCATAATTTTCTATTTTATCCTCTCCATCAACCTTTTATCCTTTATGTTGTGAACTCTGGTTGTGTCAATCAAACACCTATTATTCAGAGGAATATTAACAAGGTTATCTAGCTTTTATACAGGGGATTAGTTGCTTCAAATGATCACAAAAAACATATAAGCTGAGCACAATGAGCACCAGGTAACTGATGGTAACTTCAGTCTTCTGAACATGGATCAACCACTTCTGTATATTTCTCTAAAAATAAAACGATTACAATGATGTATATCTACCCTGTATCCTTTATATTGTGACCTCTGGTTGTGTCAATCAAATGCCTGTTCTTCAGAGGAATATTATCAAGGTTATCTAGCTTTTATACAGGAGGTTTGTTAGTTTTAGCACAAAAACTATGTGACTCATATCAAAAATTGGTTTGAGACCTTTGACATTAAATCATAAACCCCTACATGGTGTAATGGATTACAAATTTAAGTCAGTCCTTGTTAATTTACCGCACTACACGTCTTACTTGATAAGGACACAACTAAGATACTTACATAATAAGAATAAGAGAAATTTTATTAATCCCCTAAGGTAAATTCAATTGTCTGTCGTCTCATTTGTCATTTCTCTAAAAGTCATCTAATCTAAAGGCGTCTTGTGTTAAATCTGTAACTTATCCTAATGTGTGTTTAATATGTACAAATAAACAGTAGCTAAAAGCAGTTGAAACATGGCAGCTGATGGCTGGGATGATGCCATTAGGAGCCTAGATACTAAGCCAGCAGTCCAACATTTTCTGACCCTTAACAAACACAGTGAGGCCAAAAAAAATAAAATAATGAAGGCAGGCGTCATGTAGCTCAAGACAAAACACACACAGAGACACAAAATACGCTTTTACATCCAGAGCTGCCACTGTCAGACATCACTTGGTCACATCAGTTGTGTAAGTCCTTGAATTGCGAGCAGGCCCCGCAGAACAAGAAACACAAAAAGGTCACATTGCAGCGATTCTCCGGGAAAGAATTCATCTTCCTATAGCTTCTAGATGTGATATGAGTGCTGGTGTTCATGTAAAACTGCGCGTCTACTGCCGGATTCAGGCTGGCTCCTCTTTGTGCTACGATGCAGCCTCCATGAAACCGAAGCTAGTGCGAGCTCAGGCAGGGGGAAAATGCGTATTAAATGCGCTTATTTGGGATTATTAATTTCACTGCTCCATCGGAAACGACGACCGAGCACCCGTCATGAAATGTGCACTGACGTTTCCGTGAGCAACTCGTGACAAAACAGCCATCATCCCGGCGTCCTCATATTTCTCCTTGGACACAACCAAGGTAGGTATCTGGTGAAATCTGCCCCCCCCTCCACCAAAAAAAAAAAAAAATGATGTGAAATGACAGCTTGACTCCGGGCGCTCATAGTGAAAACTGAGCAGCGCACAGACGTCAGATGGTGTAGAGAAACAGCTGGCATCGTTATTACAACAAACCTCAATCAGACTCTGAGCTAATACAGCGGACAGTCCACATGACCAGAGCCCACCTTAGTTTACATCAACGCATTTCAGTCCCGTCCTCCATGGCAGGCTCTGAATCCTCACCTGATACCGTCGAGTGTAAAAGTGGCCGTTAATAACCGCTGTCCTCTGACAACCGTTAAACATCATATCCTGTATGAACGCAGCTATGCTAAGAGGCTAACTCCGAAACCGCACCGTGTAGTTTTTCTTTTTACCTTTACTGAAGACTTTAGGATTCAGCCGCGGTCCTCTCCGCTCTCCAACACGGGTCCGGTGTTTAATAACGCAGGTCCGGTGTCGAACGATGGCGGTTTACCGATCATGAGCTCCGGGAGGGACACATAAAGCCTGTGTGCATTAATTAAGCTCTTCCACCATGGTGATGGAAAGCTGGAGACAGGAGAGTGCGCACCAGACAACAGAGCATCCTCGTCCGCTGACTGCCTGCTTATCGTGAACAGTAAAACGAGTGCACATCAGAGAGCAAGCTTCTCCCCTCCTCCTGGCCCCGACACCCCCCTCTGCAAATACACCAGACCTGCTGCTAACATCTAAAAGGAACCATACTACAACACATCTCTCATTTTTTTATGATAAAAGTGAAACCATTCATTCAGAGTCACAGGCAGCAACCACTGACCATAAAGGTCACTTGTAAACAACTGGCCTATTTTATGTGCTCAGGATAAAATCAGCCTTAGTTTTTTTTTCTCTATTTTTGGAGGAGTGATGTAGCACGTTCTTGTGATTTTTAATGCTTTAAAAACAATAATAAAATAATATTTAATAAGGAAAAGTCCTGGTCATTGAACTGAAATGAAGGTTTCTAACTCTAACCTTCAAAACAAGCGCAATAAGTAAACAATCTAGGAAGAAATAAAATGCATACAAGTAAGTGTTGAACAATCATAAACAGCTTAATATCTATAAATCATCCATCGGTTAACTCAATACAATAAGTGGAACCAAAAAACAAGGCATCTACTGACTGTGATGACAACAAAAAAGCAACACACAACTCTTAAAGGGATATTCTGGCGTAAACTTAAGTTAGGGTCAAACACACACCGAGTTAGACACCCCATTGAGAGATGAATGTTGCCGACCACTTGCTTCTCGAGTTATACCAACTCATAGACTGTACATATAGTGGATGCTGTCTGCCTCCTCGCTGGGTGAAGCTGCAGTATAGGTGATAAATCCCGCCTCCGCCAGCAAGGCTTATAGGGTTGTGGACAAACTTTAGAAATGTATTACACAGAACATACATCCCCCAACCCCCGCTTGCGATGTTGATATGTAGTTATTGTAAGACTGTTCTGTGCTCAAGTCCTCTTTTTTTCAGCAGGTCCATTTTTAAAAGTTATTAGGGGGTTCATGTTTTCTATGATTGACACTTGATACAGCCTATGGGCGTACGAAGATTGCGTAGCTTACCCGGGGGATACGCTTTTTCAGCCGAGCGTCATTCCAGGGACTCTCGGCGACTCTCCCACTGAATGCGCACAATGCTACTGCGCAAGTGGTGGAGTGCATACAACGCTACTACGCAATGTTGGTTTAAGGAAATAGAGAGAAAACGCAGAATTACCGAGAGCTTCTTGGCTTCAAATCCGTATGCTGGCGGAAGGCGGAGCCAAACTGTCCATAGTATATACGGTTTATGTACCAGCTTTAGTAAAGACCGCACGATAGCAATACATAAAGCCACCGCTCAACCAAAAAAACACTCTATAGCCACAAATAATGCTCAGAACAGCACCTAACTTCACTAGCCACAAAACGTCTTTTTAGTTTTGCCTAATTTCTTTAGCAAAGAGACTATGCACAACTCACCTACTCTCTTCCAGCAGCTGTTTGTTTGTATGGAGAGCCCCAGGCAAGTCCATCCACTGCAGCAGGGTGACGCAGCTCAAGGAAGAACATTTCTGATCATTTCTTTATCATTTCCTTGAAGTAATGATCATCATATTAATCATTTTGCACTGCAGGCGCAGTAGTTCCTCTGCCTTAGCATCTGAGTCTGATTGCATTTCCATGAAAAAAAGATCATAAAAGTTCTTCCTTGAGCTGTTAGGTGCTGTTCTGAGCATTATTTGTGGCTATAGAGTAGCTTTTTGGTTGAGCATGTGGCTCTCTGTATTGCTATCTGCGGTTGTTACTCAAATTTGTATAACTAGAGAAGCAAGCAGTCGGCAACATTGATCTCTCGACGGAGTGTCTAACTTGGTGTTACGGTGTGTTTGACCCTAACTCAATTTTACGCCGGAATATCCCTTTAAACTGTGAAGAGTTGGCTGCTAATGAGCCACAGCACTGCTTTGGCACATGCATGCAAATTGTTTAGAAAGTCCTTTCCTTTTACCTTCCCTGTAGGAGGATGATTATCCTTATTATACTCTACTGAGAATAATAATACTAAGAAAACTGTTTTGTTTAATTTGCTTTGGAGTTATTCGGTATATTTTAATCACACAATTTTTGGGAGAAATGGGTTGGTGCTTCCAGAAATCCCATACCTGTTAGGATGAGTCCACTCACATGTAAGCCAAAAAACAGTATTAACCCTTCTCCTTTTGGGATTTAACAGTTTGATCACTGATTTTGTGTTAAAGGGGATTCCTATTTTACATTTTTGAAATTTAAAAAATCATCAGAAGTTGCATGAAATCCAGTATTAAAGACGTCAAGTCCCTACAAAGCTGGATAAAGTCCAAGTCTTCAGAAAGATTATATTATTCTTAATCCATAAACATAGTCACTCAGGCATATTGAGGCAATCTAGGCTGTGATAGAGCCAAATACCACAAGAGGCAACATTTCTCACAAAACCCATAAGTACGGGTGTATAGTCCACAGAAACATTATCTTTATCCAATGTGCAATAACTTTTTAAAAATCAAATATTCTGGGAGGCAGAAACAAGTCCTAAACACTACACCAACAAGTCCTCCCCTTTAAAAGCGATGTCGATGAAAATAGTTTTCAAATAAGCTCACATTTAACACTTAATTGGATTTATATATCAACCAAGCCCATTTTAGCACTGTTCTCAGTCTTAGCCAACATCTCAAGGTAATATTCAGCTTTTCAGCAGCAAAATTTCTCTCTAATTTCTTCTTCACCAATTAGTTGACTGTATCTGCATGCCTGGCTGCTCAGTGTTAGATCAATGGTTATGATTGGCCCAGCCTGAATCACGTCAGATGGGTATCTGCCTTATTGGGAGGGCATTAAGTTGCATGTACATTCAAGTAAAACACAAGCTTGCGGGTATGTGTCGTTCCCAGGAAAACCCATCCCCCAATCTTACATTGTTGTCATGCAGTCGTTTGATAAATTCTTGTCGTAAAATCCAAATTATTGAAGCATCAAGAAGATTCTGGGTACAACATCTATACTACGATGGATGTCATTCAACCGAGATCATCACTGCGTTGGCTTTACTGATTATTATGTTATTTATTCCAGAGTTAGTGAAGATTGAGTTGTTCCTCTGACAATGTACAATCCCTATTGTAAAATGCTTTCTTTGGACTACGTTTCCCATTAGCCTCCATGATACTTCTTGATGGGACAGTAAGTCAACACCAACCTGCCTGATCAAGTTGTGACACACCATTGCTCTCATGTCACAGCTGTTCTCCATAAGATGGCAAATGCAAGAACATTATGTGAATATATGTATACAACATTTTCTCTAAAGAGATTTACAAGGCATATTTGAGCCAAGATGCTGCAAAATCTATATTTCATCACAGCCTGTAACTATGTATAAGAGTAAATCCAGTTGATTTATTTTTGGTTTCACATGATGACATCTATATTTTGAATGGATGTGTAAAAGATACAACCTTAAAGTGTGCTACTATAAAATGCATACTTGTAAAAGGGAAAATGGCAAATATAACAGCATTAAAAGGCACATCTGTCAAGCACTCAGCTACATTTTAATCCCACCCTTATGAAAAGCTAATGACCAAATGATAGCTTTGACCTGCAGAAGACCCTTTAAAAAATTTCATTCACTTCTTATGTCAGTCGCGACAGACTGTCTCTTAAGTTTAATCGTAAAACTTAAGAGATTTTGTACTCTTTATGAAAAAATAAACTCGTGTCATGCATTTAGCTTGAATTGCTGTGGCAGTTCTGTCATACCAGAGCGTTTATGTACGTTTTTAGAAAATCCTACCTGCCAGAGTGGAACAGCCGATCCGAGGCCTTGAGTTTGACACACCAGCAAAGACAGCAAAGAGCAGAAACCTGTTATCTTCCTCCTCGGAGAGCTGGTGAGTGAGCAGAAGCCGCGTTTCAGGAGTGCTGGAGAACCACTGGGTGAGTAGGTAGTTTCATCAGATCGACTTACGTGTCTGCCCGGGATAATAGTTTCTTCTTGAATTGTCTTAAATTATTCACCTGGACGGGGTGGAGCCAGTAAGTGAGCGCGTGTGTGACTGCTTGTATAACGAGCATGAGTCAAATGGTCAGAGAGGGGCCTGCCTTCAATGGTAGAGCATTTTGGTCATGTGTTTTATTTCATTTAAAAGGGAGTTTATTTATCAATGAATATGACTTTGGGCATCTACTCTCAAATAAATACCTAAGTAAAAACATAACCGTCCAACAGCCACTTAAAAATACACGCACAACGCAGCAGCTAGCCTAGTCTACGCTAAAGCTTAAGCATAAACACAGCTAGCTTTTTTTTTAAAGCTTTATTCAGAGTTAACAAAATTACAATTCCAAACATGGCACTATCAGTTCAAAGGAAAAAAGAGAGGGAAAAAAACAGTAGGGCAATAAAATAAAGTAAAAAGTGAAGAACAGCAAGCAAACAGAAACATAAAAGTAACTTAGAATAAATAAAATAATTTATGCTATGCAAAACTTTGCCAGGGTTTTCTTTCTTTTTTTAAAACATTTTTAGCTGTTCATATCAGTGGGAAAATTCTTCGTTATAACTTTTGTTCCTTCAAACTAGTTAACGTTTTAAGAGATTTCAAATACATTTACAATATTAGATTATAATATAATGTGGTACATTTACAATACAACGATAATCTGGGGGATGATCTCATAACTTTATTCTTATGGATGAAATATTTGGCAAGAGCTTTTGTGTACGTCTTAGGGTTGCAAAGGGGCGGAAAATTTCCGGAAACTTTCCATGGGAAGTTAAGCTGGGGAATTTTGGAAATATTCCAACTTGGAAACTTTCCATGGGAATTATTGGGAATTTATCAGAATTAACTGGAAATTTGGGATAATTTATACAAACTGAATCATATCCAAACATAAATGTAAATATTTTTGTTTTGTCATAAGCAGGCATCCATGATAAATTAGACAATAAAAAAACATTTCAACAGATTTATTTGAGTGGCGATGGCGAACGTGGCATTTTTCTGTAGAATACAGTAACAAAAAAGCTTGTGAAATCACGAATGTAATGGCATGAACAAAAATATAGTTGGTTAAACAACGGTAATGGTCTTCAAAATATTTGACAATTGATGTATAAATAATTGTATGGTTCGGAAAACCCATCTCGCAGGAGTCAGAAGAAACAGCATCACATTTGAGGTAGCTACCACCACTATAACAAGCTCGCCCCTCAAATGGTCAATGAAATAAAATAAAAAAATAGCTTACATTAGCATCTATTTATATTTAATTATTGCAAGTTAGAAATTAATACTATTATAGATCAAATATATTTACCCCATAATATTATCAAAACTTACTTGACTTTATATAGTCCGTGGGCTCAAATGTCTTGTACTTTAGGCTACAAAAGTGTGACTTCCCAGGTTCAAGAAATCATCTGTGCATTTGATTGAGGAGTGTAGTTTCCAACTTTGAAAATTCCCAGAATTTTGCAACCCTACACCTTAACTTTTATTACTGTTTATTTGACTAATACATAGTTTAAAATATTTCCAAAACAGTCATATTTTAAAAGATAACATTAACAGCACTTCTTGTAGCACTTCTCTAGTCTAACTATGTGGATTTGCATTTGGCCTGGTTTGCTTGAGTGTTGTCCACCACGACACTGAGGCTATGTTTTAAAGGTTCCTAATCTGTGAGGATGAATCTGTGTGTTTGTGTCTTGTTAAAAATCATGTTGAAACCCCATTTCTTTCCAGACAGAAAAAAACTTAGCCTATAGCCCCCAGTAGGAAAGCCTAATGCAGTTCAGTCTATCTAAAAATGGAGTAAAAACACAGGCAGAGGGTGCAGTGCCCCCCTTGGGGAGCATGGATGTGATTTTGCTTAAGGTGGTAGTTTGCCCCCACTTCTGGTTCAAGCTGCTTTACTTCTCTCTGCTCCAAAAAGCCCATAACTTAAATTCACATCACCCAAGTACATCAATTCATGATGAATTATTTATTTTATTATGATAAATAAAAATTAATTTCCTGAAAATTTTCATTTTCACTTTTTGTAGAGATACTTTTCCTTGAGCAGTTTGTAATTCCTGCACAAACAAGTATAGAAAGGCAAATGCAATTATGCACAAAACAGATCTTAACTGTGTCGTGTTGAAGGTCCTGTTTAAATGTTGTGTTTGGCCAACCTCTGAGGGGATTACAATATGTTGACTCAATAAAAATGTGTTTAGTTTACACATGCAATTCACAGAAAACAGCTGTTGTGTTTCTCTCTCTTTGTAAATGCACTTAGCTTTTACTCTCTCCTTTATCCCCCCGCCTCACACCTCCCTCCCACCCGCTCCCCTCCTCTCTTGCTGCAGCTCATTTTAAATCTGATTGCAATAAATCTATTTGAGCGCTTCACTCATGTGCTCTTAAGCTGCAAACCTGCTCTCTTCTTTTTACCGCTGTTCTCTTGTAATCCCGGTTCTATTCAGCGTTTCTGCATCTTTTGCTGTACATCTAAAACGGTTGTTTTTAATAACACATAGTGGTGAAAGGTTTGTGATATTCCAAATAAATTTCAAAGATGGCACATGCGACTCTGTGTCTGATTTTCTGACCTGACCAGGCATAGAAAACCTGGTTAGAAGGCACTGATGCAGAAGCACTGATGCACAATCAGTGCTTCTGCATGTTCATGAGAGCTGTGTGTATATTTGTGTATGTGTATTGTAGTGTGTGTATGTGAGTGTGTGAGAAAGAGAGATGGAGAGGGAGTGTGTGTTGGTGGAGCTGCTTGAAGGAGAGCAGTAGTGATGGAGCCTGAAAGCCCTGCAGCGCAGCTGTTATCCTAGTGCATCGTCAACTTCACTGCTGAGCCCACAACACACGCTCGGCCTTAACCCCTGCTCGCACACTCTCTTCTCTCTCTCTCTCTCTCTCTCTCTCTCTCTCTATACTGTCTCTCCTTCATCCCTTCCTCAGTTACTATCTGCTTGTCCATCTGAGTTTTTCTGTTTTATTCAGTTTGAATTAATTACCTTACCTTTTTACCTCTATCCTATGGTTACTGTTTTCTTATCCACTCAAAAAATACTTCAAACTCCTACCCTCAGGGCGCAGGTACGGAACCCTAAGGTTTCGCAAGGCCCGCTTTAGGAAAAGCCTGGTCCCTGCAGCTATAGATGCCCTGAATAGTAGGCCCCGGTGAATAATCTGTCCTGTTGCCTCCTTGCTGCTTGTTGCCGATTGCTGTTGTCCGGGTGTTTGTCATTAGTTGTCTGTTCCTTAAGGTCTGTCCTATGTGATGTGCATTTTTGTCCTTTTATGTAAGGTACAGTTGGTGAAGACAAATTTCCCCATGGAGATCTATCTATCTATCTATCTATCTATCTATCTATCTATCTATCTATCTATCTATCTATCTATCTATCTATCTATCTATCTATCTATCTATCTATCTATCTATCTATCTATCTACCTTTACCTCTTGTGTGAGACGTCAATCAAATTTGGACCCCTACTTCCAGAACTTGGTCTAACACCTTGTGCACAGTGAGGGAGGTGGGGCCTGTGAGTGACAGACAGTATTTTGATAGACGGGTGAGCACTTTGTCATCAGAGTGACTGCAGAGCAGTTTAAGGAAATGGAGTGATAAGAGCAGAGTGGAAAGGGCTCAGGCCTGAAGGAGTGGCTGGCATTAAAGCAAAGACTCGTGTGTGTGTTTGTGCGCGTTTGTGTTTATGTCTGTGTGCAGTTAGATGCAAATGAGAGTAAGAATATTCCTTAGTTCATCTGTTTGTATCTGTATGCACACTTGTCAGCATGCTTGTGTGCATGACTGCATATGTGGGTCCGAGGAATATTTGTTGTGTATTTGCATTCATGCTGCTTCTCAGAAGAACAATAATTCAACAACACATTATTTGTTTACTTGTTTTGGTTTTTTTTAATCAAATGACAGCTCACATGCTCGATGTTATATTAAGGCATTGTTTCAAAAGTGGTTTCTTGGCTCCACTTTTTTTCCTGGCAGAGAGATTAAAAATAGAAACATTCATGCTATCTGAGTGTACTTTCCCTCCAGGAAGTGTGCAGTTATGGGTGCCTAACATTGGCTGAACACCATCACATGGTGTCCTCTTTCTGAGCGATCATTGGCTGGCACCTGTGGGGCTCTGTGAGGAAAAGCTTTTCTGACAGGACCCAGGAGCCCAGAGGAGAGGCTCGGAACTGGGAGAAGGACAATGATGTCGGTGTGGGACCAGGAGAGCTGAGTGTGTGTGTTTGTGTGTGCGTGTGTGTGTCATCGTCATGGCTGTGAGTGTGGAGGTGCTGTGACATGACCTCCCAGTTCCAGCAAAGGGCAGGAGATGGTCACATGGCAGATGAAGGGGCGCAGAGAGAAATGAAGTGTTCATGTGATCATTGAAGCTTAGCTGACTGTTAATTTCTGGTTGATAAATGTCAACCAAAATAAATGTCTGCTGAATGTCTTATTCTTCTAATACCTCAATAATAAACTGGTAAAATGGATGGACACAGCCAGTGAGAAATCACTTCCAGAGGCTGTCCCATAATATGAATGAGGAGACAGCGCCCTCTCATGTTCAAAAGGCAGGACTGCATCTGGCCTACAAAGAGACCGTCCAAAATGGAGTAATGGCATTAAAGTGAATGTCTCCGCAGCACAATAATGTCGTTCCTGCCTTTCTGTAAGGCTTCTAAACTTCTTACTTCTTTTGATTATTTTTGTACTATGAAAACATTTTTATTGGGAAACTATTAAAAACAACAGTGTTAATGTCTGGTCGATTATAGCTGTAATATGATAAATCCTCATACATGAACGGTCTGCAAACAGGCAGAAAAATGGACGCTCTGAAATGAACTTATTTGCTCTCTGCCCTCCAAGATAAAATAATCAGAGGATGATTTTAATCCCTCTCTCCTCCCCTGCCAAGTGGTAGAGTCTGGACTGTACCACTCCATTGTGGACTGAAATGATACTAATCTAAAGGCAGTCTCCTCTGTTGGTTCATGAGAAAATAGACTTTCTGTTTTTATCTTTGATAATCAGAGCTAGGACTTTCCTCCACACACCTCAGCCTGTTTTTAATACTTCTCAGTAACGTGTTATCTGCTGTGAAATGACCGAGTCATTATTGGACAGGTTTTGACAGGATTTATTTCACATATTTTTATTTAAATTGAGCAGAAAGAGCCGTACAAACCAAACCTCTCACACAGCTCAGATTTATTGATCGTTGTTATTCCGGATGGTGGATACAGCAGGTGACCAATGGAAACAGGTCTTATGTACCAGATTAGATTATCCACTAGATGGCAGGCCAACTCTCTCCACACTGATAATCCAGTAAGAGGTTTTGTCCATGAACGCGCGTGTGAGCAGAGGCTGCAAGCCGACGGACAGCACATCAGCCTGCACTTAAAGATAATATTCAATTATTCATTCAAAGAACAATTAGATCCTATTCAGCTACCTCTACAGTTTGTATGCATGAGTAAAACAAATCCTCTTTATCTCTGAAAGTCAATTAATATAAAATGTAAATACTATAGAATGAATCATAATGTGGTAAATGGTAGAAAACATTTAAAGTGTACTATATAATTAATGCATGATGTATTTGGGCAGTGTATGCAAAATGCTAATCTCATAGACAGGTCTTTCGCTTTTGTGGAGAAGAGAAGCAATAATTCATTTGTGTGCTTTCATAGTAATAATAGCAGCTACCACAAATGAAACAGATTAGATTTTACAGTAGAGGATTATAGTCTTTTTACCCTGCAGGTAATCTGAAATAAGGTCTCTGAGACATCCAGGCATGTCTGTATGACTTGACCCTCGAGGTCTGCTGCAGAGGGTTTCTGGAGAAAGAACAAAATGTCCTCAGTCTGCAGAGTCGTCGGGCTCGCTGAGCATCATGGTGACAGGAGGAAAACGGACAATAAGGAGATCAGGGCTGAGGAGGAGAGATGTTTAGGTCTGGTCTTTACATTCATTTCCATCTTAAAGGTCAGCTCCACGCTGTACTTTGTTCTCTTGGTGTTACTGTCTCTCACACACACAATAGCTCCTTTTTAGAATTTATGTTTTGCTTTGATTTCTATTTTTATAAAGCGTAACTGAAACAACTTGCACTTCAAAATGACTTGTATGTTAGAACACTGCAAAAAAAAGTTCTGCAAGTCAATTAAAATAATTATCTCAGAATTTTGAGTAAATTTATTGGATACATTTTATCGCTGTTTTTTCCAACTTGAAGAGAGAATTATGAGAAATTCTCGTGAATAAAAACATTTTGCTGATTTCAAAATGGTGAGATAACTTTTTTGTAAATAAATAAAATCTACCTTTTTTCGAATCAATGAGATAATCTCTTAAATTCAAGAAAATAGAGCAGATTTTTTTCTAAAGTAAATGCCACACGCTTCCATACTCTCATGTGGCTTGTTGCTTATTGATCTTAAAAATCTGAGCTGATAAAAGAAAAAAATATTTTAAAAGAGTAAATGATTTGAAAATGACTTATTTGCCTTTAAGTATGTTTGTTCACCCCTTTTTTCCGCCTGTATGGTTCCTTCTCCAAACCTCACACAACAGTTAATTTTTTGTTTGTTTTCAAAGAATCAAGTGATAAAATCCTGCTCAAACATGAACTTTGTCTCTTTGTTTTGGTTTGGTGTTAATAACAAGCAATAATCAACCAAGAAGATCTGAATTATTAGTGCAGACAGTGAAGTCAAAGTGAATTAAGGCGAGATGCTTCAGAAACCCCCTCCTCCTACACCCATTATCCAGCCCCTCCCTGCAAAGAGCCGCACACACATACACACAAATGTGTATATATGTGACACACCTCCACCATCCCAGTCCCACAGTAGCCAATTAAATGAGAGCGACTCAATTTTAGCACCAACACCCAGCTCACGTCACTGGGTCCCCCCCTCCTCTCCTCTTCTCTGCCCCCTCTGTGTGTGCACAAATCTATGGGTCTGCATGCCTGACAGGATAAATCCAGCCTCCCCCCATACTCTCTCTTTCTCTGTAACTCTGTCACTCACTCACACACACACCCACCCATACACACACAGGTGCTGCTCATTGGCAAGCCGAACTCTCACACACACACATTCAAAACACACAAATTCAACTGAGGGGTATTAGTCGGTCCTCTTTTCTGGTGCTGAGGAACTTGACATTTTGCCTTCATGGAGGATTACCACAAACCTGACCAGCAGACAGTGCAGGCGCTGAGGAACATCGCCAACCGCCTCCGAATCCACTGCATCAAGGCAACAACTGCAGCAGGCAGTGGGTGAGTCTCCCAGATCACTCCCAGATATTAAATTTATGGCTGAGCAGGCAAAGTGCACAAAGAAAGCCTGTGTGCGAACAGTTTACACACCGCATACTTCTGTGCACCATGCATAGAGCCCCAATGCCAACACTTTTTCAACAAGCCACATGCATGCATGCACAGACACACTGGCAGACATGCAATGTGTGCAAGTGAAGGGCCAAAGGAACAGCATGTCCTGCCTTTGTTCTCCTCCTTTAGTCCACTGAGTCATTTGAGCATCCACGGGGCTTCTGTAATTAGCTGGCTTTGCATTTTTACATTTGAAATAGACGCGTTAAATAACTACATTATATAATGTGACCTTTTTTGAAATGTTAAAAGTTCATGAAATGTAAATGTTGCAGACATTTTGAATTACTTTGTTTTCCTTTTAAGGGTAGAGCACTTTACTCTCAGACTGAAAGACGCTTAAATAAAACTGAAATAAAAAGCAAATAATATTCACACAACTGGATTTTCACATGCTAAAGAAGGAAGGAAGGATGGCTTAAAATGCAAAGGGATAGATTTTGAGTGCATTTAAGTTATTTTAAACTGTATCAGAACTTGGTTTGATACAATGTTACTTCATTTCCAGCTTTGTGAAGGTGCGATCCTCATGTGCAGTGATGGGCACAAAAGACCATGCATGACGCTGAATGGGTTGCGTGTTGCAGACGGACTTGCGCACTATAGGGCTGCTGCATGAAGATGATTTTTTCAGTGTTTTTAAAAACTTAATTTTAACTTTTATGTTGTTTTAATGGACGTCTTCTAGATTGCTGTTGCATTTGTGGAATCAAATCATAAAATTGTAAGAATTCTCTTTGAAGATGAGTTAAATAATAGATTTTAACCCACGAGAGTTATCAATATTTGAGCAGATATGTGAACTGAACTGTCTCTTTCTTTGAATATAAAAGTTAAGGTTTTATTGTTCATTTTTCATAATTTAACTGACTCTATTGAGAACAAAGAGACTGAAACGTAAAGCCATTTTGGAAAAAAAAAAAAAAAAAAAAGAAGTTATATAACCTAGAAAATTCTGCCCTCTGAGAACTAAGGCCTATGCTAGAAAACCAAACAACTTTTTAAAGTGATGTAACTTTTTACTTACTTATGAAATTGAACAAATAGGAAAGGTCGTTTGCTTTTTGTAAATGTTAGGGCAGCAAATACTTCCAATGTTTACAGGTTTTGGTGATTCGGTAAGAAGTGCTTGGTTGTACAGTAGTAGATGTATGAAAGTTTTACATTTAACATTGAAAAGAAAATGTTATAGCGCTGTATATTCACTCACTGAAGGCCTTTGTTTGCAGCACACAGCATGCTCTTTGTGGTGCTCTTTGACTGGGTCTAATAGTAACACAGGTTGTCTTAATACAGAGAATCTGAATTCTTTTGAAAGCACTGACTGCTCCAACATGAAATCATTGGGATTCTCTGAATTTCTGGGACTTTTTACATCTACAGCAGGTTTTTGATGATAAACAGGGTACTCTGGTTGTATTCCACACCTTTAACTGGCATTGGCGTGTAAATCTAAGGCTGCACTGCTGCATCCTAAAACTCACAAAACAGTCAAGTGATTCTAGTCAAAAGGTTGCATAGTTTCATTTTAAGTTACTTCAATTTATCCCATGTGAATGTTTTCACGCTACTCTGGAGTCATAACATCATAGTACTCTGATTCTGAAGTATTTGCACTCAACCTAAAATCTGCTCTGAGGTAGTCCTTGTTTCGGCTGTGAGCATGTGTAAGCTCTCTTTGCACGCTTCCTTTGTTTTGCAGACACCCGACATCATGCTGCAGTGTGGCAGAGATCATGTCGGTGCTTTTCTTCCACACCATGAGATACCGCTACGATGACCCGCGCAACTTCAACAACGACCGCTTCATCCTGTCCAAGGTCAGGCTCTCTCACTCAGCTGTCCTGGTCTTCTTTTCACATTCTTTTTGCTACCCAGAATTTAAACATTTCAATTTAATTAATTCATTATGATTGTTTGATCGATTGTCCTTTTTCACAGGGCCATGCTGCTCCGGCCCTGTACTCCATGTGGGTTGAGGCCGGTTTTCTGAAGGAGAATGACATGCTCAGTATGTGTCACGTGGACTCCTCTATGGATGTTCACTCAACCCATGTAAGCTCTAACATACTATCACACATACACATGGCTTATTATTTGGCATAGCACACGCAGCCTGATTAATGTGTTCTTTTAATAAATCTATCATATTACAAACATTTCAGAAGCATCAGTTTATGGATTTGGCCACTGGATCCTTGGGGCAAGGTCTAGGTGTGGCCTGTGGGATGGCTTACACTGGGAAATACTTCGACAAGTCCAGGTAATCCCTCACACATGATAAAATGCACACACACACTAATACAAAAAAAAACCATGAATGTTCATTCCTGATTTAAAAAAAATAAAAAATCTGACTTTTCTTTCCAATACACAGATGTTGAGTTTCAGGGTTTCTCAGTTTTCCTCATTTTGGGTCTGTGTGATGCAGCGTTACGGGTTTTCTGAATCTGTGGGCGTGTGCTGCAGCTACAAGCTCTGCTCTCCTGATTCTTCTGCTCTAATAATCACAGAGCCCAGCAGTTTTATTGCAGTTATCCCCCCCATCCAAGCAGATTTAATTTCACAATCAAATTCAGGCTATGTGCTTTCAACCATGTATGCATCGAGTCTATCTCTCTAATATATCATCCCATTATGATTCCAGTTTTTATCAATGTTTCTGTTCACAAAAATGCAAAAAAAATATAAATCAAAACATATTTTGGACTTAATAGTATCATCTGGCCCCATAAGAAAGGATAAATATTGATATTAATCGTCCTTTTTCAAACACGCTGAAGATTTCCCCCTTAAATGAATGTTGTTCTCATGTGAGACCTGTTTCAAAAGAAGGTGTGAAGCCCAGCCTATGTCTCCAGGGGCCTCAGGAGGGCCTCCTGTCACAGCTGCTTACAGTCTGAACAGTCAAACGCCGGAAAGAGAATCAGTCTGACTGGAAAAGTGTCAGAGAGCATTTTCACAAGATTTCCCTCCTCTTGAAAGCACAACACCCCTCCCCTAATTTCAGCCTACACCTCACACGCGATGTCACACTCGCATATACCCTCGCACTTACTGTACGATTCTGTGTGTTCCTCACCTCAGTTACCGCGTGTACTGTCTGCTGGGGGATGGGGAGATGTCGGAGGGCGCTGTCTGGGAGGCCATGATGTTCGCTTCCTACTACCAGCTCGACAACCTGGTGGCCATCATGGACATTAACCGTCTGGGCCAAAGTGACTCTGCACCCCTGCAGCATCACGTGGAGAAGTACCAGAAGCGCTGCGAAGCTTTTGGGTAAATGTGCATCCAGTAGGAAGACTGTAAAAGTGTGGGCTTTCTACTCATTACACAAAATGCATTGTTTGACTCCATCTATAGCAATTACAGTGAATATTTTCCTTGTGTCCATGTTAATATAGGACACAGTGCAGAGTGTGTTAATGCATGGCTTTTCTATGCTTGTTTAGCTGGCATGCCATTATTGTGGATGGACACAGTGTGGAGGAGCTTTGCAAAGCTCTTAGCCAGGCCCGCCATCAACCCACCGCCATCATTGCAAAGACCACCAAGGGCAAAGGCATCCCAGGTAAAACATCATCTGTGGCTGCCCGCTCTTCAAAACTCCAGGCAGTTTGCAAAGGCCTACAGTGCCATCTCCCTCCAGTGATCAAATCTGTGACACCATATCTGTGTGGTTTCAGCCGCGGAGGATAAGCTCGGATGGCATGCCAAACCTCTGCCTAAAGACATGGCCGAGATGGTGATGAAGGATCTGCAGAGCCGCATCCTGAACAGCAACAAGCACCTGTACCCTCCTGCTCCGATGGAGGACTCCCCACCCGTCAGCCTGAGGAACATCAGAATGCCAAGTGCACCCAACTACAAGGCTGGAGAAAAGGTTTGACATCATCCAATCTCTAAATTGTTTCCTAACAAATCACTGAACGACTCTGGAGAATAATCCCACAGGTTTGTTTAGTGTCAGTTCCTTCAAAGATTTATTTTCTGTACAGATCTCTACACGGAAGGCATACGGGGTGGCACTGGCCAAGTTGGGCCGCTACAATGACCGAGTTGTGGCTCTTGATGGAGACACCAACAACCTTACCTACTCAGACATCTTTAAGAATGAGCATCCAAACCGCTTTGTGGAGTGCTACATTGCTCAGCAGAACATGGTGAGATCTCAGATGAAGCTGCAATAAAGCCCACGTTACAAAACTCACAAACCCTATTGTTGATACATGTCCCTAATCTTAAAGAGGGAAATATTGTTGACATGAGAATGACCAAACACAAATCTCTTGCCTTCACTCATCAGTATTGAGTTAATTGCACAGATCCTAAAGCAATGATACATTAAGAGGCACTCACAGTTTCAGGGCTGCAGGTAGGGGTGAGCAATACACTGAAAATATCAAGCATGCCACTCATTTTGCAAAAACAAACCAGATTCCACTTACAATCAATGAAGAGGATCATACCTGGCAGTATAGAGTATTGGCCATGCACATTGAAAAACCAAGTAGTGTTAAACAATATAACGAGCCGACTGAGCGTAACTGCTTGCATTGATAAAAACTAGCAAACAAACAGCAACAGAAGATGAAACAAAAATGCCACCAGTCTTAAAGTCAATGGATTTGATTGGTAGATTGGATCAACCTCAAGTTTATGAAGGTGCTTTGGCCTTAAGATAATGTTGCTCAAAAGATGCCACTCCACAGGGTGTGTCAAAAAAAGGTTACCATAAAGACAGGCTGAACACCTGACTTGTTTCACCATCTGTGCATTAACCACCACACATATAAAGAATATGAAAGTCTCTGTCATCATGACTGACCTGCCAAGGTACCGACAACACAAAAACACACAGATCTCAATACGTTTCGGTGATTTTGTATTAGCTTCAGACCTGTTTTCTTAAATCAGTTGTTTTGGTCAATATCATTGAATTTTAAATATAATGGAAAAAGAGGGTCAGTGCAATTCAAGGCTTTTACAGACACATTTTTAAAGGGATGGAAAATTTGACACAATATAATTGGCAGAAGCCTCAGAAATATCCAGATGTTGTTTTTATCATTATAAGTGTACATGATAGGAATTAATCAATTCATTTAAACCCATTCACTTGTAGGCTTACTAATCTAGTATCTTTTTTGTGTTGTTTACCAAGTTGTAGTAGTTCATACTCATAGTTAATAGGCTGATATGGGCTATAAGTCATGCAAGAGCAAAATAATCATTTCCCAAATAGACAAATGTAACTGAGACTCACTTAAACACATTCTCAGTTAACCTCACTATGCAAAGAAAACTACTACTACGATTTGTCCACATATTTAAAATATTTTGTACTTGGCAATTACCTTTAAATAGGAGAAATGGTCATGATAGGAGAGGGCAAGTGAAAAGATCCTTGAGGAAGACACAAGCAATACACCCACGGGATCAGTGAAGCTTTACTTACAGATCACTGAACAATCAAACTACACCTAATGGGTGTAAACTGCAATGTGTTCTTTATTTGTGTCACTCACTGTTTTACCTTACTGACAAATACAAGTGCACTTACCGACAGCCTATATAACAAAAAATAAGAAAAAAATCACCCTGTAACAAATGAGAATGAAGTGAAATACAGCAATCTTATCTGACGCAAACTCGTTGTCATCGCTACATGACGTTTGTAGTATTTTTTGATTAATATTATTGACCAGGAACAAAAAAAAGAAGAAAAAAAAGACCCCATGATGAGGTAATTTTGCTGAGTAAAAGGTTCAGCCTCCATGCTGATTGTATAGGCTGTATGAGTCTGCATCTGGGTTATTTAAATATTTATACGTCTATCCATTATGTACAGATGAAGAAGACGCAATACATCCTCCTCCTTATAGTCCGCGCAGCTGCTGAGACCAGCAGTTCAGGCAGCACAATTCTATTGTCTCTGTCATTACTTTACCTCAGCTCAGATGAATAATTTGGAGGAACAGACGTCAATTCCTTGTGAGGTTGTGACTCCAGTAGAGGCCGATGTAGGTCAGCCATGTGTATGGTGATGATGAGCAGTCTGGACAAGTGTATTCAGAGGTGAAATATTAATAAGCACAGAAGGGTGGGGCCATCTGGCTCAATGCATAAGAAGAGTCAAAAGTTGAAGGTCTACATTTGGGTGGCTTGCAGGAAAAAGCGCTTGGCATTTAAAATACTAAAATAATTTACCACATGTATTGCATTTAGATAGCCTTTAATATTATTGTTTTTTAGATAAAACATCCACCAGCCAAGCTTTTAAAAGAGCATTTTGTTTTCTTTGATTGTATCGGCAAGAATTTATCTAATATACATTTGTGCTTTCATGGATTTTGTAGATATTGCTTTTTGAAAAGCATGATAGAAAGCCGTAGGATTGTCCAGAGTTTGGTAGCTGGAGGAAAGGAAATGATTTTTAAGAGGAGGCATGCCGCTGATCTTCCCATATGGGAAAATAAGCTCTGGGGATTTGGAGAAAACCCTTATCCGTTACTGTCTACTAAATGTGGTCTGATGTTCACAAAAGGCCTCCAATACGGTTTACATTGCAGATGTTTGACCCTCGGAGTGATCTTTTTGGGTTCAGAAATATCTGGGTTTGTATCTTCTGTACTCCTATATATGTACTCAGAAATATACATTTATTTTCCAGGTCAGCGTTGCTATGGGCTGTGCCGCTCGTGAAAGGAACGTTGTGTTTGCCAGCACCCTGGCGTCCTTTTTCACCCGAGCCTACGACCAGCTCCGCATGGCAGCCATCTCTGAGAGCAACATCAACGTGTGCGGCTCCCACTGTGGCCTGTCCACTGGTATGTAAACTGTTCACGCCAACCCCTGTCATGCACCATGTCCAGCCACACCTTCACTTAAATCCCCTTATTCCCTCACAATGAAGCCAGACATTTTTTTGCACTAGCCTTAATGTTAACAAAAAGTGATCTGTGTGTGTTTGTTAGTGTTGAATTCCTCTCTTTCCCTTTTAATCCTGTTCTCCTGACTCCCTCTGGCCTTACAGCTAGTTCTCACTCCCCCCCTTTTCCTCCCTTCCTGTCTGTCCCGGAAGCTGTCAGCAGGGATGCAGGTGTCCCTCTGTTAGTGCAGGTATACTGCATGTACAGTCTGGCTTTATGTCTGTAAATCTGCATGCATCAGCTCACCTGACCACACAATAACTAATGAAACTATTCTGAATGTTACATCTACGACACTAAACAAAAATGTGCCTCCCGCAGGAGAGGAAGGCCCCTCTCTGATGGGCTTGGAGGATGTGGCGATGTTCAGGGCTCTTCCTACAGCCACCATCTTCTACCCCTGTGATGGAGTGTCTACAGAAAAGGCCGTGGAGCTAGCTGCATCCACAAAGGTAAACCCCAAATCCGTGTGTTCGGTCCTTGAGAATAGTTTTGCTTTCAAAAAGTCCTAAAATGGTCGTCATGTTCCTCCTCATACAGGGTGTTTGCTACATCCGAACTAGCCGCCAAGACTGCGCCATCATCTACAACAGCAATGAGGACTTCCATGTTGGACAGGCTAAGGTGGGACAGACAGTTAGACACTCAGATGAAAACAAGAAAACGCAAATCTATCAACCAAGAAATGAGCTCTGTTGTTCTGCAGTAGGTAACAGACAACTACACGTTTCCTTTTCCAGGTGGTGTACCAGAGCAAAGAGGACCAGGTGACTGTGGTTGCAGCTGGAGTGGCTCTGCATGAGGCCCTGGCTGCAGCTGATCACCTAAAGAAAGGTAGAGTACAACAAATATCACTTTTGGCAATGGGAGAATTGGGGATTGGATGTTTTGTTTTTATGACTGAACAGTTTCTCCTTAGACTCCTTTGGCATCCCAACCTTTTGCAATACCTTTGCTTACCTAGATGGTGCCTACTTGATCTGTTGAGATACCTGAATTAGCTGTTATTTTGACATTATTGACACTATTTTAGACATCCTTTGTGTAAAAATCACTCAACATAAACATTTTGCCTGTAGAGCCACGATTGCATGTGCTACTTAAGAGATTTCATTAAAAGTACAACCTTAAACACTGGGGTTTTTACCTGCCTTTCCAGAGAGGATCCCCATCAGGGTCATTGACCCCTTCACCATCAAACCTCTGGATGTGAAAACCATCATGGACCACACACGGGCCACCAGAGGACGCATCATCACTGTGGAGGACCACTACTATGAAGGTAAGTCTGCATTTAAGTCGCTCATACCGTTCAGCATCTTCATTATTTATCACCACCGCCGACCCAGCAGCAACAAGCTCCTCAGCGTGATGCAGCCAGAGCCCTGCCATTGGTCCGCATCCTCGGGTGTGTTGCGGTGGCAGGTTCTCATTGGCCCGGCGAGAGAGATGCAGTGCGGTGGCATCAGCTCATTGGCTGAGGGGAGGTTGACTGTTGAGTGCAGTTAAGGTATTGGTTTTGTGGTGCATTTTTGTGAGTGTGAGAGTCAGGGAGGCAGAGTGCTGTCAGATTTCCTTAACTGAGCGTGTGCCTGTAGGGCTCACTGTGACCTAGATAGCACGGACAGCCAGGCCCCGTGCGTGTGTGTGTGTGTGTGTGTGTGTGTGTGTGTGTGTGTGTGTGTGTGTGTGTGTGTGTGTGTGTGTGTGTGTGTGTGTGTGTGTGTGTGTGTGTGTGTGTGTGTGAGGGAGAGAGGGGATGGGTGATGGCATCGAGATCACAAGACAAAGAGTACCGGGCATCAGTCGGATGTTGTGGTATTTTGTTCAGTGTACATCTGGATCAGTAGCAACATCTTTACATCAAAATTTTCTGAAACGGTATCATGTCCTCTTCTTTTAGTGAGTGTGTATACTGTAAGTTATGCATTCATGCCTATTTAGACCCTAATTCTTCTCCATTTTTAAAGAAATCCAGTGTCTTACATAGTTGAGAGACCAGATATATTTTCAAACTACTAAATCGAAACCGATGGATTTTTTTTTAAAGTGACTGAGTATTTTGTGAGGCACATTAAAGATAAAATAGGTTATTAAATATAAATTCAATCACAGGTCTGAGGACTAAGTTTGGTCCCTTATTTATATATCACCTTATCGTGTTGTTTCTGTCACACTGCTGCCAAATAAAATAAACAACAAAATAAAAAAATTTAAAAAAACAATATATGTGTTAGCTATTTGAAAGATGTGAAATTGGTTGAGATGTGTCGTTGGTCCTTTTTTTAATCATTGGAAATATTTAAAAAGTTCAGTAACACAGTAACTATTAAAATAATATCGGTTATTCTGTGTATTTTTGAGTATTTTGTGAGGCACAATATATATAAAATGCATATTAAATATGAACTCAATCACAGGTGTGAGGCTAAGTTTGGTCCCTTATTTATATATCACTTTATCGTGTTATTTCTGTCACACTGCTGCTAAATAAATTAAACGACAAAAATAAAAAATAAAAAAAACAATGTATGTATTTGAAAGATGTGAAAATGGTTGAGCTGTGTCATTGGTCATTTTTTTAATAATTGCAAATATTTTAAAGGTTCAGTAACACAATAACTTTTACAATGACAGCGATTATTTTGTGTATTTTTTAGTATTTTCTGGTTTGGACCAACCAAGCATCGTCATTAACGCTAATTCTCATTTCATATTGTTTCAGTTTCACCAGAAAATTGATTTTCTGTAGAAAATAAATAAATCACAATAAAAAATTATGATTGATTACCATCCTATTCAAAATAGTTACAAATACGATCCACCTCAGCTTTGCCAAGAGAGAAGACATCTCCCTGTTTGACCTGACAGTCGAATGCTAATTCTACCTGAGGTTGTGCTTTTTCTTTGTCAAAACATTAAACATCCGTTTTTGAAGGTGCTCTTTGAACAAGGTTATTGTATTACTATGAGTGCATGAGTACAGATAAAATATGAGGGATGATTTTAGTTTATTTTCTTGTAATACTATGAGTGTTTTTTCCACAGGTGGTCTGGGGGAGGCAGTTGCCACAGCTATGGTCAATGAGTCTGGCTTCAATCTGCATCGTCTGGCTGTATCCCACGTCCCCCGCTGTGGCAAACCCCACGAGCTGCTCAAGATCTATGGCATTGATCGTGATGCCATCGCACAGGCCGTCCGCAAGATGCTCAGCAGCTCCACCAACGCAAAGTAACCTCCCCCTCCCGCCCCACCCATCTGACCTGTACGATCACGCCCCTGCAGTTGCAGATTACAGTTGAGTATGTTTTTGATTCACACAACACCCAGCTCTTTTTAAGAAAAAACGCCCTCACCGTGAAAGCCCCTAAGTGTGTACTAAAGTATTGTGATTTTGTGCTGTACACTTTGAAGTAGATTTCCACTTTTGACCCTTTTTTCTTGCATTTCTCACTTCACACAAATGGACAGACGCACATATCCTCATCATTCAGTGATCAAAATGTGGCCGTTATAACTATACTATGTGATGCTCTCGTGTGTTTTTTAAAAGCTTTGATTCATTTAGTTAGAAGCATTTTTATATTGTAGCCCTTAATGAACTGGGTGGGGCTTTGCTTATGAGTAAGTGTTTATCATGACCACAGCGTCAGAAGGAAACCATCTGAGTTGTTGTTTTGTAGAAAGTAGTGGAAAGTAAAAAAAATCAAACAAATGTAGCAGGTCATTAAGAGCAGTCACTTAAAATCACATCTTCAGACTATGTAAACTGTTGTGCTCTCAATTGTTGTAGCATTTCTCTTCAGCACTGTATGTTTCTGATTCTTAAGTTACCACCAACCCACACCCCTTTATGTTCATTTGTGCTAACTGTACAACTGGACTGTACAAACAGTGATATGATAGTAGTGCTGTCATCAGCTTAAACAGTAGGTCAACATAAGGTGGAGGCCTGTAAGTGCTGGAGACTGGAGAAAATGACTGTCAGTGAGTGTGAAGGTTGAGTTACATCTGACTTGTGAACCCAAGAACAAACACTTGCTTTGTTATTTGAAATTTTGTATGTACCTTACTTTCATGTAATAAAGCCCTCTGCATTTGAAACTGTCTGGTTGCAATAGTTTGTCCTTTGCCTCTTATTTAATAGTACACAGCTGTAAACAGTGTAGCAGTTTAAAGCATTTTTATCAAAAAGTGTGCACGTTCATGTAAAAAAAAACATGGTTGAGATTGGTGGACATATATCAAATTTTAAGGAGGGCTGTGCCACTCCTGGACTCTTCTCTGGACAGTGGACACACCCCTGCATGTAGGTAACACTGGTATGCCTGGAGACTCCTTCTACCACCAGGGATTCTGTCTCTCTCTCAGCCTCCTTTCAAGAAAAAACACACGTAAAAGCATTTAACCCTTTTAATGATCAAATTTAACTTTCAACAGTTCAATTTGATGATTTCACAAGTCCACCTACCTTAGAGAGCTACATTTCCTTATTGCTCCGCTTACAGCGAACACGATGAGTCCACATCCACAGGACACAGGGCAGACTGGAACACAGAATAAGATTTTATCATTAAAAATCCTTTGACTGTTGCATATTTATATCCATTACACTCATGCAGATTTACCATCGTATGATTTTAGATTCTGAGTGGCCACGACAAAAGCTGAAAAAACTCCCAAGTAGACATCTAAACAGAGTTACAAGACATTGTTAGCTGAAGCTCACATCTGATTTTTAAGAATACTTAATATTGTTAAAATAAATTTTTGTTATGATTATGTTTGTTTAAATGAAAACTATATTTTTATTGTCTCCAGACAGTTAATATCAGTCATTAATGCTCGGATTTGAAGAAACATCTATAAGTCATTACAGAGTTATTCATTTAAAGAAACAGTTGTGTGGTCATTTTAATCAGTCATAGTTTTACATCAAGAGCTGTTACTTGTTATGACTGAATGTGTACCTCCTTGGTCATATGGAGGGCCTTTACATGTCTTAGTATGTGGTTGTATATCTGAAAAAGAAACACAAAATGAATACTGATGAACAATCTTGTCTTGATCAGGAAATGTTTTCAAAATAAATATTTAGCTTTTTTTTTCAAATAAATTCCTGACATAAAAAGACAGCAATAACAAATATATTTTTTGTCGTCATATTTTTGTTGATGTCAAATAAAATTTGTCTTACCAAAAAGTGGGCCAACAAACTCAAACAAAAGAGCAAAACCTGCACCAACAACTGATGGCTCAATTACAGCTGAAAATGTGACACAGACATCATCACTGTAAAATGCTGGATTATTTGAAACATATACTATATCATTATTTCACAGTTTTTATTTTAATTTTGTGTGACCATTTAAGAACATAACTCACACTTCAAGTCTACTTACGGCGAAAGGGGCTATAGAGTGCTGTTCCCCATCCCAGACCAAAGCAGATCGCAAAGAAATGATAATATTTGTCTAAAAAAGGTTAAGAGAAACACATTAAAATAGTGCTTATCTTTGAAATAAAGTTCTCTTGGGATATAGTTTGCCACCACCCCTCATTTTTGATGTATAAAGTACATACAGTGTTGGTAAAAGTTCACAAATAGGTTCTTTATGTATTCCTGAAAGAGAGACGGTGTTACGATCAACACAAATTGTTGCAGTCATAAACAAAGAAGGTTGTTGCTGGAGACAGAGAGAAAGAAAAAAACTAAGGGGAAAAAGGAGGAAATGGAATTGCCAAAGAGTAAACAAATAAAACAGTATGTGTATTTAGGTATCTGTACGATATATAAAAAGAGAACCACTTAAAATCAGGACAGCTGAAAGACCCAGATCCCAGAAACTCGGGTTCACCTACCATCTCTGATCAGCTGCAGGAAGCCGATGCTCCGGACACGTCAAACAATAACAAGGCACGGCACATGAGGTATGCCATAACCTGTAAAACCACTCTGTCAAGTATGATCAGATGACAAAAAAAGTCCCTGACAAGATTGTTTTGCTTTCACTTTTGAAGGACTTTGAAATCAAACAGAGTGTCAAGGTTTATAGACAATCCAAGATATCCATTCACTTTTTTTTCTAGGTTTAATTATACAGGTGATAGATATATTTGATATTAATAAAAACACAGTATTTATAAAAGATCCATAACCCCGACTTCGAAATGTCGAGATAGTCTGTAAAATGTTGGTTATCAGAAAATGGTTTGCAAGTTATTCAAACCCTATAATTGGGTGAAAATTTGGAAAAGACAACATATCAAATGTATGCTTTTTGAATTTGATGCAAATAAAACATTTCAAAACACCATATTTACCATTATGTTGGATCATCTCCTCTTTAAGACCACCCTGTTAACATCTGAAAACAGAGACGGAGTTTGCAAAAGAAATGTTTTTACCTTTTGTGTCTGAAAAAGGAGTTCAGCAACTTACAGTTCAGGGTCTCCTTTAGTGTGTACTTTGTTTCATTAAGCTTAAATATTTCAATGAGCGACAAGCTGGGCCAGTTCTACAGCAGACTCCTCTACTGTGGAGCCAGGCTGGTGTAAAATACATAGAATATGGTTTTGCATTGTCTTTCTTAAACATACAAGGTTTTTCCAGAATAAAACATTGTCTTGGTGATAGTATATTGCTCCAAAACCTGTATTTAATGCTCAGAAGTAATGGCTCATTCCTAGATGTGTAAACTGCCAGTGTCATGGGCACTGAAGCATCTTGAAACCCTCACAGATATTTGGTTTTGAGCTGCGTTCTAACAAGCCAGGAGGTCCCTCTCATCTTTAGAGTAAAGGATGCAGTGTCCAAGATTTCCAAAAACAATGTAAAATTTGGATTCTTCAGACCACAGGAGGAGTTTCCCTCTTTTCCTCAGCTGATCTTAAGTGGGACAATCGGTTTTACACAGATTATCGTTTCCTCCTTGCAAGGCACAGTTTTAACCAGTATTTGTGGAAGCAGACAAACAGGTTTTTCATGTCTGTTTTGGGTGTAATGCCAATCATGGCCATTTAGTATTGGTTCCTGGACTTGTCCCTCTTCTTCAGAGATATTTGTGTTGTAGGTGACGATAGCTCCAAGTTCTTTACAGTTTTATGCCGTGATAAGGTACTTTGAAATTATTTATTTATTTTCTCACAAGATCTCTCAAAGAAAGGTAAACCGCTCTTCATCTTCACCTAAGAAACACCACCTCTTTAAAATGTCTTGTTATACCAATTATGTTACTGACCTGGGGCTCTATTTTGGTGCCTCGCCGGAGACGTGCCGCAAGGGCAGCGTCAATCAGATCCGCTGCGCTGACAAGGCGTTCCCAAGCACATTTTGGTATTTTGGTGAGCCGCGCAGCCCGGCGTAAGTATCCCCCCTCCCTAACTCAGCTCCTCCCGGCAGCATAAATCATAGACGGGGAGGAGAGAGCGTGTAGTGAGTTTAACACAGCCGAGACCTGTTTTCACCAATCACATAAGCTCCTCTCCTTGCCTTTAAATCCGCCACCGGCGAGGCGTATTACTATTTTCATGAAGTAGTCAAAGAGATCAAGAGATGTCTGAAGACAGTTATGCCACAAGATGACGACAGAGGGCAGCTGCTCAACAAGTGTCCTCCACACTCTCTCATCTGAGCACAGATGGATTTGGTGTGCGTAATGTTGGACCCACTGGTAAGACAAACACCCTTTTCCACAAAAAAGACACTCACATAAAGTTGCATATATTCAAACCTCACGTGACAAAGGTGGGTTTAGCGCACATATCACAACATAAACTCCAAAAATGGCATTAAAATCGGAACCATCTGTGCGTAAATGACGCATCGCGCTCCGTGGCCTGGCTCTTTCTTTCATAGATGTTGGCATATAAACTAAATTTGGCCCACAAAACTGAATATTATAATATCCGTGTGTCGGCTTAAAGTAGATAACGCATCTGAGCACTGAAACAAATCATCTGTTCAGCTGCAGCAGCAGCAAGACGGACAGAGGACACGGAGACGTGTCCAGGTCGAGCTGTGCGAGAAATAAGAGGAAGAAAGAAAAGGAGGGAGACACATTACGTATCTTGTTAACTTCATCATGTGTGTTTATTTACTAGATATTTAATTTAATTTGATGCAGTTTCAGCTGTATTGATTCGGTCAGGTTGTGTGCCCAAACGCGTGCCAAACGCGTGCCAAACGCGCTCATCAGATCAGATATCGATTAGAATATATCGATAAAGATCTAAATGTATGTGCTGACTCAGATTAATAGTTGATGATTATTTATTGCACTGAAATCTGCCTGACACTGTGGAAACCTGCCGGTGAGGCATCAGTGACGTATGTTGATACGCCGCCGGTCTACCAAAATACTACTAGACCAGCTGCGTTCCGCCTTGCGCTGAAAGCTGACCAGGTTTGAATCGGCGAGCTTTCGGCGCACGTTACACGCCGGTGGCGAGCACGAAAATGTCACTGCGCCAGCTGATTCTGTCAACACCTCCCCCTGCCACGCCACCACGCCCAGCTTGGTGGATCTCGGCTCGCCTCCGTGCGACTCAGTCCACGAAAATACCAAACTCGCCTTACGCCGGGCTCTGCCAGACGAAAATACAACTGCGCGGGGCTCGCCGCCCTCCGCCGCCTCACTGGCGCGAACGAAAATAGAGCCCCTGGTGTCAGTTTACCAAATTTGTAAGGAGATGTTCCTCCAGGTGTTTTTTTTTCCAGTATTGCCCATCAGACTACATCTGTATGCCATTCAGTGGATAATAAATTAACTGTTATAAGGTAAATGCACCAGCAGTAGCGGTTCTAGGCACGGGCGAACAGGGCAGCCGCCCGGGGCGGCATTTGTGTCATGACTCATGGGGGGCGGCACGAGCACTTCCAAAAAAATAAAATAAAAGATAATAATAATAAATCTTGACCGCAAAGCGGTTTTGTATTAACTCTTGTTGTCAAATTGGCGCCCCCCGCTGCTGTAGGCGCCCCTGCTTGCTCCGAAGGTGCTGCACAGAGGCTGACAGACTGTGTGAGACGAGGCGGGGAGAGAGTCGCTGGGGGACAGCTCTGCTCTGTGTACGCATGTCAGCATATCAGCGGGAGCGCGGATACGTCATTTTGTAGTTTTTTAATCATTTCTGGAGTCGCGGTGAATGAAATCACCGTACCCGTCTGCCTTTGATAGGCGAATAAAGCGCTCGGGTTCATGCTCGGATCTTGCTACGTGCTTGATGAGCTTCGTGAGTAAAGTAAACAATGACTGAGGCAGAGAGCAGCTTCAGAGGAGAAACATCCAGCAGTGTGAACAACCTCTTCATATGGAGTCCTTTGGCTCACACTATCAGCGTTTTCTCTGAGTGTTGCATGACTTTGGGTGAGAACAGAGATGAACACACTGTCAGCCACGTATTTATTTATTCACTTTTTAGTTTTTAGTTCTGCTTTTGTACTGGCACTATACTGGGGCAGCTGTATACCCTTTCAACACCTTATTTTCTACATTTACATTTGTATTAAATGGACACTTTATCATGACTGTCACTTGTTTTACAGAAAGCAAATTATTTGTCATTCTCCAGTGCAGAGCCTTTACTTTTATTTATACAGCCGCTTTATTTCATTTGAGTTTGTTTGTTCAAGGTTTTCAAAAATGTGATGAAGGTTCTCAAAACTAAAAGAGAGCTTTCTTGAAAGCCACGTTTAAGCTCTCAAATACTTTTTGAATTTTGTTTCTATCTACTACAGAGGCAGAGATAGCAGCTTTTTTGTAAACCTTAACACGTCAGAAAACCTCAGGATCTGGGGGCCCTTCTCAAAATGGCCCTCAGGATTGTGTTTTTTTCTATTGAAGGATTTCTGCAATTGAGAAATATATTATTTTTGTTGTTATAATAATAATAATACTACATAGTAATACAAAACTATCTGTTCAAAATTCTATGTCTTTTTGTGTTTGTGTTTGTGTTTGTGTGTGTGTGTGTGTGTGTGTGTGTGGGGGGGGGGGGGGGGGGGGGGGGCACTTGGAGGGGTGCTCGCCCGGGGAGTAATTTGGTCTAGAACCGCCACTGTGCACCAGCCACTGTTTTCAATTTAAGCAAAGATGCAAAACAGATCAAATTGAAGAGTTTCGTCTGCTTCATTTATCCTTCCTTCTGTGTTAGCTTTTACTACGCACCCACCATGTTGAGGGTCAGTTTTGACCTGTGTCTTAAATCAGCTGTAAATTACATTAAAAACAATTCTCTATCATCCAATTTGGTTCTCATCTCTAGGTTACCTTATTAGGCTTCATTAGACATGAAAATATTGCTTATAATAGTTTTTGAACTGATCTCACATGTCTGGCCATGCCTGACGTTGTTGTTTTGTGCAGTGAAAAACATGGCAAAATGAGAATTTCCTAAATCTCACATGATTGGAAGAGGATCTGACTGTCAGTGTGGTGCCTGACAGTTCACATATGATTTCATTTTTTGCTCTGATTATTAGATATTGATCTAACCGGGTCAACAGTGACAAGTGCCATAATTTCAATAAGAGCATTTTATAATTTAGTCAATTTAATTTTTTTATCTTTATTTTGTTGAAATAGAGGTTCCTGACAAAGTCAAAAAGTCTTGATGCAATAAAACTTAGATGGTTCTTTTAAGCATTTAAAATAAAATAAAAAATCGGGTCGGTAAAGACCCTTACACAGGGGGAGGGTTATTCAACTTTAATGTCAAGACTTTAATGTCGTCTCGTCGTTTCTTTCCTCAGATAAAACATGGAGATTTCACCCTTCTGAATATTCCTGCATTAAAGATCCTGTCTCTGTCTGGTTCGGTTGCGATATCTGAATGAAACCTCCAGAGGGCAGCGCTGTATTTACCTAAACTGTGGCCGGCTCCTTTTTAGGCCCTCGAAATGCATTCTGGTACTTGATGTCTTGTAAACGCTGAGGCGCCTCGGCATTAATACACTGGTATCATATCTAAAACTACATTTCCCTTTCTACTCCTAACAATTTGAATGTCGTTCACGGGTTTCTTTTCCTAAACGGTGATCTCAACTCAAGTTTCCTCTGACAACTTCGTCAGGGGTTGAAGAAATTTTTACAGAATGAAAATAGACACGTTTAGGTTTAACTTTGTCTGCGGCGGGGAGAGATAAACGGGACAAAACGCCGTTAGAGTTCCAACAATGCGGTCCAAACAAAGAAGGCAGTGATTTGCGGTCTCGGTGGTTTTCTGTGCTGCTGCCCCTGTTAGCCAGGGCTGGGTCCCGCTAAGTTTCAGTTGGGAGTCGGCGGCTCCCCGAGACGTCGTCCATGGAGGAACAGGAGTATCCCGAGGCGGTGCTGGTGACGGAGGCCGGGCCGCAGTGGCTCCAAGCCGAAGTCGAGCGTCTGACCCGGGAGCTCCGTGAGACAACCCACGAGAAGATCCAGGCGGCGGAGTATGGACTCGCGGTTCTGGAGGAGAAACAGCAGCTGAAGCAGAGATATGACGAGCTGGAGACGGAGTACGAGACGGTCCGACATGAACTGGATCAGCTGAAGGAGGTAACCTGAGGTCGAAGCCACGCAGACGGACGATTATAAATATGTGTTTGAGGTGTTAAATGTTGCGGTAAGAAGACTCTCGGTGTATAACGGTATAACCAGATAATATCACGATAGCAACGGCGCAGCAACAGTTAAAACTCAACGTTTCAGTCAGACAGACTGTTGTTGTATTGAAGCTGTCAGTCATGGACCTGGTCCAAGTGAAGAACAAACACAACATCTCACAATCAGAGAGCTGAAAATCTGCCTTCAGGGCGAAGTAGGTGAAAATATGTCACAGGAGCTAAATGGGTTTTATTGTCTATGAGAAAAACAATTGAAACGTGGCATCATGGTTTGTTCACATTGAGATATAAAAGCCAATGTTAGGTTGTGGGCACTTGCTGAAACATGCTCCTGGTATGTGAAGCTATCTTCTGCAGCCCAAGTATGTTGTCAGATTGACATGCCTGTGTGGTGTACCTGCTGTGAGTTTAATGTGAGTGAAGGGAAGAAACACAAGGACCAGACTATTAAGTAGGGGAGAGTGGGGTAAGATAAGCCATTTTTCAATCATAGGCAATCATAGTTTTGTCTCTAACTAGTGTATCTGCATATACAAGATGTTGTGCTTCCCTGCAAACCAACAGAATGAGTGGAAACATAACTGTCTTGATAATATCGCATGCCCAAAAAAGTGGTCAACTTACCCCGTGTATGGGGTACCCTAGCAATACACAGCGGTCTGAGGAGCCATAAACAAACCTCAACTAAAACGCCACAGATAATGCTCAGAACAGCACCTAACTTCATCAACAGTACATATAGTGTCCTAGCCACAGCGCAAGCCACCAAACATCTTTCTAACTTTACCTAATTTCTTTAGAAAAGAGACAAAATACAACTCATCTACTTTCTTCCAGCTGCTGCTTGTTTGTAGTGAGACCTCAGGCCAGTCCATTACAGACTACAGCGGGGTTACACAGCTCAAGGAAGAACATTTATGATCATTCCTTCATGGAAATGCAATCAGACCGAGACGCCAAGGCAGAAGAACGATCACGTCAGCAGTGCAGAATGATTGATATGGTGATTATTACTTGAAGGAAATGATAAAGAATTGATCATAAATGTTCTTCCTTAAGCTGCGTCACCCTGCTTTTTACGCCGTAATATCCCTTTAAATGATTCATATGAAGAAATATCACAATTTTCTGAGTCTGCTCAGTCTAAATAGTGGGTCAGTCAAAATCATCAGAGAAAAACAAAGCTCCACACTCAGGTTACATGAGCCCCTTAATCTTATGTCCTAGTTTAGCCTTCAAAAGACATTTCTAACCCACAACTATACCAACCCTACTCTCTGCTTTCCCCAGATGTCTCCCCCTCAGCTACCACATGCAAGAATTCATCATCACGGATGATAGGCAAAGCAGTAAGCAGACTATTTGCTGTGCATGGCAGGGGGGGTGTTTTCATCTGTCATCATCTGTTAATTCAGCTGCCAACTGGTTTACCCAGTGCTTTTCTGGGAGAAAATGTTATGGCTATATAGCTCCTGTTGGTTTTTGTCATCTGAGATCGTTTCTTGGGGGAGAGGTCATGATTTTGTCAGAGCTGTCTGGATTTCCTCTTTTTGAGTATTTTTTGCCACATTTTTTTAAACCTTTAGAGGAACTGCATCCTGAGACACTTCCACATGGGCTTTAACATCTAACATGGTTTACATCCTAACACTCATGAGTTATTATTGAGTTATTTGTTAAATCAGTAATTCATTATATGCTGTTGTCATGGTAACTAGAAAGTCACAGACACAAATATTTTGATGAGAGCTTAGCTTTAAGTGGTGAAGAAAGAGTGAGACAGGCATCAGTTTCTGTCTTAGACCGCAGGTTTTGGTTCACATTATTACTGTCATGATGACTTATGACTAGGACTTCCTTTTTCACTTTATATATCTGATTTTTTTTTCTCATGTTTTTTGAATATTAACCAACATTCACAAGGTCACTAAACATTAAGAATGTCAGTTTTGATTTCAACATCTGCCAGCTTCTTAAATGTCAAAGACGCTGCATAAAAAGGCATCAAAAAAGAAAAAGCTGCAATGAAAGAATTCTCAGTATTTTTTTGGAATGACCAAAACGATGAACCAATCATGAACACAACTACAGAGAGGAATAGTTACAGCCATGTTCACATACATGAATGACATTTTCTGAAAGATGAAGCACAGACTTGTGTCCGTGGGTGTTTCAGAGATTATTCTCAGCTGTGTGTAGATGGAGATTTTTGTTCTTATTCCATTAGTCATGATGAAGCTCATGGTCCACTCACTGTCTGACTCATTGTAGTAGTCATGCTCTTGGTATCTTGTGATTTTGACTTACTTTTGTCTTTAGTTGTGTTTTTCATTGAAGCAGATTTTGAGAAAGGAATCATCAGTTTTTTAGATGCAACTTTTTTATTTTTGTGAGACTTTGACTTTATTCAGGGTCGTAAAAAAGCTGTGAAAAAATATGGTAACACTTTGCTTGACGCCTATCTCTATAACGCATTATGAATGTATGCATAATGTGTTATAATCACGTTACAGCACTGTATAACTGATATAGTTATAAACACTTATAAATGATCAAAATGCTTTATAGCAAGAATCATAACACATTATAAAGCATTTTATCATGACTAACAAGGTCAGGTATTATAATGTGTTATAACTATTAAAAACTCACTGACAATGCCCACATAGATAATGCATTATACATATATTTATAATGTGTTATAATTTGCTTATAAACTTGTATAACTATCATTATAAACACCAATTAATTATCATAAGGCTTTATAACAATAAGCATAACACATTATAATACCTGACAGTGCTATAACATGATTATAATGCATTTTATGTATATTTATAATGTGTTATAGAGAGAGGCGTCAAAGTGTTACCAAAATGATCAATATTCACCAGATTCTGTTATTCTCCGCTTCTTACTATCACTGAATATTTTGTCTTGTTTTAGTTTCCCAAACAGACCCCACTGATGAATGAGCTCCCCTCTTTCCTGCAAGTCTGCCACCTCCACTCAGCTTGATAAACTCATGTTTGATGCAGTTAAAATGTAATTTATACAGCACAAAGAGTCTTTCCAGGCTTGGCTAGTGTGTAATAAACATGATATGATACCAAAACACAGCAGCAGGCTGACACAGCACTTAAATGGTCCTCAGGCAAACAAGCAACCAGCAATAAAAGCAGTGAATGGTAGGTTTTTATGAGGGCTTATCTGTGGTTAACTGTCCATACACATGGCTCAGTGTGTTGGATTGTAAATATTTGATCAAAGTAGTTTTATTGCCTTAATTGTTTTCTTTTCTATTTTTTATTTTGTCTGCAGGCTTTTGGACAAGCTTACTCAATCCACAAGAAGGTGGCAGCAGACGGGGAGAGCAGGGAAGAGTCGCTGATCCTGGAGTCTGCCAGTAAGGAGGCTCTGTACCAGCAGAAGGTCTTAGAGCTGCAGAATGAGCTGCGACAGGCGAAAGTCTCACTCACCAGTGTACAGGCTGAAAATGAACGCCTGTCAAGTATTGCCCTTGAGATGCGAGAGGTAATATTTACATACATACATAATCCATCTTGTTTTGTGACATTATTCTTTGTTCAATGTTGAAAACTGGATTCCCTCTGTGTTTTTAAATGCCTCACCTTGCAAAATGACATTTTGAAGGCTAAAATCTGTCCCAGTTTATCCCACAGCTGTAAAGGAAAGCCCTTATCTTTGAATCAAAGTCTCTCTGTGTTTCACTGGCTCCTTTGAAACACCAGTTAAAGCTCATCTAATTTAGGGTGACAGAGAAGGTCAGTGAAGCTTAAGTTTATATCATCTTGAAGACCTCCCCTTCTGTTACAGTGGGCGCCACAGGGAGTTTGTGAGAGTGTTGAAGTTTGTAGTGGGGGAGGGTCAGTCAGCAGGAAAGATGATGTAATGTCCACTGCAAGTAACACAAAGGGTGTCCTCCGCCGGGGCTCTCTGTAGTATGAACTGGTAAGTGGACCATGTCCTTGTAGTCATTACTTTCCTCATCCCTCTGTGGAATGTGAAACATGTCGACACGCTGATCCTCAGTTCACCCACAGTGACTAGACACTTGGCAGGAACCAGGATGGAGGTTTCACCGCTAGACTGATCTTTCACCCAATCAATCTAAATCAGAGTTATAGTACTTTTCATGCAGTCTAGCACACATGCCATCTTATATAAGGTGAGAATATGTCCTCTTTTACCCAGACATGTCCACTTTTTTGGGGCTGTCAGGGTTTGTTCGGCTTTGTCCGGGGAAGTTTATAAAATCCTTCAAATGTCTGCGGTTTTGTATGTAAGTTTCGAGTTTGTGTCACGTGGACTTACTGAGTTAGAAGTGCGTAAAAGACACTCAACCTGACCCGAAAAACTCTCAAAGTTAACTTCACTCGACTCTGTGACTCTGTGACTCCGCCCCCGCGTAGTCATGTCCTCTTTTTGGGAAGTCAGAATCTCGTCTCCCTAATCTTGTACCCCTCTCTCTCTTATTTTCAGAGTTCAGAGCTGGCTGAGCTGCAGCGAGGTCAGCTGCGTGATGACATCAGAGAGTACAAGGTACGGGAGGCTCGTCTGCTGCAGGACTACAGTGAGCTGGAGGAGGAGAACATCTCTCTGCAAAAACAAGTGTCGGTGCTGAGACAGAGTCAGGTGAGACAGACAAGACAGACCAATATTCTGTCTGTAAACTGTTTTTCAGTCTCGGTTGGAAAATCAAAGTTGCCAATCACTGAAAGCTGAATTAATAGCTTGTTTAATCACGCCTCCTTAACTTAATATGTCTTTGGTCATCCTATATAATCTCTCACTCTAGCTTTTAATGAAACTGTAATGAACTTAAGTGCAAAATCTCCAACCGTCTTCTCCATGTTTTTGAACATCTGCTAAGGTGGAATTCGAAGGTCTAAAGCACGAGATCCGCCGTCTGGAGGAGGACTCCCAGTGCTTACACAGCCAGCTGGAGGAAGCTATGCGTCTGAGAGAAATCGCTGAGCGACAGCTGGCAGAGGCCTTAGAAACGATCAAAACAGAGCGGGAGCAGAAGGCCACCCTGCGCAAGGAGCTCTCTCACTACATGACCATCGGAGGCTCCGTCTACAACGGCTCTTTCAACATCTCCTTCGACAACCTGAAACTCCACGACGATTCCTCCACCGCTGGGGAGCCTGACAACGACGATCTCATCAGAGGCTTTGAGAACGGCTTGGCCAAGGCAGGCGAAGGTGACGACGACAACAGAGCCGCGGGGAACAAAAAAGGCGAGACTTTCAAGCCGGCTCCGAGCCTGGTGGACGATCTGCTGAGTGAGCTGAACATCTCTGAGATCCAGAAACTGAAACAGCAGCTGGTGCAGGTATGAGGTCTATTAGGTGCTCATCACACCCTCAACTTTTCTTTCCAATCTAACCATCTATATATCTGCGATTAAACGACTCTTCCCAGTGACTCAGCAGTCTCTTGGTTCAAGAAGAGAAAACGGCTAATTTGATTCACAGCATTAGGTCTCTCCACAGTATCACATGGATCCCATCAAGAAAAAAAAAGAGTCAGAAACACAAAACTACTGACCAGACGTTTCATTTTAACAACAAATATAACTCAGATATAGAGCATGAAACTAGCGCTGCACAGAGAGTTCGAAGCTTTCACTAAGTTTTTACTCTTGCACCTTTTTGGGCTTTTACTTTTACAGTTTGATCAAATTTACAGTGTTCAGTGTCCTAAAACTACACTTAACTAAAACTACACTTTAAACTCAATCTAGAATAAATTTGCACAACATGTTAAAATACTGCATCTTCAGAAAGACACAGTGGACATGCTAACAAAATGTGTAACTTATAGTGTGAGTGATTGCTTATAAGACTAAGAGTTGACCAGCTAACTGAAATGACTTTGTTTTGATTGAAGGTGGAGCGGGAGAAGGTGGCCCTGATCAGCTCCCTCCAGGAGAGCCAAAAGCAGCTGGAACATGCCTACGGGACTGTGTCCGAGCAGAAGGAAACCGTCAACAGGCTGACCGAAAACCTTAGTGCAATGAGAAAACTGCAGGCCAGTAAGGAACGCCAGTCCGCTCTAGATAGTGAAAAGGACCGGGACAGCCACGATGACGGAGACTATTACGAGCTGGACATAAACGGACCTGAGATCCTGCAGTGCAAGTACACTGTGGCTGTGTCTGAAGCTGGTGAGCTGAGGCAAGAGCTGAAGACTGTGAGGGCAAAGTATGAGGAGTGTCGCACCCAGTATGAAGACGAGCGAGCGCGGCTAGAGAGCGAGGTTCAGGAGTTGAGGGCGAGTTTGGCGTCCCTGGAGAGAATAAGCCAGGCTGATAAAGCGGAGGTGGCTCGTTTGGAGAAGGAGCTCCGTCTGGTCAGTGCGGCAGCAGGAGAGTCGCTTGGCAGCCTTAATGTGGCTCAGGATGAGCTCATAGCTTTCAGTGAAGAACTCGCCAACCTGTACAACCACGTGTGCATGTGCAACAACGAGACCCCCAACCGTGTCATGCTTGACTACTACAAGGAAGGCAAGGCTAAAGTAAGAAAAGGACAGGAAGGGAAGGAGCAGCAAACATCTGTACTCATCAGTAACGGGCTGATCAGTGAGTCCGACTCCTGCAGCACTTCAATAACTCCAGCTCCACCCCCAGAGCCCCGGCCTGAACCCATGAACATCTATAACCTTGTAGCCATCATCAGAGACCAGATCCGCCACCTGCAGCAGGCAGTGGACCGCACCACCGAGCTGTCGCGTCAGAGACTCGCCAACCTGGAGCTGAGCACAGTGGCGGACAAAGACAAAGAGGCTTGCATGGAGGAGATCCTCAAACTGAAGTCCCTGCTAAGCACCAAAAGGGAACAGATTGCCACTCTCAGAGCTGTGCTCAAAGCCAACAAACAGGTCAGAGGAACACTGTGAGCCTGTGAATGTGTACCTGCTGTGTGTGTTAAGGTCCTTTCACACCAGGACCGTTTTTGTCGTGCGATTATTTCGGACGTCAATATTTTTTTTCGAACCCGTATCCTGTCAATAGAAGCGTTCACATCAGCGACGTTTTCCCGTCCTGCGATATTGCGGCATTTACTTTTTCGGATCATGGTCAATTTTTCTAAAGTTTCGCATACTGTGTGTTCACTTCTGACCAATCAGATTGCGTGTTGTTGCGACATCAGATTCACCGGTATATCCAACATGGCCGACCAGCTGATTGTTTATGATCGTTTACATACACATTACAAAGATAACAATCAGAAGGACAACTTGTTGAGAGTCATAGCGTTGGATCTCTCATATGACGATGGTTTGTGTGTTTTAACAGTTTGCTAAACGCCTTTGTTTTAACTTTCATCTGTAATAACGTAAGCTAATGGTTGTTACCATGGTTTCATGTGCTTATCTTATCGCCTCTGACTGAAGTGCTCACCGTTTGGCTTGAGCGTGTGATGACGTTTCCAGCTTTTCTAGCCAATCAGAGGCGAAGGAGGCGGGACTTTCCCCCAGAAAAGTCCTCCCAGGGATGCGTCTTTTCCCCCTGGAGAGTCGCAAAATCACATCGGGTTTGAAGTGTATAGTCAGGCGTGTCAAAATTTGCCCCTGAATATTTCTTAATTTTGCATTCTGTATTCGCGTCGGCCCTGGTGTGTAAGGACCTTAAACCTGCAAAAACTGAACCTGTAAAATCACGTTGCCTTTTCACATAAAGTAGAGGCTCAACAGTCACTGAATTAAATCCAAATTAGCAGGAAATAGACATACAGAAAGGAAAAACAACAATATGCATCCTGTATGCAATACCCAATGCTGCACAAGCTCAATACAGATCCTGTAATATTTTGGCTTAAGGAAGGATGTTCATTGTGTCTCAGACTGAGGATCCAAACAAAAAGAGAATAATGAGCTTCAGCTAAAAACTAACCCAGTTTGAACTGTATGCTATAGTAGAAAAAAAACAATCACCTAAATTCTCTTCTTCTTTTTAGACTGCTGAGGTTGCACTGGCCAATCTGAAGAGTAAGTATGACAGCGAGAAGGGCATGGTGACTGAGACGATGATGAAGCTCCGCAATGAACTGAAGGCTCTGAAGGAGGATGCTGCTACGTTCTCCTCTCTTCGAGCCATGTTTGCTACAAGGTATGATTTCACATACCACACGGTCACAAGTTCCCATTTTTGATCCTCCTGACACCCTTTAAATGAAGCTGCATGTGACATCCATGAGGCCAGATGGACCAGGACTCACACTCTCATGTAGTGCATCCACATTAATCGTGTCTTAAATTGAAAAAATGCAGATATGCTGTAAAAGATTAGTTTTTTATTTCTGTCAAAATCTGCGCTTATACTGAGCCCGCTGAAGTGTTTTATATCTGTGTATATTTGAGAGGCACAATGCATTGTGGGAGCAGACTGATGTAATACTTCTGCGAGTCAGCTAGCAGAGGCTTCATCTTCCCATCTGGAAATTCTGTCTGGGGAATAGGAAACATGTGACACACAGCATAGGCAGTGTAAGGCTGCAGGCTGCTCCCCCTGCTGGACAGAAAGTTGTTATTTTGTGTCCACTGTTTCTCCCTCTTTATCTTTTCTCACCTTTCTAATTTTTCTATCAGGTGTGACGAGTATGTGACCCAGCTGGATGACATGCAGAGGCAGCTGGCTGCTGCAGAGGATGAGAAGAAGACCCTGAATTCTTTGTTACGCATGGCTATCCAGCAGAAACTCGCCCTAACTCAGCGCCTGGAGGATCTGGAGTTCGACCACGAGCAGGCGCGCCGCAACAGTGCCACAGCAGCAGGAGGAAAGGGCAAAACAAAGGGCAAGGGAGTCTCCTCCAACCAACGTGTAAGTTGGAGGCTATACTGCAGGACAAACTCTGAGCCAAAAAGTATCTGCAGAGGCCCTGGGTTCCTCTGCAGGGCTTTGTGTGCCTTTTATAAACACCTCTATTTTCTTTATCTGTTCTTTTCCAAGATCTGCATCTCCTTAAAGCTTTGTACACACCCAGTTTTTCTTTCTCTTCTTTTCCACATATTTTTAGCATCTATACCTTTAATATAAAAATTTCATACTAACGTCACCACTAATGTCCCTATAAACTTCTGTACTGTTTCTCATACTTGGTGTTGTTTACTGTTTGGTTAACCTCCAAACTATCCCTTTCTTTAATGCTGCACTTTATCCACTTTTGGCATGAATACAGCGATACTTTGAGTTTCAATTTTGTTTTTTGTTTTATTTATGTTTTTAAAAAAAGACTGTTTCGATGGCACATATTGCATAAGTAAGGAATATAAGCTTGTTTTTGTGTATTGTTTATTCTTGTTGTTTGACCTCATAAGCTCAGAAGTTTACATGCTAACTTTAATTTAACTGATACTTGTACTCAGGCAACATGATTTTCAGATTTGACCAGGGTTAATCTGTCAGAGCTTTTATCCATGTTAGAGCTCAGCGACATGTTCATGTTCTGGTGAGTGTTCATTGTTGCTCTACCTCCTTACAGTTCAGTCATTTTTAATCTCAGGTCCGAAAAAAAGGGTTAAAGTTAGTACAGATTTGTTATGTAGCTGAAACTAGGTGTCAGTGCTCCTTTTTTTTCTCTTTACAAAATTAACAAAATAATTTTCAGGATTTGTGCAGGTCAGAAAAAATCAGAAAGTTGTCTAAATTATGTCTGCGCTCTGCAGAATCACTGACTTCTTACTGACTCCTGCATGCTTAACACAGCCCCGCCCCCTCCTTCCTGTTTCAGTCTGCCTGTCTGTGCAACTACCCCCACTAATGAGCTCAATCTTTCTGATTCAGAAAAAAATTAAATTTCAACAATCAACTGAATGTGATTTTCCTCTGTTTTATCTTTCCATTTGCAGTAAATCAGTCTTGCCAAGTGTCCTACAGTGGGTCCGTCAGAGTGTCTGACAGTTGCCAGTCACCTTTGCTCCTGGTTCCTTCACTCTAATCATGATCTTACTCATGTTATCGTTCACACAGGGACATATCCAGCAGTATTTGCCTGTTTGTTTTACAGTGCCAAAAACAAGTGTGTCAAATTCTGTCAAAACATTTTGACTACAGGGAGAATGACTCATCGCATCAGCTGCCCACTGGAGTCCCTTCAGTCTTCCAACAAAATGCGCCACTATTGTAACAGAAATCGAGGAAAAATCAAGATGGGTCTTTTGCTGATTGCTATTTGCCTGTGTTACCCTGACTGAGCACTTTCTTGTTTTAATGATTTGCTCTTAGTTGATTCCTCTTTTCTTTCTAAAATCATACTAATTGTGTCAAGTATTATGCAATTTTTTTACTGGATGTGCATGTCGGTCAACCAGATTCTTTATGTCATTTGGAATGATAAACCTATTTTTATCTCTATTTATTTTATAACAAGAAAACCAGAGATTATGTTGTTATTGTTTTAAAACCAGAATTTTCAACTCACATGTTGAAATCTGAAAAGAGACACAAGCTTTTCTGCCTTAGTTATTTTCTTTTTTGCCTTAGATTTTTTGGGTGCCTCTCTGACTGTCCAGGGATATATGCCATCAAAGTTATCAGGATTTTTTATTAGCCATGGCTCATAGAAAAAAAATTGCTTTATATTATTTTGAGTGTGTTATGGTGCAAATTTGGAAATTTAAAATCCAGGTTTTTTTTGTACTATTGGATTCTTTTTTTGTACACATGATAGAGATGTTACAGATCACTTGTTACAAAAAGTATGGTTGATAATGATTAAGAGTGTTGATGGAAAAACTTATTTAAATATTCTAAGTTAAGGTCAGATGTTAATAATATTCATAACATTTTACCCATGAAGGAGAGTTTTTAATGGAATTGTGTCAGTACATCTTTTTGTAAACCTTTGAGTCCCATCATTTTTGCCAACAGCGACCCTGCAGTGCTATTATCTGGAAGTGCAATTTACTAAAAAAGGCAAAGAAAAACCTGTTTACTCTCTGTAAGGTATATCTTTCACATTGTCTCTCACAAACTTGGTCCTAATGAATTTCATATGTTTTTATTGTAACTGCAGCTGTATTTATTTGACACTGTTCAGACTACAGGGTGTCATTGTCTTTTTTTTATATGAGGGAGTTTTGTGTGGAGGAGGCTGGTGAGAGTATGGAGAAGATTAGACTTGTGGTGAGAGTCGTGGCTGTGGTCTGGGACTGGTTTCTGACAATTGAAGCTGGTGAGGAAATAAACCTAACTTTCACAATGCTCGTTCATCTGTGTTTGCTGTTCATTGTGTGCTGGTTGAATTGTCAATTTGTGCAGTTTATCACCACTGCTGTTTAACCCTAGAACACTATTGCTGGGGGATTTTCGCCTGACCAAACATGTTTACGTGATTTTCATGATGTTGCGTTTGTCTGAGTATCATGGGTCCCTGGGTAGCTTCAGCATTGCCTTTGACATCTTTGAAGGCATATTTGTTTCCCTGATCCAAAACCTGCTTTTTCCTACAGGCACGTGTTCGGGTGATTTTCACCCAGCAATAGTGATAGAGGGTTAGTAGGTTTGTGTGGATTTGATAGTCTGAAGGTATTTTTGGTGCAAAAGGTTTGTGCATCTGTAACATGTAATTTGTGGTTGTGTACAGTGATTGTGTATGTGTATTAGTAAATGTGAAATCCACATGTTATGAGTTGTTTGCTTGTAGAGTTTTTGTGTTGTACTTGTAGATTTATTTATTTCCACAAGTACAACACAACATTTAAACATTCATGAATTCTTCATTACAGGTGCACAAATCCTATTTTACAAGTCACAGATTCGAACTCTGACACGCTCACATTTTTGCTCCAATTGTTGCAGCATATTTGGTGCAAAACATTTGTGCATCTGTACGGAGCAATGTGAAGTTGTGGACAACATTTGAATATGTGCAGATCTTTATGTGAACTTGTGCAAAAAATTTACATTTTGTTCAATAAGCTTTCACGAAAATAATTGTTTTGTTTTAAAATGCAAATACAAATCGATAATTACAACCGCTGGAATCTTCCCCATGAGTCAGAGATTGTGTTTCTTACAGCTACAAATCGAGTCGCTGAATTCTTTGGCGCAAAAGACGTCGCTGACCTGAGATTGACCTCAGCTCTAGGTAAGTAAGAGTGGTCCTGGAATTTGCATGCTGTCTTTATTTAGTGCAGTGGTTATGAATAGCTATCACAAAGTAGTGATTTTCAAGGGAATTCATATGGTGATAAATATTTCAGTCAATATTTTATATTATTTTGGGTAAAAATCACCCGGCGATAGTGATGGTGTAACTAATTTAGTGATAGTGTTTTAGGGTTAAAGCAGTGGTTTTAGTATTATGTAGCAAAGCTAGGTCAAAAACATGGATTTTGCTGCATGGAGAGCCACTGGTATTCACCTGTGGTCTTTGCCTCACAGTTATATGTAGACATGAGACTTGAACCTTAAAAAATGTAAATAAACTCAGACTTTTTTCAGGAAAATGAATGAGAAAAGCCGAACAGAAACAGTATCTGTGGCCCACACTGACATACATACATACATTCATGAATGCCTAATTTCAGTTATTTTGTTGCATTTCTCTATGGTCCCCTCATGGCACTTTTCCCCCTACCTTTGGACATTGCACAGTTAAAAATAAAACTACTTTAATTTGTCATGTATTTTCCTATTTTATATATATTTTGATGACAAGTACTCTTTCTTGGGTATATAAGCGATAGTGTTCTAGGGTTAAACATTAATTGTTCGGTCGCTCCACACAAGAATGTAAGCTGAATCTATTCCAGACTGTGGTTTCATTCAGGACTTATAAGTACTTTTGTGCGGATAGATTGTATGTCCTCTTGTACAGTCGTTAAAATGATTAAAAAGATAACATCTCTTATCTATCTCGTAGTTTATTTTCACTTCCGGTTTTTAAGAAAAAACGGAAAGTTTTTTTTCTCCTTTTTGAAGACGCTGACGTAAGCCACTCCCAGCCTACGTCCTGACGTAAGAAGGCGTGTCTAACAAAAGGACAGTGGGGACTCCACAATGGGAGGTTTGTGTCTTTCTTTAACTGTAAATAACCCTCTAAATGTTTCCAGATGCACAGCATACATGTATTTTTAACTCGACTGTCTTTTACTTCATTCAAAGTGGCGACTTGTTTTACAATATTGACAACCTAAGAGGTTTTCTCGCTGTTGGCAAATGACAATGTAACGTCTCATTTCAAGCTTGTTGAGGTCTCTGAAAGTTTCCAAGTGTACACATTCAACAGGGGCGAAAGCCTTAAAGCTACTTTTACAACTCACAAACAACGACCAAGTGTACAGAGTAGAAAGAGTTATTTATACAACATTACTGTCCCTACATGCCCCCGTATTCCTCTCGTCTTTCAAGAACACTGCAGACATTGTTATGTTTATGTCCCGTGTCAAATGGAAACGCAACCTATCACTCCACCGTGTATGAAAGGGAATAAGTCTTGTTTTTAATCTTTCCTGTGGACAGACAGTTTTCAGGAGCAGCTGGTCGAGGACAGTGCCGTCCTCAGAGCTGACCGGAGACTTGACACGGAGCTGGTGGACAAACTCATCCTGCAGCTGAACAGAATCTACCCACAGATCCTCACAGACAAAGAGGCCTCAAAAGTAAGTCCCTGTACACTTATACATCTCCTTACTTTTGGCCACATGCAGCAAGCTGTAAACCCTTTTGGGTTAAAGTGCAAATAGAACACACTTGGCCTATTATTAGAACAAAACATCAGCTGCAAAGTCCCACATGGAAAGTATATCAGAAATATCCACCAAACAGCACTATGAGCCTGACATACTGAAATGAACTTGTGTAACATGGAAATATTAGTTGTGTGTTAATTTTAAGCAACATTAAATGCCTCATAAGACAAGTTATTATTGCAGAATTAACTTTAACATCCATGTGACTTCTTGCCCCAGAGCATGAGTGGTTGTTAAGTAACTGTGTAGAAGAAGAAGAAATGGTGCTTGTAATTAGGGCTGGGCGATATAGGAAAAATATAGGTCGGCCAAACTAAGCAGTTCTTTGCTACTTGGTTCTAATTCAGCACATGATTGGTTCAACACGGCGTGACCCGGAGCAACTCCCCTTTTTATTGGCTATTTATATAGTCTACCGAAACATGGCAGAATGCTGGCTATCCTATCTGGATTTAGGAAAATAAATTTTCCTCAATCCAAGGAAAATGTTCAGCTTTTCCTGTCCAGGCAAGCTGCACTGGCTAGCATCCAAATCCATCCATCCAAACTAGCGAAATCCACTATACTGTGATGATAATTGTCATTTTCTAACCAGTTTCGAAACTTGGATGTGCCAACAAGCGTCCGCCTTGGTGAGCTCCTGACACACCTGCAGGGGAAAGGAGAGGAAGCATGTCGGGAGTTCTACAGAGCTCTTCACTTGCATGTCGAGGATGTGTACTACAGTTTGCCTACACGATTGCGCCTCAGAGGTCAGTCTCCAAAATCATTTTGACCAGAGTTATATGCTTGTTAATTATGAGATATTACATGATAGATGAAAGTACATATTCCCGCATTATTCTAAATCCTAAAATGTATCTGTGTTGCCTCCAGATTCTATGGATCCGCTCACACATCCTCAAATGTATAATCAGAGATATGTTCTGAACGACAGAGGTAAGAGGCATCTGTGTGCAAACTTACATTCAGTGTAAGCTGTTGTTTAATGTGGACTGGTCAGAGTGGTTAAAAGTTACATGTTACAAGTTTGTACAAGGCTAGTAGAGATGCATTCACCAGATATAATATCTGTTGGCCGTTTTTTTTTCTTTTCTGTCATTTTTACCCTTTTCCAGAGCCCCTCTTTTTCATGGGCTGTTTCGGTGTTGCAGTGGGAATGGCTTTACTCTATTACTACAGTGGTAAGTAGCTTTCCTGTCTGGAATTTAATATTGTAATACAAAGGTATCAATGGCACTTAAAGCTTTTTTGCAGGTTTTTACTTTGACTTAAAAAGGGTCTGTATTTTACAGAGGCCAAACTGTCAGGAGGAAGTCGTGCCCTCGGGATGGCTGCTTTGGGCTTAAAGAAAAAGGCTCAGGAGGTTCTGATCTGGTACACTGAAGAAAGCCTCATGAAGTGAGATGTTACTTCACCCAAGGTGCTTTAGTAGTAATGCTCCTCTGAATGCCACCTGCACCAAAGCACAGCACAGTATATCTCTGAAGATGTACAGTGCTCATTTTGTACTTAGATTTTTATTTATTTAACATTTGAGGTTAGGAAGACAGAGAGAGTGGGGCCTCATTTGGTGCTAAGTTCTCCATATGTTGATACCCTTTTATTAGAAGAAAAGAGGGTTAAATCCATGCAAGGATGATTGAAGTGAAATTATCAACAAGCTTCAACACAGATTTTCAAAATAGGCATAAGTGACTTTATCAACAGAACTGAACAAGCAAAATATCAAGCTTAGAGATTCAGCTCACATGTTTTATCATTGAAGCATTTATTATTACTTCTCACAGCCATACAGTACTTATCCTTGCCTTACTTGCACTTTGGTGCAAAGACTCAGGCCTGATTTTTTTTTAAATGTTCTTTTTTTCATCTTGGGTGCACCTTGTATTTCATATACATTTTCAACAAAAAAGTCTTTCTCATCTGCTCTGTGTTGCCAAAATAATTTGAAAAACAAATCAGTGAATGTAAACAGGCAGACAGAAGTCGATTGATACCGTCGCCTCTCGATGGGGCATTACTGTCCTCTGGTGGTTAAAAGGGATACTATCAAACATGGCACGTTTTTGTCTCGTAAGTGCCTCCTGGAGCCGTGCTATACCATAATATACTTTCAGAAAAGAGCGTTATATCGTCTAGAAACCTGTTTGTAGAGCCACGTGCGTTAAATATGAACCGCATCGAGGTTAATAAAACTGAAGTATTCTTTGTGATCACGTGACTGCCCGTACCAATGATATTTTGCTTTCTCGTCGTGAGGCATCATGGGTAGGGTAACTCCCAAAGCAAAAACACAACAGTCGGTTACAGATTGTTTAAAATAATAAAACTAGAATGTTTTGATTCAGAGTGATACGTTTGTAAATTCTCTGTATAGTGTTATAAGTACACAGTAGTCGCACCATGGGTGAAACTGCTGGTTAATAATGCTCGGTACATATAAAGGTGTTCCCAATGGTCTAATTGTGTTGTATGAAAGGAGAGAAGGTTAGCACTCCCCTTGACAAGGATGGAAATGGCCCCTGTGGCCTTCAACACATATACGGTTAAGGCATTGCCACTTACTTCGTGGCATCTCTAACCAAGTTTTTTTCAGGTGTGTATTATTCCTGCGTGTCTTTCTTGGTTGCCTTTCTTTATCCTTATCTGCCTCAAATAGTTTTCTGCTTCTTACCATTACTCAGACGCGATGTTCCCATGTCTCTGTTTCCTCTGGGTTGGGCAGGGTGGAAATTTTTATATTTCCTGTTGCCCTCTAGCTTGTAGTCCCCTGTTAGTAAGTGTTACGCAGAGGACGACTAGAAATGTAGAAGTTTGTGGTTTCATCTGAGAGAAGAAGAGAGGGTTCAGTTCCAGCTGTTTATATTGTATCCTGATGTGTAGCTATGAGCTTTTCTTTTGACTGTGCCTTTTTGTTGACATGACAGTAATGAGCTTGTACCTGGTAAAGTTATTTAATGCCTCTAAAGACATCAACTGATATATATCTGCATGATCTAATGGTATTTCTCAGGCTGTTTGTATACAAATCTATATAACTGTATAACACAGAGAAGGGCTCTGATCATAACAAACATGCATTAATGGTGCTTTGTCTAATTGTAATTTTTAATGGTTTGGTGGTTGTTCTTTATTAGACCAGAAGTCAATAAGTTACAAGTTTTGACTGTATCCTATCATGAAATTTTGACTCTTCATACTGATGTTTGTTAATGCCTTCAGTTTGTCACATCCTCTACCAACTATGAAGTGTAAAAAACGCCTTTAATGTTCAAGTGCCATCAATTTGACAATGCAGACTTTTCTATGTCCACAAACAGAACACGCATGATAAGATTAAAAAGTACAATTACCACATCAGATTGTGTTTGTAGCTTTATTTATAAAATTCATTTGAGATTCATCACAGTGTGTTGTAAAGATCACATGGTAAAAGCTGTTTAACTTTTTGGTACTAAAAAAGTGATTTTAAAAAAGCACATATCAACTATACAATACACTTCAGTAACACTTAAACTAATACATACAGGTAATTCAAAAGAAACATCACACACTAGAGAATGCTTATCCAAGAAGTAACAAGAGTCCATTAACAGTATAAGGTTTGTGACACTGTTTATAGTAGATTTCCCACATTGTAAAGCTGTTTATTCATGTAACGCTTCATTAGCAGCAGTTGGTGAAGAAGGCTCCTGGTTGATACACTTCATGGTAAGATTTTATTTGGATCATGCTGTGGTTAAAGGCTTTTCTTTATGGTTTGGTTTATGCATGCCTCAGATGTATACACACACTAAAGAGAAAAACCTTTTGTTGTATTTTTTTGTTTGTTTTCTCAGGATATGTTCACATTGGCTGTGTCTGACAGTGTATTGCTCCTGATATGTTTGTTTTACAGGGAAAGGCATCATCAACCTGAGCATCAAAAGAGGTAAAATAAACACTAGAGAACTGCCACATGAAGTAAAAACTAATCTCAAATTTGTTGTAAAGCCATGGTTAGAGAGGAAGTGAACCCCTTTAACACACATACACACACATGTGCGTAACGTCACCTGATCCTCAGGGTATGTTGGTCTTCTTAAGCCTGAGAGGTTGAATTACAGACAGACAGACAGACAGACAGACAGACAGACAGACAGACAGACAGACAGACAGACGTATCATGCATGCCATTTTTCTTTTGGTGAATGAATGAATGAAACATCCCGTCCATTTACAAAAATGCAGAGGTCCATCTTCACTGAGTCAATCAGTAGGCACAGGAAGTCATCCAGATGTTGCTTAGCTGCTCGTGTTGGGCCGCTGCACACCAAAGGCTGTGATGAAGACGTTGACCACGACTATGATAAAGACGAAGGCTGTGGCCACGTTCTCCATGATGTTCAGCCTGTAGTGCATGCGCTCATCATTCAGGTTCCACTTCACTAACAACACAGAGAAGACAGAGTTTACATCATGGGCTCTATTTTCGTTCGCGCCGGTGAGGCGGCGAGCCCCGTGCAGTTGTATTTTCGTCTGGCGGAGCCCAGCGTAAGGCCAATTTGGTATTTTCGTGGCATGAGCCGCACGGAGGCGAGCCGAGATCCGCCAAGCTTGGCGTGGTGGTGTGGCAGGGGGAGGTGTCGACAGAATCAGAAGGCGCAGTGACATTTTCGTGCTCGCCACCGGCGTGTAAAGTGCGCTGAAAGCTCGCCGATTCAAACCTGGTCAGCTTTCAGCGCAAGGCGGAACGCAGCTGGTCCAGTAGTATTTTGGTAGACCGGCGGCGTATCGACATACGTCACTAATGCCTCACTGGCAGGTTTCCACAGTGTCAGGCACATTTCAGTGCAATAAATAATCATCATCAACTATTAATGTGAGTCAGCACATACATTTGGATCTATATAGATATATTCTGATCTATATCTGATCTGATGAGCGCGTTTGGCACGCGTTTGGACACACAACCTGACCGAATCAACACAGCTGAAACCGCATCAAATTAAATTAAATATCTAGTAAATATTCACACATGATGAAGTTAACTCGATATGTAATTCGTCTCCCTCCTTTTCTTTCTTCCTCTTCCTCTTATTTCTCGCACAGCTCGACCTGGACACGTCTCCGTGTCCTCTGTCCGTCTTGCTTGCTGCTGCGGCTGAACAGATGATTTGTTTCAGTGCTCAGATGCGTTATCTACTTTAAGCCGACATACGGATATTATAATATTCAGTTTTGTGAGCCAAATTTATTTTATATGCCAACATCTATGAAAGAAAGAGCCAGGCCACGGAGCGCGATGCGTCATTTACGCACAGATGGTTCCGATTTTTATGCCATTTTTGGAGTTTATGTTGTGATCTGTGCGCTCAACCGACCTTTGTCACGTGAGGTTTGAATATGAGCAACTTTATGTGAGTGTCTTTATTTGTGGAAAAGGGTGTTTGTCTTACCACTGGGTCCAACATTACGCACACTAAATCCATCTGTGCTCATATGAGAGAGTGTGGAGGACACTTGTTGAGGAGCTGCCCTCTGTCGCCATCTTGTGGCATTACTGTCTTAAGACATCTCTTGATCTCTTTGACTACTTCATGAAAATAGTAATACGCCTCGCCTGTGGCGGATTTAAAGGCAAGGAGAGGAGCCTATGTGATTGGTGAAAACAGGTCTCGGCTGTGTTAAACCCACTAACCGCCCTTTCTACGACTTATGGTGCTGGGAGGAGCTGAGTTAGGGAGGGGGGATACTTACGCCGGGCTGCGCGGCTCACCAAAATACCAAAATGTGCTTGGGAACGCCTTGTCAGCGCGGCGGATCTGATTGACGCTGCGCTTGCGGCAGATCTCCGGCGAGGCACCAAAATAGAGCCCCAGGACTTTTCTCAGCCATTGGAAGTCAGCTCCCTTTTCCAACAGGGGGCAGCACAGAGCAGCAGTTAGATCATCAGTGAAGTAATCATTGCTAAACTCTTAGATATAGATTAACACCATCTGACAGCTCTGCCCTCAGGTGGATAATTACCATCTGCTTCCCACATACCAAACTGGTCCAAACTAACATACTGTCTCTTGCTTTCTTAGTTTCGGCCGAACTTCCTGTCACATTTTTCTTAAAGCTAATAGAGCTCTCCTAAATTGGATGCAGCAGAGACAGCTAACAGATGTCCTTTCCTTCCTGGTGAGGCTCTCTTGACCCACCTCTGTCACAATAGTTTTCTCTGTTAGGCTATAATAAGGACAAAGTTAAGAGGGGGGAGGGGAGAGCACAGCAATGTATAGGAAGACAAGCTTTTTGCTATGTTTCCAAGCCTCAGGAAATTCGACACCAGATAAATTTGTTTTGTGATAAGATAGATAAACAAGATAAACAAATTTTGTGCAAAAACCATCCTAAAGTAAATCTGCACTGAAATCTCCGATCAGTTACTCATGAAAGAGCCCAGAATGAAAAAAACAAAGTGAGAAACTGAGGTTAACTTGTCCATGTGTTATATTAACAATGACAGCATGCCATGTATAAAGTGGTGTAAAAACACTCTGTTAGCACACACCAGGATCAACTGTGTTTCCATAACAGATGCACATATATATGCTGTATGTCAACCATGAGTTTTAGCTGTAAAGTGACAATAATGTGACAAGAGCGGTCATAATTCAATGTCACATGTAGTTTTGGAGGTTTAAATGCTTTGCCACAAAATCCACACTGTAAGTTTTCTTTGCTTAACGTTATCTTGTAGTCTAGTAGAGCAGGAAAAACGAATCACACGTAGTTAAAGGGATATTGCGGCGTGAAATTAATTTAGGGTCAAACACACCTTAACACTGAGTTAGCAACCCCCTTAAGAGATAAATGTTGCCGACTGCTTGCTTCTCTAGTTATACCAACTTTAGTAACGACCGCACGATAGCAATACACAGTGGTCTGAGGAGCCATAAACAAACCTCAACCAAAACGCCACAAATAATGCTCAGAACAGCACCTAACTTCATCAACAGTACATATAGTGTCCTAGCCAAAGCGCGAGCCACCAAACATCTTTCTAACTTTCCCTAATTTCTTTAGCAAAGAGACAAAACACAACTCATCTACTTTCTTCCAGCTGCTGCTTGTTTGTAGTGAGACCTCAGGCCAGTCCATTACAGACTACAGCGGGGTGACGCAGCTCAAGGAAGAACATTTATGATCATTTCTTCATGGAAATGCAATCAGACCGAGACGCTAAGGCAGAAGAAGTACTGCGACTGCAGTGCAAAATGATTAATTTGATGATTATTACTTGAAGGAGTTAATAAAGTTATGATCATAAATGTTCTTCCTTGAGCTGTGTCACCCTGCTGTAGTCCGTAATGGACTGGCCCGAGGTCTCGCTACAAACAAGTGGTTGCTGGAAGAGAGTAGGTGAGTTGTGTTTAGTCTCTTTGCTAAAGAAATAAGGAAAAGTTAAAAAGATGTTTGGTGGCTAGTGCTGTGGCTGGGACCCTATATGTTCTGTTGATGAAGTTAGGTGCTGTTCTGAGCATTATTTGTGGCTATAGAGTGCTGTTTGGTTGCTTCCTGTGGTCGTTACTAAAGTTGGTATAACTAGAGAAGCAAGCGGTCAGCAACATTCATCTCTCGAGGGGGTGTCTAACTCGGTGTTACTGTGTGTTTGACCCAAAATTAATTTCACACCGGAATATCCCTTTAATGCCAAACAGGAAATGTGCAGCCTCACCTATAAAAATAAGCAGGATCCCCACTAAGATTTGCAGGATGAGAGAGATGCTGATGAGAGTGATGAGAGGCACATAAAAGGTGAAGTCAGGTCCTTGCTCCAGCACAGCCTTCAGCTGTGAGGCATTCGCCATCAGCAGCGCCACGTCGAGCATGCTCTCTGCTGCGCTCTTCTTATTGGCATAATGGTTCATGTTCAGAGGGCTCTGCTGCCTCCTTGAGTGGCCTCGCAGCGGTACCTAAAGACAAATACAAACACTGACATCAGTATGACTCAGAGGATGACACATACTGCAGGTGAAAGCTGGCAATGTGATACAGGCTAGGTCAGGGTAGGATTTATTATTAATCACTCCTTTGACCGTGGACCGTTATGAAGAATGCTAGAAAACTTCATCTGTTTGCTGCTGTGATATAAACCAGAAATTAAAAGAGTTTTGCTTTCACTACTGTGACCCTTATCTGCAAAAGTATAGGTCTCAGGTGCTTGAGATTGTGTAAACCTGGTATTTTAAGAAGTTACTTTCTGAAGTTAGGAAATGAAGGTTCTCTTTCTCTGTTGTTTCAGAATTACAAGCAGGAGTTATATGAATTGATAAAAACGAAACTGTTGTGTGTTTGGAAAATACCATTAGTGGGTTTTTCCAGTGAAGGGAAAAATCCAAACTGACACAAATATTTGTTTTCCAAATTCACATTTAAGATAAACTTATTTAGTTCTTACATTAGCACTGTCCTCTGAAACTATTTAACATACATGTGGTTTATAGTGGCACCCTGTTTTTGTGTTTATATATCTTCATTTTAGGATCACATCAAGCAGTAAATAACTGATATCTGTGAAAAACAGTGTAATTATATTTACTGTTCTTTTATGTTCTATATTTTAAAAAGAATATAAAGTTTAACTGGACATTTTCACAAGATTTTAATTATGTATCTATCACTTTAAGCACTATTTTAAAAACAAAACAACTACATTTAAAAACAGAGTAAATTTCAGTATCAGAGCAGGTAACTGTAGAGTAATACCTCAAACCACAGAAGTCAGTTTTCTGTGAAAGATATTAATGGAAGTGAAAGTGTTTGGGGGTTGAATTAAACAGGAACATAAGTGACCTAGCAGGTCACTGAGGTACGTTCAGCTCAGAGTTTAAAAATAAATTGCCAAGTCACATCCTTCGGTTCAACTGACCAGGTCAGACACCTAAAATACAGCATGTGTGCCGGGACGGTTAGCACCCAAATCCAAGAGTACAAGTGAGTGAGGAGGAAACTTATAAACTGAAGACAAACACAACAAGTGTGAAATGAGGGGCCCTCTTCAGAATTATCACTACTATAACTGAGTTCACTGATCATGATTTAGATTAAAAAGTCCTTTGTCAAACATGTAAAACATGTTATCATGCGAAGCCATAGACTCACAATCCCTCGTGCCATTTAAACACAATAACAGGATGTCATGTTGAGGAATCCTTCCATTTTGATGGGGCAGGAAGGGCAAAAGTTGAGTTTGTCTCGCTGTGAAACTGCAGTTTAAAAAAAACACAATAAATACCACAATGAGGATAAAAAGGATGTGAATCGTTTTCATTGAATGGGCCTGTTTTGCAGAAGCAGAAATGACACAACAATCACTCTGGTTCTTCCTCAACTTCTCACTGGTGTGTTTCACTCTGCACACACAAAATTCAAAAGCTCTTGTGTCTGTTCTGTACTATTGTGGAAACATGGCAGTGAAAGAGAGTAGCTTCTCTGGAAGTCTTAGTAGCTGGTTTCATTATTTACACTTCATAGCTGCCCTGTGTTGAAGTTATCATCAGCTGGATTAACCACCATGTTTTCTGGAGAAAATTCTGATGCTACAGCCTCCATTTTTAAGCTAAGTTTGAGAACATTTGGGCGGAAAAGTCCTCAATTTCCGCCAATAGGACAGCTGCACAGAGTCAGGAAATACAGAGAGTAGAGACATAGGTCATGAGATCACGACTAGGGGTTGAACCACCTGCATCAAACTTCAACCCCTGCATCTAGGACTATAGGCTCTGTATATGTGACGCTTAAACCACAAGGCCATAAGCGCCGCAACTTACAACCGGCTGTTTTTCAAGAGAAAAAGTTATCTTCTAAACAAAATAAGGATGTGGTCAAATGCAAACATCCTGTAAACAAGAGCCCCCATTAAAACCCTTAAATGTTTCATATGAGTGTAGTGATCAGGGTGCCAGAGTGGCATTCAACTGTCCAACAATGACCTCTTTATGGTCAGGTTGGCAGCATCACACCCTCAGGCTCGACTCACGTTCCTTTTTCCACACCTCTGGGGGAGCGCCAGGCCACAGAGGAAAAAAGTGCTCTGGTGGTGCGCCAACATGTGAGTGTCATAGGAACCACTATAAGCCACCATACCCCTTAGTTAACTTCTTCTTCTACAGCAGCTCCATTTGCAGCTGGTGTATGTCACTTCCCACATGGAGCAACCCAGGGATCAGTGATCTCACTTCCTTTTCTCATTTTTTCCTTTTTGCCTCGTGTGCCAAGTCTTTTTTTTCCCTTGAATAAAATCCCTACTTGCGTGAAGGAGACATTTGGGACATAACACAATGTTCCAAACAAGTAAACTAACTGGATCTTAGTGTCTGTCACTGGAGAGAGGTTTGAGATGATGCCTTACATAAGGACTGGATACTGTATGTTTTTTTTTTTTTTAAGTTGTTACACTCTTCATTTCTGTGCCAGAGCATTAAATCCTTCAACTATTCACAGTATTTTATAAATTAAACTACGTTATAATATTCCAAATTTCTTATGATCATTCCAGGAGCAGTCAAGTATTTAGAAGGTTTAAAAGAGGAATTAAGATTTTCTTCAATATTTATGATCTTTTTTATAAATCTGCTTCCTTAAAAAAAGTCTAAACTTTTCCTAACTTTGACAAATGTTACATTAGGGCCGGGAGATCAATTGAGTATTGATTTCAGTCATGCTTTTGATGTCCCCCAGTTCTGAAGATGAGATGATTCAGATTAAATGATTTCTGTGCTATCTGCCATATTGCACTTATTATTGTGTCTTATGTCTCCTCACTCCCTTCCTTCCTCCTGTGCTCTGCCCTTCCCCTCCTCACTTTAACAATCTGAGCTCACTGAGAGCTCCGATCGATGTACAGCAAAAATTGGGAGTGCACAGGGTTGCAGATGCCAAAGATGTGTCAAGAAGGGACTGTTGTATCCTCACCATGTTGTGCTAGAGCAGTTTGAACAATCAAGAAACCGCAGTTGGAAAAAGAAGAGCAGGAAGGGGAGCAGGAAGATGAGGTGTGTGTGTGTTGGTGCAGCAGAGGAAACGAGTGAGCATCAGAAAAGAAAAACTATAGGGACAACAAAATGTCAATCTAAGTCTTGATGGTTTAAAAATAGAAAAATTGAGTATTAAAATAAAGTTTGGATAAGGAATGATGCAAAGTTAGTCAATGGTTAGGGGATCCCAAAAATATAAGAGGACCCTGACACCAAGGAAAAGGTCCAACATTACATTTTTAATGTTTTTTTTGTTTGTTCGTTTGTTTTGTGTGTCTTTTTCCACTCCAAAATCAAACTGGCAAAGTTGTTTTATTAAATTCCTATAAGAAATAAAAATAAAAGTGGGTTAAATGCCATTAAAAAGAGGAAAAACACCCAGTTTATCGCAAACAAACAAAAAGTTACAAGTTCTGGCTTACAGAGGGCGCCTCATTTTAGAAGTGTTGATATCAGGTAAAACTAGTTATCAGTTTCCTGTGGTGTATTACTTTACTTTTCCCATGGCTTTCTTTTTATCAGTAACAAAATAATAATAACTGTTACATATACCACTTATTTTTATCTCATTGATTTATTTTAACTCACATTTTTATTTTTCATTATTCTACTTCTATCTAATACTTGTGGGTATCATTTTTTCTTCTCATACTCTCATTTTATTCTTATTGACTTTGTGCTGCTTCTACAACCTAATTTCCCCTCTGCTGATCATTTAAGTATTATGTTTTATAAAAAGTAGCAAAATGCATATTATCTAATTTCTATTTTAACTTTTTTTTTCAGACATACAAAGATGTTTTATTGAAGGTAGGTGCATTACCCTTATATTTACATCCTTTACTGTAATCACTTTAGGGGAGAATGGGGCTTGTTGTCACATGTGTAAGTTGTCACATTGCAATTATCTTTGCCACCAGTGGGCGCAACTAAAAAGTGGAATACTAGTTTTACTCCTTTACATGGTCAGGGGCTGTGTCCTGTCTGAGAAGAGCACAATCTTTAACTTTATATTAAAATTAAGGCTGCACGATATTGGAAAAAAATAATATTGCGATTTTTTCAACCCTGCAATATATATTGCGATATTAAAAATACAGTATTTTCACCAGATGACCTGAATAGCACTTAATGTTATGCTGCACTGCTGAAATCTTGAGGACAGTTAATCTGCTCTGATCTTACCTCTTTTTGTGAATGTTAGTAGAACGGCTTCTGTGTGTCTCAGAGATATTTTTAGCTTTTATTGTGCTGGGACGTTATTGTGGCAACAGGTGAACACAGAAGACGTGTTTTGGTCGACATCATCCTTCTTTTAACCGAAATAATTCCAGATAACTGACTTTCCTTTTCTTTTTGGCAACAAATCTTCATTTTCGGTGGTTTTCGCTTGTTCGTTGTTCATTTTGCGATCGTTGTTGTTGTTGTTAGCGGTGTTGTGCCGAGAAACGCATGTCCTCCGAGAATTGCATGCACCTCGCAAAACGCGCACTGCTTATAGTAGAGTGGTCCACGGAAATGTACAATTTAAAACCCATACAGTTCTTATTTGTTGAGCTTAACAGTCATGAGTAAAGTTCCGAAAGTAATTCTCAGCGGACACACGTCTCCCTCCATGTGCAGAACATGTGCAGGGGTGGGTTTTCTCCTCCCTGATTTTGATTGACAGCTGGCAGGGTAGTCTGATTGGCAACTGAGAAGTGAGTCTGATTGGCAACTGAGTTAAGGACGAAGGCGATTGGTGGATCGCTGCACAGCACATGCAGAGTCACATGGAGTGTATCTCAGTCGGTTACCCTTGAAATTAAATGAGTTCATTCACCTCCAATATCGCAGGCTCTGCGATGTGACTATCGCACACACGTACATCGCGATGACGATAGTCAAACGATATATCGTTCAGGCCTAATTAAAATTAGACACTGGTTTGATGTAAATATATTATCTTAAAATATTGAAAAAACAAACTTTATACTATTGTGTTTCAAAGGCAAAAACATTGATGCTTCAGTAAATACTAAAGGTATTGAAATTAATAGAGTAAATGAAATAACATTTTTTAGGTGTTATTATTAATGATAAATTGACCTGGTAATCACATATTAATGGAATAAGAGTGAAAATAGCAAAAACGATTGCTATGTTAAACAAAGTAAAGGACTACTTAGATGATAAAGCTTTGTACCTCTTATATATGCCTCTTATATATAATTCGATTATTGTTCCATATCTGAGCTACTGTGTTGAAGTGCATGCAAAACTTCCATCCAGACAATTTTCATTTAACAAAAAAGAGCGATACGAATTATTAGTTGTTTTTGAAAATATAAAATAATGGACTGTAAAAAGGCATGTTTGCCTGCAGCTGTTGTTTATTTTCATTATGTGTTCAGTGGATTATGAAAGCGGGGCAGACTCCATTAGAGTTTTCTCCTTTCTGCTCCTTTTCATTCACGTTTGAGATTTGTCCTTGTTTGTATTGAATGTTTTAAATATTAACTGAATGAATTAAAGTATGAAAATGAAATATGTATTGATCCCAAGAATCGATTAATGTAAAAAGTGTGTCAACCAGCCCCGGTCTCCCCTACAAACCGCACTTTGAACCCCTCTGGTGAGATCTGAGCCTTTATTTGGGTCACAGACTGAACCACCTGGGTTCAAACCTATATTATTATAGCATTGACATTACCCTGCACCCACATGCTCCTCTCTCTGTATCGTCTGTCATTAGCTACATGTAAACTGACACTGAGGGAACGATACAACACACACGGAAAAACACAAGTTTCCAGCCTACTTCTCAAACTACCGGACAAAAGAGTTAATCCAAGCCGCTGACCGGTCCCATAAGCTTCATGAATTCCTCAAACACCGGACAATTGTTCGGACACTTTTGTGTTCATTTAACGAGACAAAGATGTGTCCGATGGATGGGAGGGAGGCTGGAAACCCTTGAGGCATCAATTCTGACTGTAGCCGGTGTCTTTTATCTTTAACTCTGTGTGTGAATGGACCCCGACTGAGTCCAAACAGGAAATTAGTTGGTTTTTTTCATCCCGATATATGAGCTGGTTACACGCTGTGCTTTCTAACGGACTCACCCGCTGCCTTACCTCCGTCTCGCCGTTACGATCAGCATCACCGTTCATTTCCAAGTTGTCCGCGGGCATCTTGATAAAATTAAACCGTCTCAAATACCGAAGAGGTCGGTCATGTGTGGTGCGGTGCTCTCAGAAGTCGGTGGTCCAGCCTGCGGGGCAGAGGAGTTAACTGTATACAAAAGCCTGCCGTGACGACGAAGAGAGTGGGTAGATAAGCTCCAGACTACCGCCCCTCCAGCCAACATGGGGGTGGCTGTCCTTCATCCACAGTGGGCTGATTCAGAAAGTGCGGGCAAGGCAGACCACTTGATAAAATAGGAATTTGATAGAAGAATTTCCCCGCACTGGAACCGAAACCCCGGACGTGGGCAACACGTATGTAAACCAGGAACTTTACTTTGCTGCAGCCGCAGTCTAAACTACAGGCGGGACAAGAGGTTTTAACTCTCTGCTGCCACCCTGCGGCGTAATGTGGTACTGCAGGTTGGTACCAAGAGGGAGTGACTCAGGTTTACACCCTCCCCAGGCTTTTTGCCAAAACACAGATTGAAGTGTTTAGACACACGTTTAGATGGATTCTTTTCAAGAGATAAACTTAAAATGTTAACATCTGCAAGCAGCTATAACATTTATATTGAATTATCTTTTGCGCAATTTAAAAATGTTAATTATAATATCCAAACCCATTCTTAGTATAAACTGCACCCACAGGTGTCTGAATTGAAGCAGAGTGTATTGGGTTTTTCATGGCCATTAGTCATTAAAGCTTGCTATAGCCTCACATTATGCATTGAACCCCCATTTCTTTAAAATTTTGTACAATGTAAACATATTGCCAACAGATCTAGGGAAGTTAAAATCTATAGGGTAGAGTGGGGTAAGATGAGCCATTTTCCATATTTTGGATCACTACATCAAGGCAATCATAGTTTTGTCTCTAACTAGTGTATCTGCATATATTTCAAAATGTTGTGCATCCCTGCAAACCAACAGAATGAGTGTAAACACAACTGTCTTGATAATAATAATTATAGTTGCCTTCTCAAAAATGACAATTTGATTCTCCATACATGACAGAAGTTTGTGAAAGTTTTCGAAAACTATGCAATTGTCACACAAGAGTTCCTGTACTAATGCTTTAGATAGAAAGTTTGGTGAGTGGCAACACTTTCTGCATGTTACGAAATCTATTATTAGTTTTAGGCAACATGGAGATAAAAAGGAAGCACACTCACTCAGAAGACTAATCTTTACACGCATGCTGTCTTTTATTACAGGGAAATGAAACTGCATGAATGAAAAGGATGACCAGGCACATTGTTACGTTTATCATTTGCATTGTAAGCTGACCCTCCAAACCTCCTGAATGGTTCCTTTTATTGTCGCTGTTTCCATGGAGATCAGAGCTGAATTGACCCTTAAGCCTGACCTTGTAAATAATCAAGACAGTCTTTCATAGATGGTCCTAAGAGTGTAAATAGAAACCTCTGTGGCCTTTAGTGATAATTCTGTCATTGTTGTATTCACCCTCTATCTTCACACTCAAATTTCATTAATCTGCAGCTAAAACAAGTCAGAGTTTAAAGTTCCTGTGAGGAGTTTTTTTGGCTGGTTAAACAGATTGAAATTAACATGGGTGCCTCTATATGAGCTACAAAAGCAAACACAAACTTCAGCATGGACACATCTTACATAAAGTTTTTTTCCATGTCTAAAATCTCTGGTAGGTTGAGGGTGTAACAGCTGTTGTGATGCTACAGCTTTTTTTCCATGACAAAGATTTCCACCAGTTTATTCATTCATCTGTTAACAGGAAGTGTGAGATACTAAGGAAAAGCCTGTAAGGGAAAAATCAGCAGATAGATGACAGGTACAGCTCTGTCCAGGAGAAGCCAAAATCAACACAAACTGAAAGATAAAAAAGATGAACAATGACAGTGCAGCCTCTGTGCCCAGACTTCCTCTAAAAAGAGCAACATCAGCAAATTTGGTTTTGATGCAGGTGACACCAAATTTCCCAGCCTGAACATTCCTAACCCTACCTGACTTCCACATTAAAGTGGTTTGTACTTTACAAACTAAACCACACCTCAAGGCAACTTGATGAAGATTGTGAAAAACTTTTCTCAAGATTTACTTAAATTGTCTATTTCTTATTTCTCTCAATAATAACTTTTGAAAATGCAGCTTTTATAATTATGCAGTGCATTTGTGCTGAAGTGATTTAACACCATGCTTTATGCTTTAAGTTTTGTCACACAGAGATGAGACCATTTTAGATCAGATGATGTTTGAAAGTTGATTATACAGATTTACTAACCTGTTTGTTGAGGACCTGGCTTTAACTTTGGATGCTCTCACTGCCCACTGACCATATTTTGGTCTAAAAGAGGTCTAATAGACGTCTAAATGTAGCCTGGATGACTGGTCTAAAATCAGGCTACCACAGGTCTAAAAATGAACGTTTTTTAGATGTCTAAATTTAGACCAAGTTTAGACTAGCTGGCTAACAGAGGTCTAACTGTATATTTCTCAACGGCTATCATAATTACTTTGCTTAAGTACTTGGAGATCAGTTCTGCAGTTCACAGTTGCTTTTTGAAATAAATAGTTCTTGAATAATGGGTTAAAGTGCAACATCTGAATGATGTCTAAAAATATACAGAATCTAGATGGTTTTTCAAGTCTAAAAAAAAAAACTAGACGTCTAACAGTCGTCTTTGGCTCAATGGGTGTGTTGAGCTTTACTGAATTATTCAATCAAGAAGTAGTGAAACTGTAGTATTTGTGGTATCAAAAGTATTTAAAGCTATTCCACGAAAAAGAAAACAATTTCATAACAATCTCTATCACAGTGATTGAAAACAACAGTCCATTTTTTGATTTAACCTTCATTTAACCACGAGAAAACCTCACTGTGATGTGTTCAAAGAGTGTCCAGGCCAAGACAGCAGCAGTGAACAGCATTTACATAAAGACAGTCACACTCATACAATATATGTAGTCCATAACCTACACATAAGAAGTTAAGCAGCAGCTATTTATCAGAATCATTTAGAAATAAGAATGAATCAAAACATTTGCATTCGGGTGTGCCTGCCAAGTTTAGATTAGGGGAGACCGGGGCTTGTTGTCACACTTTTTACACTCTTATATATCACTTGTAATCAATACATCGTATGTAAACAAAATGTGTACCAGATGAAAGACCAAAGTCTCACGTATATATTTCATATTCACGTCATTTTCATATCTTGTGTCAGTGCAGAGTTATAAGTAATCAAATAGAGAGTCTGAACATGTGACATGTTACCCCACCTTTGGGTAAGTTGTCTCACTACATGGGGTAAGATGTCACAGTGGATTTTGTAGCTACTAAAACAAGGACGAAATTATAGTTGTTCTCATTTTTTTTACTTCAAAGTGAACATCAAAGTCAGGCACAGAAAATGTTTATCGATGAGCTGGAAAAAGTCTTTGAACAAACGTTAACATAAAATATAATATAGCATGCTCTGGAGTTTGGAGAGCTGTCTGACTCTGTATTTAGGCTGGGGTGAATGTTTTGCAGTACTGAGCCAAGGTATGGTAGTTGACATTAAAGTCCTTTATTGTCCTCCAGATTGATTTATTAGCTAGGGTCACCTGTCTGACTGCCCTCAACATCCTGTCAGGTACTACACCGTCACGTTCAGTTTTTCTTTTGTAATTCCTGACCATGTTTTCTCACTTTCTCCTCTCCTTTAAACCACTCTTTTTTCTGTAAAAGTAATATGATAATATGAATAATATAAAATTTCAATATGACAACTGCTGATAAGAAGACTCTCTATGTTGATTTTTATCCCTTTTGAACATGTGACAACTAACCCCAAGATGACTGAGACATGTCGCCCCAAACTACCATGTTTGCTAATTCTAGCTCTAGCTTAAAGTTAGTTTAAAACAGAACAATGACTGAGGTATGACAGGACGCCTTAATCTGTCCTCTAACAAGTCCACACGTATCACTGCTAGGATTTTTATCTGGAAAAAGCTTATTTTAAAAAAATATAGGGTTACATTTTTTTACTTTGGGTTGTGCGAAATGCTTAACTGGCGCTCATCTCAGCTCACAATGTGCTCTTCTCTTCTCAGACAGGACACGACCCCTGACCATGTAAAGGAAGAAAACTAGAATTCCACTTTTTAGTTGCGCCCTCTGGTGGCAAAGATAATTGCAATGTGACTACTTACTCATGTGACAACAAGCTCTGGTCTCCCCTATTTCCAAGTCTTTCAGCTTTCTCTTAAAAAAATTAAATGAGATTGGCTCATTTCACAGACACATGACTACTTTAAAAGCTCTCGCTCTCCCCCGCCTCCCTGCCCTGGCTCCATGTGGATGACAATAATATTTGGATGGGGGGCCGGGGCGCCTCCTCCAGTGGCCCATGATTCCTAGCAGCGTCCCTTGTGGAGGTAAGGCTTACACAGACATCTTTCCATTGGAGGCTTAGCACGTCACAATGAGGGCGGACAGTGGTGTGGTCCACACAGCCTGTGTCACGAGAGACTGAGGGTGCCGCCTAAAGCGTGGAGACTTATTGGATACGTGTTGTTGCTAGGGGCGTGGGCTGTGCTGTTAAATAATCCAATTTCCCCCCCAAACCTGAGAAAATAAAGATAAAATTCAGGAAGACGACAGTGGTTGTAGCTGTGGCAGATGCGCTGAGGGAGAGAGCGTCCAGTTTCAACCTGAGGGAAAGTGTGCCGCAGTGGCATAATCTGATAATCCATCATGCTGTGAGGGGAATAAAATGCACGTGAGGATGGCTAAAGAAAGGAGGCGTGAAGACGAGCTGAGGTCGCCCTTATTAATGGGACTTAACCACATTTCAACCCGGAACACCTGCAATTGATTTGCATGAACCGGATCCCGGCTCGGTGCATGTTTACATGGATGACAGCTGCGCACTCCGTCCCGTGACGTGTCTTTGGGGGGGATTAGCGCGTGGCACTGCCTAAACATCACGGCCTGTAGTGATATATATCAGAGGAAAGATGCTTTTTGTATAGAGGGGGACTTATGCAATGTGGAGGAAAGTGTTTACGTGAGCTTATAGAGGATGACATCAGGCGCGAGTTGAGTCGTATTGCAGCAAGGTGCACCGGCGCGTGAGGTGGCACGGAGCATTGCACGCATCCTCCTCCGACTTGGACGTTTTTTTTGCGGGGATGCTCTGTATCCTAAACAAACACGAGGCGTATAAGGCCATACGTCCCGAGCTGGGAAACTGCGTCACTGCATGCGCGAGCTGCAGGTAGGCAGCAAACTCTCCCACCAGCGGGGAGGCGCGTGCTCATCCTCCTCCCTTGCACCATGACGCCGGTGTGAGTGTTTAACAAGTTCGCAGGGATGGATTCGGCGGAAGAGTCGAGAAAAGAGCCGCCGCTGGGGTCTACGTTCTCTTCAGCGCCGAATTTAGACTCGGACATTAATGCGAATGCCCGCCGCAGTGCTGTTTATGAGAACGGGACCGACCACAATGTCAACATCCAGAATGAAGCCCTGCGAGGGGCGAGTGACCCCAGCGCCTACCCGTCCACGGACTACCAGGGGCTCATCCGCCAGAGGTTCATCCGCCGGAGTCTCTGGGTGTCAGACTCCGAGGAACAGCCGCTCGACACGGCGGAGTGTGTCAACAGCAGCCCGGTGCTTAACATCGACCTGCGGACCATCGTGGACCGCAGTCGGACCCGGGTTTTACACGGAGCCCGTCTCGGCCTCCAGGAGACCTCGAGCGCTGAGAGTCAGGTGGGGTTAAAGGACAACGCCACGGGGAGCGCGAGCACCGACGAGGAGAAAGGGGAGAGGAGAGAGAGCGAGCCCAAGGCAGAGGTCGTGCCCTCAGACGTCACAGGTAAAGCAGGAAGTGATGAGAACGAAGAGGAGCCCGGGATGAAGGCGGTGTCCACCTCACCTGGGGGACGCTTCCTCAAGTTTGACATTGAGCTGGGGAGGGGGTCCTTCAAGACGGTCTACAAAGGTCTGGACACCGACACCTGGGTCGAAGTGGCGTGGTGTGAACTCCAGGTGGGTTTACACAGTCAACAACTGGCCAATGGTTTCCATGGCAATAAGTGAAGTTGTTCTCTCAGAACAGTAATGGCTGCCTTAAAAGTTAGTGGTCAGCTCTATTCACAGGTGGGTCTTTTAGGGTGTGTTAATTTTCTCATAAAACAAAATCTACAATTTATCCACCATCTGCTATTCATTCATTTTCTAATGGTGGGGGAGAGTGGGGTAAGTTGAGCCACCCCCTGTTGCTTGGAAATGATCATGTGACCAAATATTTAGGAGATGGGCATCAATTCATGGAGTCTGTGAAGGTTAGAAACACATGGGTGAAGGGGTTAGACATTTATTTCCCAATTTAAAAAAAACAATTTTAACTCTTGAAAGTGAATTTAGTCTGTCATAAGTTTTATTAGAATTGTGTTCAGACCAAAAAAGATCATTTTAAATTTGTTTTATACATCAATTGTGGTATCTATGAGCTACAACATACCTAACACAAAAGTCCACCATTTTAGCGTAGAGGACTAATAAAGTCATAATACTAGTTCTGGGGTAAGTTGAGCCAGTGGACCAACTGAGAAAGTAAAGAAGTCTGATGAGAGGATCAGGGTTTCAGTTCAGATTGTTGAAATTTGTTACTTTTTCTTTTCAAAAATACAGCTGTGAGTGTTCTGAATCACTTAAAGACATTCTCATGTTAAAATAGCTTTTTTACAAAACAGCTTTTTAGCAGTTATATGCAATAATAATAGCGTATAATAGCTAAAAATACACATGAATGTGAAGAAGTGACTGTTATTTAGGGAGAGAGAAGGTGGGGGAGGGCTGGGGTGGAGAGTTGGGGGGATAGTAGGGACACCGCTCAACTTACCCTGCTCCTATGGTCAACTTACCCCAAACACGGGGTAAGTTGACCATAGGAGACCACTTTTTTTGGAATGCAATATTATCAAGACAGTTATGTTTACACTCATTGTGTTGGTTTGCAGGGATGCACGACATCTTGAAATATATGCAGATACAAAAGTTAGAGACAAAACTATGACTGCCTTGATGATGAAATATGAAAAATGGCTCATCTTACCCCACTCTCCCCTATAGGCTGCCTTAAAAGTTAGTGGTCAGACGTAGGCCTATAGGACGCTATACCCACACACTCTGTTGGTGCCAGAGACGCCCAGGGCCCAGGTAGACCTGCAATTGTTATGGGACATACAAAGCACTTCAGCGCAAAGTAGTCTCATCATCCAACCATGAATATGTATAGTTGATAAATTGCTCATGAAGTGTCACTTCTGATAGATGTATTATTAAAGCTAAATGTTGTCTTTTGTCTTTCCCCTCTGACTAGACACAGTTACTTATCACTGGCTAAACTGATCAGCCAGTCAGTAGTTATGGGCATTAATATGTCCTACGTTCTTAGTAAGTTTTTTGTTAAAGAAGAGCAATAATGTTTTTAGTCCTATTCTTTTCTTATTTCTTTTAATGAACTTATAAATATCTATTCTCTCTGATGAAGCCAATGAAAAAAACATTAAGCTGATGAGGAGGACTGTTCAGTGTTGTCACAGGGCAAAATGTAAGGCGGGCATTCTTGGAGCTCAATATTTATTGTCAGCGGTCACATTGAACCAGCTCTCCCTCTCAATTCTCCAGCCATCAATAAGATGTCTACATTCTCTTTTTCCTCTGACTTTCTCAAATTTTAGTTCATTTGGAGTCACTTTGCTCTCTTTAACAGCGTGCAGGCCTTTCGCATGCTGTCAGCAGATGAACAGTGGATGGTGTAATCTCTCAGAAGTTTATATGGGACTTATTCAAACATACAGCTTTATAGCGGTAACAGCTTACTGTGTATCTAATATCTAACTGTGTATGTAGTAATCTTATAATCAGTTTGGATAAGAACAGATTGATGTAGAGAGATCTGTATCAAGGAGTTGCCAGTGTTCGTATTTAAAACACTAAACAATATACTAGAGAAGTATGCGCTTATTCTGGGTTCCCAAATAAAACATTGCCACAGTCACATGGTTAAAAAAACACAAAGGCTTTATTAAGCAGTGAATGTTTGGACCCAACTTTGTCCTGTCTGCATCAATGTACTGGCTGCCTCGTCAACGTAACATAGTTCAGGCTCGGTCATTGCTTCAGTATCATGAGAACTTTTGAATTATATAAGTTTTGACAACAGGAAGAACATTTGTGACCACTAGGCACAGCCAGCATGCAGCAAGGTTTTTAAAGATTCATTTTAGTTTCAGCATGAATAGAGATGCTGCTTTTTTTTCTGTCGTCACGCTCTTGCAGCATTCGTGTTTACTCTGTCAGTCCCAAGGGAAAGAGTAACAAAAATTACAGCCTGACTCAATCAGGCCCAGACACTGAAATAAATCACTATAACACTTTACTTATCTCACAGCTCTTGTTGGCAACAGCTCATGTATAGATTTCAATCAGCAAAGGATGGAAGTGAAGTCTGGTTTGCAAATGTTAGCACAATAATATACATGTAATGGGGCTTGTTTGGTTGCGAAGCTTTAATCAATCTTTTTCAGGAATGAACAAAAGTGAGCCCTCAGTCGATTTTGCACAAGGTAGCTGTCTCCTGGTTACGTCTCATGAATCAGCCTCAGTTTGCCGCAAGTTTAACGACCAGAAACTGTCCTGATATTTCAAAACTCTTCCAGATGCTTAAATGAAATCATCCATGAATATGCAGAAGGCAAGCCTATGTTCGGTGTTTTATAATCGTTACAGCAAGTGTAAATGTGTGTGCGGTTGAAAAAGAGACATGGTGATGATTCAACCGTTCAGTCCCTGGAGGTGAGGCCTTGCCCTTCAGAGCTTTTGTGTCTGTGTGCCTCGCTCAAAGAAAGCCACTGTAACTCAAACAGAGTGTTTGTGTGTGTGTGTGTGTGTGTGTGTGTGTGTGTGTGTGTGTGTGTGTGTGTGTGTGTGTGTGTGTGTGTGTGTGTGTGTGTGTGTGTGTGAGATTGGGGGGAGGACTAAGCATGAGACACCAGAAAACATAGATGCTAACAGAGTCCTAGAATCAGATTTAAGAGATGCTAGTGTCTGGTGTCGAGCAAACCAGACTGCTCATCTTGTTACTTATTCATCCACTAAACGATGATCAAACATCTGCTGAGCGAGTAGTTTACCAGAGATAAGCTAATTCTGCTACATGATTCAGTAAAATACCAAAATCCTTTACTGCTGTGAGATCTCATTTCAATGTCTGACATCATTATTTATCTTGTTTGATTGCTCGGAAATGAGTCTAAATGTGGATTTAAAGCTGTGAAGATTTAACACAATGATGTATTTTTGAGAGTGAATCCTGCTGATGCAGCCCTCTGCACCAACACAGCAAGGCGAGAGGAGAGAGAGGCGAGAGGGAAAGGTTCACTTCAGGACACAGTGTAAGACGCTGAGTGTCTAATACCCGGCACAATAAGAGCTGTATGTTAAATTGTGTCCTCACTCTTCACACACAATCGGATAAATGAGGTAATGCTGCTTGTGCAATTTTAAGTTTTTGCGCAAAATTATCTCAAAGGCCATCAGTTAACGTTTCGTGCCACACCCTGCCTACATCCTCCCTCTGCAAAGACTTATCAGTAATCCATTAAGTAAGACTCGACTAAGAATTAAAACAGTCTGTTCAATAGAGGTTTTTATTGAGAGTCAGCTTTACGAATGCAGTTACAGCTGGACTTGTATCCTTCAAGATTTATCAGACTGTGCACTGCATAGGTGGCCATGAGCTATGAATGAAATCTGATTCTCAGGCATCAGTCAATAATCCCTGCTGAGAGATGTACTGTAGATTATTACGGATGATTTCGGACAAATACTGCGTTCACCCTGATCATTACAGATTAAATGTGTGTATTCGGACAACAGCAGAGCAAATCTGGAGGTCGTGCAGCATTTGTCGTGGCCGAGGCGGTCTGCTCGTATCTGCCATGCTGACTGGAGAGAAACAGAAATGTAGAGGATGTTTCGTTGTCAGCTCTTTCACTATTTATACAACAGTTCAGGGGAGGCAGGGGCCATAATATTGATTGAGTATACATAGATTCACTCAGGCTTGCACACCCAAAGATGTACCATTTGAACTCTGGAGAAATGTGTACAGTAAATTTGTTGTAGATATGTAGGTTTTTTTTTCATGCTCTGACCTCATAAGCTCTGACAACAGCACACTTACACATCAGAGCTGTACTTGAATCTTTGTTTTGTCTGAGTCCAGATCACGACACAAGATGATACAAGGATTATATTTAATCAAACTATGTAGTCCAGATTCCCCTGGTAGTTGTAAGTGCTTCAGTGCTGCGTGTTTTAGACACAGTTGTGATATAAAGATAGTTCAGACCCCCATGTTTACCCACCAGAAATGCCATGTTTGTGTTCACTTCACAGATGAGCCAGGTCAGTTCTGACTGAGCTTCACTCCTGATTGAAAACCAGGAAGCTGAACATGTATTATACAGCTTCTGTTGCCGCTTAATTCCAATAAAACATCGACTGATAGCCCCTTTCCCTCCACAGCCCACCCAAAGTTGTTAAATCTGGATGAAATTGATCACTGCCGCAGTGTCTCCTCCGATAAGGCTCCTGCATAATGAAGAAATAATGAGTGGATGACCTTGGAAGTCATTATTTCTCATCTTGGAGAACTGATTGTCTTCTTCATTTACCCCAGGAACGAAAACTTTCCAAAGCTGAGAGACAGAGGTTCAAAGAGGAGGCAGAGATGTTGAAAGCGCTGCAGCACCCCAACATTGTGCGGTTCTACGACTTCTGGGAGTCACCTGTGAAAGGAAAGAAGTGTATTGTACTGGTGACGGAGCTAATGACCTCAGGGACGCTAAAAACGTGAGTCAGTACGAATTTTATTTTTTTCTGGGGTTATCTTTCCTGGCAAGGTTTTGACCGCTTGGTTTGCTAAAAGGTCAAAGACAGTAATAGCCATTAGACTGACTACATCATGGGTATCCAGTTTCACACCAATTGACTCACATAATTGCAAGTAAATGAAATGCTGTGTGGAACCTGAAGCTCAAATATGTTATTCATTAAACAAGAAATTTATTTTTACTTGCGCCTTTTTCTCCCCCTGAAACTTCATTATTTGAGAAAAATAAATAATCCAACATCAGACTGGCTAAAGAAAGAAAAAAACCTCTCAAGCAGCCAGTTTGAGGAGATTAGTTTGCGAGTAGAAGAGTCATTGGGGATTCATATTGACTGTGTGTTTGCAGCCTAATTAAGCAACAACATTTCAACAGACTAACAGCTCATTGGAAAGTCTGGGAGAGAGCAGATCTTAATTGCTAGTTTGTCTTTTTTCTTTAAAGGTGTTTTTAAAAAAGAGTATAGCTACCCGGTGACAACCGACACGTCTCCTCTGTGGTGTTTTTTTCTCCCTATAGCTATCTGAAGCGCTTTAAGGTGATGAAGCCCAAAGTTCTCAGGAGCTGGTGCAGACAGATCCTCAAAGGCCTCCATTTCCTCCACACAAGGGCTCCTCCCATCATCCACAGAGACCTCAAGTGTGACAACATCTTCATCACTGGTCCTACAGGCTCAGTGAAGATAGGAGACCTGGGCCTAGCAACGCTGAAGAGGGCCTCCTTTGCTAAAAGTGTTATTGGTTAGTCAACAGCCCAAGAACTCACATTATTTTTTAGATTTAATGACCCACCATACTATAATACCTCTAGGGCACTTGGTAAAAGTGGTAACAAGTATTCAAACAGCACTGACATATGTTTTTTTTTATAGGTTAACATAGGAAAAAAAGTTACATGTATATACAGAACAACAAATAATTATTTATTCCTATGTTATTTCTTTGTAACGTGATCTATCAGAGTCAAAGATGTACTCTTCTTTTATGAGTTTTAACTCTCGCTGGAATGTCTCCCCATCAAAGTCAGTAATGACTTTATCTAAATCTTATCTTTGATAGTTTTCAAGCAGAGAAACTCGGTTTATCTTCGACCATCAAAAGCCTATTTTAACACAGTTTAGTGGACTGTCCTGTCAGTCTGTTAAATTTCTACAGACTATCCAAAAGCTTTATTTCTCTATGCTCTTATCCATCAATTAGGTGATGGAGGGATTATTGGTTCCATGATTTAGCATCTTCGTTGAATTTCATCCTCGACACTGGTATCGATCCAGCTGAAATAGGACAAAGAACTGCAAACTAAATCCGAGAATCTAATTTATCTCCCTCTCTTACATTTCATTCTGCAGGCACTCCCGAGTTCATGGCCCCGGAGATGTACGAGGAACACTATGATGAGGCTGTGGATGTCTACGCCTTTGGGATGTGCATGCTGGAGATGGCCACCTCAGAGTACCCCTACTCTGAATGTCAAAACGCAGCTCAGATCTACCGCAAAGTCACCAGTGTGAGTCCACATTCAGAGATGGTCATACCTCCAAGTGCCATCTCAACTGTCACAGTTTGAGTGGGGGATTGGGAAATAGACTTGAGTTGCCAGATAATCATATACTTTAAAATAAATAATCTATAATAATAGATAAAATAAATAAAAAATATATATATACTTTAAAATAAATGTTGCCAAGCAGTATTTCAAGTCCTCCAATCTTATACTTTGTCTAAAAAAGAGACGTTTACAATCAACAGATGGAAAATTAGGATAAGATGTTCCTTTAATCGTCCCACAGGGGGAAATTCAAAATTTACAGCAGCATACAGACAAACAAAGAGAAATTAAAGTACAAAGAAACTTAAAGTTAAGTTAAGGAAAAAGAAAAGATATGTACGAGTCATATTTACATATGTACAGAATATAAATAATGATATGGTTTATTGCGTGCTGAGGTTTCTGTTGTGGAGTCTGACGGCTGCAGGAAGGAATACCCTGCGATACCTCTCCGTCACACACTTCAGGTGGAGCATCCAATAACAAATTAAAGTTATATATACTTTTGTAGAAACTTTAAAGTTCTTCTCTTTTATTCTGTAGCAGCAAATGTGGTTACAAAGTGACGTTAATGAGATATCACTAAATGTCGTCGCCATTTGGGATAATACAAAGCAACTAATTGTCATTTAAATAGGCATTTAAATTCAGGCTAATGGTCTAGTATAAAGGTAACAGTTTCTTTAACACGGAGTCTGTGGATCAATAATTTCAAACGTGAGCTAGCACTTGCAGAGCTAGCAGTACCAGCCTTCCTTGCAGGTTAAGATCCTCTATGCATCGCTCCATCATCTGTCTTATTACCACTGAACTGTACTGCTCAACTATGAGATACCATCAGTGTTTGCTCACATCCAGCCAGCCGAGCATCGTCGAATTATGCCAGTAATATAAACTGTAGCTACAACTGTGGTGGCAGATGGTTGCGCTACAGCTTTGCCACATCATGAGATTGCATTTTGGGCCTTAATGATAAAAAATATTGATAACCCTTCCATCTGATTGGTACTTTTTGGTCTTATGTTACAGCTAAGTTTTTCCTGTTATTTGTCTTATTCTTTGTGCAGTCATATGTTGGGTATTTATTGTAATAATGACATAGCAAATTATCATATAAACAGTTTTGCGAACAGTCTGATCGATGAATTTATTTTTTCACATAACTTTAGTCCTCTTGTGTCTAGAAGTAAATGTGTTTCGGTCTGTCTGTCTGTGACATTTTTGCTTTTGCAGACTGTACCCTCTTCCTCTTTGTCAGAAGTACTGCTTTACCAAGTGTGTCTTTTGGAGAGCTGTGACATGTTGTTGGTTTGTTTTGCAGGGGGTGAAACCTGCCAGCTACAGCAAAGTCAGTGACCCAGAAATTAAGGAAATAATCGGGGAATGTATTTGTCACAGATGGGAGGAAAGGTAAATGGACCGGGATCTTTGACAGTGTCTTGTGGTTTGTGACAGAGCTTGTTTGTCAGCACAGGTTCACCCTTTTCTCTGAACTGTGTTGTTTTGCTTTTGTCACTGTGCTGTGACGTTGGCACCAGTATTATGCTCTGGCATGGCTGATGTTTCTGTGGGTTTGGATTTTACTGTCACAGTGACCTTTCATGCTGGCTAGTACAGTAACTCAGGTTTGTGTGTTTCCTGCAGGTACTCCATCAAAGACCTCCTGAATCATGCATTCTTTGCTGAGGATACAGGCGTGAGGGTGGAGCTCAATGAGGAAGACGATGGGAAGAAAGCCTCCATTGCTCTTAAGTTGTGGGTAGAAGATCCTAAAAAGCTAAAGGGGAAGTACAAAGACACTGGAGCTATTGAGTTCACCTTTGACTTGGTGAATGAGGTCCCAGAGGTGGTTGCTCAGGAAATGGTAAGAAAAAAATCTGGATCACTAAAAGAATCCCAATATTTTGTAAATATAAATGTTTCCTTTTGAGTTTTGCTTTCAGTGTTTCTAGCCAAACGGCACTTAAGTGCCACAGGCTGGCTCCAGCTGTTGTCAAGATCTCTGTCTTGGGAAATATTCATTTTCGATCTGCTCACAGGTGTATGATAAACCCGATGACACTTCAAACTTGTCCCAATTCACTGCAGGAGGAGAACTAAGCAGCAAGTAACCATAGCAACAAGGCTTCTGCCTTGTGCTCCAGTCGTCTCCTGTGAAACTGTCGAGAGGAAAACTTAAAGTATAAAGAAAATAAAGGATGGTGTCAGAGATTTAATACACCGGGTTCCCTTTGATAGTGATCAGAAAATAAGCTGACATACCTGTAGTACTGTTTCCTGTTATTTTATTGTGTTTTTATTGTGTTTAAGCGAAGCTAGAAAAAGTAGCGAATCAGGTTTATTTTCTCTCAGATGATGAGACGCCTTAATGAAAGCAAGTAGCTCCAACCTTCCACTGGAAACTACCACGCCCTAAATACTGAGTAAATATGTACTTTGATCCTTGCTATGACTGTAATGGTTGAGCTGTGTAAAACTCATACTCTACATTTGTCATAAAGACATAAGTTATGGAGATAAAAACTTTTTTTGGGCTATACAGTACGGCACTTTGCAGCTGCTGTGAAGAACTTTTGGTTTTTGCTGAATCAGAAAATTCAATCTAAAGAAGTGGCCATTTCTTGTTGCTATGTAGGTCATGAAGAGGCATCAGAAGAAGAGTGACACTACATCAGAAACTGTTCAAACTCCTCATAGTGGCTTGAAATAATATTTTCTTTTCCTGTTTTCTAATGTCAGTGGTGTTGACTGTAGAGACTCTTTGGTTTGGAAAATGTCAACAAAGGCTGTTTTAGCAGGAGAGCTGTAACTTCTTTACTCTGACATGATAGATCAGTACATGGAGATGATCGGTTTTGTAGCTGATGGTCTTGTTTGCTGCTTTTGGTCATGTAAAGGCATCAATGATAATGTCATTCATTTATTACCAGCTCTAAACTTCTAACTGAAGTTTTATCGTTGAGGTCTATGGGGGATTTCTCACCTCTGGAGTCAATCTCATCTGACCATTCCAGGAACTTTTTTACAGCCTCAGACTGCAGTTTGGTTATTACTAGGGGTGTCCTGATACAACCTTTTCACTTTTGATACAATATTGATATTGGAGTCTTCAGTATTGGCCGATATTGATCCAATATTGGCACAGACTTGCGCTGAGTTTTTCACTCAGCTGCAACGTCTTTTTCAGACTTAAACATGAAAGACTGCCAGACAGGCAACATCACTCCTACTTCTTGTTACTTTGTTAGTACCTAAGTACACACTGTTGTTGTGATTATGTGGGCTGTACATGCTGGATCAGGGCGCTGCTAGATAGAGGTGCTGGAGCAGAGTCTGGAATGGACGGCTTGTATCAGAGTGCTGATATTGGAGTTTAGATGCAGGCCGATATAATACGATATTCATTTTTTGTGCTGATATTCTATATCCGATATCGGGACATCCCTCTGTACAGTATCATTATGCTGCGTAAGTTATGTGGAGTTGATTTGCTAAAGTAAAGCCATCTTTTGTGTGGAGGTCAGCCTCATGACCCTTTAATTAGGTGTAATGTAACAGGAAGCTGGTCAGTGGTCATGTCACTAATGATATATTTGAGGCATTAACTGTATTGATTGAAACAAGAGTAACTGATCAGTTGATCTCAGACAGAGTCTTAGGACAGCTCTTTATGGTTCAGGGAAAGCAAAAATGAAAATGTATTGATTCTTTGACACTGGATTTGTTGATAAAAACTGTGACTTATCTCTGTCTTTTAGGTGGAGTCAGGTTTTTTCCTGGACTGCGATGTTAAGATAGTTGGGAAATCCATACGGGATCGTGTGGCACTCATCAAATGGAGGAGGGAGCGCACCGTCTCGTCAGGAAATGGAGAGTCAGCTCCCAAGAAGACGCAGCAGAACCTACTGCAGGTGCCCAGTTCAGGTGTACCAGAGCCCTCCACGTTATCCTCAACGGACTACGAGGACCAAGAGCTTGAGCAGCAGACCCTGATCTGCACCATGCCAGGCACCACGTCTACCACATGTGAGAAGATGCAGCTAGAAGCACATATAAATGATTTAACCTTAGTCTCTGGTAAAGATCTGGGCGAGCAGTGATTAAAAATGTTCAAAGTGAGGTTTGTGAATCGAGGTGTAAGTGTCTGAGCTAAAACGAGACATCACAAAGCCTCTACATTTGAATCTGATGCTTCTCCTCTTCTTCCCCTTCCCCGTGAATCACAGCAAATAATAATTTCCCATTCATCTTCTTGTTACAGCTGACAGTGGAGTGAGCTCTGCAATGCAATTAGATGATCTCAACAATCAGCAAAATGGCACCTACCAGTCCCTTCCAGAGCCCATTTCCTCAGCTCAGATGATCTACAGTCCTCCTGCACAGGCAGACCCTCAGCTGCACCAGGTGCCCTACCAGCAACCCACAGCACAGGCTCCCCAGGAAAACTACACACATCTATCCGCTCAGTTACACCAGGGGGCCTACCAGCAAACCACAGGTCACCTGCATCCTGGGGCCTATCAACAACCTACATCCCAACTGCACCAGGGGCCTTTCCAGTCTCAAACAGTGAGTAAAACCTGTTTTTGTTGTTGTTTATATTCTTCGTTTTTTCTTTTTGCTTTCTAGAATAACTTTTTTCTTACTCAAATCTCTCCAGCGTCACAACAGTGAGCCCTTTGAACACCGTGACATCCAGCTTATATCTGAGTGCAGAGTTTGTTTTAGGCGTGGGAGCTCTTTGCTGGTTGAAATCTTACACTGTAGGAGACACTCCCTCAATAAGACAACCAACCAAAACCTGAATCTGTGTCCATCTCAGACCCAGACGTCAATAAAAAACACAAAAACGTCAGTGCAGTCTTCAGACCTCCTGTCCTCAAACTTGCCCCAGACTCTCCCGTTATTATCTCCTTTCCTGCCCCCACATCAACACTCTCATCATGACTCAGCGAGTAATTTCAATTCACCTCCCTTTCCTTCAAATTTACAACCTCCCTCCCAGCCATTTCGCCTCTGCAATGCTTGTGCGTCTCTCCTCCTGAGGGACAGGACAAAGGAAGATGGATCTTTGAGACACACACATGAATGCTCTTTTTCCACATCCGCACCCACACCTCTTCAACTTGCTCGGTCTCTTCCGGCCATACTGACTCCTTGTTTGACGTCAACCTCTCCCCACTCATCGAACAATCACGTAACCCAGGTGGCTCCAACAATGTGTCTTTCCTCCTCATCAGGAAGTTTATTTAAGAGTGGAGATCTTACCTTTCTTGACCAGTGTCTTCACCACATTGTCAGTCGCAGGATTAGCTCCCCTACTCTCCCTGCTCATCATATCACAGACAGCGACAGAGAGGCAGGGGGTAAAACACCATCAATATTTCAGCATAGAGACAGGAAAAGGAGTCTGGATGCCTCACTCTGCACTAGACCTAATATGGACGGGACTCTGCTGTTTCCACCGTATGACAGTGAGGGCAAACGAGACCCACCGGTAGGTCAGAGAGGAAGGTGTCATGTAGGCTAAATGCACCCTTAGCAGCTCTTATTATTCTGCCAGCAGCTTTCCTCCTCCAGCAACAGACAGTGACAAAGGCAGCAAGTCCTACCTAATCAGATATGAGCTTAGGCTGTGTTTGAAATGAGTTCAGCTGTAACTAAGCTGCAGAGTGTGGCAGTGAAAGGAATATTGTGCCTGCACAGTTTTGGCTTTGTTGCTTGTGAATCATTAATACCAAACTTCCCTTTTACTACTTTGGTTTGCCTTATCCTCGCCTGCCAAAGAATTGTCCATCTTGCTTTTCACCTACCCCTGCCTTTTCACGTCAAACTGTTCATTTCAACCTTGAGCCTGATTCATAGAAGCAAAATAACACACCATTATGTCACATTATCTTTCCAGACAGTTTCAGCTCCAGCTACGCCGGTCCCTGCACTGCACCAGAGTAGACAGACAGCACAGAGCTTCCCGGCCGCAGCTCCGACTTTACAGCCACAGCTTACTGCCCAGCCCAGCCAGGAGCAGGTACTGCGTACATCCAGCTGCACTAAAAATAATCAAAAGCTTTGTACAGGGCCAAAAGCTTCAGCCCCTCCAGAGCTGCCTTCCATGTTGGTATAAGCATGTTTTTCTGTGCAGGCTGCGCTGGTCGGAACTTAACATATTTTCCTTTCTGTTGACTTAGCGTGTCTGGAATGCGGTATAGCTACAGTATGTGTAAACTGTATTAAGACTGGGCAGCTGTATACTTATAGTAATTACAGCTCCAGTGCTTGTTTGGCTCTCAGAATGACTATTTGGGTCATGAACACTAAATGTGAAGTAGTAAATATTCCAGGCAGAAAATTCATGTGCAGTTCAAAGACGTCTCTCATCTGAAAACACTGTATTTAGGAGGTGTGTGTAGGTTTAAGTGTGCTTTAAAAGGTCTCATCATGCGCTTTTATATTCACAGTATGTATATGTGTTTGTGTTGTGTGTGTGGATGCAAATGTATATTCATGTTTTTGTGCTTCCTTCATATTTATTTGTCATCCCACTAGAACCATTTCCAGCCAGCAGCAGTTCGACCGCAGGTATAGCCATCACCTCTTATAGGTTAATACAGGAATCAGTGTTTACATGTCAAACCACACAGGGTCACTCAGTCGCAAACCTGCCTCGCAGCCCACTCTCATGAAGGCGGCTCCCAGACTTAAACATCTTGACAAAATCAAATTCCCACACTCCAAAAATGAAAAATAAAAGTGTTTGATTTCTTTTTTTTAGGTTTTATCGACTGAGCAGACCACCTCTCATCTGAGTCCTCCTGACATGGCAACCAGTTTTGCGCAGACAGTCTCCAGCGCTCCTCCTCCTCCGCTCCTGCCTCTGCAGATTAGTACACAGGTATGTTCTGGCAGTGAGAGAAAGTCCAAATCAAACCAAAGTAGAGAGAGAATTTCTAATAACCTGCTATGGCAAGGTAAATTTATGCGTATTGCAAATTTCACCTCACACAAAGAAAAGAAAGAGCCGAGAAAAAGTTCTCAAACAAATAGCAAATTAAAAAGTGAAGATGTTGATAAAATACAGAGTGCATAAATTAACTAAAAATTAAATTAATATCAGGAGCAATTTAAGAACCTTTAAAAGAGATTCAAATGTATGTAGACCAAAGAATAAGAGCAAATTAAAAGTACGTAAAGTACGTAAAGTAAGTCCATTCAAGGGCATGGAAAAACAGAGAGGTCTCTCACCTGGATTAAAAAATGATCGGGTCACTCATTCAGGGCCTGTGTGAATGCTTTTTTCTCTCCACTGGTTGTCTTGCTTTGTTTGTTTTATATCATTTTCCCCTTTTCTTTCCCAGTTTTCCTCCCCATATCCTGTTGTTCAAACAGGAGGCATCAACCCTGCTTCCTTCCCCCCAGGTCCTCTGCCTTGTGCCTACAGCAGCAGTGGCCCTCCTATGTCTAGCCCTCGCTTCTCACCTTCACCGCAGCACCCCTCCCTTCCTCTGACCCCTCACGCTTCCTTTCCCGCCGCACCCTCACTCGGCACCCCTCAGACCCCTCTGTCCACACCTCAGCACGTGCCCAGTATGGCACTCCATATCCCACTACTCACAATGACCATGCCCACTGCAGTCCCCCAGCAGCAGGGCGGCCCTCCCACATCTCAGGCAAACCTTGGTAGCTTCCATACTGCACATCCTTTACCTCTCGCCCAGGTACAACCCACCCCATACCCCGTCCCCCACCCTGAGCAGGAACTGGCTGAGCAGCCTGTCCAGGTGAATATGTAGTATTAAAGTTGCAATGTGTGCATTTTGTTGGAGTACTGCATGACAGGCATGCGTTCAGGGTTTAGTGGGAGTAGTAATATTTGTGTTTGACTACAAACTGTTCCTAAAATTGTTTTTTTTTTTTTAGGTACCAGCTTCAGTACAGCCTGTGCTGCCTGCTGTTCAGACTTCTCTCTGGGGAGGTGGAGTAGATACAGAGTCGAAAACAAATGTCCAGGATTTACCAGGACTACCACCAAGAACAGCTTCAGTCTCAGACTCAATCACAGTCTCAGCCGCTGAAAAAACTGGAGCTCAAGCCCCAGCACAAAACCAACAAGTCCGAATTACTGAGACCTCGGTTTCAAGCATTGCTAAACCTCTAACCCCAGCCCCCATGCAAGTCCCGATGGCAGCCCAAGCTCTCATCACAGATACGGTTCAAGCACCAGTCTGTGTATCAGACCCGGCTATTGAGCCAACAAAAGGCCCGCTCTCTAGCTCAGACACATCTGGCTTAGCCTCAGGCCCGGTCCCTGTCCAATCAGCAACCAGTGCCAAAGCTCCAGCTTCTGTCGCAGCTTCAGCCCCGGCTCCAGCTCTGCAGCCTGATGGCACTCAGACTGCAGGCTCAGTGTCTGAGTGTGCCAGCCTGGCACCGACTCAGCAAAACCTGGAGTCCACCTCATCCACATCCAGCACTTTTCAACAGGAGCCCTGTGTTGAGGTACTGATCCAGAAAAAGTTAGACTGTGCTATCATTACATCATTATAATGAACAAATATGTTTTTACCCAGATGCATTTTTAGTAAAAGTTATTAATCATACTGCATTGGTGAGTAGGAAAGCTGTAGATCAGCGGATACGTCTGTTAACAAGCTAACATTGTCCTGTCAGAGATGTGTCAGTGTACTCACAGTGTTTGCTGAACATTTTCAGGGAACAGAACATATCAGAAAAGAAAACAGTGCTTAACATTTATCAGAAAGTTGTCTCTGTCATTGATCCAACTCTAGTGTTTACTGTGTCTTTGACACTGTCTGCAGCACATGCAGAATCGCACCATAGTGCAGCAATAGGTTGGCTGACAAAGCCCAAAAAAATTAATATCTTTTAGATATTTAGTTAATACAGTATTTTTTGTTTGGGGCAAATCAGGAGCTAAGCATGTGAGTTATATGAAAGTTTTCATCTCAGCTCCAAAAATGTACAAAATCAGCAGCTGTATATTGTGCAGTCTGTGGTTATTCCTTTGAAACGGTGTCTGTATGAGCTCAAAAACCCTATTTTAACCATGCTTTAAGACAGCATGTTTAAGTCATGCCCTTCAAAAACATTCACATCAGTTATATGCCCACACTAAAATGACCCCTCACTGCCTATATTACAATGACTGAGGTCATCTAACTATATCACATTTGATCCTCTGTCTGTTTTCAGGATGTTCTGCAGGACAAGCCTGTATCTTTACCCAGTTTTGCATATGACAGGTTTGTTTGAGTTTTCACCCACATATCTTCATAGATATTCTCTTCTCTTTGAAAAATGTGACACCATCCAAGTAATTAGAAAGTTCTTTCAACTTTCCCTTTTATAGTCTCAACTCTGATGTAGCATCTGGTAAGGAAACAAGTGACGGCTACGACAGCTTGGTGAGTGCAGGGAAGGGGGATGGAAAACCCAGGAAACACCACCGCAAGTCTGCCCGAACACGCTCCCGACAGGAGAAGACCAGCAAACCCAAACTGAGCATGCTCAATGTGAGCCGTGATGTTATTTGTAAGGATAGATAGTATATCTTCTTGAAATCTTGCTGTGTCTGATGGTATCCTCTGACCCCTCAGGTTTGCAACACTGGAGATAAAATGGTTGAATGCCAGCTGGAGACTCACAACCATAAAATGGTGACATTTAAATTTGATCTGGACGGAGATGCTCCAGAGGAAATTGCTACTTACATGGTTGGTTCAACCTGATGCGGTTTTGCGGCTTTTGCAATTTGTTGGCCATATTGATAACAGTGGTTAACATATTGTAAAACTTTATGCCTGCAGGTAGAGAATGGCTTCATCCTGCTGCTGGAGAAGGAGATGTTTATCGACCAGCTGAAGGATATCGTGGATAAAGCTGAGGACATGCTGAACGAGGACATGGAGGGTGAACGGGCCTCTACTTTGAGTCGTAGTCCTCAGCAAGGCCTCATTTCTGAGGGGCTCGTAGGGGAGGTAAAGTACCTACACACTGTATACAGAAACATACCACATGCTGGTACAGAGATTTAGACATGAACTGAATGGCTCCAGATAAATAGAAACAGAGGGATGAGTGCGCATTGACTTCGATCTTTCTGTCCCACTGCAGAGTCAGCAGCCTGGAGCACCTCAGCCCGTCTATCAGCAGAATGGTAAAACTGTTATCTCATTTTAACATGTCTCAATATATATATACTCTGCATGTTTTAAGTTTATTTATAAGAGAGTGCTAACTGTCTGAACTCTGGGGTCACAGTTCTCCACACAGGAAAGAGATGGTTCATAATCTGCCCCGTTGAGGAGACACCCGCATCCAGCCAGGACACTCCGTCTGATGGAACAACCACACAGTCTCCTGGGAGTTCAACCACCACCCAGCCAGCTGACAGCGGCACAGCAAGGCCGTCCACGTCCAGAGGTGACTTTCGTTTCTTCAGAAGAATGAAACAATAGCACCACCTTGTGGCATTTAAACAGACATCTGACAAACCCCTACTGCATGCAGGTTCCATGAAAAGAAGTGACGTATAAAAGTTGATCCAGTTTTAAATTGTAAAACCATCATTTGTTTTTAATCTCTCATTTGTCCTTTACCAGAAGAGGGGTCATCCTCCACGATGTCTGGAGGAAGTGGAGGCTTCACCTATGACGTGTATGGATTCTGTAGTCCTCCAATCATGTCCAACACAGACCCTCTGCTCTTTGCCACTCTGTCGCCCCCTGTGTCTGCTCCCCCCACCCTCCAATCAGTGTCATCAGCGGAGCCTGCAGGTACCGCGGTGCAGCCCAGCGTTCATCAGGCACAGCCAGTCAGAGCCCAGACTTCGTCCCCACATACAGCTTTCCCAGTCGAGGAGTCACAGGGATCCCCTATGGGCTCCGTCTCCCCAATCCACGCAGTTCTGAAGCTTCCTGAAATGACTTGTCCCGTGTCAATGGCAGATGAGGTGCCCTGCTGCCCCCTGGTCATGCCACTGTCACTGGATGTGAGTGGTCTACAGGCAGGGTCTCCTCTCACTCCTCTTCCACTCCAGGAATCCGGTTCAGCCAAAGAGCCGCTTTCGGTCTCTTACACATCAGCTGCACGGAGCGAGCGCCCACAGCAGCCTGTGGTGCTCCACCAGCCTTTTTCCAGTGTTGGGGGGACCAAAGCACCCTCACTACCCCAGAGCCCAGCCCCGTCTCAGCATGGTGCTGGGCCAGCCGAGACAGAGGGGGAAGGACGACTGGGCCGCGGCGGCTTTGTGGACAGCACTATAAAAACACTTGATGAGAAACTAAGGAACTTGCTTTACCAGGAATACGCCCCGATGTATCCATCAGGCAGTGCTGCAGAGACCCCCGGCTCCGGTACCGAGTACATCCAGTCTCCTCCTGGTCCAGACAGCGCCACAGGAGGGTCAGGAAACAGCACCCCAGGACCCATGGGGGAGGGACGCTACAGGGCAGGAGAACAGCTGGTAAGACTTATAAGTATCTCATTATTTAACTGTTTACATGTTTGTGTTTGTTTTCACAAACAGCAGCTGATAAAAAAAAAATCATGAAACAAAGTTTGTTAGCCTGTGTCTCTGAACTTTGGAGTTATATTGAACAATTGTCCTCAACAGGTTTTTAAATGTCCAATCTGTCCCATTAAGAGCATCTGGAGTAATCCTCACCGCAGTTTGTTCATATATGAGTTTAGGTTTTGCACCGGGCAAAATATTTTTCCCATTTAGAGCTGTGAATTATGTGTAATTAAATGGTTTTGTTTTTAAAGGTTATGCCAGTTTTTCACAAGAAACGCTCAAGAGCACAAGAAACTGCAAACATGTCACATTTAGTGCTTATTTTAAATCAACTTTTCTTTACAGTGGAGGCAATGTTAGCAGCAGTAATTGCTGAAATTAACACATTTCGTTGAAGAACTTTTGTTGTTTGATGCTAAGGAACACTTTGAAGTTTTAAGAGTGATTTTATGACAAACTGGGCAGCCTAAGTTTAACCCATGTACTGTTAGATATTGTGATAGATAATTGGTGGGACATCAGCACCAATATTCAGTCTGAAAAAATCTAACAAGTGCATGATCAATGGTGTTTGTGAAGCTGATCTTTGACTGTTCTGCATCTCCTTTCCCGTCACCTCAAACAGCCTCAAATCCCGGAGAGGATGGATAGTTTAAGCACGCTGAGTGACTCAGCAGTATGTGGTATGTACAGCATTCACTTATCAGTGACACAAGACCAGCACCATTACCATCAAACTAAAGTTTCTGTTAGCTTTTTACTGCAGCGCTGAAGTCTTCATTTTGTTAAATGTTGCAGCATCCCTGTCAAGACGTCATGTTCCTCACTCTGCTTCCTGCTCTGGAACAAGAGGCCGATTTAAGGTACCAAAGAGAAACTTTTTCAGGTTTGAAGGGAAAGAGGGGTTTCCTAGTTGCTGTTGTTGAACTGGATTTATTTTTTTTGTTTTGTTTTGTTTTTCAGATAATCTCTGTTCCCCCAGAGGTGGCCAACAGACGCGATGTGAAACAAAGGAGCTGGAGCAGCGCTGCCTCCCCGGCACATCCTGCTGAATACATTGAAGACCTCGCTCAGGCTGAAGCCATGGCTGTCTCCACCACAATTGGCCGTTTCTCTGTGATAAGCACAGAAGACGATATAACACAGAGGACACGCTGCAGCCGCTACTCAGCCCCTCCAGATTTCTACCTGGACACGCCTCCTTCCATGGCCAAGCGGGGCTCCCTGCCTCGTGCTTTGACTTCGAACTCCGTCCCTGTGGATGTCACGGTCCACGCTCGCTTCCTCTCCTCAGACTCTGGGGCTGAGAGCAGCCCCGCTAAGATGGCTTCTGCCACCCCGTCTCGACATACTCGCTCTGAGCGCAGAGGGAGCGACCTCATGAAGAGGGCAGTAGCCTTCCTCCGTCGCTCAGGGCGCAGCAGCAGCTTGCAGAGCTCTGACTCACCGAGCAGGCATGGAGGCGTGCCTGGTTCGGCCTATGCCAGCAGTGATAATGACTCTGAGATGGAGGATTCAGACATGAAGAGGGAACTACAGAGACTCAGGGAGAAGTTAGTACAGACACCAGTTTGTCTTTTACTTTATTAAGTGTATATAACCATTAGAATATTTAGTGACAAGATGTACTTCTGCCTCTCTTTCCTCAGACATCTGAGAGAAATCTCTGAGCTGCAGGCCAACCAACGAGGGGAAGTGGAGCTGCTGTATCGTCGTCTTGGTAAAGCTCCTCCTGCTGGCTTGGGTCTGTCACACGTTGCACCACAAACTGGCCGCAGGAAAAGGTCCAGCAAGCACAGACTGAAGCCCGGCAAACTTCTCAGTCCTCTGGTTCAACAGTTTAGAAACGTCACCACCAAATCAAGTGACTCTAGCAAATCCAGTGAGCAACTTGTCACAAACTCCGCAGTCGAACATAAAACGATGACAGCAGGAGCACTAAATGTATTATTCTGCTGATTGTGTGTGTTTTCAGACGCCGCGACGGGAGCGGGCGAGCCTGCCGTAAGTTTAAATGGCTCTCCAGCTAAAGCATCTTTCCCCACACATGGCAGGGCACGTTCTTGCACCAGCCACCTGCCCAGTTCCACCTCAGAGCCGGTTCAGACTCAGCAGCCCTGTTCTCTAAAAGGGTCTTTGTCATCTGATAATATTTACGCTGGTCCACATGGAGATGGCACCGGCACACAAGCTCCTGTTGGACAAGGTGACCACCAGCAGTACACTACGTATCATCTTATTAGCGTAACAGTCTTTGATAAATTGCCTGTGAACATCTCCGTAGAGAACTAGTTTAAAGGTCCCCTATTATGGAATTTTTTAATCAAGTTTAAATCGGTCCCAGAGGTCCCACAATTGAAGTTTGAAGTTTGTTGTCTAAAACTCTAGTTTATTTGTGTATAACATCCAGTCTGTACCCCCCCTCTTTTTGGGCTCCACTGAGAACGGGCTGATTCTGCGCCTGTACCTTTAAATGATAATCAGCTGTGTGTAAACATCTTCCTCCCCAAGGCCACTCTGAGCTGCCAGCACCACCGCAGTGGTCCAGGAGCAGTGGTCTGGAGATCTTCTGAGGATCTCTTCAGAGGACCTCCAGACCACTGTGGCTCGAAGCACCAGGCTGCCCCGGCGCCCCCGAGAAACACCCGCTGCTCACAGGAATAAAAGTAAATAGAAGCGAGTCTGAAGACAAATACCAACGATGGTAAACACACACGATTGCAGCCAAAGCACTAGTCATACAGGTAAAGAAACATAAAATGGTGAAACTTACAGCTTCCATGTTTGAAGTTAGGTCCCTGACACGGACAGTCGGTACAGATCCAGGTTTTATCTTCAGCTTCTTTGCGAATTCTGCTTTGAACTGCCCCTTGTTGGTAAAACAGTCTGTAGTGAAATGGTTAGCACCATAGACTGTATATAAGATGGACACCCTGGTTCCGCCTTCCGCCTGTATATGGATTTGAAGCCAAAAAGCTCTCGGTAATTCCGGGTTTTTCTCCACTTCCTTGAAACCAGAGCTGTGCAGTAGCGTTGTGCGCATTCGGCCGCGCAGTCGCCGAGAGTCCCTGTGATGACGCTCGGCTCAAACAGCGTATCCCCCTGGAGAGCTACGCAATCCCTGAACGCCCATAGGCTGTATCAGGTGTCAATCATAGAACATGAACCCCTAATAACTTTTAAAAACGGAGCTTCACAGAAAAAAGAGGACTTGAGCACAAACCAGTCTTACAGTAACTACATGTCAACATCACAAGCAGGGGGGAGAAAAAATTGTGTTTTGTGTAATAAATTTCTAAAGTTTGTCCACAGCGCCATAAGCTTTGCTGGCGGAGGTGGGATTTATGACCTGTACTGCAGCCCACCATCAGAGGGTGCTGTTCTCGGAGTGGCTTCACCCAGCGAGGAGGCAGACTCTGTCCATCTTATATGCAGTCTATGGTTAGCACACATATACAACATTTTCGGAATTGTTGTGGGTTCATTTCCATCAAAAATAAAATTAACCCACTGGGTCCTCAAATCTTCAGACGAAGGAAGCAGAAATAGACTCCTGTCTTCGTTTGTGCAGCCAAGAACCAAGCAGCGGCTGGGTCGTAGCTTCGGCATGGTTGCTGTAGCGGAGCGGTGTATGCGAGGGGGAGAAAATAGCGGACGCTACCTGAGCGAAGATGTTTTAGAGGGCTGGGCTAATGATTATCGGGGGCGCTGCCACCAACATTTAGGAGGGGCTTAAGCGGTTATGTCGTCATAACCACACAGCTTTTCCACTCTCCTGTTTGCGCGCATGTTTTCAGAAAGGAGGGGATTTGAGGGGATGCATATTATTGGTAGAAAACCACCCAACAGTGGATTTTTCATAATAGGGGACCTTTAAAAAGCACCTTTTTCTGCTGTAATGAACTTTTAAACAGATGTGTGCCCTGCTTACCCTGGTGACTTCTTCCTTCTTTGGTTGTACTTCTCTACAGGCTGGTCTAATTACCCTCAAACATCTGAGAGAGTGACCAATAAATCGAGTAGCAAGCCGCGAGCTAGATTTCTCAGTGGGCCTGTGTCTTTGTCTATCTGTTTGTATCCTCTCTCTTCCAGCATAGCTTCACTTTTTGGTTTTCCATACTTTATATTTCCGTGGTTTAACCTCACTGATATCTTTTCTTTTCTGTCTTCGCCAAACTATTCTCCAACACATTTCTTTTGCTCCGCATTGTCTCTGTCACTTATCGCCCCGATCTGGTATTTTTGCTCATACAGAAATATGTTGCTTATTCAAACCGTTGAAGGGTGAAATTTATTGTGAAGAAATTGAGATTTTGATTAATTGAATGATTTCTTTTTCAAGTTTCAGACATAACTTTGTTTAAAGAAAGTAGCTCTATTTAATATTTCATAATTTTGAAACTTTCATCTGAAGAGATGTCTTGTTTTACAAGTTTGAGGTTTGGATAATCAAGGTTGCCTTCAATAGTAATGAGCATCGTCTTACATTTCAAGTGTGTTATTTGCATACATACATTCACATTTTTGTAACTTATTCACCTGGCATTCTGGAGAAATTGACTTTTGCATGCAGCTTGCACCCAAACCTGACTTCTTATCTCTGATCTTTTCTCAATCTCTTTCTCTCATCTTTTGCTCTCTTCCTTCTTCTTCTCTATTTCTTGAACTCTCTCACTCTAAATTTTGATCTCCACCTGGACCAACTGCATGTTTCCGTGGAGAAAGCACTGCCTTGTTTCAGGGGACTGATTGCATTGCTACTTTACTTTCAGTTTGGTCTTTTGTTTTGTGGCAATCTATAGTAGCTTTGCTTTGCACTGCATCCTGTAATTCATCATTATTATCTGATAATGGACCAGCTTTTTCGGCTTAAAGTCTGCTGTGTCTTACAGGGACAACGCTGAAGCGACTGTGTCTCGGCAAAGAACGTGGCAGCAGTATGTAGAAAAACAGAGCTTGTTAAAAATCTATTATTTTAATTTGTATGTCTGTATGAAAATCATGCCATAATATGTGTTCATTCATTCACTCTCAGGGTCTGGAGCCAGCTCAGGGGCTTCCAATCAACAACCACCCATGGGTGCCACGCCTCCTCCTCACCAGCCAGTGATGGGACTGGCTCAGGCTCAGGCGAACAACAGCAACAATAAAACAGCCACATATTCGGGTCATTCTGCACGTGAAAATGAAATCAACCTGCCAGAGGATCTGCAGCGGCTGATGGAGGACTGGGCCCAGGAGGTCCTTATCGTCACCCACCGGCCGGAGACGGACTCTCTGAGCATCAGTGGGCAGCAGCTTTGGGATCATGTTGTGCCTCGGACACAAGAGCAACTGGCCAGTGGTTCAAATGTTAGTTTCATAAGAGTTAAAAACAAGTTTTGGTGAATGATGAACCGGTGGGTAAAAGTATGAGGTCATTTAAAGGTGGGTCCGGCAGGAATCCGTTAAAGAAGCATCTTTTTTGTGGTGTATTTACAAAAAAGATTTTAATATCAGTCAATAGCTATTAGTTATTAATGACATTTGGTAATATAACAATATCGCTGTGTTTCGTTATGTCTGTGTAGTCAACATTTTGAATTTTTTGAGCGCTCTGCTCTTTCTGACTGTAAACAAAGCCATTCTCCGCCTCCTTGACGTGATTGGTTGTGAGGCAGACGCTGCTCCCCGTGTTGTGAGGCACACTCCACGTCCTCGAATAACGTTCATGAGCCCAAACAAAGTTAGCGTGCTACAATATCGGACAGTAGAAACCAACCAGAAAGTATGGAAATTTTTCTGAATCCTCCTTTGGCCACGACTGCCAACACAAACAAGAATAGGAAGTAAATACCAGAGACTTTGGCAGAATAACGGGCGCTTAAAATGCTGGGAAAGAGCTAAAAAGCCGGGTCAACATAGCATGAACGATGGGGAACTCTTCGGGATCTTACGGACCCTGTAACCTTTCTGCTGGACAGGTAAACCGCTTTAACAAAGTAAGCCAAATGTAGCAGAAGTGTTTCTTGTCAAATGGACCTGCTGCATGTTGAAGCACCACTAAACTGTTGACCTCGGGTCCAGGAATATGTCACTTTATCCTAGTTGTAGAAGTTCTGCAAACATTGTGTTTGCTGGTAGTCTGTTGGCATCTAAAGTAGCACCAATGCTGTTTACTTTCACGTTGAATGGACCCCATTTGTAATCATCTGAAGTATTTATCTGCATTATATCTGAATTTAATTGAAACGATAGGAGCAAGCAGGAGTGTCTGTTTGTGGGCGGGGCTTACTGGAGCAGAGAAGGAGGGGAGAGGAGGAGCTGAGGGGAAAACTGGTTAGGAGGGGTAGTGTTTACATTCAAGATTTCTCCCGAAAACTGGCACTTCCTCAGATCCTGCCTACCCCACCTTTAACTCTTAAACAGGAACTTTTAGAGGCACAGCGAGGAGCTTAGTAACAACATTATTACAGCATTCAACTTTGACCCCAGAGGAAATAAGCTGCTGCATGAATAATTTGAATAATATCACATCATTGTTGGTATTTTGTACATGCAGGAAATCACTGTTTCAAAGTTAAACATCGTCTCCCTTTTGTTTCTTTCTCAGGTATCATCATGGACAGCCCCCGGTCCAGAGGCCTGCAGTCTCCACCTGTCATGGTTGGACAGCCCAGGGTCAACAATGACTTGTCCCTCCACAGGGCCTCATACTAATTATCAGCTGACCTCCCCCTCTCCGTTCAGGGCAATGTCCTCACATGTCTCTATTGGTCAGTGGCCTGGGTTTCTGTCCCCTCTTCATCCAGGAGTCTTCGCCTTTCCTGCTTTGCCCTCAACCCAGGAATCCCCCAGCCCCATGCCAGCTCCGTCATATCAGCCCCCTGACCCCAAAGCAAGGACTCTCTAATCTGAGTAGCATTGTGTCTTCCACTTCTTTTACCAAAAAGAAATCTCATTATAGGTCTAGTCAATCTTCTGTGCATATACTGTATATATTTAACCAGCATGAATTCATGTACATATTTGTCCCCGTTCATGACTTTCATGCATTTGTTTCATTTGCATCAACATACCTCATGTCCATATTATAATACAAAATCCTTGAGTGCAGTGTAACGATAGTAGTACATTAAAAGATGTATACTTAGCCCAGTTGGGTTTAAAAATGCAGATTTTTGTCATTGCTTATATATGTACCTCTCAACTCATTGAATGTACATACTGGACTGTTCATTTATGCTGTGTTTATAGAAGTCTGTGTTGCTCATATCACCCTATTTATTAGCTGCCCTGTGTATATATGAATTCCAGTTAGTCTGTACATAGGAGCTCCTGTGTCTGTACAGGTAACATTAGATTAATTCATAGGTTGGTGCTGCAGATGTGTAACACCCTATTAGCTATTATCATGCTGTCACTGTGAAGACTTAACATCCTGGTCACTAGGACCAGCTGCTTTTTTCTGCTCTCTGTCCGAGGATAGGTTTCATTCTTCATCGATGAAATGCTTCCAGCACAAGCGCTTGAAATAATCCTTAAGAGATTTGAATGAACTTGAACTTTATCTTCAGGTGAAGGAACACCTGCGAGAGTGCCTTGAATATCAGTTTCAATTTTATGAAGAAAAGCATTTAGATTCAAAGCAGACACTAGATATTGTGTATATGCATTCACTTTCAAAGGTAAACTATTTGATTTGATTAATGAATGTGGACTGAGACATATTTGATTTAGCAGCAAACATATTTAAACACGATAATAATCCGGACGTGTTGCAGATCATGAGATATCACAGATTGTAAAGAACACTTGTGGGTTCACCCTCTCCACCTGCACCACCGCCTGCATGAATACACTGATATTCTGAATGTGCTCAGGTTGATGTGGTGAGTTACAGGAAATCGTTCAGAGAAAAATGACAATGGAACCAAACAACAAGGAGGGCTTAAGGACTCAACCTATGAGTCAAAATCATGATCATACCATACCTCGACTAATGCAATCTGTAGCTTTACATATTGTTGCCTTGTGGTTTTAAAGAGATTACTGTGCGGATGGCTGTCGTTTGATAAACATGGATGATATGAGGATGTAACAGGCACATGAAGATTGTGAATCACTGGGAGGCCACTGTTGTTTGTATGATGCATAGGTTTTCTAAATCTTGTTTATTAGATAAACATAATGCTTATTGTAGATGCAATGGCTGACTTAATTTAATGATCTCCAGGAAACATCACGCTAACCAATGTTTGAGTCATTTCAAAGTAACACTGTCACTTTGTTTTTTCTTTCTTTCTTTTATAACGTACCTGACTCCCCCTTAATCGTGTGTTGAATGCATCAGTCGCCTTGTGTTTTCTGCAAAACCAAGCAATGGCAAAAATCTATGTAGTCAAGTTTACGGAACTAAAAGAGCTGTTGTGTAAGATTAACTCAGTGCTGCTTATCATGATACATCCTGAAGATAACAAAACCATTGTTTTGACACATCAGCACCCTGTATTCTCCCAACTTGTGACCCTTTCAATACAGTTAAAGGCTGATGCAGCAATTTCACAAAAGACTGATTATAAAAGTAAACCAGGAAGGCTTGAACTACATTATACCAAAAATACAATTCAGGAGTATTTTTGAGAATATTTTCCGTCAGAGCTACAGAAGACAGATCAGGAAGGAGTTAAAAGTACAACTTTGTAAAATGAGTGGATTGTTCCTCAAAAATCCTTCTATGTTTGCACAAAGTGACAATCTTTTGACTCAAACTGAATTGTAGAAGTTTTTCCATGATAACATTGAGGACTTTTTTTTTTCTTGAAATCATCTCCTATGCAGCTGTTTTTAATGTACGTTTCACATCAACCCCTGTCTTCAGTCTCTTCAGTGCTTGCAATGAAAGCTTGGTGTATGGTTGCTTTTGCCTGCTGTATCACTTGTTCTCTTCCATTTCCCAACCTTGTCTAAATGATACTCATCCACAAAAGCTGTACATACTTGAAGTCAGAAATAATAAATTCATTTTTGCTTGACACCATACAATTTTAAAACTTATTCATTTAACTTAGAGTACACACTGAAGTTTTATTTCTAAAATATGCTGTATGTATTTTCATGAAAAGTGTTCAGTTTGTTTTCAAAGTGGAATTACTGTGAAAGGCTGAACCCTTACGGAAACTCACAAGGGCAGCTGATCATTTTTGAGAACAATGTTGTGATTCCTGGCAGTGCGGATTGTGTACATGACGGTGGGTGGGAGTGTGATGTGTGTGTTTATCTGTGTGTGTGTGTGTGTGTGTGTGTGTGTGTGTGTGTGTGTGTGTGTGTGTGTGTGTGTGTGTGTGTGTGTGTGTGAGAGACAGTGAAAGAGAGAGAGAGAGAGAGAAAAGAGTTAGGCCCTCTGAAAAAAATATGTGCACAAGCTCATGTGTGTCTGGGTTTAACTTTAAAAGACGGTGTCATCTGCCTGGCTAGCATTCTAGTGGGAGCAACCATGGCAAGAACTGTGGTGCAAGTCACTCTCTTTGGCCTGCTGCTGGCTTTGGTTACTACGCTGCCAAACAAGGTAAGGCATACTGCACAGAAAACTAAATCTATTGAATGTGTGAATTCAAACTTTCAGTGGCTTGGACTTGATTTTTTTTTCTTTTCTGAATCTTATATCTTTCTGAAAATTGCAACACAATGACCTTTGCCTCTGATAAACATTCAAAGCTTAGGTTGAGGGACCTGCAGGTTCTGCACCTTTGGTGTTGCTTAAAGTTTTAACACAATTCGAGTTCCTTTAAGTGACAAAAATAACTAAACTTTACAGCTACGATTCCTTTAGGGGACACAAAGCTGGGACTCACGATGTTTACAATGAAGTTAAAGGAAAAAAGAGTTTGCACTGTGAAATGATATTAAAAAGAGCGAGGGGTGTTTCTGCAGTTAGACCAATGACATTTCACCGATGCCTCCCACCTTTTTTTTTTTTTTTTTTACATCACTATCTGGTCTTTGGCTTGTTGGTCACCGGCCAGAGACCCCAGCCAAGTCGTTTTAATGAGAAATTCTCCTTTTGTATTTGCTCAGGATGACTGGGACATTTACAGCTTTCACATCAACTCAACCGTGAGCAACCGTTATGCCACCACCGTCATCACAAGTCGTGTGGCCAACCGAATGGATGAGTCGAAGGAAATAGAATTTCAAGTTCGGATTCCCAAGAATGCGTTCATCAGTAAATTCAGAATGTGTGTAAAGCTGAAAAAATACATGAGTATTTATGGAAAACATAGTAAAAATGAATGATAGGTCACTGATAACTTATATGTATCAAAGTCTTGCCATTTGTCTCCAGGTTTATAGATGGCGTGGCATATGATGGGATTGTGAAAGCTAAGGAAGCAGCTAAGCAGCAGTATCAGGATGCTGTGTCTCGTGGCCAGAGTGCTGGGATTGTAAGGTACATGAGTCAATGGATGGTGGCAAAAAATAAAGACTTTCCCTACAACTGTTATAAGAGAATTAAAAAAAATCTTGATGTGAGGAACTCCTAAATAACCAGTAGTCGAGTTGTGAAAAAAAATTAGGGGGGATGGTGAATTTTACTTTTTGGGACAGATATTTTCTTTTGATGACAGTGCACATGGCGGGAAACCAACTGTGTACCCATTTTATTGTTACTAAAGCACAAAGATAATTATTATATTACATAATCCCTCAGATTGAGCTGTCCATGTCGCTTGGCCATGATACTGAAATCGCAACCACATAACCAGCGCTGCTCACTGACGTCATCTTTTCTTTTAAAAAGAAAAAAAAATAGTGTTATTTTCACTTGTGCCGCCTCACCCAGAGTATTTAGCCAAATATGTGCCAAGCCCCCTGTCACAGGGTTCTTGCTCAATCAATAAAAATATAGTGGAAAAACACAGGCGTAAGGGAAAACAAAGTGATGGTGATAGGATTTGTTTACAGTCGGCCTTCCAAGGTGCAGTGCATAAATATTTACAAAAGTGCAAAAAAATGGTCGAATATTATTTACAAAATGTACAAGGCAAAAAAGAAAAGGATTTCCACTATAACTCAAGATTCTCACTCAAGAGAAAAAAACAAACACAGCAGCACTACAAAAGTCAGTTTGGCAGTTACCTTCCATACAACAAACTCCAGACTCACAGAAAGGCCTAGCCCCTCCCAGTGGGCGTTAAAACTCATGTACTCACATTTAAACCATTTTTACCATTTTTTACCTTCAGACGTTTTTCTGTAAGTATTTGCCATTTTAACTAAGTTTTTACACAAATCAATGGAGCATTAATCGTGGCAAATAACAAGGGAATTAATTTTTCTTGCATCATGTGACGACTTTGACCCTCCATACAAACTTTTTAAAACACGGAAATCATGCTCTCTGTTTCCTCATTTGGAAACATGATCCGGCATGATGGCGTGAATGGACATCCGGCAAGTAAGTGAAAGGATGAATGTCTATGTGAATGTATGTTAAAGTGAACTGATAGAGCTCCAAGTGTGCACCCTTAGTTACCCTATCCAACAGAGAAGAAGGAAAAGTATAGCTGTTTGGTGGGTAGTTAGCGACGCTGGCGGGGAGGGAAATGTTAGGTGTGTGTGTGGCTCCGTGCGCTAGTGATGGGCACGGCAGTTCTTTTAGATGTACTGAATCTATAGAATCGGTTCACTAAAAAGATTCGTTCAAAAGATTCGTACACTAAATCACCAACTCATGTAGCGCAATGATAGGATGCGGCTAGTTTAATGCACTACTTGTTACATGCTGTGTCCTATTGTATTGTGTAACTGGCAATGTTGTTTCTCACTTCAGTTGAGCTCAAGTGAGAAGCGAACGAATCACTCGAGGATGTGATTCGGTCCAGTACTTTCACTTAAAACATTCGGTTCTTTTGAACGAATCGTTCGCGAACGACACAACACCACCATGCGCTGCCCGCAGTAGAGAGGACGCAGCTCCGTCACACCCGCTAAACTTAGAAATTGCTGTAATATTCCTAATGTTAAAATATTTGTCATATTTCCACATTCATTGACAAAAATGGCTCAAAGGATGGATCGTTTTGACCGTTTTGGAAGGGGATAGTTTTGATCATTTTCATTTCAGGGGGATGCCACACTCGACTACTGTAAATAACTTCTGGCGAGGGGTCTTAAATATTCATAATTTCATTTGTTACAAGCCAACATGAGGTTGGGAACCACTGCTTTGGTACCATGTTTATCATTTCTCTTGAAGTTCTGTAGGGAGGACTCTTGAGGAGTTCAAGACTTCTGTGAATGTGGCTGCTCACAAAAAGGTCACCTTTGAACTCACATATGAGGAGCTGCTCAAACGTAGACTGGGCAAGTATGAGCTGACCATCCATGCCAGACCCATGCAGCCTGTCAAAGACTTCAAGGTGTGTGACTCTTAAGTTGGTATCTTGTATCGATGAACCATGAAAACAGTGCAGGGGTTATGAAAACTCCCATGCTTCTAACCTCTCTCTGTTTCATCCATGTCTCAATGCCAGGTTGACGTGAACATCAATGAGAAAGCTGGGATCAACTTCATGGAGGTCAAAGGAGGACTCAACACCAACGCCTTGGCTAATGCCGTCACAAAAACGTTTGCAAACACAGAGGTACAGCACGGTACTTTGCAGCAGGTTAAAAACTTCACTAAACTTCACTGAGTCATGATGGAGAGCCGTTTCACTTTCTACTAATCTTTTGGCATTATTTCGATATAACAGGGGTCCATCGAAATGCATTTTTGCAACATTTCTAGATTAACTCAACTTAATGTTTTAACTGCTGGTTCATTCAGAGTATTCTAAACTTTGATTTTCTGTTTACAGGCCTGGGTGTATTTCTATCCAACAGTGGACCAACAAAAACTATGTGACAGCTGTGGAGAGCACGGTATGAATGGAGATCTGGTTATTGTTTATGACATTAACAGGGACGCTGCATTTGGGAACATTAAGGTACACCAGTCATTTAATTCTGTAGAGTTTGACTGTCAATGATGTTTAAGAAACTATTTAGATTCGAGCTGCAAGAGTTCGAGAACAACATGCAGCAGTTTCATACCAATATCTTTGCTAACGTCTTGAAACTTTCACTTCTTCTTCTCTTAGAAATCACCAGGGTACTTCGTTCATCACTTTGCTCCATCTAATCTTCCCCGCATACCAAAAAATGTTGTCTTCATCATTGATCAAAGCGGCTCAATGCATGGCAGAAAAATGCTCCAGGTACAGTGTATTTAAAGTAAAGGTTTGTTACAAAAGAGCACTGTAGTACTGGAGGCTATTGGTTTAAGCATGTGATGTTTAAGACTCTATTATATGTCTGTGGTGCAGATTTAAGAGCACACATCAACGAAGAATGACAAACTATCATGTATTATTATTATCAGTACTGACATGTGATTCATGTTTTTTAACCAGACCCGAATTGCATTGATTCATATCTTGAATGACCTGGCCAAAGAGGACTTTTTCGGAGTGATCACTTTTGATAGCAGCATCTTTCACTGGAAACGAGAACTTGTTCAGGCTAATGAGGAAAATCTGGCCAGTGCCAAGACTTTTGCACAGCGTATTCAAGATAGAGGATGTGAGTATATATTTGATATGAGTATATATATATATATATATATATATATATATATATATGTATATATATATATATTTATATTTATATTTATTTATATTTATTTAAAATTATATTTATTTATTTATTTATTTATTTATTTATTTATTTATTTATATATTCATTTATTCATATTTATATATGTATTTATTTATTTATTTATATTTATATTTATATATATATATTTTGGCTTATGTATTTCAGCCACAGACATTAACCTTGCAGTATTAGAAGGAACACGCATGCTGAAGGCACATCCAAGAGAAGATTCAGCTTCAATCCTCATACTTCTCACAGATGGAGACCCAACTTCAGGTATGACAAGAGACCTGTATGCACTCAGACATGTATACATATGGTTTCAGAAATCAATACATAGGGCCTGAACAATGAGGTTTAACATTTCTAATTTGTGAACACTTCCCTCTGTCTGCTGAATAAACTCCAAACGTGCATTTGTCTGTTTCACTCTGCAACTTTCCATTTACTGTTGAATCTATCTTCTCTCTGCAGGGGTGACTAATCTCGAACAAATTCAGTCAAATGTAAGAGAGGCCATTGCAGGTAAATTCCCTCTCTACTGCCTCGGTTTTGGTTTTGATGTCAATTTTGAGTTCCTTGAGAAGATGTCACTGCAGAACAATGGTGCGGCACGACGCATTTATGAGGACTCTGATGCTGATTTACAGCTGAAGGTATAACCTATTACTGCCACTTCCCTCACGGTACTAACGCTTTAAATATGGTGAAGTGAATATTCAGCCTAAGTCAAAATTTTGTGCCCACAGGGATTCTATGAAGAGGTGGCCACTCCTTTATTGACAGATGTGACAATGATTTACGAGGGTGGGTTCAATGTCACCCAGACTAACTTCAGCCAGTATTATAATGGCTCTGAGATTGTTGTGGCTGGCCAGATCACAGACAACGACATTGAAACCTTCACTCCACAAGTTGTGGCTATTTCTGTAAGGACACTCAACTCAACTTTATACACATAGCACCTTTCAGACATACAAACAATGCACCTCAGAGTGCTTCACACAAACACATAGATAGGAAATGAATGAAACTTGAAAGGATGACAGAAATATGAGACCAGACAAATAAATGAATAAACACAAAATAAATAGATCAAGTATAATCAAATAGCACAGAATAAAAGGAATAGTCTGATTGGTGCATTTAAAAGGGAAGCAGCCGACACTTCACTGGAGCATAAAATGACAGCAGACCTGTAACGAATGGAGGAGCAAAGCCGTGCAAAGCTTTAAAAACAGTTAAATAAAAAGGGAGTTAAAGTGATCTGAATGACTTGTGATAAAAGCATGAATTGAATTGAATTGAAATAAAAAAGGTCTGACTTTTGCAATGTTACTAAACTGATAAACACAAGTGCTTATGACCTTGTTAAGATGAGGTATAAAATTGAACTAAGAATCTAAAATCCCTCCCAAGTTTGTGACATTTGATTAGACTTGCCGGTGAAAACCTACCTATTAAAAGAATTTCTGTTTTATCTTTATTTAATGTTAAAAAGTCCTTGCTCATCTGTACAGTAATGTCTAAAAGTCAGGCAGTGGGAGTTTGCAGTGCATTTTGACTGATAGTCTGGTGAAACGGAAATACACAGTTGGCTGTCATCTGCATAAATAATATTGCATTAATATGCATTAATAATATTTGGGCGGCAGTAGCTCAGGAGGTAGAGCGGTCGTCCAATAACCGGAAGGTTGGCGGTTCGATTCCCCCCTAATCCAAGTCTGTCCGTTGTGTCCTTGGGCAAGACACTTAACCCACCTTGCTCCCAGTGTGTGTCCTCCACTGGTGTATGATTGTGAGTGTTGTGTGGTGGTGGTCGGAGAGGCCGTAGGCGCAGAATGGCAGCCACGTTTCCACCACCACCAAAGTGTGACTGTGTGAGCGAATGAATGATGTATCCAATGTAAAGCGCTTTGAGGGTCTCTGATAAAGCGCTATATGAAATCTGATGCATTATTATTATTATTATTATTATTATTAAAGGGATATTCTGGCGTCAAATTCATTTAAGATCAAACACACCATAACACCGAGTTAGACACCCTCATCGAGAGATGAATGTTGCCGATTGAGTGCTTCTTTTAGTAATGACTGCAGGATAGCAATAAAGAGAGCCATGGGCTCAACCAAACACCACTCTATAGCCACAAATAATGTTCAGAACAGCACCTAACTTCATCAACAGTACATATAGGGTCCTAGCCATAGCACTAGCCACCAAACATCTTTTTAACTTTGCCTGATTTCTTTAGCAAAGAGACTAAATACAACTCACCTACTCTCTTCCAGCAGCCGTTTGTTTGTAGCAAGACCTCAGGCCAGTCCATTACAGACTGCTGCGGGGTGTGGCAGCTCAAGGAAGAACATTTATGATAACACATAAATAAATAAATCATAAATGTTCTTCCTTGAGCTGCGTCACCCTGCAGCAGTCCGTAATGGACTGGCCTGGAGGTCTCGCTACAAATAAGTGGCTGCTGGAAGAGAGTAGGTGAGTTGTGTTTAGTCTCTTTGCTAAAGAAATTAGGCAAAGTTAAAAAGCTGTTTGGTGGCTAGTACTCTGGCTAGGACCCTATATGTACTGTTGATGAAGTTAGGTGCTGTTCTGAGCATTATTTGTGGCGTTTTGGTTGAGGTTTGTTTATGGCTCCTCAGACCGCTGTGTATTGCTATCGTGCGGTCGTTACTAAAGTTGGTAAAACTAGAGAAGCAAGCAGTCAGCAACATTCATCTGTCGAGGGGGTGTCTAACTCGGTGTTGCAGTTTGTTTGACCCTAAATTAATTTTATGCCGGAATATCCCTTTAACATGATCATTAGCTGTAATTTTCCAAGTGGAAGCATATTTGGTAAAATAGGCCCATGAGGTCCTCTTTAAGGAACTCCATAATTTAAACCATGTGTCTCTCACCAAGTGTGAACTGCTTAAAGTTATGCCAACGATTCACAAGCACTGACATCTGAAACTATTTGCACTAACGCAGAAAAACACAAGGCTGGTGTTCACAGAATCAAACGGGACGGTAGAGACGACTGGAATGGTGCCCGACAGTCAAATCCAGAGAGTTTGGGCCTACCTCACTGTCAAACAGCTTCTGGAGAAAGAGTGAGTGAAATGTCCTACATCTTTCCTCTGTATCTACATATCAAGTCCTTTTTTTAATTAAAGGCAGCGATTTTATACTTGTTACTGATCAACATTGTAAACATTTGATTGTAAACTCTGTTGTCCATATATTGGGATGGAAATTTAAGCTTTGAAAGCTCTGAATCTGGTCCTAGAATTTTAACACAAGCAAAGCGTGAAGCACAACTTCACTTTGTAACTTTTACTTTGTAAACAATTAATAAGTGGTTTATAATCCACCTATAAACATGACTTAGATGGTTATTGTAAAGTTAGGGTTAGGTTTTTAAATTTGTAAAATTTACAATTTATCAATGGTCTAAATGCTATTTATAAATGATGATTAAACATTAATAAACTATCTGCTTACCATTTATAAATGGTCTATTTACCATTTATAAGTTATGGTTATTGTAAAGTGTTACCAAAACCCTTGTTATTGCCATCATCTTCTGAGATTATGCCTCTCTGAAGACTTTCATCCTGCTCTACCTCAGGAGTCAGTCTTTCAGTCTGTGTGGCAATTTGCACCAAATAGCTGTCTGTAAAAAGACAACGGGGCACAAAACCTTAAAAGTATACAATAACAACGAACAAACAAAACCACCTCAAATCATGAGATGACCTCCGTTTTAAGGAAAAACGACGAAAGTAGTTTTCGTCTTTGTAATCGTCTTTGAAAAGTTGCAAGCTCTGTGTTTTAGAACAAACCTTGTAGTCCCATTTTCTTCCCCTTCTTTACCATCTTATGTTTTAGAAAATTTACATAACTTGTTGCTCAGACTGCAGTTATCTGGACCTGAGAAGGACAATGCAAAGAAAGAGGCCTTGGAGCTCTCGCTGAAGTATAGCTTTGTGACCCCGCTCACATCCATGGTAGTGACCAAGCCCCCAGGAGAGGGAACCGATGTCCTCCATAAACCCAAGGAAGGTGAAACAATACCGGACTTACAGGCTCAGGCAGGATATCCCTCATCCATGACCCCACAATTCGGAGGATCCAGTGGTGGTTCATATCTTAATAGGGGTGGAGGACTTGGAGGTGGGTTTTGGCATGGAGTTGCAGGCGCTGTTGGAGGAGTTGGTGGTGGAGGTGGAGGTGGAGGTGGAGGCGGAGGCGGAGGCTGGGTTGCTGCAGGTTAGTAACAGAAATGTGGACGACGTTAAAAAGAAAAAGAAAAGAAAAGAAATATCAGTAATGATTTTTAAAATTATTATTCCTTTTAGGGCTGCTACCACCAGGTAAGACGTTTTATGAGTACTGTATGAAAATATTTTACTTTTTCATTAACTTTTTTTGTTGTGAAATACTTGAAATCAAAAAGATACTTAGGATTCTAATATTGTTCTCAATTTTGGCCGATAATTAGGTCTAATGTTCCATAAGCAGGTAGATGGCTGATGGATAAGTGGTAGGCTTCAATACTGATACAGAGACACAATGCACATCTCTGTATCATTACCTGTATCTTAATATGGGGGCTCCACCTCATGGCCCTCATTGTGAGATGTGGAGCCCAAAACTGTCTTGATGGGTGGAACCAGCAGCTCTAGATAAAGAAGCCAAACAGTTCATTTGATAATAAAGATTAAGCAGAATTCAAAATTAAAATTTGAGGGTCAGTGCAAAGTGAGGGGGACAAACTTAGCAAAAGTAGGTTAATTATAAATTTTGTAATGAATGCATGGTGAGCTAGCTCTAAAGTCTGGTTGAAAATCTCCCACAGTAAAAAAATCTTTTGCAGGATTTAAATTGTATGTCCTCTCGCATATTTAAGACAGAATAATAATAGTGTTACTTATGTCAAAGGAAACTCATTTAATTTAAATACTCCCAAGACTATGTTTCTTGTAAATGTATTTAACTCAAATAACTGACCTCAACCATTCAAGTTATAAGGTGCAAAATCTACCAATGGGATATCATTAACGTCAGTCAATATTTCCTCTATGTTAGTACAGTAGGTTTTATCCAATGGGAATCCATGTGAGCTATGTGATGTCTAACTGGAAGGATGTTGTTTGCCCCCTTTAATATCTGACTTTTAAAAATCTGTATCTTACCTTATAGCCATGTAGTGAAATCCTTATACTTAACAAATCATTGATTCTACCTCGTTTTATAGTTCAAACAATTACAAAAATACACAGCTGGCCTCAACTATGGTGGTTTCCTGACATTTGTGAAATCAAACTTGTAGTTTAGAGGAAGATTTCTGAGTATCACAAAATGTTATGTGTTATCTATTTTCTTTTTGATGGGTATAAATCACCTCTGTAATACCACCAGGATCAAAAGAGTGACTTAAAATGAAAAAAGTTTAAAAAAAAAAAGGCTACTGGTTCATAGCATTTTCAGATATCTTATTTAGTATGAATTATTAAGAATAGTTATTTTAGATTTAGTAAAGTGTAAGCAAATTCATGCTGATCATTGAATTTATCTACAAGAAGGATTAATTTCTAAAATTTTCCACCTCTTTTCCAGCTACAGACTATGACGTTGCTTATGACGCCTTTATGGGGCCTCCAGGTAATTTTCTGTTTTCCTATCTTTGATAATATGTCACTAAATGCATCTAATGAACTGTAAAGTACTCTAAAAAGGCTGGTGATGCCTCTGTATCTATTCCTGTAGTAAAACAATACAAAAGTTTTGCAGTATGTTACATCAGTCCCACCAGTCAAGGATCTGTTAACAGAAATGTTGGTATAAAATAGCATGAAAAAACAACTTCAACCCCGCCACCCCTCAAAAACAAAATAAATAAATAAAAGCGATCTGCATGTAAAATCACAACGGAATGAAAACCTCCTTGGAATCTTCTCCCCTTTATCATATGAAACAATTTCGCTAATTTTCTGTTCACAGAAATGTTGGATTATTCGGACAGCGTTGATTCTGTCGATATAATTGCTGCTACACATGGTCCATCGTTGTTTACCACCGTGACCATGGAACCAACTTTAGGTAGAGTATCTCATACATGTAATTTACATGACTAATAAAATCTAACCATGGTCTTTTTTGAGTCAGGGTGAAATGCACAATTGAACCACATTAATATAGAGCGTCATTATTTTATCAATAGCAGGCAGAAATATTCAATGATGGGAAAATTACTAGCAAAATGTAGGGAGCTGAGCTTAATCATAGTATTAAAGGGATATCCCAGCGTAAAATTAAGTTAGGGTCAAACACACAGTGACACCGAGTTAGACACCTCATCGAGAGATGAATGTTGCAGACCGCTTGCTTTTCTAGTTAGACTTTAGTCAGTCAATGGACTCGCCTGGGGGTCTCTGTACAAACAAGCGGCTGCTAGAGGAGAGTAGGTGAGTTGTGTATGTAGAGTCCAGGGACAAGCTGTCGGAGGGGAGCGGGTCTCTACAATCTGAAGGTGTGGGCTTGGTTGTGAAGCATGCTGGGGTTTCTGTTTTCTGAGATAATTATTCAGTTTATATGCTCTCTCATCCTAATTCTTCTCCGTTGGCATTATTCAGCATTTTCCACTGAACACATGGTTGGATTTGGTTTTGGTCCAATTTGCAAAATCTTGGTTGGCAAGTGTATTCTTGGGTTCTTCAACAGAATCCAGAATTTGATGGCAGGTTACTCCAGTTTATCCTGTGCATGTTTTACTATTTATTCTGCTCTGTTGGGCGGCTGGGCCAATAAAATTGGATATGTGGTTTACACATACATCTCCGTAATGCATGGAGATGTGTGGGAATAAAGGCACTGGTCTCCATTATGCCTTGTGAAATTACATGAGTTGGTAACACTTTACAATAACCATAACTTATAAATAGATAGTTAATTAATGTGTAGCCATCACTTATAAATAGCATATTGACCATTAATAAATTGTAAATTTTACAATTTTAAAAACCTGACCCTAACTTTACAATAACCATCCAAGTAATGTTTATAGGTGGTTTATAAACCACTTATTAATCATTTACAAAGTGCTACTGGCACATTTTAATCTAGATGTTTTACAACCGACATTTAAACCCTGTATAAACCTTCAATAAATAGTCCATTAATAATTATGAAATGTATTATTCTTAATGGTAAAGTAACTATTAACTTACATTAATAAACTATCTATTTGCCATTTATAATTGGTCTATATCCTGTTTTTAAATTATGATTAAACATTAATAAACCTTGTATTTACCATTTATAAATTATGATTATTCTTAAGTGTTACCCATGAGTTTTTGAGATTACTTTGAGTGAAAGAACCAAGGCCCCTGAAATTAAGACACTCCTGCCAGAGGTAGAAAAATGCACAACCATCGTTTTTTAAATTTTAACATGCCTGGTTTATGAAACAGATGTCCCCAGTTTTCATTTCAGATATCTGGTCTGTTATTGAGATGTTTTTTTCTGTGACAATTAAAATAAATAAAAAACATAATGAAACATCATATTCCTAGAACCTTATTTGTTTGAGGACATGATAGTGCATTTGTTTTCTTTTTTCATGTCAATGTCACACGAGCAGTACATTTCTTGGAGCTTACACCTCAAAAGATGTTCATGCTTTCTGATCACAACCAGAGGAAAATTCATGTTTGTATGGTTATTACCAATTGAGGTAGAAGTCCGTTTTTGGCCGCAGAAGTGTCTCTCTTCAGTTCAAATGCATGCACTTTGACTCTGCTGCCCTCTGTATCTTTGTGTGTCTTAGGACCTCCTATTACCCCTCGAGGAGGAAGTTCTACGCATATGCATACAGTTTCTCATCATGTCCCTGTACGTCCTCCTAAACGCCATCACCATCGAATTATCCTCCCTGCACCACCAGTCTTAAGTTTGACTCCAGTGGCCCGTGCACCACCAGTCTTAAGTTTGGCTCCAGTAGTCCCTGCAGCACTTCCACAATACCCCCACACATTCTTGCTTAAAACAGCAGACCTGTCTCCTCCATTGTGCTATGGTATCTTTGAAAGTGTCCGCCTCCAGCTTCTTCACCATCCCAACAGAGGTCAGTAATGTTTTTTCTGTCTGTTATCATCATTAACTCCCAAAAACAGTAAAAATTCAGATTTTCCTCCTCCTCCTCAGTTTAAAGCTATACTGTACTTTGTTTTATACTTCTTCAAACTATTGTACTCAACAGTATAAGCTGTACTTTGATTACTGTGAAGAAAGTTGACAGAGTGATCCATAATCCAACACAAAGTGAATTTCTTTTTCACTCTCAAAATCACTTGCTAAATCTATCTTTGGAGAATTAATTTTTAGCAAAAGCGGTCAATCTCTGAATTGACCCTGGCCAGGTAGTAGTGTTACTCATCTGGCCTTGCTCATGATTATAAATCTCAGTCTGCTTATCGAAGCAGCTTTAAATCAAACATGAGTGCCATCACTGCTTGTATTAAGTTTTATGATGAGTCTCATTGTGTTTCTGTTTGGCTTTAGGGCTGTCTGTGAACGGTGAGCTTAGCTCAGTGTCACATGGAGGCTTTAAAAGGATCGTCATTCGCACAGCTCAGCAAAACTTTGAGGTTGACCCCCGAGAAATCACAGTGCAAGATGGGCAGACTGTGTCCGTCCACGCTCAACAGGATGAACACATTATCGGTCAAAAGTGAGTTTGCATTGTTATGGAGGGAAAACAGATTCCCTGACATGCAGAGCTGATTCAGGATCATTGCCTCTGTGTGCATAGTCAAGTTTTCATGTCTGGCCCGAATCAATGTGTCTACATGATGAAAACAGTGGCCTTACCAGTTGGTTCAATAAGTGTGAACATGAAGCCTCAAGTTTGCCATGTTCTGGCCACAATGATGGTTTCCTTTGAGATGATGAAATGTTGGTACTAGACCTTTGAAAGTGTTTTCTTTGCTAGTGTTACAGTGATCAGGCGGAGCAAACAAATCGACATTATAGGAGAAGACACTCGCATCATTATCCTGATTCACGATAAGAACAACCATCTGTTCCTCTGGCCTGTTCTGGCACAAAAGCCGGCTGACACCAACATTAAAGGGATTTTAGGTAAGTGGAACTACTCACATTATTTAATAATTTGTACTACAAATATTATTTCAGTGTTTTTCTTTTCTTACTTGTTTTTTTGTTTGTCCTGTTGGCGTTCAGCTCTAGAGCCAGCAGTTTATGAGGAGGTGCAGAAAACTCCAACAACCAAACTCAGGATCCATAACAAGGACACCAACGCTTTTAGGTATTGTATTAGTAGTGAAAAAAAATAGATTTACAGGATGAGGTTGCGCTCTCTAAAAACATTTGATTTTTGCACAAATGTAAGATCTTGTTGTTTTATTTGCAGCTTCAGGACTGAGGACTACAGTTTCCCCTCTGCACCAACAGTGGATTGCTGGATTGTGCCCGCTGAGTCGGCCCTACAGAGGCCCATAAATGAGTTCATGGTAGCACAACTTTAACTTGGAAAGTGTTAAATCATTTCAAGTGATTTCATTTAAAGTCTTTTAGAGTGGAAAAATACTTTTCACCTCCTGATGACGAATCAAACCCACCCCAAGTCTTTGGTTGTATTGTATGAACTTAAACAATAAACATTCATCGAATGGACTTGTCCAGAATAAATGACTCATGTGACGGTCAGTCAGGATTTATGTTGGTTTCGCTCAGTAGATCAACAGGTTAAATAATCACATACTTTGCAAAAGTTTGTTAAAGTTACAAATGTTGAAAAGAGTCGGATTGAGTGACAGGTGAGTTGGAGGAGGGTGAGCCATTAAGAACCATGCTGTAATCTTTATTTCCACATCGTTTCAGTCCTAACAAACCTCCATCAGGTTTAAAGGAATCATCCAAACTTTTTGTTTAGAGATAATTACGCTATGAAAGGGACTGCCTTATCCAATCAGAGAACCTCTGAGTGGAGATGAAGCATCTTGGTACTAAATGAGTTAGAAAACTTTTAGGGAATCACATTGAACTACACCAATAAACAAAACAATAACACCCATTTAACCTTGTAGTGTATAACATGAAAAAAAGCTGCTTCACAAATCCTAAACAAAAATATAAGACAGTGACCAAATATATTGGTTTGAATAATATGAAAACAATATAAACTTACAAAACAAATTCTTCCAAAAAAAAGTTTGAAAAAAATTGAAAAAATATTATTCAAAGGTGGCAGCAAGTTCATTTCCAAATTGAAGTTATTATTTTTAGACAACTGTGAACACGCACCAATGGAATGATCTCACAGTATAAGGAGGCTTGCACATTGGTGTGCGCTTTATGCAGTTGGGGATTCGGTGCTTTGCTAAAGGGCAGAGCCAAGTGGGTGAACATGTCCCTCTCCAGCTACCACTTCAACATCCAAACCTGGTCTGTGTTTGAATGAGGATCAATGACCCTCAAGTTCTCATCAGAGGTCCCCATGGACCAAGTTACTGCCGCTACTCTACTGGGTAAGATAATCAGAGACTATTTATAAGACTGTAGTGGGTAAAATTCTCTGCCAGCAAAAAAAACTATCAAGAGACTTTTATCACAAAGTTGAACAAAGATTTTGCTGGCTTACAACAAATTTTTTTTTACACGTTATAACTTTTTGGCATGGAATATATTGAATTAAAGACAACTGATAACACTTGAACCCTACTGTATAAAAATAAAGAACAAATAAGTAATTAATCATAAACCTGCTACATTTCAACATTTTTAAAAAGTAAAATCTAATTTGGTTCTCTAAGTAAAAGATTAAAAAAAGTTAAGTAAAAAAAAACTGACATTAAAAGTTTCTGCTTTCTGATCTTAAATCATCAGTTTGACAATCATATTTACAGTGTTTGTTGTTGTACAGTAGAGTCAGTTGGCTGGGGGCAAATGATCACTTCTTGATCTGTAAACTTCTCACCATCGAGCATTTTTTAAAGAGATGTTATTATGTTTTTTTCATATTTTGACAACAAATGTTAAGTAAAAATGTTGGACGTCAGTACAAAATATGAGCAAAGTTTCAGACTGTGAGGTTAATGCGTGACGGAGTATTAACGTCACACGAGAATTCAGTGAGATCTATGTGAGATTTGATCAGATTGTGACATCACCAGAGAGTAATGCTGCGTTCGAGTTACCGCGGAAGTCAGATGTCTGAGCTGGTAATGACGTCACACCTGAGTTACCAGCGTTTCAATTACCAAATCGGAGGTGGAAACAAGATGGCTACATCTACAAAAGTTATTGTAGCACTTGCCTTGTCCTTGCTTATATTCGGACAAGGCAAGCGCTAAAATAACTTTCGTAGATGTAGCCATCTTGTTTGCTTTCTTTCGACTTGGTAACTAAAACGCTGGTAACTTGGGTATGACGTCATTCCCAGCTCAGACATCTGACTTCTGAGGTAACTCAACTGCAGCATAAGTCTCATTGAAAGGCCAAATTTGTCATTTTATGAAAAGAAACACAACTTTATTGCAGCTTCTGGAATACTGGGTTCTGTAATGCTAGGGGGGCACAAAGGGACAGAGGTGTCTCAGACTGAAGCTGAAATGAGGGTTTTTAAAGACAGAAGCCTTAAAATAAAAAGAGAGAAACAATCCGCACACTTCTGGTCTGTTGCAAAAAGAGCTTTACTGAAGCAAGCTTTCGGTCTGTTAGACCTTCAAAGACAGAAGCCTGAAATGTTTTTTAAGACTTTGTTGAACTGGTTATCATGTAAAACTACTAAGAAGCGATCAGAGGGACAACATAAAGGCAAAATGCTAAACATAATTCCTCCTCTTTAAGGTTGTTCAGTGAAATAATGTAGTCTAAAACATTAAAGCATAAGGGACTTGATTGAATACTTTTTCATCAAGTCCCTTGCAGCTCAACCACATCGATTTACACAGTACACAACAGGTGATTGTTGACTTTACTCTGGTTTGGCCACATAACTGGAGTGTTTCAGGTAGACAAAGTTTGTGTTTGGTTCTGCATTATGTGGTAAAACCAGTCCGGCTGCTGTGTGGGCTGCCTACCATTGTGTTACACAGATTGGATTGCATCACAAGCGTGGTTCAAAGGTAGGTGTGGATCCTTATGAGCAAAGTAAGAGACATGAACACAGTTACCCAAGAACTGCAAAAGGCCACTAAAGCTGTGTGTCTGTGTGTGTGTGTAGCTATTCTGATCCCTGTGTATGGAGTAGTCTTTTTCTGATTTAAAGCTCTTTTGGACTTTGACCTGACTGGGACACAGTGGTTACACTCTAATAAGGAATTCAGAGCAGGAAGGGTTCACAGTGGGTGAATGACAGAACGAAAGGAGGGAGAGAAGGAGAAGAGGGAGGGACTCTGCGGTGCTTCAGTTTTCCCGTAAGTCAAACACCTCTCGGCAGTATTGTCTAAGTGCGCTGCTGAACAACCTGGGAAGGAGAGAAACACCACAGAGATTTACTTACACCAGAAAACCACACACAGTAAGTAGCCAACACAATCCTATATATCTGTGGTGTAACTTGACACAGTTTCTAATGTTGTATTAACACAATCTTATCTTTTCTGTTGTTGTTCTGGTGTCACATACACCTCTTTTACCTTATCTCTCTTCTTCTACAGGCCTTATAAAGAGGGAAAAAACAAAGAAAGGCACTGATTGTTTGTGAAGAGCCTCATCTACATCTAGAATTGCATCAAGTTCATCTCCAACCAAAAGTCAAGATGGGGTAGAAGACACACAGGACTTATTTATCTTAACATCCATAAGATATTTCAGAATATGCTGTAGTGTTCAGTTGTCCCAGAGTGCCTCAAGACGAAATGTTTCTTCATGGATGGTCCATTTGGTGCCTTTTGATGACTCTACACGTGTCAGCCTGTGATCTGGAACTTTCTGGATATGACAGCCAAGAAGTCATTTGCTCTCAGGTATTTTCACTGCTTGGATACTATCAGCAGCTGCACACTAGATACAGCTTAGGTTGACAGACTGTACTTTTAATTTTCTCTTACAGCCTGCCCTTATCTTTTAATTTAACCTATCACAGATGAGGTGTTTGATTCTTAAGTATTTAATTTAAAGCAAACAAAGTTTTATGACTGTTTTTATCTTGTGGCTGTTTATAGATTCACCCCAATGTGGGCAAATATTTACCCTTCATGTGTGTTAAGTCATAACACCTTACATGTTAAATATATATTTGATATTCATTTCATCTCAATTTTTCATCTTTCAGGGTCTGTCTAATTGCACCATTGAGGACGAGTTGCCCCTTGCTTTGACAGCGAATGACTTGGTGGATATCCAAAATCTCACATCATATTTCAAGCTCTGCTGCGAAGACAGAGGACCATGTGGGTTGTGTCTGGTGATAGAAACAGAGGTAATCATCAATGAAGATCAGGACACGGAGGATGTAGGACACTCTGGGTTTGATGAAGAAGACTTCAGAGAGGAGACAAGGAATCACAAAGGTATAAACTACACACTGCATGCAGCTCTCTGTATAAACTGAAGGACATTTCATCAACTTTTTTAAGTAGTGCAAAGGTGAAGCCAAATGTCTTGAGAGTCATTGGTTTGAATTTTTTAGAGCAAGAGAGGAAATCAGCCAGTGCGGCTAGGATCTTGAAATCCCACCATTTCCACCAACACACACATTTGAATTTATTTTTATGGCATTTTCTTGAGAAAAAATGCAGTTCAAAGTGCCTCACAGAGGCTAAAAACAACAATTAACAACAATAAAACCCAACCCTCCCTCCCACCCACAACCACCCACTTATACACACACACACACATGTGCACACAGTGTGAGAGTTTAAGATATATTGTTAAAGAGACATGGCCTGACACCGAGACATTACGTGAGGAAAGAGCTACCTTTAGGAAACACTGGAGATAAAGATAAAAATGGTAAAAGAAAGAGTAAAACCTGATGGACTAAAACAAGAAAATAATCTTAAATGAACAGATAAATAAGAGAAATATAAAAAGGCAATTAGTGATAAGCCTGGTTAAAAAGGCGAGTCTTGAGCGTCTTCTTAAAAACATCAACAGTCTCTGCGGCCCTGACACGTTTGAATTACAGTTAAAATGACAAATGGAAAAGTACAAAGTAAACTCAAACACATATTGTAGCAACTCTGTGATTCAGACTGAAGCAGACACTCCATAATGGAAAGTTACTTTATTCTTGGACAAGAGTTTGTGTGTCTCCTCTAACTGTACAACTATACTGCACTGTAAGAGAGTAGATGGATTTGTTTACAGAGTTGTAATTTGTGGATTTGCACTTTGTTTTTAGCATCAAATAACTAAAACTAAGAATCTCAGAAAGTCCAGTATTTGTATGAAAAATCAGCATGAGAGCAAAATATAACAACAGAAACCAGGTTCAAGATAAACTTCTTAGGAAAGTGAACTGATCTTGGAGTTTGACCCATGACTGAGCCTCTACACTTCAGCCAATCAGAGGGAACTCTTTGGCTTCAGTTCCTGAGAGCCGTCACATCATTTCTTTAGTGTATGCGGGATCATTAGGTAAATACATGTCCTATGTAATGATTATTGTCCTTGGTGCAGATGACTCTGGCCTTGTCCCAGTCCATGAGATGATTTTCCCTTTTTCAGTGGCCTGTTACAGCAGATTTGTAGTTGTCATGTTGTGCCATAGTCACCTGCACCGAGTACAATAAGCACCAGCGCTGGATTAGGGAAGCCATTAGAATAAGGAGATGGGGCCCAGGGACGATGATCAGGGATGAGGGGGAATACATGCTCTCAAACACCTGGAGCAGCATCCTGCAGAGGCGAACAGACAGCGGGAGGCATGACCGTCCTGTCAAAAAAATTGACAGGAAGGTCACGCCTCTGTAACAACAGCTGATATGATGCGTCACATGAAAAAGAATACTTTAAAACAGCTCACTGTGAGAAAGATTTGAGGCTGTTGCCATTTTTTCGAGAATACTAACGAACAAGAGCAAACATGAGAGTTGTGAAAGGCCGGTTTGGAACTTGGCCTTTCACAACTTGGCCATTCATTCCTTGGCTTGTCAAATCCTGCCATCATTGTGTTTGAATTAAGAGGAGAAAAAGAAAACAAATTGTAGTTATAGACAGTGGTCTGAAGGGAATTTAGCACTGAGAAACAAACAAACCCATAATATTTCAACAGCAGGTGAAGAAGTCCATATCTTGAAATGTTAAAAATCACTGCTTTATTCTGGTAGTGCAACGTTCCTCTGCTGTGTGGTTGAACTTTAATAAACCCTGACTTTTTTTCTCCTGTCTGTGTTGCAACAGCGTCAGTGGCTGTGTGCTACAACACAGCACAAACTATGCCTATCTGCAAGAAGGTGGAGTTCATGGTTAATCATGCGGTTCTTGCTCACCAACACAAGACAAAGGTACAGTACCGACTCCATGTACTTGTAATACGAGAAGGTATGGTGTTATATTTTATGCTCAATTTATCTAATCTCTGTTTGACATTTAGGTTTCCATGGTGATAACCGAGCCTATTGGAGTTTCTTTCAGCAGTCAAGTGTTTACTTATTCTCCTAAACAGCCCCATATAAAAAAAGTTGTCGCTGTCGCACCTTCATTAGATAAGGGTAAAGTTTTAACTTTTATATCGCAAAATCGTTGTATAATCTATAACTACCTGCCGTATCTGTAGCAGTGTTTGATAAACCTTGCTTTGTTTGCCATTAGTTTGCTCCCAGAAGCTTCATGAACGGGTAGAGGACTGTCAAGGTAAATAATCATTTACACAGGACATGCATACACCTAATGATTTACCTTGTGCTATTTCTGTATGAGAAAACAGACCATTGTTTCTGTCCCTTCTTTCAGTACCCAGACTCCTCACTGTGGTTGACAAAGAGAAGAAACAAGTAGAGCTGAAGTTTGACAGCAGAAACAAGAGCCCACCTTTGGTTTGCATCCAGTATGAGCAGAATGGCAGATGTCAGGTCAGTGAAGAGACATTATTCACATCCCATCCCTCTCTCTCTAAAGGAAACACAGCAATATAAAAAATGAAAAAGAGGAGAAATAAAAAAGGATTCTATGTAGGTTTTTGGACATGAAGCTTTATAATTACTAATATAAGATCATGCACAACAAGATTCATCTGCTGATCTTGTGTCACTGACAAATGTTGTAAAGGTAACTTTATATCAAGTTAAGACCACACAATCCGTCTGTCTGTTGTGATGGTAATTAAATCTGATTAGACAACCACAGAACCAGAGATCTGTGTCATGACTTGGCGAGAGACACGGCAGACTGCATGTTAGTACCTGACCAATTCTCATGACTCATTTGATGACGTAAAGAAGAGGGGCTATAAGCTAGAGGAGAGACAGAGGACTGCTAGGACTGATGCATTAAACTTCATTTGTTTTGCATTTTACATTTCACTTTTTCAGCCAGTTGTGGTCACCCCTCAATGTCACATGGTCATGTCAAAGTTTTCCTCTGTCACATTGCTCTAGCACACAGCACTAACTCCATCAGTCCTTTTTCCATTTTGCATTTTCCTTGTTCAACGTCACTGCCACGGTTGAACCCATCATAGACAGCAGGGTGAAAATCAAACATGTAAGACTACCCACCAAGAGATTGGCAGATGTTAAGAGGCAAGAGGCATCATGTCCTCCATTTGCACCCTTATTCGGGATGTATACATGTTTAAAAAAAAAAGATTTACTGTTTAAGTCCTCGAACCGTACTTTTAAAAAACATGTCCAATTGATATCACATGAACTTCTCAAAGTCGTACTAATATACATGAATAATATGGTTCTTCTTTGTTAGTACGCAGGGCTTTGAGCCAAAAGTTGAATAGCATGGATGCGTTCGATGTACATCCTGTTAGGCCCTTGCTGACGCCTTCTGACAATTGTTTTGTTACATAATAAGTCAACCTGGAGATGATCTGATAGTAACATGTTGAAAGGGCGCACCTACTATAGCGGAGGCAGACACGCTTCTGTCAATAATTTGATTTTTGCCCAGTGCATGAATACCATAATCTCCACTTTAGCTGAGCTAGTCCTGTACCTGTACATGTGGCCGAGCTTTGTGTGACACTGCTTGGCAGAGCGCTGAATGTCCTACCACGACTCTGTTTGTGAATCGTGTCCAGTGTTTGACAAATATGCTCATCTGCCCAAATGTTGATGAGGCATAGACATCCTTGCTGCTCCAGGTCAACTCAGGATGACTTTCAGCTATTCAATATCAGATCAGTAAATGTGGTGTTTGTCGACCTATGCAGCAGGACTGGGAGGCCATTGTAATGACCTGACAGTCTTGTAAAGGTGTGTGCAGTCTTAGAATAATCCAGCGTCATTACGAAACGACCCAAAAGAAAAATACTGCAAAGAACATTTTCATCTTGTGTTTTGGACTTCTGTGAATGGACCCAGTTATTTTCATTGACCGCTTTCTGCCTCTTGTTTCTCATATTAATTTGTAGAAATGGAACAGGCAGCCCATCCCGCTGGGCTCAGTGACCCCCTGCATGTGTTTCCAGGTACTGAAGCGTCATGATACTTTAACATAAAAGCAGTGATATGCCTCAATAAAGGACTAACTGTATGTTAATTTTTCAGGTGTGGGATGAGGAAAACCAAGGTTCTCGTCGTTCTCTGAGTTGCCCTTTCAGTAACAGAAGTAAAAACTCTGGAGGTCTGTTTGTTGACTTTGATTGATTTCCCTTCAGATCTCAGTTGCTTTATTCTTAGTATGCCAATTCTCTTGTTTATCCATTTCAGATGTACTCCACGGGAATGTTTGGGACAATGTTTCAGTGACTGTAGGTCAGGGTCAGATGAACAACCACCGCTCAATGCTGTCATGGAACGTGTCTGCCCCCTGCAGGCTGGAGGGTGAGGTGTGGCCCTGTCAGAAAGAGATCAGCTGCAGGGAGGTGAAGGGCTTCAGACAAAAGCTGGCAAATGGATCATGGAAACAAAACAGCAAAGGGTTGTGGGTAAGAATAACTGTTGTATCGATATTTTAAAACCTTTAAAATTCAGCTTTCATTTCACATAATTGCTTTAAATAAGTAAAAATCTTTATTTTCCACAATGCCTGGTGCTTTAAGTTCAGTGTGTATAATTTAATACTCATTTCTCTTGATCTAAACCAACAAATCCGGTGTCATTGGTAACTTTTTGATCTCTAAATAAATAATTTGTCTCTGCCGTAATGATTTGTTGAGTTTTTGGATGCACAGACTGGCCTGTTCATGAAGTGTATCAAATTAACAAAGGTTCATAATTTTTCTCTTTATAGGAGAAAATGGGAGTTTTTGAAGAAATCAGTCTTCAGCGCTCACCATGTGTGATGGTAATATTTTTACATTTTTACTCTTATAACATGAAAACACTTTAAATGGAGAAAAATAACTTGTGTTTCTTTATTTGAACAGGTGAGGCTAAAGGGGATGGGACATAACTTGGGGCCAATTTGTTTTGAAAACAGTAAGTTGACATAAATTGACAATTGTTGATGTGTCTCCAAGTGATCCTGGTTGATATATTTTGGAAAATGCTTCCCCAAGGAAACTTTTGTTCAAATGTGGTTCTGTTTTGTTCTGCTTGCAGCTGACAGGTGGCGCTGGAGCCTCCTGGTTGTTGGTGTTATGCTGCTGATCTGCTTGACTATGATCACAGTCTATGTCCTCCAAGGCTTTGTAAAGAGTAGGTTTTTCTTCCATTATTCCTTTTGCTAAGCATGTTCAGTGTGAGAATAGCAAGAGGGGGGAAGAGAAAGTGTCTTTTTTGGCCACTCTGGAATTTGCATGCCATGAAAAAAACATACTTTGTCTCATCTGACTCACATGCCTTCAGGCACTTTCCACAAAGACCCTTTTTATTCACGTCGAACACCAAATCTTGTTTACCAGATTTCTTATTGTTTGAACCCCTCATGCATGAATTTAACACTAGTTTTAAAAGAACAGACATATTTTCAACACTGAAAAGACAAATGCCTGTGTATTTCTGCTAATCCCTCTGATATATTAACATTTTTTAAACTGACTTACAGGATGTGTGTGGAGCTGGCATCATGGTGGATTTGTCAAAGGTGGGTGACTTATACTTGAAATGAAAAATTCTGCTAAAAGAGGCTGGCTGTGACTTAAATCCCCTTTTTTGTTCTCTCTACAGTTGGCAGACCGTGTCATGTGGTCGTGTTGAGCCCCCCAGACACAGATGCTGGTGTGTCGGAGTCAGTGTGTCAGCTCGGGTCCCTGCTTTCTAACCGCGGCTTCAGTGTGTCGGTGGACCAGTGGAGCAGGAAGGAGCAGTGCACTCTGGGACCTCTGCCGTGGCTGCACTCTCAGCTACTGGAACTGAAGGGGCATGGAGGCCGAGTTGTGCTCGTCTTGACTGGCAAAGCTTTGGAGAAAGCAGAGGAATGGACCCAGTGGCACAAAGAGGATATTAGGATAAAGAGGGATGATAAAAGTGGCCCGCAGATGTGGTCCCCTTACTCGGATGTGTTTACAGCTTCTCTCTGCCTCATCCAAGCCGAAAAAGAGCAGGGCAGAGCAGGCAAGCATTTTCTCCTGGTGACATTTGACTCCAATACAGGTGGCAACCGGAGTCTGCCAGAACTTTTCCAGGGTCTACCCCTGTTCCACCTTCCCTCAAAGACTCAGGCCCTCTTGTCTGAGCTAACTGTGGGGGGCACAAAGAGGGGATCATGGAGACTAGCATAGATATGGTGAGAATGCAAAGACTTGAGATAATGTAAATTGAAGAATAATGAGTGACTGCACCAGCAGGAGGAATCTCATGAATATGCTGGAGTTAAGAAAAACTCTGGGGATGGACCTAAGTGCCCGAAAAATGTTATGCTGGACATATTCTGCAAATGAAGGACACTTGCATAAACATAAACATAATACAACAGCATTAAGATCACTTTACATGAACCTCTATTATTGTTGAAATGCACAGCCACAACAACAACTGTTAAGCTATTATTATAACTATTAATATTACTGTTATTGTAAAATTAAGCTCAAAAGTTAACCGTTATTGAAAAAAGTAAAATGTTAAATGAAAAAAAAACTGGGATTAATAAACGGTAAAAACTCAGGACATAATATGTCTACACTTACATATTTATTCATGTATCATTTAATTCTAAATTCTAAATTCAATTTTATTTTTATGGCACTTTTCAGACAAAAAATGCAGTTCAAATAGCCTCACAGACTAAAAACAACAATTAACAACAACAAAACCGAACCCCCCACCCACAGACACACACCCACCCTCGCTCACCCACACATACACACATACAAGCGCACACAGTGTGAGAATTTAAGATATATTGTTTAAGAGTTATGGCCTGACACTGAGACATTACGTGAGGAAAGAGCTAACTTTGGGAAACACTGGAGATAAAACATAAAAAATAAAATGGTAAAAAGAAAGAGTAAAACCTGATGGACTAAAACAAGAAAATAATCTTAAATGAACAGATAAGTTTTACCATGTAAAAGGGGTAAAAGAAGTAAACCTCTAAGACGGGAATTAAGAAAAAGACAAAGAACAGAGATAATTAATAAAATGACATATAATAAACATTAAGAACTTGGATTAAAATGAACATTTTCAATAAGAGAAAAATAAAAAGGCAATTAGTTAAAAGTCTGGTCATCACATGAATGGATTAACTCTGACAGAGTTTTTATATTGACAAAGGAAGTAATCCTCAATAAGAGCTGGCCATGTTACTACAATAACCCAGGAGGGACAAACTAAACACTGACTATAGAGGAGGCCATTTTAAGTGTTTTTTTTCCTGTCACTGTTGGTTCTTTTTAGCCAACAAAGCAAAAATAAAAGCATGAAGTGTATTACATTTGCACCTATAGTCAGCAGAATGGTGTTTGTGGCTCTAAATAAACTACAATATGTCTACTTATTGTATGAAACACAGACAACAACAATGACGGCTAATGGGGCAGATAATGTGATTTACAAAGCCTTTCTTCATACACCGTTAACTGTGACTGAAGTATGTTTGGATGTCTTTAGTGAAATTTCTTGACTCGTAAGAATATCATACAGTGGCAGAAACTGTTACAGTACTCGAATCCCCACTGACTCGTTACACTCACCTCAAACACATTGCCAACAGCCATGTCTAAAAATACATCAGGTTATTTTTGTCCTTGGCTGATCTCGGGTTGTGATTGGTTACTTCTCCGCGCAGCACGGTGTGTCATATTGGTGCGAGCTCCTGTCAGCTCAAAAACTCAGAGGGATGCTTAAGAGTGTTACAGTTGGATACCGAAGGGGCGGTACTGCGGGTATCATGGGGTTTCCGCCCGCCGGGGGTGTGTGGTTAAGTATGTGTTATGAAATTGTGTAGCAAGTGCTCCGTATCGTCTCATTCAGTGTTTGAAACTTCAAAATGAAGTTTAATGGACGAAAATAAAAGAGGTAGGCACAAGAAAACCCTCTAAACTTCATACTCACAATTTCTCAGCATGCTTTGTCACTTTGACCGTGAGTTTATTGTCAAAATGTGTGTCAGAAATACACAACGACCCCTCAAAATGCAGATTAATTTAAAATAAATGCTCACCGTGTGTGGCCTAAGTTCTGATAAAATTACATGTTGAAATGATTGTAACATGAGACTTTTAAAGCTGACATAAGTCAAAAGGTGAACGCTTGTTGTAGTGAGATTGACCAGGCTATGTATGTAGGGGAGAGTGGGGTAAGTTAAGCCACCCCCTGTCCGAAATATGAAAAATGGCTCATCTTACCCCACTCTCCCCTACTGGGTCTGAATGAATATTGAAACAGATTACAAAAGTATCTCTGTCATATCATTTGTAATAAAACACCCCGAGCTACACAGTGGATAACAGAGTCCTGATACTGTGAAATAGCAGGAGCAGCAATATTACATTAAGACAACTCTTCTTAAGGTTGAATGAAATACTAAAGCGCAGAAGTGCACTTCATTTTATTAGCAATCTCTTCCTCCAAACTTGCAAACACAATTCAGTTACCTGTAATGTGGTATTTGGAAACAGCTTAGTTTTCTGGACTCAGTGGGACAGATGAGACTACAGATGCTTCACAGGAACCTTTTGCAGCCTGCTGTGCTGTGCTGCATCCTGGCTGTTGGGGTGCACAGCTGTCCGCAGTCCTGCAAGAAGTGTTCAGGCCCAGAAAATGACCAGTGTGAGGAATGCAGAGCAGGATGGACGCTCCATAATAACACATGTGTAGGTACTGTATACAGAGATTTGTGTATGAGTCAGATCCTCGTAGAGTGTTAATGAATGAGACAATGTAAAAAGAGACTGACGGCAAGTGTGAAACTCTTGATCTGTTTTAGATGTAGATGAATGTGACACAGAGCGAGGTGTTTGTCCTGCAAACAGCTACTGCTTCAACACAGAGGGTTCCTTCAAGTGCAGAGGTCAGTGCTTTTGACCTTAACAATTAAAGTGTTATTTAAATTAATGTTTTGAGTTTTCCACACAGTTTTTCACCAGTTTACTTCATAAAAAAGACTATTTTGACATTGTGATGCATGCTATTTTGTCTCTAAAGTGACGATTCTAAATTTCTTCGCCACTTTTAAAAAAGGTTTTTGTTGCATTAGGGTTAATCGATAAAAGAAATCTCCACTCTTTCATCAGACTGTGACTCTGCATGTGCAGGCTGTATGGGCAGTGGGCCAGCACGCTGCAGGAAATGTTCAGCTGGGTACAAACTTTCTGGATCCAAGTGTGTAGGTAACAGGAGTGTTTCCTTTTTTTTAAATAATCTCCCAGTTTTTGTATTTTTCTGTTGTGCAAACGTTGTGTCTTTCTTCTCTCAGACATAGATGAATGTAGTGACAGGGTGCTGGCCTGTCACGATCTGGATGAAATCTGCACCAACACCGTGGGCTCCTTCTACTGTGAGTGTGCTAAAGGATTCATCCGCAAAGACGGTGCATGTTTGAAGAAGCAGCAGCCTAGTGAGTCTTATACACCACACACTTCAAGATGTTTGCACCCACAAACACATGTGCCTCCGTCAGTCTCTTTGGACTTGTCCTCCTCTCTGCGTAGGTGTTCAGGTGAAAGGTCTGTTTGAGGACATCCAGGATGACGAGGTGGAGGTCCTGCAGCAGATGTTCTTCGGTGTGGTTCTTTGTGCTTTGGCCACTCTGGCTGCTAAGGGAGATATGGTCTACACGTCTTTGTTCATGGGGGCAGTGGCAGCCATGGCAGGGTACTGGCTGTCTGACCGAGGAGACCGTTTATTGGATAACTTCCTGAAGGGAGGGTAGGGCGCCAAGCTGTGCATTTGACAAATACTTTTCAGAAAAAGCTTTTAAAACTTACACAACTATGCAGGTTTTTAATATGGAAAATATTCAATGCCACACAAAGATTTTATTTCATTTTATTGATGCAACTTCCCTCTGTCTGTAAAAGAAATATTATATGAGTTCACCTCTTATAATGCATCAGAAACACGCTAAAAAGCCTTATGCATCTATATGGCTGTACCTGATTTTAAGGACTTGTTAGCAGTATTTTGCACAAATACACTGCACAGCAATAACACACTTTTTACATTATATATATTTTTTTTCATTTGAATGAAGGTATAATGCATTATAGACCAAACCTTTATAGAGCCTCATGCTCACTGTTTATAACGCTTGTTAAACATCGCTTTAAGCAATTGTGACTACTTAGAATCGCTTAAAGAATTGTTACAAACTCTTATAGATGCATTTTAAAGGCTTTTTAAGTGTGCATGATGTATTTTAAGTGTTACCAAATTTTTTGTTGCAAACTTTTGAAAATAGCTGATTCCCCATTAAATTGTTTAAATCTATCACAACTTTTTGTTTGCGTTCGACTCTTACTTAATTTTATGCCGGAATATCCCTTTAAGTTACAAAGTAAACACATTAAACCAGTTCTTCACAAAGTGTCCTGATAACCAAATATTTTCTGCAGTGCACAGTGAAGGACCTGGTTATACTGAGTTAATATCAGATACGAGTTGACTGCAGTCATGAAAGTTAAAGATGAGCAGAATTATATATTTAAAAGTACAGACCAGATTTAACGATTAGGATCAACTGATTTCAGGTGGAAACAGAAATGACAAACAGAGACAGAAAGAAAGTCACCTTTATTTGATGGATATAAACAAGCTGGCCAACACTCAATAGTAATATTCTGATACAGCACATACAATAGCAAACAGGGGCACTGAGGACAGCCTCCTATGTTTAAAAAAACAAGAAACATCACAGAGTATCCATGCTTCATTCAAAACTTGGACTCAGTCTCGCTTTTTTTTCACTAGGGACTTCTTCTGATAAAGTTTTTTGAATAGATTTTTCTCTTGTGCATTCATGACACTCACAGGTACACACACATACTGACAAACACACCCATAAAGGCAGTTGTGCACACACGCGCGCACCCGCATTCGCACACTCTCATTCGCATGTCACTCTTTTCTGAATACATTTACACGAGCAACCCCAAGAAACATGCTGCACTCTCACAAAACTGCACAGGCTGTCTACTAATGGGACACAGTAAGTGAGACACACATCACTCTCAAACACAACATCACACCGTCACAATGCACGATGCAGATGCAATTAATGAGTGAGGAATGATGCATTATGGGAGATTAGCTCACGTTCACACAGGTAGTCATTCAGCATGCTGGACACTCACATTAAATTGATCCTAGGGTTTTACTGTACAGCTCAAAACATTTACTTATACAAACAGTACAGTCTCAAACTGGCATTTTCAATAAGCGGAAACAATAGAAAAAATAAAGCTAACGTAAATAAAAATAAATCATAAAAAAAGTAAACAAGATTTGTTCTGTCAAACAAAACGTTTTCTGGCATTGGTCACAGTGATTTGTTTGATCAAAAGTTTTAGCAACGTACAATAAAAGAAAGAGAACCTGAATAAGAACAATAATAATAAAGTGAAAATGTATGCTAGGCTTGTCGTATTCGTTCTCAAAGGCTTTTTGAATTACTGCTGACTCTACAGGCCTTTTATCACAAAGTCTTTATAACGTAGCTGCTTCCAGGCACAGATGCAGACTCGACTTCTTGACTCCACCTCACACTAAGCGCGGTGTCAGTCATTCACAACCAGGATTAGTCTTAAGTCTGAGCTCAGAGAACCAGCCTCAGCCTCTATAAGCCTCTGTCTCCTAAACCTTTTTGACACAACAGTTGAGAAATCGCTCTGCATAGAGAACAGGAGATTATCCTTACATCACCACTCTCAGTTGGCACATTATGTAAAAATCAGCATGCATGGGCACAGTTAAAATGTCATGTTTTCTACCATGTAAATTATATATGGTGTTTCATGGTAGGAGAACCCCCTACTTCAAGTATTCAGTAGATAAGGACCTGAAAATGGAGGATTCGCACTCCGCCCCCCCCCTGATGGTGAAGTGAGAGGATTTTTTTGCTCCTCTGTCTGTTTGCATTGTCTTCCCTTTTTTTTTTCTCTCAAAAGAAAAAAAAAATAAAATCAGGGTCTTTCTTGTAACATTTGTAAACACAAACACCACACAATACGCCCATTCTTGGTCAGTGACAGGAGCTGTAGAGGGCCATGTTTGGAGCAGACATATGAAAAGATGACGTGTGGATGATGGGAGACATTTATATCTAACAATCAACATTTGGCCATATATGGGAGACACACAGGAACCATAAGGGGGAGGGAGAGGAAGTGGGGAGAGTAACAGTCTAATTTAATTTTCCACTACACTGTAAGAATGTGTGTTGTTTTTTTCTACTTAATCAGCTGTCACAGTCACATTTGTCACCACTTCTGTTCACAAGACGACAACAACGACAAACAGGTGAAAGAAATGCATCCCGACAGAGTCACTCAAACCTCCACTTGGATGTTATAGTGATAGTCTCACTCACAAGTGCAAGTTTTTCTGTCCACGGACATAATCTCATTGCTACTTATGTGAGCTGCAAAACTTCAAGACGAGTCATTTTTTTGTGTAATTCAAAGTTGTAACCACAAGGAAATGGTTTTCAACTGAATGTTTCACATTAAGAAAGGAATGTAATAATGTCAGCTTTTCCAGCCTTATACATAGATTTGAATAAACTTCTGTATTTACCATAAACTGCTCTAAAACTCTGTTTTTTTTTCTCTCCTTCTGGGCTGTCCTGTGTTTTCAGACAGGGAATGTTACTTGTTGTAACAAGTAAGTACAAATCAGAGGAAAACCACACCACTCAATGACGTGCTAAATAAGACATCTCTCTGACCTCCAGCCAGTTAGAAAAATAACCATGAGGAAAATACCTAGATATATTATCTTTGTCAGTTTGAAACGATTTTCTGACCACATATAGACACACTCTATAGATTTCTTTCTATATGTATAATATATGCATATCTATCATATATGTGTACAGTTTTTTTAATGAGGCACAGGCCACCTTGTTGAGAAGGAGAAAACAAGTCACTATGTTTTGGAGAAGGTCACACAGATTACTGCTGGAAGAGGAGGATTACAGGGAAGGGGGAACAGGAGTGAACTACAGGTCAGAGACTGGGCTGTCAATGGTACAAATAGACCAGCAGGGAAAACATCTATTGAACTTCTCCTCCACTTAAGAGTCTATATTTGTATTTATAGTAGTAGTGGACTCCAAGATTAAATCTTATGTACAAAGCTGTCTTTTACAGTTTTATTTTTTATTTTTTTTTGGAATCAAGTCCCTCGACTGTAAAAGGACCAAAAGACGCTTTTGACCAGGTCTTCCGACACCGTTTAGTTTGAGCACCAGCAGAAGCACCATTAGTAAAAATTCCTGCAATGTGGAGGAGGTGCATAGGTGCATAGTCTCAGAACCTCAAAAGAATCTGACCGATGACTATTTTCTGACCGCTCTCTTGGCCGCTTTGATTGGACGGTTAATTACACTTTGATTGACAAATTTCAGTCAGAATGGGGAAAATAAAAACGCATTCACTCTACGTTAACACCTGCATAGATTGTTATTTTTTGACTACTTCTGATTGAAATGAGGTAACATGAAGAAACACCAATGGCAGCCACAGCCTTAAGGCCAAAACACGCCTATAAAGTCGAGGGCCCTGCTTATGCAGTCAGGGAAGCCCTGATGCTGCAGGCGTGGCCAAAGGTGGACTGTTTGTAAACTCTAAGCTCTTTCTTTTTGCCAACAAGGTATGACAACAAAATTCGCTCAAATCTGGGGTGTGTGGAACATGCTATACTCCGATTTTGTGGCATGTAAGAGAACACCACTTGTAAAGATGCTGAACATGACCACTGGGATGGTAGACGGTGGGGATAGGCATAAAGGTTATATTAGATGTCGCTGTGTACCACCAAGGGTAACATGATGACTGAAACATAAAGAGACTCTGCACGCTGTGGGGTTATGACAGCCAGGTAGAGGGGTCAGATGTCACCAGGTGGGTCAGCAGGGCAGTGAGGATTGATAAACCATGTCAGAGTCAGCTGAGGGAGCGAACCAGAACCAAGTGAAGCAGACACCCAGAACACTGAGATCTCCAATCGGTCAATGGAAGCAGAATGAAGAGTGATGGCAATCGTGAGCTCTCTGCTGGGAGGATGAAGAGGGCATTGTAGGCCTGAGGAGGTGCAGCACAGGACCAGTGACAGACAGCTGAGGAAGCCTCTGTGAGACCTCCGATGCTGGGCTGCCATGTTGGTCACGTGACTGTCTGAGCAGGAGTCTGACAGCGCACATCTGTCTGTCCCTTTACTTCTGGTTCAGTCCTCTGTGATCTGTGCAGAACGAGTTGATGACATCTGCTAGATCATAAACAAAGAAGAGGTCCAGGGTCACCTTGAGCAGAAAATGAATAGAAAAATTATATGTAATTTGGGTGCGATTATACTGTGTGAGGAATTACCTGCACAGCTGTCAGTGTCCCCGCATGACCTGCACACCTGAGTGCCCCCTCCTCTCCCCCAGAAAAAAAAGTCCAGCAGCTGAGTGTCGATCGGTTTGGGGTAAGAAATGATTGGGTGGTGTTTCAACATGATTTGGCTGTGCTCCTCCAGTAGTGACTGAATCATCTAAGGGTGAGGGATATGACAAGTTGGTCATGAAATGTATCAGGCACTGCGGGGAGAAAGGAAACTAAATCATATCAACTCCAACGCCTTCTTACCCCTCAAAACAACATCAGAGCTTTGGTTGTCACAGTTAGGATTATGCCCAAATGCCCTCGTCGTCATCCTGATGCTCACAGAGATATGCATGAAGGGAGAACAAGAAGAAAAAACGGATGTAAGAACAGTTTCTTGAGTTTTAATTTCAAGAAACCAAAATGTATCAGTGTGATAGTTGATACAGAACTGTAAGGATTTGTATCAGTGCATATAAAAATAGTTTCCTTGGCTCTCAACAGCACCCTAAAAAGACACCAAAGTTGCCCCAAAATGTGTTAATTAACTCATTTTCCCAAGGGTGTAGAATTGGGTAGGGACGCTAGGGACACGTCCCTACCAATAATCAGCTGCTACAGTGTCGTCCCTATCAATACAACCGCTGTCCGTAGTGTTTAATCAATGATTATGGCACACAAAGGGTTAAGAGTCAGTCTCTGCTAGAAGACCCGCCTCTAACCTTAATACCGCTCTTTGATTGGCTGCCGGTTTCTTGCTTAAGTATACTTGATTAGCTGTCCCCGCTCTCACTACGTCTGCCTGTAAAAGTTACCTGCTAGTTGGACCGGACGGGAGGCAAGAAGTGCTAGAAGTGCTAGAGATGATTGGCTAGAAGTGCTGGGCTCCGAATGGTTCTTCCTAATGGTTGTGAAATGTCATTGTATGTCTGGTTAGGGTTAGGGGGTTAGGGTTAGGGTTGAGTCTAGGGTTAGGTTTGGGGTAAGGGTTATGGATAGGGTTAGGGTTAGGGTTGGGTTAGGGCTAGGGTTAGGGTTTGGCTAGGGTTAGGGCTAGGGTTAGGGTTACGGATAGGGTTTGGCTAGGGTTAGGTTTGTGGCTGGGGTTAGGGTTGGGGTTAGAGTTGGGCTTGGGTTAGGGTTTGGCTAGGGTTAGGGTTAGGGTTGTGGCTAGGGTTAGTGCTAGGGTTAGAGTTGGGCTTGGGTTAGGGATTGGCTAGGGTTAGGGTTAGGGTTGGGCTAGGGTTTGAGTAGGGTTAGGGTTAGGGCTAGTGTTAGGGTTAGGCTTGTGGCTAGGGTAAGGGTTAGGCTAGGATTAGGGGTTAGGTTAGGGTTAGGGTCTGAGTAGGGTTAGGGTTACGCTTGGGGCTAGGGTTAGGGTTAGTGTTAGGGTTAGGGTTAGGCTTGTGGCTAGGGTTAGGGTTTGGGTTAGGGTTAGGTTTGACGTTACACCAGCATTTCCGTTTCCAAGTTGAAAAAAAGCAAAAGGTCTGAAACAAGATGGCTACATCAATGAAACTTATTTTAATGCTCGCCTTATATTCGTCATTTTCAGCTCGGACTTCTGACTTCCGAAGTACCTCAAACGCAGCATAAGTTGTCAACATGTTTGGTATATTGTGCCTGGGTCACATCTGCTTAAACGGATTTTAATATCAGTGGTGTCGTTCACATTTACATTTGTGTTTGTGTCGGTTTGCGTGCTTGCGTGTGCACATGCTCGACATGACGCAAAATTATGATTGCAAATGCAAAAAAACAAACTTTCAGGAGAACAATTTTGTAACCCCAACAATGTCAAAATCAAACCTACTCCCCTCCATTTTCCACTGTTTATTATTTAACATCAGATACCTTGTAATGATAAGGCTGAAACAGAAATAAAAAGGAAGTGAGCTAATCTGTAACCATGACTGCTGCTGACATGAAAGTTGGCTAATGTCCTTGATCATGGTAAAACAATATGCAATCCCTCGTGCTTTCAAAATGCCCAGCCGTTAGTTTTTGTGTTTTTTGGCAGGAGATAGATTGCTTAAAAATGATCCAACCAAAAGGACTAATTCAGGATACAAAAGCGCAGTCAAGACTACATGTCTTTGATCCTGTCAGAGAAGTGTTACACAGAGAAACCCCCACCTGTAGGCAAATCTGTTAAATGCAGTGTTATGGTTTCAAAACATTCAGGAACGAATCTTCCTCAGCTGTTGTTAATGAGCGATGATGAACATTTCTCCAGCAACAAGCAGCTTTTAATGATGATTGAGTGATTGGTGAATTTTTGGGAATTTTGATCGACACAGGAGAATTCTTACCTGGTCCTGGTTTGGGCGGTGACCAGCATGTGGGGGTCCTCGGGCTGGACCTCCACGATGATGGGGCGATGGGTGACGTGGATGCTGGGCGTGGTGCGGGTGCTGTGGATGCTGAGGGTGTTGAGGGTGTTGTGGATGCTGAGGATGAGGGTGTTGGGGGTGAGGTCCTTGTTGTGGAGGCCCGTGTGGGTGCTGTGGGTGCGGGTGCTGCTGTGGAGGATGTCCATGTGGGTGCTGTGGGTGCTGTTGGTGAGGGTGTTGGGGCTGTGGGGGGCGTGGGTGCTGTTGATGCTGAGGAGGCGGTTGAGGGTGCTGAGGGTGTTGCTGTGGGTGTTGTGGGTGACCTGGATGGGGGTATTGGGGTTGTGGCTGCTGTGGGTGCGGGTGCTGTGGGGGGGCCTGCGGGTGTTGTTGGTGCTGCGGGTGTTGTGGATGCATGGTGTGTGGGTAAGGGGTCTGCTGGGCGTGGGGAGGATGGGGGGCATGGGGGTACTGGGGTTGGGGCTGAGGCTGGGCGTGTGGGGGTTGAGCCTGTGGGTGATGTGGAGCATGTGGGTGATATTGCTCATCTTCATAGTTATCAGCGATCAGCTTCATTCTGCTCTGTGTCTGTAGGGAGAAGAAACAGGATGATATGCTGCTGTCAAAAGAAGTATCATTGCCTCAGAATGAGAATCACGTCAGGATAAATCTGCTTCTTTTGAAGACTTTAGAAAGTGTTTGCAGATATCTCTGCTGTAGGTATTTGTTTTAGATAATTTCTGGGCTTTTTTGCCTTCTTGAGACAGGACAGCTTAAGAGGGACAGGAAATGTGGGGAAAGAGTATGGTAAGACATGCACCAAATACTGTCAGAACCAGTCTTTGACTCAAGAGCATTAAGGATTATGGCCTTTGTACATGGAGCCCTCCCAACTGAGCTAATCTAGCACCCCCCATTAAAGCCATTGTGAATTTGTTAAAGAAAATGGACATTTGAATGTTTCATATTTTATGGAACAACAACAACAAAAAAACAACAACTCATGAACTGTCCTTTAGAGTTTGAGAACGACCGCCAGACAAAGCAGCTTAACTTTGCATTAGCACCTTAACAGCAGGGATTTTTCTGGGCTCTTTTGACTCCTGTAGCCAAACACAAAGACAGAAAAATATAAAACAGATGTAATATTTCTGTGATTATTTATATCTATCAAGTTAGGGATAATACATGGTGATCTGGTTGTTGGTCTACTCTCTACCAAAGGGGGGGGGGTAGACCACTTGAGGCTTAATTCACCCTGAATGGATTCTATTTACTAGGGGTGGGAGAAAAAAATCGATACAGCATAGTATCTCGATATTTTGTCTGGTGATATATTGTATCGTCTCATTTGCCAAGTATTAATTTTTCAAATTAATTGCTAATATGAAGTCAAATCCATCATAATGGAAAAATAAAATCAAGTGTTTGTCCAGTGAGGTTGGCAGAGGTGACATGATAGAGCAGGAGAAAGTTAGTGTAACAAATATATATATAAGGTTTGCAAGATGTGCGACATGAAAATAAAAAACAGCGTAAATAAGACAAACATAAAGGAAAGACAAATGCTACATTCACTAAACAGATGAAAAAATTATATAAATCGCATTTAATTGTATTGCAATACTCACTGTGTTGCAAAATGTTAAAAATCACAAAAGTATCGTATCGTGATAATATTGTATCGTGGGGCCACTGGTGATTCCCACTTCTACTATTTATATTTTACCTCTGAGGCATTATCCCGTCTATTACCTAACTAAAGTTGATTTAACTATGATATTTCTCTGGTTTCAAGATTTGTAAAAGATTGTAATCTGCAGATTTTCAGCACAATCAAATGTTAAACCAAACATTTCTCTTAATGATCAAGGTAAACATTAGCATGATAGGATATCGCCCCAAAGTCAAGTAACAGATGAACATTAGCCCGCTTATTTGGTTTAAAAAGGTAAACAAGTCAACTGCAAAAACACAATGTTGACTTTAGCTGGGGTAGCGACTTTATTATTATAAACCATTTCTAACTCTAATCTCCCCTTTCTTTTTAAATATGTCAAACTGGGCACTTCTGCCACATTGTCCCCATCTGAACCTATTGATATACAACTGACACCAGAGATAAGGATGAGAGTTTAAAGACATGGGCTCTGATTTAAATTTCCAGGCTGTGTTATTCTGCTCCCTTAAGACTAGACTCCTTAAAAACCTGACACAACCTTGGACTTCAGAGCAGATAAAAGACCAAGGTTTTCACCTGATGAGAAAATGAATACTCCACATACGACTTTGAATGGATTTGACTTCAGCTGTGCCAGTAAACAGAACACAGATAGGAAATATCTGTCCTGATGTGAAACGTTAATTAATGGCCCGAAAAGACTTAGCTATTCCTTTACAATTTCCTAATGAAAGTGTGCAACCCAACTTTGACTAATCTGCTAATGAGTGCCTGTCATTTGATTTGTCGCTGTGCAGGACTGCTTGAGCCTCGACAAGCCCAAAGAGACATAAAAGAGGCTCTGAGTCATACTGCAAAATGAGATGCTAACATTGGGAAAAGCGCCAAATCTGGAGCAGCACAGGGGACCAGTGAGCATGTATGAGCACCACTCTCTGTTGATGAAATGGAAAAAATGGCTAGGTGCCTTCTGCAGCTATATCTGTCATTTCGATTAATGTTGCCTTGGCAACCAGCTACAGTAAGGACTGCATATTCTTTAACATTGTGCTGCAGTACTAACGTGTTGTTTGAGCTGGTGCATCAGTTTGTCCCGCTCCCTCTTGAGGGCCAACACTTCCTCCTGGGTCTTCTTTTTATTGGAGGCAGAAAGTTCCAGCAGAGCAATATTAGCGTCTTTCTCACTGATGGCTGCCAGCAGAGCCTGTTGCCTAAGAGAAAAAAAAGGACAATCAGCACTTTTGTTTTTGAAATAGCATAAAAAGCAGTGTATAGGTAAGCACTTCAGCAGACCACTTGAAGATGAAAAAAATACACTAAACTAGACTGCATCAGTGCAAGTTAAACTACTTACAGATTGGATTGAGTTTTAGGGACAAGATGTTGATAAAAATACAAGAATATAAAAATGCTGAGTTCTCTGCAAAGACTTCAGGCTCAGATGCGGTGTCATGCTTTATTCTTCATATGGGATTAAGAGTGCAAATTGGGTATTTGGGAAATAAACTCTTTTGATAGTATATTTTTTGTCCCCAGAGTTGATGAAACGAAGGAAATACAAAACTATTAATTTAGATTTCCTTTACCTATTACCTATTTAATCCCACATGTATTCAGAACAAAGACTGTATAAGAAAGAGTTGTAGCGTCTAATCTTAAATGTGAAACTAATGTGGTTTGAAGCTCAAAGTTCCTTAAACAGTCATTTTTTCCATCAGTCTTAAGGGGGAAAATGCAGTTCTTGAATAAAGGCGTCTGCAGTTGTTCAATTGAAAAACCTCAATGGGTAAATTACTAGGTACTTCTCAGTTGATTTATTGTTTCAGTCGATATTTTCCTGATGGCTTTTCTGCGTTCAAAGCACAAATAAAGATGTAAAACTTAAGGCCACCAATAGGGGACATCTTGGAGGGTTTGTCAAGTTCAGGGTCTCTGTAGGTTCCGACAAGTCAAATTTAAGACTTTTTAAAGGCTGTAATGAAAACAATTTAAGACCCATTTTACAGCCATACTGACAAAAAGTACAAAAGACATGAAGGGAAATCAGAACATTTACGTTACTTCAAATCAATCTTTATTCCAATGGCACGTTATTTATTTGCAAGTAGAGTTAATACATTTTTAAGACTTTTCAAAATTGTGTTTTAGAATTCAAGTAATTGGAGTTTGGATGTTTTAAGACTTTTCAAGACCCCCCCGGATACCCTGGATTATGTTTTATCACTTATCATAAATTGGTAAGCGAGAATTTGACCGTATTTTCATACAAAAAACAAAAAAAAGGACGTGCTAATACATGATAAGAAGTTCGATCATGAGCTGTTTTGTTTTAGGCAGAGGTGAAAATGTCGTCATGACACCTACTTCATCTCCAGGATCTCTTCCAGCTGTTTCCTGCGCTCTTGTCTCATGTTGGTGAGGTGGGTGTCTCTCTCCTGCAGAGACTGCTGAGTGGAGGAGAGACGCTGCTTGGTGGAATCCAGCTCCTGCCTCGTCCTCTCCAGGGTGTTCATCAGCTCCTCCAACTGATGAATCACAAAGATCACAAGGGAAAAGTATGAATGAGACACGTGACGTATGGACTACGGACATATCTTTCAAATATAGAGCGGTACAATGTGGGTGCTGCCAACAAAAATAAAGCTCTAAACAAGCAGACGTAGATGTAATTTACATGACAATAGAAACCATTTTAAACACGTACAATCTGAAACAAAGTCCTAAACTCTGCAAGAGAAGAAGGGACTTCAGTTTTTATAGTTTGCTAGAGAGAGAAGCTGAGAAAGAAGACACACCTTTAAGTGGTGACCACCATCCATTGTGCCGTCCTTACGAGGGTCTTGGCCCAAACCCTTTTTGTCTCCTTGTGGTCCCAGTTTGATGTTTTGACCCTTCTTCGTCTGGTCTTTGCCTCCTTGTCTGTAAAATCACAAAACCTTAGGAGTGTTTCTGTGCCAGCTGGTCTGAATCCCAAAATGAAAACAGTTTTTCTCTTCAAAAAAGATTTGTGGGGCGACAGCATTGAAAATACAGTTAGTAAACATGTTTTTCGGATACTAGATTTATATATATCCACACATCCAAAAAACTCGAATAGTACAAGTAGAGCATGGACAATCATGGGCATTTTGAACTAATCCTGTTTCAAAATGGTACCAATCATGGCATCACCTGGACAGCAACGGACATGAACATCAGAGATGAACTGATTGGCTCATGTTCACATGACATTGCTGTGATAACACACAGGTTAAAGCACCAGAGTTAGGCTGGACAGAGGTAGAGATGGACGCAGCACTGGGGGTAGAGACATAACTTACCTGGGAGCTAGACTGCAGAGAGGGGGAGGTAAAGGTGGAAGAAAGGGGATGACGAAACAAGTGTAGGAGACATTGAAGGCAGCAGACGAGAGCGCACGTAGGACAAAAGTAAAAAACAAAACAAAAAAAGACATTAGAACCAGAACATAAAGATCAAATCAAAAAGAACAATACAGAGGACTCAGAGGAGATCACAATGTTGACTGTCAAACAACCTGGGAGACTACAAAAGAGCCTGTGACAGCAGCTGCTCTGCAGCCTGACACAGCTAATGCAGGATGCACCTTCTTTAAAAACAAGATTCATGTGCATCTGCTGCCAAGCCTGGGAGTGGCAGACATGCAGTCAGACAGGCAGAAAATCAGCCGGGCAGAAGAGGAAGGGAGGACGGGTCTTAGTGTGGAGCATAAGTAGGGGGAAGCCAAGAGTGGTTTGACAAAGAGAGGGAGCGAGAGATTCAGTTATGGAAGCAGGGTTCTTTGGACAGAAAGAGACCCGACTGAACTGACACACTGCAGGACTGGGGGTTCAGTCCAGACCCTACCTACTACAGCACCTCACTTACTGAGCGCGTGTAGACCTGGAGCACAGCAGCTCTATTCATGCAGGCCACTAGGCTGATCGTTTCCTTTAGTGTCTGGTAGATCAAGCTAGGCAGGGCGGGGCGGGTGGGTTTTGGAGGGAGAGCAGGAAGGTGGGAACCGGAAAAATCAGTAGGAAAGAGAGGGGCTGCTGGAAGGTGTTACTTGGACAAGGTGCGAGAGTTGTTGGAGTTAGAGAGGAAGAGGGTGAGAAGGGTGGGCAGATGGGTGGATGGAATGAGCAGGGGAAGCGTGCTCATGGCAGTAGGAGGCCTCAGCTCTAAACACAAAGACTTCCTACACAAGCTACAACAAACAGCCAACACCACAAAGATGCACAAAGAAGTGTGTGTTTGTGTGTGTATGTCTGGAAGAGTGATAGTGTGCACTTAAAGATATTTCAACAAAGGACACAGAGGGACATAAAATACAATATAGTCAACTAAAACTTCTGAAAAAAGCGAAAGCATTTGGAGAAATCACACCAAGTTTCACATTTACTTTAGACAGATCAAAACACAGACACTGTTTAGTCCTTTACAGTATTTACACTATTACTACAAGGGCAGTTTTCATTTACACTTGTTAAAATGTTACAATCTGATTGGTGTTTTTTTTTCGTACTTCAATCCTTGGTGTGATTGTTTGAATTGTGTGATCTTACCATGCAACATTATGGAAACAACCACAACTGGGACCCCAGTGTAGAGTAAAACTACACTAAACAGACAGTAGATATTACTGCACACAGAGGTTCCCAATGTGGAGTGGCTTCTACTGTTTAAACTATCAAAGAAACAGCACTGAATATATGACCACTGACATATATTTCAAACTACCTCTGAACCAGGAAGGTTACAAACCTCCTGTGTTAAATTTTGTTGTATTTGGGAAACATTTACATCTAATAATAAAAATAATCATAGACTGTATATAGAATGGACGCTGGGTGAAGAAACGAGAACAGCACCCTCTGTTGACGGGCTGCAGTATAGGTCATAAATCCTGCCTTCTCCAGCAATCCCTATGGAGCTGTGGACAAACTTAAGAAATTTATTGCACAGAATAAAAATTTTTCTCCCCTCTGCTTGTGATGTTGACATGTAGTTACTGTACGACTGTTTTGTGCTCAAGTCCTCTTTTATCTGTACAGCTCTGTTTTTAAAAGTTATCAGGGGGTTTATCTTTTCTATGACTGACACCTGATACAGCCTATGGGTGTACGAAGATTGCGTAGCTCACCCGGGGGACACGCTATTTGAGCCGAGCGTCATCATAGCGACTCTCCTGCCGAATGCGTAGAATGCACAATTTTGGTTTCAGGAAGTGAAGAAAAAAACGTGAAATTACCGAGAACTTTTTGGCTTTAAATCAGTATACTGGCAGAAGGCGGAACCAAGTTGTCCATAGTATATACAGTCTATGAAAAAAGTCAAATTTAACGGTGTTATTCAATTCAACTCGGCTTTCTTAGTTGAATTGAATAACGCCCTTAAATCTGATTTTTTGTTTATGTGCTGATTTGTAATGTGATACTACAAACAACAGAATCTGTGTGTATTTAACTCCCTATACATTGTCATTGCAGATTGGATAACTGTTAAAACATGCAGTTTAAAAATATAAACATGCAGACTCACTCTCAAAGGGAATCAAAAACATCTTTCATGGCATAAATGCAAGCAAGCAGCCACAAAGCAAAAACACACTAAAGAAGAAATAATAGAAACATGTATCCAGTGATCTTTGTATCCAGTGTACGAGAACAGCAAACCACAGCACAGACACACTGATACAAAGATCTGTGAATGCGTCAGACAGCAGGCAGACCCAGGCACACATGTGAAACCAGACGCAGTTGCAGCAGTCGCAGTCGGAGACTTTAACCACGCAGCCGAGCTGAAGTGCCAGGGCAGAGCACTCACTTTCCCAGGAAATCCCACACCATGCCCCCTATCTGCTGGGGAGCAGCAGACACAGAAGGGAGCGGGTCAGGGGGAGCTCTGCCACCGGGACGAGGGGTGGGGCGAGGGAGAGAGTGAGGGGGGCTGGTGTGTCAGGGAGGGGGGGGGCACAACAGAGAAAAAGTTGCGTGGGACCGAGGTCGAGAGTGTTCAATGGCAGAGGGGGAAGAGAGGGACGGGTGGGCGTGACACAGAAGATAGAAAGAGGAACGGGACAGAAAAAAGTGGGTAAAGATGGTAAAAAAGGGACAAGAAGACTCAATTAATCAAACACCACTTGGAAGTTTGGCACGACAGAGAAACAAAAACGCCCTCATCTTACGCTGGGAAGATAAAATGCAACTGTTTGAACAAGAACTGGTGGGACTGGGACTTGAGAAGTTGCTGGAGAAGAAGGGCTGTCATTGGTGCTCATGTATAGCTCTCATGCAGTCTGACTGATCTTTGTCTGTGTCCCATCATCCTCTGCAGGGGGGGAATGAAGGTGGTTTCATCCTGGAGGGGAACCTAATCCAAAAGCTGCTGTCAGTGTGGAGACTCAAGAGGACCATGTACCGCCCTGAGAGGTGAGCCAAGAGCTGATGAGGCCACCAGCTTTATTTATGTGCTCCATTAACTGAAATCAGTTTGACCCCTTCCATTAAGCGCTTGACTGAGTGGCACTTTGTGCTTTAATATCACATTTAACATTGTGTCACAAGTTATTTACAAAGCCTCTGGTGTATCTCAATGTGGAGCAAAAACTATGGTCGGTGTATTTCTGTGTGTATTTTATGAGCTCATGACTTGATCCAGGGAAGCAAACTGCTCTGACATACACTCATACACAACAACAGGAAAATGTTAGATTATGTACATAGAGGCCTGTGGAAGTTCACCTCAAGAACACAGGAGTGACTGTCGCTACCTGATCCGTCCCGGAAACCCGATGTGTACTGCGCATGTGCGAAACATATGTCACTTCCTCTAGTAGCCATCTTTGCAACAGATCAGCATTTTTTTTTATTTTTTATAATTACACTTCACAATATACCGTTGACGTTTTACCGCCATTAAGAAAATAAATACCAGGTAAGAAGTAAGAGAAAAGATAAGTCCTCTAGACGATAGACGATCCTTATAATATTTGTCCAAAACAGAGTCTGTTTTCAGTCTGCAATTCTTTCCTTCTTGCGGTTTGCGACAGCTTTGACACTTGTTCGACAGCTTCCACACTTGTTTGACAGCTTCACCATCAACGCGAGCTCACTTCAGTCAGAGTGGATGCTTCAGTTTATCACCAGCCACACGCTTTTCTCCTGAACTGAGTGCTTCCCCCGACTGAAGCAGAGCACCGGAAAGTCAAGAGAATGGTGCCCAGTTTCATGATTAAAGGTTCCTTCAACAGCTTCTTAATTGTAAAATTGCAACACAGTTATAAAAGGTTTGAATGAATGTGAATATTTCATTGTTGAAATTGAAAGGCTGTTAAAAAAAACGCTGAAATTCATTGTCCATAATGTGTAGGCTTCTTGTAAATAAATTCAATTAAGAAAATAAATGAAATAAATCCCCCCTTGTTACTTTAAAAAGTCAGAGAACCATAACTTTGACCAGGTGGCAGCGCTCTCTGTTGCCCAAAAGGTCTCACCGTTCTGGGCAGGAGCTCTGGCGAATGCCTCGGCATTAGCCTTGGAGCCTCCTGTGAGCTAGCCTGTCACATCGCCAGCTGGTTTCTGAAATCGATCGGTAGTTTGCATGAAGTTTTTGCACTTGTGCTGTACGGATCGGGTAGGTAGCAATAATAACGACTTACTGCTGTAAAATGCACTGAAATACAAAGAGAGGAAGTGATGTATGTTTCGCACATGCACAGTACAAATCGGTTTTCTGGGATGGATCGGGTAGCGCCCGGGACCACTGTAAAGGTCGAAGTGTATTTCGTTACTGTTGGGCAGAAACCTTGTATCTTTCTTGTCACCCATTATGCCTTTCAGTAGACTCTCTAACATCGACCAGATGAGAAGCAAAGCTGTGGTTTAGTTTCCTGCGGTGTTAAGTTATGTGAAAAACAAAAGGTGTTTTTACTTCCTGAAAAGAAGTGGGTTTGGAGATACAAGGTTTTGGCCAACTGTTAGTTCAGGACATTAAAGTCAAGGGTTTCAAAAATTACATACTTTCTCTGGAGACGCAGGGGATTTTGAGGGAAATCTTCGCCGAAAATTAAAGGTAGATACTTCAGCACATGAAACAAAAACTATCAGTGGGATCACAGGAGACCACAGGGGCTCCGAAAGAGAAAAGAAATCAAATCTTTTTAGTCCAATATCTTAAAAAAAGAAGATCTTATGACCAAATATGGTAGGTATATGTCACAGTGGAAAGAACAGGAGTCAAAAGCGTGAAAACTTTTTGCTCTTTGGTCCTCGTTGAATCAAAGCTTTACCCTCTGTATCTTGGTTCTGAGTGTTATGCACTGATTTGGAGGAAACCATTAGGAAGAAATAACAACGACCAGAGTGGTAACACAAACTTTTCCGTCAAAAAAGCTGAAATGCAGTAACTATAGATGCATTAAAATGTAAGAAAGTTTCCTTAGTCACAGTTTTCCTGACAGAGCATACGACAAACTTCATATTTTCATGTAATGTAATGAGTTATTAAATATGATTAACCGGGGGAGAAAACACTTAAATACGTTTAGTCAACACCACAGTTCGTAGATAATTACCTTTCCAACTCTGCAATCTTTTTGTCTTTGTCATTCTTTTCTGTCTCCACCTCTCGCAGGATGTCCAGGAGTCTCTCCACCTCCATCTGCGCCTTGTTGGCCTCATCCTTGTAGTAGCTCACCTCCTTCTCCAGCAGCTTCACACGGTCCACGTAATCTGGGTTTCCTCTGGGGCCAGATTGCTGCTCCACCTCGTGGGCTTTCTGCAATAACATGCCAGAAAAAGACCAGAACAGACAAACATGCAAACACCCAAAGACACACTCAGTTAACATGATAGTATCAACACAACTACAGCTCAGTGTTTCACTGTCTACAGAAAAAGAGAGACACACACCATGGGCAAAATCTTTGTCCATCAGTGTCTTCTAACTACGCTCTCTCTCTCTCTCTCTCTTTCCTCCCTCTTTCTTTTTCTTAATGAATGATGCAGAGTAAATGTTGTGGGCAAGGGCATCATTAATTGTGTTGGCTCATTAGCTTTAACGGAGCAATTATTTAGCTCCATTTAATGGCCTTCAGAGACTCACTTTGCACATTTGTATAGGGAGCTATATGTGTTTTGTGTAAGTGTGTGTGTATCTGAGAGTGTGTGTGTCTTCTCAGTGCCAAAAATAGTAACAAATAATTCATACTAAATTATTCACTCATGAGTCGGTCTAATTGGCTTTACAACACAAGCTGTTCAGATGTCTGCTGCTGCTAGGCCAGTATGGACTCAAAGTCACGTTTCCACCGCAGAAACTTTTCCCAGGGACCAGAACCTTTAATAACTTTTCCCTCCACAAGGATCTGAGTCTAAGTTGAATTCAGGGACTTAAAAGTCCTTGTTTGGAGGTTATAAGATTCTAGGACTGCAGGAACTTTAAAGACCCACTCTGATGAAAATCAGGTTTTCCTTGTTTTTTTACATGTTTATATGGAATTTTTCTGATGCTACAGGACATAACATGAGAAAACTAGATGTGAATTTGCTTTTCTGAGTATTTCTGCATTTAAATCGCTGTGAATCTCTGGCAGACCCAATCGGGAGGTTCAGAAACAGTGAGATTTCATACGTAACCAATCTAAGCTCCGCCCCTGGAGCCCTGCTATGCAGGCCACACTCTGCATATAGAGAAGAAATACAGAGGACAATCGCGGAACAAGCTTGTGCGGTAGCGGATTGCAATGCTCGTAAGAAAGCTCATTATGATATTAGCTTTCATTGTGTCCATAAAGACATTAGTGTCCGAGAGCTGAATAGATCATATGTTACCTGCCACTTCTACTACAGCGGTAATGTTAGGCTGCAAGCAAACGTGAAGACGAGTGTGCAGAGCAGTGCTGTCTCCTCCCAGGACTCAGAGGCAAATTGCTAATGATCAACGGGAGCTCTGCAGAAGAAAAGCCTTTGAAAACGACAAAGGTGACGCGATTTAAAGACCACTGAGAACATTTCAGGTAGTAAGAAAAATGATCGGAGTGGGACTTTAAGGTGGGTCAGCCCTGGAGATTCTAGATTAGTTAAGCATTAATTTTAGTCAGGCTTGTATTTAAAAAAAATGTGACTGAACTGATTTTTTGTTTGTTGCTCAACAAATCAACACAATAAAGGTAGGGTTTTAATAAGTTTGACTACAGCAGCTTCAAACTCAAAGTAGTTACCACAAGCAACAGAGTCAAGAATAGAAACTCCTTCATGTTTGTGTTTTTGTATCACTCAGGCTCTGCTTTGCATTACAATGTAGCGATACATTTTTTTCATTAAGTTGTGAGCAAAAATGGTGGAAAACTGTATGATCTGCTTTTTCTATGCACCTTTATAGACGGCGGCAGAACTAGAGGTAACTGCCTGAAGGGTCCTCTTAGTTGTTTGGTTCCTGGGACTAAAAGTCCTGGGTGCTTATGGTGGAAACGTGGCTTATATCTCCATCATTTAAGCAGTTTGTTATTCCCAACACAGTACATTACAGCGTTACACATTTCCCTTCGGACAATATGCATCCACACATGTCAATACGAGTTGCTACAGTGCAAGAGTTTTACAGAACAAGAGAGCATCAACCACCAAAACACTGCAGTGATCTCCAACCATGGGCTGATACCTCAGCTGGCTGCTGCACCACACTGAGACGAAAGAAAAGCGTGGCAACACCGACAGTGACAACATGCAACAAGGTTGACAATTTCATGCAAACCCAACAAAGCTGCACAGTCTCTGTGATTTTCGGTCAAATGAGTGGAGAAACAGAAGCGAGAGGGACCAAATCAATCAGGTGGCTAACAGTAACTTTCATATTTGAAGCATGAGGAGCAAAGTTTGTAGAGCATGTTTATCAATGGTCTAAGGTACTTCAGATCTACTAAAGCATATGTAAGTATATGAAAATACTTTCAGCGAGGATTTAGCATGAAAAATCCACAGACTTAAAACCTAACCATGTTTTTTTTAACTTTGAATACGGTTCAAAGCAAGATGTAAAGACTGTAAAGTGTAAACACAAGATATGTGGAAGCTAACCCCAAACCAGGTCATGTTACTTTTGTTCATAGACTGTATAAAGAATGGACAGAGTCTGCCTCTCACTGGGTGAACAGCACCCTCTGGTGACGGGCTGCAGTATAGGTCATAATCGTGCCTTCTCCAGCAATCCCTATGGAGCTGTGGACAAACTTTAGAAATTTATTACACAGAATATAATTTTTCTCCCCCTGCTTACGATATTGACATGTAGTTATTGTTAGACTGGTTTGTGCTCAAGTCCTCTTTTTTCTGAGAAGCTCCATTTTTAAAAGTTATTAGGGGGGTTCATGTTTTCTATGATTGACACTTGATACAGCCTATGGGTGTACGAAGATTGTGTTGCTAACCCTGGGGATACGCTGTTTGAGCCGAGCGTCATCACAGCGACTCTCCCGCCAAATGCGTTCAATGCTTCTGGGCAATTTTGGTTTCAGGAAGTGGAGAAAAAACGCGGAAATACAGAGAGCTTTTTGGCTTCAAATCCGTATACAGGCGGAAGGCAGAACCAAGTCGCCATAGTATAAACAGTCTATGATACATACAGTGTCTGATCATCATTTACAAAGGGACTGATGCTTTATGCATTTTAATCTTTAAAACCACAACAAGAACTTCTAACTACATATTTACTTGCGTGACTGACATGAAACAAGACTTGACCCTCATCCTCAAATTTTGATGTTAAGTGTACTTCTTCACCTGCTGTGCATGTATATGAAAACAAGTCCTGGAGTCAAAGTGATCACAGAAAACAATAATTTAAGAGCCACTATGGAAAAAAAAAGAGTCACGAATAAATAAATAAATCTAGGGAATAAGCCCACTGACCAGGTAATACGATATTTTGTAATTAGCACCAGATACACCATATGTCACAAACACAAACAGTTGCATTATGCCTCTGAGTGCAGTTTAAAGCTCATTATATCGATACAGTGCAATGGCCAACATGCATCTGGGCGGGTTGGTGGGTGAAGCAGAACCTGTGCTGTGGGGCTGGCATGACCACCATTTAGCATGTTACACAGAAGAAGTAACCAGTGTCCTCATGCTTTCAATATGTGCCTCAGAGCGCTCAACAGAGGGACTTACAGGATTGTTCATGTGACTGAAAAGCTGCTCAGCTTGCTACATTGCGAATGGACGGGTTGAAGGAGGGAAGTAGGGTCGAGGAGGTCAGGATGTGGGGGGGGAAACCCGGGAGAGTTAATTATCAGGATTTAGTTTGAGCCAGAGGAGAAAACAGCAGGATCAGACATGTTACAATGCATGTTTTGACAGAGCAGTAACATTGTCTCAGGACAGCACATGTTATAACAGGTTAAGGGCATCACATCACAGACAGACGCAGAGGGACAAACATATGGAGACTCTGTGGATTATGTAGGAGGATATTTAATGAACTGACTGCCCCCTGAAGCGGCCTGTCATAAAACATGGTGGTAGCCATTATCCCAATAAGCTGTGTTTTCTGTAAAGGGTAGATTCACACTGATATATCAGTCCAGATCACAGAGATAATAAAGAAGTCTGATGAGAAACAACGGCTTTTCAAAATCTTCATGTACAAGCAGGAAACAACAAACTCAGCTTTCATCTAAACTCTGAGAACAACAACAATACACTATTTGTGAAGTCTGTCTACCTAATAGTCTCTCTATTTAAGCGTGAGTGAGCTAATTCCTTACTTGAGGGTGGGCACTCAGCTTTGGCCTTTTAGCCACAGTCCAGTGAAGTTAATGAAGGACATTCTACGCTCTTAATTCAGAGCAAAGCTCTCCACAGTTCAGCCAAAGCCAAAACAGTTACCCCTCAAACACATCGTTATTGTTCTCTTGATCTCTTGAAAGTATCTGTAAAATCCTCAAAAACAGTGATAATAAAAGGTGGAAAGAAACATTTTTTTTTTATTATTTTGGTTGAGAAAGATGACGCTGCCCTGTCCATGTAAAATAAGAAATTTAACACAAAGTTACTTCTTGATCTAGAAAATATGGACTGGAAAAAAAAACAATTATGTTGTATCTGCTGGAGCTTCTCACCATTTCACACGGTATTCAATACAAACGCTCAGAATCTGAAACAGCCAGCAGCTACTTTGTCCTGGTAGGATGCTGTGGGATCATGTAGGCTTATCTGAACTGTGGAAACTTTTATGTCATGACACTTTCTCTTCAACTTTCTTGCACCAACACTTTTAGACAGAACTTCATACCAGGTTTAGCTAAACTGTTGATACCTGCAGAACGAAACACACCTGCAGAGAGAAGTACTAACTGTGGTGTTAAAACTATCAACAGACTTTGGTTAAGTCTCTACGGTCGGTGAGTTTGTTGTGGGTACTTCATCTGATAAACTTCACACTGATAAAACATCTAAATTCGAAGCGCAGTTTAGTAAGCTTTCGAAAACTTCAACCAGACAAACACATGAGCCCAAATATACTGTCCATACATATGAATACAAATGACAGACTCTGCTCTGCTGAGCGACACTCACCTTCTGTAACTGTGTCTCCAACTTACTACACTCCTCCTTTTTCTGCTCGATAGCGATCTCCAGTGACTTCAGCTTTGAATCTTTCTTCAGACCAGAAGATGCCAGAGATGAAGCGTGTTCCTTCAAGTCGATGAGACTGGACTGCAGGTGAACAGACGGCACAAAAGCTTAGAAGTTATAAAAAAGGCGTCAAGTTTTCGGGAAAATAACCATTTTTTTTTGCTGACCTCTTTCTCTGTTAGTTCGATCTGCAGGCTGTTGACCTTCTCCTTCAGATCCTTGTTCTCCTTTTTATATAAATCCACTTCTTCCAGACGTTCTCTGTCCTCCCTTTCTCTTTGGTCCTTTAAACGTTCAATAATCCTCTCCTGACAAACACACAAACAAACAAACAGGATTAAGAGAATTAAGCTGAAGACCTCTCTGAATCGCCAGTTTAGAAACTTAAAAGGTTTAACAAAGACTTTCAAACAAACAGACTTTCAAACAACTTTTTTATGTATTTCAAAATAGGATTGATTTAATAACATTGAATGTGTTAATTACAACTGAAATACATAAAGTAAAATGCAAAAATGGTTGAAGGGGAAAACCAAACAATTATTACCAACAATTATTAACAAGGACACGTTTCAAAGTAAGCTTTCAAGTGGTATCAAACTATGCAAACTTTTATCTTGAGCTCAAAAGGATGTTGGAGATGTGCACTTGTCAGCTCTCACTGTGGGGGTAGGATGAGAAGATGACTCCCTGTCTGCATGACACTACAGTCAAAAGCTGGCTAATTCGATCAAGCATATACAAGTTTGTCTCTCTCCAAAGGGTAAAAAAAAAGCCACTTTGACACTATTTGCTAAAGCACCGCCAATAACACATTAAATTAAGGTGACCATATTCTGAATCCCCAAAAAGAGGACACGACTATGTAGGGGTGGAGTTACGGAGTCACACAAAGTTAATTTTGAGAGTTTTTCAGGTGTCTTTTAAACTCTTCTGAATCAGTAAGTCCACGTGACACAAACTCAAAACTTCCATACAAAACGACGGACATTTAAAGGATTTTATAAACTTCGCCGGACAAAGCTGAACAAGGCCAGACAGTCCCCAATGTACATGTCCGGGTGAAAGAGGACGTATGGTCACCCTGAGTAAATATCACCTGAAGGAATGTAAAAACTACAATTCACCAGCTCCTCGGAGCAACGTGTTGGGATATTTCTTGTGAAAGAGGCATTCATCCCTGGAGTCTCTGCTGGTAACTTTGCCACTGGTATTAACTTGAAGTCCAGGCAGTAACTTTTGCAGAAAAAATGAAAACCACAGAAGTGTTCACAACGCCACTTGAGATTTTAAGTACAACTACACAAATTTACAGCCTTGGTAAAATGGTTTCGGTCTCTCTAGGTAATTTTCCCTTTCAAGAAAATATTTGAGCTACTTAACTTTTATAACTTCAGCCATGTTTTATTTTATGGTTTATCATTAAATGTGTTTCGCTGGTGCTTTTCTTTTTACTGTGTGGTTTAATGAACTAAAATTCCCCCCAAAAGTCTTTTTTTTAGAGTAAATATCTAATAATGTTCATGAATTTGCACTAGTTAGCCTGCATTAGTGTCTCTGCCTACTATGTTAGGCTTGTTAGTTTGTGTAGAGACTCTAAGATTGATTTATTGATGTAGTCAGGATTGTTGTTTTTCTGCAGTGATGAAAATCCTGTTTAAGTTAACAAGTTTGTTTCATTCATGTGCTGTCTGCTCTTTAAAAATGATGGGAGCAAGCACCAGTTTCACCAAGTTCCACATCATTTCTTGGTTTTTTCATTCAAATTGACGAAGCATCTTTAGGCACAAACCAACCATGAGTAAAAAGAACATTTTTGACCCCTTGAAACTGCAGATTTAACCTCTAATAAGAATTCCGAGGATACCATCTGATTCATGTGAGCGGCACAGACATCTGCTGCATGCTGAAATTTAAGTCATCTCAAGATTTGTAGAAAAACTGCAGCTGATCACACCCAAAATGTGAGTATGAATCCTAATTCGTCATTGCTCCAGCTTACCTTCTCTGACAGCGCCTCCTCCAGGGTGGCCAGGGCAGTGTCTGTGTTACTGGAGTCCGTCTGCAGAGACTTCACCCTATCCTTTAGGTTCCCCAGCTGCTTGTCTTTGTCCCGCAGCTGCTCCTGTAGGTTCTCGATCTGACAGGAAGGGAGGAGACGCACAGACGCAGAAGTAAACATCATGATCTCGAAACCAGAGCAGAATTTGAAGTTGGTGCAATGGCTGGACTTTGAGATTACAAAAGTCTTTGAAGTATAATTCCCTCTGCAGACCCCCGTCATGTTTAAAGTTTGAAATGTGCTGAGGCTTTACAACTGAGCGTTTTCCTCTCCAGGAAGAAATACATCAAAACTGACAGAGATTTCAGAGGAATTTGAGAAGCTGAATGGAGTTAAATAAAAATAAAGCTGCCAACTGTGAAAGGAGAGGAATTGTGCGGATGACGTACATCTAGAGACAGGAAAATGTGAGTCCTGATTTAGATGACTACAGAGTATAATCAACAAAACCGACAGACAGACACGACCAGATAACCACATCAGCATAAAACAAAGATGCAGTAGTCTCTAAAGATGTCAAAGAGAAAGTTGAAAGTGAAGCGACAACAGAGAGGAGGTGTGATGGAACAAAAGAGGAGTGAAAATGCAAAGAGAATAGGTGAGCAGGTCAGAGAAAGAGAGAGAAAGTGATACTATGAACATTTAGAGTTTCTTCTAGCTTATCTGTCTTTGGACACTTTCCCCCCTGAGAGCAACAGAGACTTTTAATCCTAACAGAGAGTCATCACACTATATTTTTCCACACAGTGTCTGTTTAAGTCGAGGACACCTGAACTTGACTGAAAAATTCACCCAAATCCACGCTGTACATGTCAAATTTCAAATAACATGGGTAAACATAGGTATAACATAGGTTAACACTTTTCCTCATCCACCTGCTTTTAGACATTTTTAGACATTCCCCTCTCTTCCAACTTCAACTCCTCTGTTCAACATCCTAAAATCACCTTTTTCTGCAGGACATTGATTTTCCTCTCTTTGACCTCCAGCATATCTTTCATGTCCCTGATTTCTCCTGCAAGAGTGCCCTTCTCCTCCGTCAGGTCCTGCAGCTGCTTGGTTTTCTTGTTCAGGAAGGACTCCTTCTCCTCCAGACGCAGACGTAGAGCATCAACCTGAAAAACACAAAACAGCCAAAACCTCGATCTTATTTCAACTTAGGGTCTTTTTAGCTTTTGGTTCTTATTTAACCCTTTAGGCCTTATATTAATTTTATTGTTTTTTCTTGCTCATTTGTGTTATTCTATTATATCATCACTATTATTATTTTGTTATTTCATTATCATCTTTGATATTTACTATCCTGTTTCCTGCTTTCAACCCCCTTTGTTATAATATTTCTTTTTCTAACCTATTTTATGTTTTTATTTTGGTCCTCATGGTCTCATTTTATGTTGTAGGGTTCTTGTATTTTCTGAGTTCCTTATGACAAATGAAACTGGCCTTCAACTCCAAGGCCTCGTTTTAACTGAGCTTTTGTTTTATTTCCATGTGCTGATGCTCTGTGCTTTACGAATGTTTGTCCAAGCACTTAGTAAACTTCTGTTTTTAAAAGTGCGACGAAAATAAATAAAGTGATAGGGTGATTTTCTTTAGCCAGTCATGTCATCCTTAAGGGTGGTGGAGCTGTTTCACTCAAATACCTCGGATACTTTGGTGCTAGATTTCTGGAGCCATGGACTTCTATAACAACCATCCTCAACAAGGACCTTGTACCCATGTTCAACATCATTCAGGCTCCCAAAATATGTTGTGCTTTGTTATTCCCCTACATGGACTCTCCTTCAAGTCAACAAGATGCAAGCAGAATGTTTTGAAACATGGATGGTTATATATACTTGAACAGTCTCAGATGAGTCTTTGTTACGCTTGTGGCATGATGAAGTTGTAACCCAGATCTGCACCCAGTAAAGCTTGTCAAAATGATCATTTGTGTGGACCTTCCATTCTTTAAAGGGTGAACATGGGCTAGGCATCCTTACAGAAAGTTATTATATTATTAAAAAAACAGCTGCAGGGAAGTTGAAAGAAAACTGGAGCGAGCACGAATGACGTGGACTTGTGCTTAAATCATTTAAAAGAACAAATACTGGCGATGCCCTTGCAACTGCTGGTGAAGGCCTTTCAGTGAGTCTCCACGCAACTGCAAAATAATAAGTGCGCTAACCTGATATTAAGTTGTTTGCCTATTCAGAAAGACTTTCAGCTAGTGCGTTAAAATGAGCGTAATTCCCCCACAGTCGTGTATTTACCAGTGCGACTCTCAGTGTCTATGATGTTTATTTCATGTGCTCTGACAGTCCGCTGTGTTGTACCAGTTCTTGGAGTCACAGCTCAGTTAAAGTCCTAAAATAAATAAAGTATGTTTATTTAAAGTACATTTATAAGCCCCGGGCCCTGGGTGAGCCTATGATTTACTTATTTGAAACTCCCTTTAAGGCGGCATATGCTCTGCTTGATTTACTGTACGTGTACAAACAAATGAAAACATCTTTCATTACCTCTGTTTGCAGAATGGCAGCACGTTGCTCTTTGGCAGTGAGAGACTCTTTGAGCACCTCAATATGCTGTTTGCAGTCGGAGTTCTGATTGTTGAGGGTCTCGAGTTTTGTCTGTAGAGCGAGCAGCTCCGACTCCTTTTTTGACAACTCCTGCTTCAGCTGGTCAATCTGCACACACACACACGAAACACGTGACGAGAACAACCAATCACATCAGCGGTATATGTTTCACCATCGTAGCATGTGCCTGAGTGAGTGTGTACATACATGTGTGCGAGTGTGTGAGGGGAATCTTTTTTACCAAACAGCGATCTAGTTAGCACAGCTTTTGTACTATTTTCATCAACACGCTTTTCTCTCATTAAATATGCATTTGGGACTGACTCCCCTGCATTTGTCATGTATTATACATCATCTCTATACATGATTGATGAAAAGAGGTCTAAAAATAGAAAAAAAACAAAACTGTAGCTGCTCTGTGCCCGGCTGACTAATGTAACAAGCAGAATGTAAACACAGTGTCTGAGCTCTGAAGAGACACATGAGCCCGAGAGAGTGGCAGACACACACACTTGGATGTGATTGCAGATTTCATGTAGGTGTTGTATGCTGTAACTACTAACATGCAGCAGCCAGAAAAACACAAAAAAATCATGTAGTCATGGAGCGTGGGCTGATCAAAACACTGACTGGTCTGAAAACTAAAACAGGGGGAGTCTATCACTCTGGATTTTTCAATTTTCCAATTTCACGAGGCGCTATACTGGACAAAAACTTTGAGTGTTTTATCATTCCACAGCATGCAGGTGCTGATTTTGCGTTTTTATTTGACCAATCGTGGCACTAAGCTCGTCTCAGAGGGAAGCGACTCTCAAATTGTTGCCAACAGGACACTTTGCTGATGACACTAAATGCTAATGCAGCTAATCTGAGCGACACTCGGCTTTATTACGTGTTCTCTCCCCTCCGTACAGGTCTATCTGGACTCCGAAAAACTCAATCCTTTGTGTTTTTTCCACTATATTTTTGACAGGATCTTTCTTACGGGAGCATGCACAGAGCCAAGAGTATCTACCTTTGTCTTCATAAACTTAGAGTGGTTCTTGTAGACCTCCATCTGTTTGATCTCCTCCTCTCTGTCCTCTGTGTTCAGTAAGCCGTTCGCCTTCAGCATTTGGATCTCATCCTCCAGATCTCGAATGTTGCGCTCCAGAGAGGCAATTTTGGTGTCCTGCACACAAACATGCAGAGGAGACACACCTCAAAACCCTGACTGGCATGTCCACAAGTTGCACGTTTCAAAAAAAAGAAAAAAAAAAAAAGAGAAAACCCTCAAGTAGAGACAAGACTCCAGGACAGACAACAACAAGGCTGAAAGACAAATAGAGAGAGAGTGGGAAAGAGAAGAAAGACTAGTGGAAACTCTTTGTTGTGGCTGAGAGCAACTGCAGTATCTGTCGGTGAAATCAGAAGCGTCTACCCAGCTCCTTGCAGCGGCTCAGAGGATTAATCACCATTGGGAAATATTGAGCAGACATCCAGCACGGAGAGATCAGCCCGGACCACAGAGGAACGTGCAGAGGGGAAGGCAGAAAAGTAACTAGATGTAGCTTTTGGCGTAGTTGCTTGCAGATCAATGCAGAATCCAGTCTCTGTACTGCGACTGTGAGTGCAGCTTTAGCTTCACGGCTTTTTAAATAAATAATACAACGTCTTTAAGATTAGCCATGGTCCATCTCCTTCTCCAGCAGAGCATGGAGCAACCTTGTTCCTCCCTCTCTTCCTCTCTTTTTGTGTCTCTCCTCCTCCTCCTCTCCTCCAAGTGGCTCTGAACTTGTGAACTTGTGGCTGTTAGATGGGTCAGTATTAGCCCTCCGCAGGGGAGCGTGGGTAATGGAGCTAAATGAGGACTGATAGACTATCAGAGAAGGATGTAAGGTGTTAACGTCAACGCACGAGCGCTGCACATGTACATGCTCCTCGCCGTGCGGTTGCATCTCACCCCAGTCTGGGTGTTACGAGACAAACATCAATGGACTAACATTGCTAAAATAGACACAAGACATCGTACCTTCAATGGAGGGAGAATTTATTCCATCCACATGTAACCATCGACCTGGTCAGTAAATCTCGCTCTTTATCTCGCTTTCCCTGTCTCTGTGTGTCTCTATTTCCATCTATCTTCCTGCATACTGGCCTCTCACTGTCATAAACAACCACACCTGTTTCCATGGCAGCAGCAGCAGCAGGCTATATACTGTGCACTGTCTCTGGTGAGTGAGGAGGAGAGGGTGGGAGGGATGTAGGGTAGTGAGGGAGGATTATTCGTGCTTCCATCAGCACTCGCATCAACACAGCGGAGGGAGAGAGCAGCGGGGAGAAACGCAGAGTCTTCTGACACACAGGACAGCGAAGGGAGAGAAAGGAGAGAGGGGGAGGAGGAAGCGGAGGGAGAGGCGGGTCTTCCCTCGCTCTGTATGCAAATCAACAGGATCCCAGAGCACAGGAGTCACATGACCATGCCGTGCAGCGGAGGCTGAGGCCTGCACGGTGCAGATCCAGCCGAGTAAGAGGGGCTGTGTCAGCTCAACGATGATGTCATGATTTATTTTGAGGAAGTGATGTCATGCCTCTGCAGTAAGGATGTTGGCGTGTATAATGATACAACACATGTTATACAGTTGGGCTGCACAGCATGTGTTCATCTGAACATACTTAAGAACAGGCATGTTTCCATGTCACAGCTGCAGGAGGTTCAAAGAACAGATCTTGGATGGATGTTGAATTTAATTTGCTGAAATCATGATGGGTGGGGTTCTCAAATTACACTCTGATTTTAAAATGATCTCAATAGGATCAGAGTTTTTCTGTAGATGGTTAATTGTCTCCAACTAATCTGAAGTAGTTCATGAAACTTTATTTAGATAATATTTATATGATTGATGGGGGCTATTTAAGTGATTATTTACTATGAATTATTAAAGAAAAGATGACACTCATGAATAACCAACCTGTGTTAGTGAACAAACATAAAACTCCATATATCTGACAAATCAGCTTGGTGTAGGTGGAGGAAACAGAAACTATCAAAGAAAGTTAATATGAAATAAAAATGTTGATCTGTTCAAAACTGAGCTTAAAGGATGAGAGTGCAGTCTGTGCTGTTTGCAAACCAACTGTTACACTGAGGAGTTTGTTTTTAAGACAAAATACGACACGTCCTGTCATGACACCAGGCTGATGCCTCTTGGTGTGACCAGCTGTTGCGCCTCTTTGGCTTGCATGATAGTTAAAACGTTGTACAGTAATATTGATTCTTGTTGATATTTACACAACTGCTTTATGAGCAGACACACTGTGTGTGTGTGTGTGTCTCTGTGTGTGTCTGTGTGTTTGCCAAATGAGATAGCGAGATGTGTCAGTGTGTTTCCTATTGACTCAGCTGCTCATGAACACAATGACAACAAAAGACTGAGGGACACACAAACACACACTAACACACACACACAGAGACAGCGTGGGCCTCTGTTTAGAGATGCTGCCACTGTGCGAGTGCCAGTGACTCAAATACACACGAATACAAAATCAGCCTCTGAACATCTGCTACTAACCAGACTAGCCATCATGAGCTTATTGTCAGACTAGTCATCACCAGAGGAATCTTCAAATCAGCCATCATGACTTCGAATGACTGAAGATGAATAAAACTGGTAACTTGATGAAGAGTTGTTCTGAAGTATAGTAAAAGGATGTGTTCTCCTATGATCATGGCAGCTGCATGTGAAAGGGTCCAGCTGTAATTTGTGAGAGGGGTCTCTTACTTTCATTTCAATGATGGTCTGCAGGGCCTTGGTTTTGCTTGGATCCTGATGCAGCTGGTTTCTTCTGTGCAGTTCCTTTGAGAAAAGATACAACACATGGAAATACTAAACCATGCATCTTAAGATCATCACTCATGTTAAATGTTTAACACAACGGATCTCTTACATAATCAATCTGGTCAAATGTAAGTATGAGCTTACCAACACTGCCCTCTAGTGACAAAAATAGGTAACAGTTGTGTTTTCAGGTCTGTTTTGTCTTGTACTGTGGAGCTAACATACTTCTGTCAACATGAGCCGGGTTATACAGTACCTCTCTTAGGTGAATGTTCTCCTTCTCCTTCTGATCCAGAATGACCTCCAGATGTCCCAGCTGAGCCTCTGCCTCAGCGATGCGCCTCGCCCTCTCCTGCTCCTCCTCCTCTGACACTCTACCCGGCCCTGAGGGCAGCCCTTTGCTCTGTAGCATCTCCAGCAGTTTCTTAATGGACTCGTCCCTAGCACCTAGCGTCTGTTTCTGGGTCTCGATCCTCAGCTCCATCTCCTCCAGGGTCTTTCTGAGCAGAAACAGCTCCTTGGCCTGCCTGTCATGCTCCGCCTGCAGTCGACGGAAGTTCTCCTCTGTCAGCTCGATGGTTGTGAAGTGCTCGGATGCGGAGCGGTTCCCGCTCTCCTGCTGCAGCAGGTGGTTTAGGTCTCGCTGTGTGCGCAGTTCGTCCTGAAGAGCCTGGATGGTCATCTGGAGATGCTGATACATGACACATGAATACACACACACAGACTCAACAGTTATTGAATTCAAAGGGAAACAGTGATTTATGATAACATTAGACATCAAACAACCTTCCTGAAATGCTGTCACCACACTTCTGTGGAAAAATGCAGGTCAGACATGAGGGACACGACACTTAGCTATCTTTTGAATCAAAAACAGACTGTCAACAGCCTGAACTGACACAGAGTATCACTTTTTTCTTTATTCTGGAACAAGAATCACGTTTTTTTAAAACATATATCAAGGTATATGACTCCCTGCTTTCATATACATGTTATATGTGCTGCAAATAACTGCTCTTCTTAATGTCAGCACAGTTTATAAAGGTTGATAACTTTTTGTTATAAAAATAGAGGACCTTAGCTGTCATCCAAATCTCATAGCTGGAATCTGATTTAACTGACAAAGGATCTGTAGGATAACTGATCATCAGGTATAAAAAGACTGAATGCTTTGAGCTAAGACACTATATAGTGGTGAATAAAGGTTTGATCATCTGTTGATTTTTTCGTGTCCAGAATAAAACAAAAACAAACACTTCACTGTCCATAATCTCTTATTCTTTGTGGGTGTTTCGGTTCCAGGGTTAAAGGGGTCAACTTTGGGGCCAAGTTTCTGTCACAGATTGAAGAAGGCTTTGTGGTGCCTGTTGAAAATTTTCTTTTGAGTAGATATACCCAGTGTGGAAATCAATCTACATCCAGAAAACGGCCCAATCAGGAACAGAGGGAGAGGGAAACATATTCTTACATTGAAATAAGATCCACATTACAGGGTTTGTGGTACTACAGAGGGATGGAGCACCAGACACGTTTGGATTCACACCACTGAACAAACCTATCAATCTGCGTAGTTCTGTAGTATTTTTAGGGAAAGATAGAGGTTTCACAACAAAGGAGGAAGGCTGAACTGCTGGAGAAAATTCACTTCTCTTATCAGGTTCAGGTTGTAATGGTGCAAGGTGTCTGAAAATAACACGCCACACTGCAGGTGACTCTATGTTGTGCACACAACACGCGGTGCAAACATAGGGACAAACCTTAGTTCTCCGGGACTCCAGCAGCTGCAGAGCATGGGCAGAATGAACAGAAAAAACAAATGTATGGTAAAAACAGAGCGTCAGAGCATGAGGCAACAAAGAAGGATGATCAACACAAACCAGCCACAGATTTCAAACAAGAGCCATCAATCAGTCTGGCCAGCTGTGTGGTTATCTGCCTTTAGCCATCAGTCAGAATACTATATACACAATATGCAAACAGACGACATTTGACTGGCTTATGAACCTTTCTGGAAAGAGATACGAGGTGAATGCCCCCTAATGACCCACAAAAAACATTCAATGGGGGGCAAAGGGGTAGCTGTCAGACCAGTCAATGATAGCACTTTGACGAAACAGCCTTTCTTTACATTTGTCACCGCACACAATCACAAAGAGTGGAACATTTGACTGTAAAAAGGAATAAGGATGAGACTCTTTTTGACAGAAAAACTTGCGTGTGGTTGACTGGGTGAGAAAAGTGAAGTGACAAGATCTAAATCTGTGTCCACAGGGGGGCGTCAAACTCAACATCAAGTGCCTCACTGTACCTTAAAGCTATAGATCATATTATTAAATATGACTAATAATGTTTGATTAAAAATAAAATACAATCATACACAAACATGCACACACTGAGTTTTGTCCAAAAGTAACACACTTCTTTTTAAGTGAATCTACAGACAAATTTGAATCAAAAATTAAAACAACATTTTTTTCAGTGTTTTAAAGGTTTTAATTCTGTTTCCAGAAGTTACTCGATACTGATATATCGCTCCTTTAGTTAACCACAACCTTGTAAAGGCTGATGAAGATGTCATTCCTCCTCTTCTTGTTCTCCTGGGACATGATTGACCACATGGACTGACCAATCTTACAAGTCATGGTCAGATCTCTCATCTCTGTAAACAATTAAGGATCATGTTTTTTATACATACCGCCTCTTCTCATTTTATGCTAATGATGTGCAGTTTTACTTCTTTATCTCTAGCATCTGTGCTCCAAACTCTTGTTAAGTAAATGGCAAACCAGACTTGCCTTTTTGCTGGATCTATCTATCAAATCTTATCTGGCTGAACAAGTGCAAATGAGACCTCTGGAGCTCCAGCTTGGTTATCACACCACCTTCTTGTTGGCTGTGTGAGTTGCAGCTGTGAAATGTTTCCCTTTATATCCTGTTACGAAAAGGTGATCTGCCAGTAAAAGATGCATGCTTATGATGATGTTTTGTAACAAACCAAAACTAAGAAAATGCATAATGAAATCCACAGCAACCGGCTGAACATCACATTAACACAGTGGTATGAACGGTTTTGTGTTTCATATAAAAGACACTGCCCCTCAATCTGTGCATAAACAGGCGGGACATACAGATGGACCTCTCTGTCTCTCTTGCAGACCTCAAGTCAGGCACTGCAGGTCACACGAGGTGAAGGGCAGAGAGAAACCAGGGATCACTGAGACCACTGGGATCAGAGAGTAACAAAACACCCAAGCTGTCAGAATCTCAAGTTCAGCCTGTGTTGTCTTTATTACATAAATCAGAGGACCCTACGTACATATGATGGTGGACATTAATTTTAAATAATAATAATTAATCAATAATTCAGATTGGAATAACCTCTAACTCTCTTTGCGTTCTGTTACTTCTTTTTATCACTTTAGAATGGATCTATACTCCCATCTCAAAACAAATTGCTCATGTTTCTGATTTATTTTCTTTACTTTTTTGCATATGTTCAAAATATTTATCCTTGATAATAAGTTTTGCCTATTTTTTTGTTAGGCTTATGTTAGTTGGGGTTGTGTGTGGGAGTAGGGTGAGCAAGATGTCTGTATTTGTTGTATGTTATGTATGTTAATGTATTGTAATGCGTCCTGAGTTCTATGTATGTTTGTTTAGGGACCCCCTTGAAAATGAGATGCTACATCTCAAGGGGCAATCCTTTAATAAATACAACAATGGCCAAGTCTATGCAGAATTTGCTTGGATTTTTTCTTTCTGTTATCAACAACAGACACAGTTTGAAGGATCCTGAAACCAAAAAACTACTGCTGTCAATGGACTAAATAGATTATTAAAATGGCTCACCTCAAAACCTGATAGCTACTGTTAACTTCCTTATTTTAATTGACCCCATCAGCCCTCTATGGGATCGGCCTCTCAGGATACGCCCCTGCTCTTTGCACACAGCTGCTTTCCTCTCCCTCCTTAAGCAAAATTTTTGTAGCAAAACTCAAATTTGTAAGAGGACGGATTCTGGCAGGACTTGGCTGTTTCAAGCAACTGAAAACAGTGTAGTAGATTCTGTATGAGAGGGTCATTAATAACCCTAAATCAAACATTGTTATCATATGTCTGTTTTCTGGTGATGTACACGTGTCTCTTACTGACGAGGATGAGTAACAAGGCTGTGCTGCAGCCCCACAGAGTGTCCGATGGAGGGCTTTTTTTAGGCTAGTTTTGCCCTCCAGGCCTCTGCGCTGGTCACGTAACTAAAAGCTGTGATTCAGCATTATTTTGCAATGAACTATGAGTTGTATGGACTCTGTATCATGTGCATCAGTACATATATTGGAAAAGAGTGCATGACATTATATAGAGTAGACAAAGTACACAACTTCATTACTTGAGCCAAACAACACACACCAAACAACACACTCCTCAAAGTGAGTACTCCAATTCAAGTGAAAGTAACATAATCATATTATTGCTTGATTAATTCATGGGGTATTTGCTCCTAAAATGCATGAGTATTTAAATTACTTTAAAAATTTGTGAGTATTCAAGTAAATTTATTTCATTACAGTCCACCATTGAGGATATGCTGCTGCTGTTTTGATTTTTTGCTGTAGTGGACTCGAGACAAACACAGAAAATAACAAACGGGCAGCGTAGAGAAAGAGATGCACTAGAAGAAATAACTACAACTTGATGGGATTTTTTATACATTTTAAAATATATATGTGGGAGTGCTTTCAGGTGTTATTGGTAGACAGTCTTATTTTCATTCAAAAAAGGTGCTAAATTTACATACAGATGATAAAAAACCACAAACATCAATGATGCCATCAGAGGGGGTCGTGACTTGGTGGCTTATCGAGCCTTTTCTGCCACACTGTTAAGGCATAATAAGCATGAGCTCTTCCTGCCACTAGGGGACACTGTTTGAATTGGCAAAAAGCACTTGATTAATTTTATGGCAACTGCAGGACTGCCATCGCTATCCTCAATAGTTTGTTCTTATGACCAGTGCATGTTGCTGATTCACTTTATTTTATTAATTTTATGTTATTTTTTGCCATGTTTTGCCTTGCAAAAACAATGTGAAATAATATCAATGCGCAATACTAATGTCTACCAATAGCACCATCTCCCTTTTTTATGTATATATTTATAAACATTTTAAAAGTGTTTATTTCTGATACTTTCTTCACTCTGTAAATACAATATTTTACCTTATCTGAACTTGAACACTAGATCATTTTTGAATGAACTGTATCCATCCTCCCTGTGACATGATCGTTCCTGAAAGAATAGTTTGCTACCAAGTATAGAAAATACTTAAAAGCACGTCTTCACAAACATTAATAATAAATGCAAAACAGACCTAATCAGACCTAGCCAATCAATAGGCGACCTGGAGGCTGGTTTTCATTACATTTTCATTTTTATGGAGAAAAGTCCCCATAAATATTGCTCCTCTGAACCGTGCCTGTGTTAAATCGATGTGATATGGCTCACAAAACAGTTTTTAAACCATTCGACAGAAATTTCTCAGAGTTTCTTCTCTTTTTAATCTCACCTGACTTTACTCCCTCTCTGTTCCTCATCAGTGCTTCCTTACTCTGTCCTGATCAATAACCTGACAACTTGGAACTAAACTACAGGAGACAGTCCAATAATTCTATTTGCATAATTGCACCGTGGGTTAAAATGGCTATATGGCTGTTCCTCCCTAAAACCTCCTGACTCTTAAATCAGAATGGTACCACTTCCAGTGAGTCAGCCGTGACTCAGAGGAGGCTGCTATTGTGCCAACCTACCAACATTTAAGTCATCTTTCGATATACAGTATACCCTGAAAAACATCTTCCCAGAGTTTTGCAGAGTCAAGGCCTGATATTTAGCTACAGTGCACCCCCCCTGTGTGACTGACACTCAGGGCGTTCAGGGGTAACTGCCTGTCAGGGATCCTTTGGGGCAGAAACACAAAACCCTTCTTGGAGCCACAATAATAATCTATCTCAAAATGTCATGCCACTCACATACAAGTCAAAAATATGTGACTATGTGGAGGTTTTGAATAAATTTATAGTATACAACTACCTAAAACAATCACAAGAAGCTGTTTGACTGTAAACTGAGCCAACATGAGGGATCTCTGAGTGAGTAAAAGGTGTGTTTTTGTTCGAAGGGGTCAGATGTTAATACCACCAATGCGCAGACCCATCACTACTCTGCTAGCATGGCTAAAATAGTCTTGGCCAAAGGGACTTGTAAACAGCTAATACATTAAACTAATTTTACTCTGTCATGTCCAGGCGGTTGTTTGCATTTTTTTTTTTCAAACAGGCCATAAATGCACCGGCAGATTTATATGTGGTGTACTGTACATGTGATGTGTGTGTGCATTAAGATGACAGTGGGTGTTTCTGTATGACAGATGGACAGCGCAAACAGCACTGAGTCAGAGCAGCCTACAGCTCACTACATTCCTAATCTCTCTGTTGTGCGTCGTGATGGCTGACAGTATAGAATTACACCCACAGCCATGGAGAAAAAAACAGAAAAAAAAAACAAACAGACTGGCATTTATTCATCTACGCTCAGCTAAAAGTGAGGTGAAAGCGGTGTAAATTTAGAAAGCACGCAGGAGTTGTGCTGAAAGTAGGAATGAATCAGAAAACAGTATTTTCTTTGAGAAATATAACATTGTTTTATTGTTCATCCAAGATGGAAATAAACTCTGGAGATAGACCGAGGGATTGTCAGCAGGTCGACCAAAACATGGCTGAACACGGTCGGGTCGTAAACACAGACAAAGATTCAACATAATGACAAAGACAGCATCTTAACAGAACTTCTTGAATTCAGTTGAACATGAGTAGAAGAAACACCCACATCTCATATGATGGAAAAGGTCATAACTATACAGCAAATTCTTCCACACACAACAGCGCCCTTCCTCTTCCTCTACCAGAGTAGTATTTTGGATGGCCACTCACCGATACTAAAACACCTCTGACAGTAGCTAGCTTTTCCGTTCTGTACTGCTAATGAAACATGGTGGTGCAAGATGGACGCCTTTTTGGAAGGGAACCCTCAGCGGCAGAAGGTTCATTTGAAGTTGACAAAAGCAACCATATTTATATTTAAATGATTGTGTTCTAATCTGGGCATATTAATGAATACTATGATTCCCAAATCCGCTCTGCTAAATACTGCACACTGCATCTTTAAGGTCATGAAAGTTTAAGTGGTTATCCTGTTGCTTAGAGAGCCAAGAGCCACTGAGCACTTAACCATGCGGCGCAAAGGAGCAATAACAGTAATTGATCTACTATCTATATATTCAATATCTATGTTTATTATGGAGTTTAATGCTGCAGGCATAAGCTGAGATATACAGGTACACTTAATACGCACACTGTAATACAAAATACACTTCTTCTCATTCTTCCAGCAAAACTCGTCAGCTTGTTGTAAAACATATCAAAAAACATGATCTGTTCTGGTGAAGGTGAACTAAGATAGTGAAGATGAGTTTGGTAGGCAACACTCAGTGATCTATTCCCTTAGACCCAGCAGCAACTAAAAACACAGTTTGTTGTAAAATCTTTTTTCCAGGTTCAAAAAGAGAATAAATCTTCATTGTTAGATTCTCACCTAACTTGTTAAGATAGACGTTTTCACCCTGTTGTCTGTGATCTAATCTTAAACTGCGCTTTAGTGAAGAAAAAGACACCAGCAGGCTGTTAAACGACTTATCCCCCTTGACTTTGTTCTCTCATCCTCCACTCCCATCTTAATCTTACAAGTCTTGCTCTCAGTAAATGCCTTCCTGCTTCTCTGCTTTACACCTTATCCTGTTCAGATGGACTGAGGAGGGAGCGAAACCTCCTTTCATCACCTTCTTGTCCTCTGTGTGAAGCTGCAGCCATCTTACGTGCTCAGCTGAGGGGGGTATGCATGTGCTTTGTGACTGTTCATATGATACTTCCTGTGTCCACCATGTCACAACCTTAATAAGAATATCAATATCTTTGCTCATCATGTATATACGATAGCTGCAGGCATGTTTTTCTACCCTTTTATTGCAGCAATAATATACTCATGTTCATGATCAGTGTGTACAGCTGCAGCAACATCAAACATCCTGAATTCTGATTAAAAACATGTGACTTCCTTTTCCACATTGAATGTAGTCTAGTGTTTATGACTAAGCCTATTCACACAGAAGCAGCTGGTTCAGGTACAAAGAGAAAACTCACACACAGTTGTGAACAGCACAAAACAGAGGCTGTAAGGCACACACACACACACACACACACATTAAAAGTTACGTGCACCTGCATAAAATATGCACATTTTTTCACAGTTTTTTTTTTTTTTACAGGTTTAATTTTCTCAGTGACGCGCCACAACGTACAGCCCACAGCAAGGAAAGGAGAAAACATGTTATGTCTGAAGCGCTGTCTGTGCCCGTGAACACACAGAGCTGTGTCATATGGAAGGCCAGGCCTCCATTTTGGGGATTGCATTGATGTGGGCTGACTGGCTGGCTGAGCAGCAGTGGTCATGACTCAGACAGATATGGTACGCTCTAGCTCACACACTTCCCTCCAGCGGCTCCCGTCCGGCTTCGGCACGGCAGAATATTCTGCTGAATTCAAGTCGAATGATTTAGCTTTTTTTAACAGCATAAGCCGGCTGCAAACATTAGTAAAAACGTGCCACACAAAACAATCCTGGAATAATCATCTCCTCAAGTCGTGACCTTTGACTGCCTCTATCAAAGCCCTGCTGGTTATTGTTGGTATTTCTTAGTTCATTCTGTGCTTTACAAAACAGATGAAAGACAGACTATAATGCCTGAGCACTTCTCTTTAGATGTGATAATAAAAAAGGAGGAACAAAGTTCTCCGAACTTCTTCTTCATAAAATAAATAATGCATCACATTTGCTTAAGCTAATTGAGGCCTGAAGCGCCTGATGCAACTGTAAACGACGCTACAAGACAGATGCAATGATTGGCCTGAAATCACTCCAATATTAATGAGGCAATTTGCGCCTCAGTCGGCCTCCAAAAACAACCCCCTGCAAGTGTGCACGCACAAAACCACACGGGCGAGACTGGGAGAGAGAAAGTCTTCTCTCTAAACAAAAAGGCCTGAAAGCCCACACTGTACCGCTTTCATTTTCTCCCTGACAAATTCAGTTCCTACAGTGTATGAAAAGGAGCTAAAAATACACACAAGGATTCACACTGAGATTTGTAATCGCACAGAACAAAAGGAGGGAGTGAAATGATGAATGGCTTGGGTGCTGTCAGCGGCGCACCGTCCTACCAGACACTGTCCCTGCACACTGACATGAGACGTTAAAATAAAGAATCAAAGTACCTGCTGGCTCCTCTCTAGGGATCACCAGCAGGTTAAGAACCTTTACGATGTGAGGCAGAGATTTTGAGACCCTTCTGTTCAACAGTATGTAAGCAGGAAACCCTATAAATTCAGTCCAGAAAAGTGAATACTAACCGCGTGGAAACATACAGAGGTGCAGGTCTCATTTAAAAGGTAATACTAAGGGTATCTTTCTTTGACCTTGTAGGGCAGAGTGACAATGTCTGCCACTCTGAGTAATGGATGGCTTACTGGCTGCTCTGTGGTCGACAGCATCACTCAAGGAGACTGACAAAAAAAACGCAGACACACTTGAATAAAGAGCGCAATCAGCTGGCAAATCTTAACCTTAACGTTTCGAGCTATTCTGCTGCAACATGCCACGGTCTGCCTCATGAGACAAACAAACTGCTGTGAGGCTTAAAAACAGGAATAAAATAAGATGACTTTTCCCACAATATGCTCCAGTGTATTGTGCACTAGTCCTTGCAACCTAATCATTAGTTATGTGAGCTTGACACCATGCTCTCTATAAAGAAAATCTAACTAAAAGACAGCTGCAACTATACTAAAGAGGTCCATTCGGCCTGTCGGTGATAAATTTATAAGATGGTTCATCTAAAAAGGCCAGAAAGGTAAAAAAAGATTTTGGACCTGACAAGTTTCAGCTACTTTGAAGGCTGCAGAGGCAAAGTAGCTGAAACTTGTCAGGTACAAAAAGTCTTATAAAGTCAGCTGCAACTGTTTGTGGTCAAATAAACCTTAAAGAGTGATGCAACAGTGATTTAGTCTCTACAGGGACTGAAGTTTGGCAATTGTAACACGACTTAATTTTGCTTTTATGATTTGATGAATAAAAGTTTTATTTTCAAATGGACATTTTTCTAGATTTAGTCAGACAAACCGGCATATTTGAAGACAGAGAGGTCTAAATGAACAAAGGTAGACGGTGTGAGATGATCACAAAGTCACAGTGTGTAAAGGACGGACTACGGGAAAGTTAAGGCAGAGAGAGAGACGGACCAACAGACCAAGTGTTGAAGCATCTTTGACATTTGTCTCTGGGCCTGGTGCCTACTGTTGTCAGCTAGTGATTGAACTGGGCCATGTCTGCACCCCCGCACTGAGACAAGCACAAAGAAAAAAAACTCCTGACATCTCAGACTCAAGGGCCAAAATAATCAAACCTTTAATAACAGCTTAATAAAAATGAGTGGCTGGAATGAATACGGTAACAATCAAACTCAGAGGTTTTGTTGACACACATGTGGGTAGTTAGATGGTTTTTATACGAGGTACAGTTCTCATCACCTCGGCTCAGATTTCAAAGAGTTGATTATAGATCTAAGAAAGAAAGAAAGGTTTTGTATTTCCAGTGGCACAAGTGGTCTCTCTGGCATAGATTCTGAACTGGAGCACCATGCAGGAGAGTGAGTGTTAAATATTAATGTTTGCTAAGAACTCTTTCCAGAAAGGTTTCCACAAGTACTGAAACACATGAATGCAGTTCTTGGACTGAGGATGACAGCGGTCTACAGCAGAAAAGGGAATGGTGATAGAAAAAAGGTGACAACTGACAGGTGGGATTCACAGCAGTAAAGAGTGGATTAAGACAGAGGAAAGACTGGTCTTACCTGGTTCTCCTCGTGAGTGACTCTCATCTGCTCCTTCAGGATAGATGTGCGAGCGGCCTCCTCCTTCCTCATGATCCGCTCCTTCTTCAGCTCGGGGCTCCAGAAACTTTTGATGCTGTTCGTGGAAGATCCCAACTTACTGTCCTTCAGGTCAAGCTCTCTGCGCAGCAGCTCATTCTCCCTCTGCATGTCCCTGAGCTGGGCCTGCATCTCCAGCAGCTCCCCCCCACTGCCCCGCACCGCCTGCCTCAGCAGGGCGGAGGGCACCCCCTGGTGGTGGTGGTGGTGCAGCATGGAGAGGGAGCCCAGGTCACTGTAAGACAGCAGGTCAGCATGGTGAGGCAGCCCCACTGAAGCGATGTTGGGACTGCTGCCCATGGCTGTGACGCGGCCCCCGTACATGGCCCGGCTGGTGGCGCGACCCAGAGTCATAGTGCCTTTTGGATAGGTGGCAGTGGAGCCCACGCCCTCGTGGTCGCTCAGGTACATGGGACCTGAGGTGGCATAGGCAGCGTTGAGGGACTGGATGTTCTCCATAGAGAGCGTCTTGCCCCCCGCACCACCCCCGCCCCCGCTGTTGGCCCTCCGATGGCCCAATCTGGGGGACCTTGGCAGGCGCGGGGACCGTGCGGGGCTGCTCTCTATATGGCCTACAGCTCTGGCACTGCCGTACATGTCCTGTGAGTCAGCGGTGTAGCCACCAGAGGGTCCTTAACGGGAGCACGCTGAAATGAGGCTGCTCTTACTCTCTGAACCGAACATGGGTGACTTATTTCATGCCTTAATAGGGTGAGTACATCAAAGTCAGATCTGAGGAAACAGGAGAGACACAACTGTTAGACGAAGAACCACTTTGTCAGATGAAAGGCACACAAAGAAAGGTGAACTCTTCTAAAACACAAAATAGAAATCCCTCAGAACCTGAGCAGTTCAAAACAAACAGAGGTGGCCTGCAAGATGCTACAAACAGAGGAACGGATAGTTCACTTAGCTTAAGGACTCTATTAGTTAACATCAGCAGCAGCTGCCACATTGTGCTCGGCTCCTATTTCAAATGGCCTGAAGGAATTTCCCAGCACCATCCTGGATTTCCCACAGGCAAACATTTATCTACATCCCTGTTCTGCTGCTAAAAGAGGCAGGAGAGTCAGTACAGCTCTACAACCTCACGGCGCAACAACTAAACGATGGACTGATTACCTGACCGGACATGATATTTAACTTTCATCTACTGATAAACCGATGGTTGTCAATGGATTCGTACCAAGTGGCTGAAAGAAAATCATATTTAGTGAGCGAAAAGCATCAGGTACAGTTTAGAAATTACTATGAATTAGGTTGTTGCTTAGTTAATTTTTAAAGAAGAAAAAACTTGATGTAACTGCACGACAAAGTAACCAGTTAACAGTGATGCAACCCGGATTTCATGTTTTTACAAGGATTTGTCATTTTTATACGTGGTTTAAAAATAAAATCTCTTTTCATAGCAATTTTTTATTTAAACATAAGAAAATGTTGCTGGCGGACAATGAGAAGGGGATATGGAATATTTAATTTTTAATGGTGAAATAATGGTTCTGCCGGTGGAACCCTGAATAAATCAACAGATAAAGCACTTTCTGTGATACATTTCAGCTTGAGATGACGCATAATAACAGCAGTGTTATCAAATTGTGGTAAAAAGAGGTAGAAGAAACTCTTTCAAACAAAGAGCGGAGGACAAACACTCTTAGCTGAGTCTGTGAATGTCACAGGCTGCTTGGTGATTAATATTGTTTGACCATCTGTAAGGGGAGAAAAAAAAAACACCTCCATCAAAGTGAACTTTAAGATTTTTTTCCTCCAGTGACACTTGCTGCCAGACCCAGTTGCCATGGTGACAATGTCTGGCCTAACAGAGAAAGGAAAACCTCAGTGGTCTGAAATAAGCTAGCATAAGTTCCCTGAAGGTTAGGTATTGTATGTCGCAGCTGTGTCAAGGTGACTTAGAGGCTTCAAGTCCAAGGATCCTAAAATTTTAACCTTGTGGATATTTTTGGGTTTCCCCTTTAGAGGCGGTTGAAATGACATCTCATGGCACGAGACTGTGCGTCAACAGGTCTCCTCATTGTATGAAATCAAGTAAGATGTTTGTTGACAGGAACCCTCAGCTGCACTCTGTGACGCGTTGTGTTTGTGGGATTTCAGCCAGGGACAATCACCACAGCCTGGCAGAGAGGGTCAGACAGCCATTTCTGTTTTGAGTTATATGAAACAAATTTTGTCCAAGATGGGAATTCGCAGAAACAACATGGCAGGATAAATCAACAAGAATTAGTTCAAAAGGCCTGAAGAGAGGATGTGTAAACACACGGAAAAACACAGCTCTCCTGTTTTTTTTTTTTATCCTCAAGAGGAAAATTAAGATTAAATTCAAACACACACATATGCAACAACAAAGACTTCAGCTCTTATCTACGGTGGTCAGCTTGCTAGAGCAGGTCTGCAAAGTCTGGTTGGAGTGATTAAGGGGAAAAAACAGCATTTAGCACTGCAGACAAAGCAACAGAAACATCTTATGATGAATTATAATTGACCACCTGTACATCCAGTCTACAGAGGCTCATAATGTTTTGGTTGAAACTGAAAATGTTTCAACTGAGTGTTGGGCTGTGCTGCGAAATATGAGTTTTGCAGCCAGTGTCTGTTAGATCTACTTGTAATGACTAAGTATTTCTGAGTGTGTCACATGTCAGCGTTCTTTAAGGTTTCTGTCTGAAACGGTGATTCAGGGAGTGACTCTGTGAAGTCTTTGTACCTCTTTAGTTGCATTAGGTTACCTTGAAAACAATGTACATAAATTGAGTTGGTCAACCTCCTTATTAAAGCTTCTGCATCCCAGCAAGAAGTACTGTGATCCACTTTAGTGGCTGTCTTTGTGATGTAGAATAATAGGATGCTTTGTGTTGTGGGCTAAAGTTTCAAAAATTATGCCAAATGTGCTGGTGGGCCAGTGATTTGGGATAAGTGCCATGTGACTGAAACTTCCCTGCTTTGATCCCAGCTGGGGATCTTTGCTGCCTGTCCTCCCCCTCGCTTCTTGTGTTTCCTGCCAACCCTCAGTGTAAGCTATTTATTAAATCCAGAAATAATTACTCCACAAAATCATGACTCCATAGGCTACACAGAGAAATCTGGCACTGTGATGATGAGGATGAATGTAACACTGACACTGCTATAGAAATGCTGAAAACAGAGAGTTTCACCCATGAAATGAACACGCTGAACCTCTCCGCAGCAGTCAGGTACTGCTGTTTTTCACTGTCAAGTGTTTTGGCTTTTCTGTCAATCCAATAAAAGACACTCTGATACACTAATGCATTTTATATTGAGCGTGAGGAGTTTAATTGATGAAAAGAGTCATAGTGTTGAGTGTCTGACTGTGATATTTCCAAATTATCTGTTGTTGTTTTCAGATAGTACTTTTACATTTATGTATTTTTTGTTCTCTACCAATGTCTTTTTAATTCATGGTATGACCACAGTATCGCTCAGTGACTGATAAGTCTACTTGAAACTTCTTCCTGCTCCCTTCCAACCAATGGATAAGGCACATTGTGATTTGCCATGATATTGTCAAATTGTGAAATTACTTTGGTTGAAATAAATCGAAAAGAAAGAAATAAAGAAAGAAAAAAAGAAATGTGACACCAAAGATATTAAAAATTTAAATCCTTGGAACAAAAAAAAAAAAGAAAAGACTGCAAGTCTACTTTGGCCAGATACTAGAAAAAACAGTATTTATCAGTTTGAATCCTTTAATAAAAACTTAAGTAATTGTGTTTCAAAATAATGCATTTGAAGAAAAAAAATGCAGAATGACACATCAACTTTTTACTAACTGTATCATAAAAATCAAAGTAGATATCTGTGCAAATGCAGAAACTCACTATAGAAGAGATGGAGTGATTTCTCGCAGAAGCTCTCCAATGAAAACTAGTGCTCTGTTTTTTTAATTCTTCTTTCCACCCAAATTTAATATTTTTCTTCTTCTTTGTTTTTTACATTCACAGATTTCCTCACACCAGTTCAAAAATGACCAAACTCCACTAAGGGAAGCTCATGTGATATTATTGGAGCATCAGGAGGGATGCCAGCTGAGAGGGCCAATTATAATCCTCCTCCCCTCCCCCACATTCAGTTAACTTTACAAAAACTGAAGGATACACTTGAGTCTCATTAGATCAACAGAGGTTTGTGCATTTGAAATTACATATTCAGTACAGAACACCAAGCACAACTTTATAATCTCCTCATTTAAGATTCTCCCTCATCTTCATCTAATGTAGCTTTTAGTACCTCTGTCACTGTCACTTGCTGTTACCTGAAATCATCTCTGGCCAGGTGTTCAGGTATTAGTCCACCATTACAGTTATCAGGACAAGCAAACCTCAGAGTAAATGCCAGAACAGGCACTTAAGAGATGATCACTGGGTGCAGCAGTGCGTGAACAGAGCAGAGGATACAGATGTTGTTGTACAGATTTCACCAGAGGCGATGCTGACTTTATCTATGGGGACACTGAGGCTATTTTTCATGAGGCTAACGTGACAGTCTGAAAGCCGGCGTTCAGGCATTGTGCCCCTCCTGAGACACAAAAAATGTATTAACCAAGACTTCAAGTCAAATAGCAAGGATCGTAGCCAGTCAGAGCGTGCTTTTAAGGTCAAAGAACAGCCATAGAGGCTCATTTTCTCTATAAATAGCCTCTACAGTGGGTTGATGAGGGAGATTTTCCTGTGACAATAAGTGGCCCAATCCACTCAGAGGTGCAACACATGCAGCTTCCTCATCAGGCATTCTACTACTGAGCCCTAACGCCCCCATGCTTCCCACTGAATTCAATGGTTGGCTGATTGGATGAGAAAATGCAAATGTGCATCTCCAAATGGCCTGATCCAGCGTCCACCCGAAGCCAATGCTCACCGATAGTTCTTCTCTAAATTGGTTTGTTATCTTAAAATAGAAAAAAAATAGCTTATATTCTCATACCATTTTCAATTGGCTGATATAGAAGTCTTTGCGATAAAAGGATGATTTTTTGATGTCTGGTGTGCGGACAGAGTTACATTTGATGCGGGTATCGGAAACACGACCATGCAATTGACAGCTCATTGGGCCTACATTTCTCGATGGCTCCGGCGTGGTGGTGGCGTCCGTCGACTTCCAATGGTCTAACCCGCCGTGGGGAAGCCGACTCCAACCTTTATTTTGAAATACGGAGCAGCGCTATCATTTCCAATCTACTTAAAAACGCAAATCCGCTCATATGAAGCGATCATTGACTGGCTGTGTCCATGCAATCACCGACCGACCGAGGAGCGAGCGTTTTTTTCCTTCTATTAAACACGCTCGTATCCACTACCTTCACCGCCGGGTCGCTCACGAAACGCTCCAAACCCTGAAAGGACACTCCGTAGATTTTACATGACATTCCTTCTACAATGAAACGCGGATGGATTGGAGCTCGTTTTAAAAGACACAAATGTACCTTGATCGATGTTAATTCCTCTCCGTCTTCGCTTATGTGGACGGCATCTTGTCGCCTCCATTCACCCCAGCAGCCTCTCTCAGCATCCTGCGCTGTCATTGGGCAGCGGACACGCTCTCTCTCCTCCTCTACACACCAGGGAGCAGCATCACCACTACAGCCCGGCCATACTAACACAGGAGGCAGCTGGCAAGAGGGGATGGGCGGAAGAGATGCGGATCAATCTCAGATCATCTTTGTGATTAATTAAAATCGTCTGCAGCTAAAGTTATGCTGTAAATCTTTTTTCTCTTATTCCTCTTGAATTACCTCATTGGTTGAGGGTTTAAAGGTTCCCGGAAGCACCGTGATGTAGCCACGGCACTTTCAGAAAAGGTGGGTGGATCCAATTCCAAACTGCATGTGTGACTTCAGTCAGCAGTCAAACCTGTGGGTGAAGCCCTGAAGATAGTGATTAGTTTGCCCTGAATTCAGACTCTCAGGCAGCACTGCTTCCCACACCTCATGAAGCTGCTGCCTCTTAATGCTGTTGGTTATATATGGTTGTGTCACGATTTTCATGTTGAAACATAAAAAAAGGGGAAGGACCCATGTGCAGAGCCAAAGATGATTTATTTAAAAAGAACTAAATAAACTCACTTTCAAAATCTCCAACTCAAAATCCAAAAGGGCAAAAAAATAAAATAAAATAAACAGAAGGCACTGGGGGAAAATCCACTTAAGTCACTGGAGTCACAGAGGCATCGACATATACACACATACATACCACTTTGGTGGGTATCGTTTGATTTTGAACGATTCCAGTTCCGATTCCGGTTCCTAACGATTCTCCAATTCTTTAAAAAGGCAGGATATTTTAAAAAAAGGCATGGTTTAAATGAGGGCGCTAACCAGAGTTGTTCTTTTTGGATGAAATTTCTGAACTTCTCCATGAATTTTTAAATTATATTAACTTTTTAAGAACTTTACTATGAATTTCTCACAGGGCTACTTTCAACCAGTATATAAAAATCGATTTTTGTTTTCAGGTCGTTCGTCTATGAAAAAGCACAAGGGCTAACGTTAGTTGGATATTTAAGTTGACCCACCGTACACAGTAGAATTTGTTTGCTGCTTCAATATTAGCAGAAGACAGAAGTCATTTAGTGTTTCACTTATCTGATTCTGGCTGGTTAGCGGAAGACCGGCGAAGCGCGTCAAAGACGGGGCACTCGGGTATTTCCATGAATACTGAGGTGTTTAAACATGTTGGTCCTTCATCCTCCTTTGTATGATTTAACTGTGTCGGGAATGTTGCACTGAGATAAGAGTTCATTCTTCCTGCTAAAGTTAGCCAATATTTTGCTGCCACTGTGGGTTGCAATGCACTCTCTCTGTCTCTCTTCTCTCCCTCTGTGTGGCTTTGTCTCACACGCTAGTCCTCGTTGGTGTTTGACGGCTTCTTCGTTGGTGTTTAGTGGCGTCTTCCTCGTTGCTGTTCGGCGGCTATTTCTTCTGGTCGGCAGACTCCGGCATCGAAACTTGGAATCGAAATTTTAAAATTTGAATGATTACGGGAGAATCGGAATGTTGGTCCTGGTCCCCATCGATGCTCAAGACTCGATGCCCAACCCTACATACCACACACAAAGGCATTGACACACAATGAACTCACAAAGAAACAGGGGAAGACAAGGACTAAATATACACACAGGGAAACGAGCAACGAGAGGCAGGTGAGACACAGAGACACAGGTGCAGACAATCACCAAGGAAGGAAAACAGAGAAAGTAAAACATCACTAGAAACACAGGGGATAAACTACTACAAAAAAAAAAAACAGGACACACTGAAAACTGATTATGAATAAAACACTGAGAACATGAGGGACCTGGGGTCAGACACAAACTGAAAACTCACAAGACAAGACTACAGGGGAACAGGAACAATAGGGAACAGAAACACTGGGGAAAATCACAGGAAATACACTCTAGGGAAACACAAAACCAGGGAAAAACTAACTCAAACAGCACACATCATGACAGATTGGATAAATATTCAGGGGATGGGTCTTAAATCCGCTAATCCTAGCAGATGAAGACGGATGTACATACATAACAAGCCAAATCATGGGCTTGAAATCTTTCAGCCTCTTGGCCCGTTTCTTGCTTCTTCATTATTCTTGCACTTCTGATCTGGTTAATTTTTATTTCATGAACAGAGGGAAAAGACATTAGCCCAGTGCGCAGGAGAAGATGAAGGACTGCAGCACATCAAGAGCTTAGTTAGAGCATTACCACTCTCATGTCAGATAATGTAAAGCTATGTCCAGATGTTTGGTAGAGCTAAGCGTTAAAGACTTGGCATAAAGGGAAAAAAAACACTAACTATCCCACTCTGTCCAAAGGTAACACAAAGAGCCAGCCAGTACTTAGTTGTTGGTTGTCAAAGGGATTTGTAACATCTTTAATTGAATGTCTAACTGGCGTTGATACTAAATGAAACCAATAAAGGAAATAAATTCTGCTTTGACCTACATAGTTAACTTATTCATAAAAGCCTGGCTGACAGTGCTCTCAATGCAAAGCACCATGATGTTACACTTGTGGGCCAGAGCTACATTTTGAGATAGGCTGAGTATGTCTAATGAGCCTCAATCTCATATTTAAAAATCTGGCCAATCTTAGGTACACTCAAAATACAAAAAAAGTATGTTTATTATACTTAAATAGTAAAATAAATAGCATAAATATACAAAATAGTATAATAGTATGTGGTCTCAAACAAAGCCTTGGCATCTCTCTGGTGTAAACAGTTGTATACTACAGCTGATATCCAGAATGACTATCCTGAATGCCAAAACACTGTGACGCAAACTATTCTTGTGCAATAAATCCTATTTATACTTTTTGATGTCGTCTTTTGCATAACACAACTTCTTTTGCCAATGCAAAACAGAAAGGGAATCCTACCTGAAATAGCCTACATCAAGAGACTGAGCCAACAACTAATTTTCAGTCATCCAAGCCAAGAACCAGAGAAACAGAGGCCACCATTCAGAGCTGCATACTTCACACCTAAATAGAACAAAGTATTTAAAGAAAATCTCTTTTACTTGCTGTGTCTCATTTGTTGAACTACATTGTTTAAAGGAGCTTTAATCAGGTTTTTATGTGTCAGAATATGCCTTTACCAAGCACAGCAACATCAAGATTTGAGGCCACAGCTTCATATTCACCAAACAAACACAAGAGGGCTTTGAATCTTCCTTTGTAGCTCTCAGATCTGCAGGAAAGCATATTAGCAAAATTTTCTGTAGTAAAAATGATCTGTCTGAAGTTAGAATCACATAATTGGGACAGGGATTTCTAAGTTTGGAAGAAGGACACAACAAACAGAAAAGCAGTGACGGTGGTGATGATGTAACAGGGAACTGGTGATGCTCCAGCTTTAAGATGGCCACCAGTCAGATTTACCTGAGGGCAACTAAACTGATCCAGGGAACAGCCATGACAGAGGGACTTCCGTCGCAGTATGAATCAATCCAAACTCATGACGTTACAAACTGGGACTTCACCATGAGGTAAGGATGTCCTTCAGATGTGCTCATATGGTCAACCCTGCAAGCTTTTAAAAAATCCCAAACAGGGTCCCCCTCTGATCTTCCTCCTGCCCTCTTCTGCCTTCAGGCCTCCCTATATTAAGGGGACTTTCTCCTGTTTAGCATTGTAAATACTGACACTGAGTTAGCTTGACAGGGCCCAAAGGAGAGGCATCAGCATTTCTGTGTCCTCAACACAAACACAAAGACTCTCTGACTCTCACACAAATATGAACAGAGGGGGGATTTGGTACAGAAGTAACCCTGAGCTCTCAGTGCACAATTTACTGAATTCTGCTTTCTGTTACGGTCGAATAAAATATCCCAACAACTTTGTAAAAGAGTATGTTTTTGCTTTGTGGGGCATCAGAGGCAAACCAGCTAATGTTACCCGATTTTTCCACTATTTGATTGTGTGTATACAGCTGTGGGCCCAATATCTCTTCAATATACAGACTTGTCAGTCATATAGGACTGCTTCCTTTTTTTGTAGCATTATGCCAAGAAAAAAAACACAGTCTGCTGTTGCAACTACAGGTAACAGCATGACTAGTCAATTTTAGCAACTTGAACACAGGAATGCAGCCGAGTAGGAGGAAATGTGTTTCTCTGCACTCCATAAGAGCCAACAAATACCGGCTTGATAGCAGCCAATATTCATGTAATCATTTTAAATTTGCATCATGTTTGATAAGAAAAGAACATGGTGGAAAGCTATTACTGATGTAGCTTATCTGATGTAGCTTGTAACTTATCCACATGCTCAAGACTGTCAATCCCAGATATGCGCTACCTGACGCACATCACTCTTAATGTGAATGGGAATAGACACTGAGTGGTTTCATTCATGTAACACTAAAACACCTTTGAATAATCAAGGGGCTTAATCCAGTTTCTTTGTGCCAAATACCTGACTCAGTTCCCATTTTATGCACTCTTTCCTAGCAACATGAGACTGCAGATGCCCTAATGTACTCTGCGCCGTGTGTTTTAGACCGTGCATTTTAAATCATTCATATAGGGCTCAAAGAGTGAAACACTGCGGCATCATGACAGTCACATCAGTATCATGGACGGATCTACTTACCAAACTGACAAACAACAGCAGCAGCTCCGAGGGCCTTGTTCCTCTCTCTTCTCTTGACTATTCACCTAATTACTCAGGACAGTTGAGCACAAGGGGGACATCTTGCATAAGCATACAGGACCTTCATGACCGCAATAAACTCAGAGATAAATAACAACCAAATAAAAAAGTATATCATAATGTCAATAAGCGTGTTGATTCCTTTTGGTAGGGCTACATTCATAGATCTGGATCAGTTTCTGGGTCTGTGTGCAGCTGTGCCCCTGTTGAAAGAGAACATGCTTGATTAGGTTACTTTAAGACAGAAGTTTAGACCTTGTCTTGTTAAAAGTAATTACAGCCCCCTCAGCTTTAACAATAGACATATACTGACAACAACAATTTAAAAGTAAAGGATTGGGCTTCACACTTTCCTCTTGCATCCCTCGGTTGTGTTACACTCACGCTCCTGTCCTCTCCCACATAAATCTAATTCTGCCCTTACAAAACCATGCCTGTAGGCCCTTAAAGGTTCACTTGCACACTGAGCAGTGCTCAAAACTGATTAGTACCTCCACAGGAGTGCAGCCTACTTTCAACATAGGCGCTCAACAAGACAGGATGCATACACTCCTCCTCAGCAGTGGAGTTGATAATAGTGGTACAGGGATACCCACTGGAAGCACCAATAAGTTTGTTTATGATGTCGTAGATTTTTAGAGTATGTGAAGTCTAAACAGCTCATTTATAGCTTATATGCAATTTAGGATTTAGATTAAACAGCTACATAAAGAAAACTGCTCTCAGCTCCAGTATACTGACTATTTATTATGTATTAAAATATATTTGAGGATGATGATGACAGTACTAAGGGTGCTATACTTTAAGAGCAATATGGCGTGGTAGAAGTTTTAGGGGCTTATTTTGATTTCTGGCTCCAAGCTGGTTTTTGGGTTAGCTTTATTTTGCTGTCCAGTGAGTTTTGGGCTGGTTTTGTTGCACATACCTGGCAACGCTGCTGGGGTGGGGTCACTTAGGGAAATTGTG